CGTTCAATGCTGTGGTAGTTATTGTGTGGTTAGGTAGATATGTATAAGTAAAGTACTGGACATTCGGCAGATTTGATGCAAAAAATATTCAGTGACACATCGTACAGAGAATACTGTGTGTATGAAAAAGGTAAGGGTAGGTAAGGGTAGTTTATTAGAGGTATTGATTGACAGACGACGGAAATGGGAGGGAAATCCTTCCTCGCTTCTCTACCTCTCGTTCTAGTGTTCTAGTGTTCTAAGTTGGAGGTGGGAGTGGTCCGTGTGGGAGGTGGCAGGTTCCTTATTCAAAGTTGTGTGTGAGACTGTGAGTGAGTGTAGAGCACTGTAGACAGTATGAAGCTAAAAACGGACAGCGCGAGAAATATTTCCGAATACTGTGTATACTGTATAACACTGTATAACACTGTGGCAGACTGTGTTGGCGCCACGTGCTCGCTATCAGCCAATCCCTGTCTTATCAGTACTGAGGGTTTAAACATGAACGCCACTGAAATCCTCCACGGCGATGACTGCGCGATAAGGCACTACATGCCAGTACATGGTACTATTCCTTACACGCACGTCAATATGGTCAAGTGCTTTGACCTGTGCAAATATATTCTCGTCTTATATGAAAGCCCGGCTAACAGTATTATTATGCTTACCAGATAGTTGTAAGCATCCAATGTCGTTGCACCACTGACACCAGACGGAACTCTAGTTCATCATCGGCATCAATATAAAATGCAACGCCGTAAGGTTGTGCGAGCTGCAGACACAAACGCCTCAGATGAGAATTTAGCTTATGCAAAGAAGATCTACTAGGTACCGTCCTGCAAGGCTGAGAAACGTGCTACATGGACACAATAGAACATGTCAGTTACATACATACATATCATATCATACGACGACGACGAACAATATCACCTCATGGAAGTATCCACGCCATGAACCATTTCAAAGATAGATGGCAGTCTAGACAACACCTCCCTCCCATCAAATTGATCGTAGTGGTCATGAGTCCGTCGAGTCCGTGATCCTATTAAACTGTTACACGCAGTGAAGCCCGTACTAAGGAAACCGAAACCCATCTGATTGGGCGGTGCATGTGTGAAGCTGCAGAAAAAGATGACATGTAGCTGGTGGTATACGTAGTACGTTGAAAAGAAAGATGCCAAATCTCGGGAGATCGCGGAGTTGAAGGGACAGTGCAGAACCAAATTACCTAATCTTAAAGGCATCGTGCTAGTAACGGTGCATTGACTTGCTTCGAACTGTATACTTGGAGCGTCTGTAGGCTATTTTTGGGGGCCGCGACTTGCTAATGCTACTGACAGCTGGCAGCTAGCAGCTAGCAATTGTTGAACGCGCCTAAAGCAAGGTACCTAGGTACCCTAGGTACACTGGAAATCCCCCCCCCCCACCAAAGTGCATAGTTAAATCACATGACCCGTGAAGATTTTCCGATCGGCTCCACATCTTTTTTTTTTTTTTTCCTTCGCGCGACTTCAAAAGCTTCGAGCTTAAAACCGCGACCAAACAAATCCTTCTTCTTTCACCCAACAAACTTCTTCCTGCTCTTCTCATCTCTAGAACTGCAAGATCTATTCTAATCACTTACCACCCTCTGTTGCTTGCTTTGTCCAGTAATTTAATCTTTTATTATTCTTTAGCAAGCTCAACAGAGAGAGAAAAAAAAAGGTTCGTTGCACACAATCTCCCCCTCCCACAAAACCAAAAATCACACTTCCTCCGATCATTAGGATGACAACCTTTTAAACATGTCTTCTTTTCCCAACTGAATCGACCATGAACGAAGCTTAGTCTGTCCGGGCCTCGCCACTACGGTGGCTGCCTGTTACTTGCCAGTATACCGTGTCTGATCTCCCATCAAGCGAGGTTTCTCTAACTTTGTCCACCACCATCGTGCTTATTCCATCAACCGAAGCAGCATGATTGGGAACGGGCAGATGAGAGACTTCACTAGATGGGACGATCGGAGGATTGTGTCACAAGAAAAAACTCTGCACCAAAGCAACAATAGTTCTTATCCACTAACACTCATACGTGCTAGGTTTGTTTATTGTTCCGTCATCGTCGAACGCTTTAAGATATTTCACACAAGGTCAGTCTACTTTCTTCGTCTTACAATTTACCTGGGTACTTGGGTGTGGTTTTTCATGATGAAATTTCCAACAACATTCGCAGTTTCCACTCGAGCTTCACAGAGCCTATTGGGAAGCAGATGAGGGCATTAACCTTCCTTGGATGTCTGACTTAAAACCACACTTGATTCTACCTATTTCATCTTGTTCCAACTTTATTGATGGAGAACTTGAACTAACAGAAATCTTACAGATATCGACATTGCATGCTTATTGAACTCCATGTTACGTAATGCATGTTGAATGTGGCTCGCTGCCCGTTGAATTTGGATTCCAGCGGAATCTATCAGGATTCCCTGGTCTTGATTGTAGCAACCTCTAGTTAGACATACTTCGCAGCATAAAATGATATATACAATAATCCTCAAACGCCAAGCTGAGCTCTTTTCCTCGTGACCGCATCCGTGAATTCCACCTTGACCAACTTCCGTAGCAATACTCCCAGGCGTTGCCTTAGTTTCAGTAATCGGATATATCTCCATTCGTTCACTATAAAAAAAAATCAGGCAACCTCAACACCTTCGCGTATCCCTTCCCTCAAGACACCATGGCCTAGGCTAATAGAGTTGTTCTCCTGCCTCCTGACCCTCCCACCGACCATGCCCCTCCGGTTCCTACCCGTCCGACCTCTACCCAACCAGTTAAGCTTGAGCAGTCGACCCAGCTCAGACACCATCTTGCTCGATTCGTCCGTGCCAACCGCGTTGATCCCCGTGTCGACGCTCGCCAGTACACTCATGCACTGAAGCATGCGGCCCACCATCTCCGTGACCTGCTTGCTGTCCTCGACGTTCTGCTCCCGTACGCTGCCAAGAATTTCCCTGCCGCCGCGTTCGGCACCCTCTCTTAGTTGCGGCGTGAAGGGCCTGAGCAGAGAACTGGCACCGGTTGATGCCGGGTCAGATACACCACTGCCGAAGGATACATTGCTGATGGCGCGGCTCCGCGACGGGTTTGAGTCGTTGCCGAAGACCGTGGTAGAGTTGGAATTATAGCTTGCAACGCTTGGGTCGAGCGACATGGCCGTTCCAGGACGGCCCGAGAAAGCATCGCTCGGTGAGGTGGAGAGAGACGTAGCGCTATCGTTCATAAGCGGTGGAGATGCCAGTGCCAAGGAGGCGAGAGAGGATGGTAGGTGCTCGAGAGATAGCCGAGAGAAGATGGTCTTTAACTTCTCGTACCGAGGTAAAATCAGGGAATCCCGGTATGATATGAGCACCAGCCGACGAACATCTAGGACGCTCGATGCGGGTGCCAGATGGGCTTCAGCTTGCGGACCGCTAGCGAGAGCAGTTGGCACAGGAGGGTTCGCCACACCACCCCAAAAGTCTCGTGCTTGCTCGGGAGTCAAAAGGGTTCCACAGCCAGAGAATTCGAGATCCAGCGGAAGAAATACGGCTTGCATGTAGGGTAGAATGCTGGTAAACGTAAATATCCAGAGTTCCACCAGCGCAGGTATTAATCGATCCTCGGGGGTCTTGCGTAATGTATGGTCAAGCGAGGCAAAGCCCGTCGAAAGGAGATCTCGCACGTCATCAATAATCATGTGAGCCGAACGACGTTGTAAGCAGTATTGTATGTGCATAATCACGACCCGGTTGAAATCTTCTACAGGTAGTCGCAGATCCTCACCCTCAAATATAACCAGTAACTTGGCTCTCAGGTACGGCCAAGCATCATCCAGAGCCATATTGTGAAGGCCATACTTGCCCGACTCGGCCGGGTCAAATAGATGAGACGTAGTGGCAGTGGTCGACCCTAAGCTGCCAGGCCCGGGCCAATCAGAAACACCGCCATAAGTTGATTCGTTGTCTTCTTTCCTCTTATCGCGCAGTGCGCGTCCTCCGTGTCGTAAATCCAAACCGCTGACACTTTTACCGAGATTATTATTCGGTCCAGGACTCGGTGGTAGGTTGAAGTTGTATAGGCTCGAGGGCGCATGTGGATCGACTGGTCGAGAATTGCTCGCGGCAGAAGAAAGGGGGAGGTGGTAATCATCTTTGCTGCTCAGCTTGTGTTTTTGCCGAGATAAGAAATGATGTTTCCTTTCCTTGTCCTTTTCCTTGCCTTCTTTCTCTGTAGACGAGTCTATCGGTCGAATAGTCGCGGCGGACGAGTTTGCCAAGCTATAAAAAGACTGCGAGTCCGCGAGGCTAGTCGTGCTGAAGTTGGCGCGTTGTAATGAGGCCAGAGCAGAGCCAATCTTGCCAGGACTAGGTAACGGTCGTTCTTTTACATCACCTTTGGTATCGATTTTCTTGGGTCGGGAGAATAACTTGACCTTGGACTTCTCCACTTTGGCAGGCTTTTCGGGTATCGTCGAAGGAGGTGGCATAGATTGGTCAGGCGGCGGTAGACCAGGCGAAGTTTGAGGCGATCGCGGAAAGACGACATTCGCAGCGGCAGTGGCAGCCGCATGACTTCCCAAAAGTCCATTATGATATCCTTGGGAGCCAAAGCCGCTGTCTCTTGGAGCGCTAGCCTCAGTCAGGCTCAGCATAGGGGGGGTGCGATGATCGGATACGGGTTTGGGGCCAGGCCTCCTTGCGGGATCTAGGCCATCGCTACCAGGAAAAGGGACAGTCTGCGATCGGTGGCGACTATGTTGTTGATGTTGCATAACAGCAGCCTGAGCAGCTATCTGACTAGCCGAGAGGGAGCTGGATGATGCGCCAGGGGTTTGGGCCTGAGCCATGGCGACTTGAGAGAGGTTGGATGTGCTCGTAGAAGGCAAGGTAGGTTCGAAGAGGCCTTGGGTTTGCGAGTGTTTTCGGACGTGGCTAGGACGAGAGGGCAAGGTCAAAGGAGATGTGTTTCTAGTTTGAGGTAGGTCGAGGCTAGGTCTTGTCGGACGAGAGAAATTGTGCGGACTGGTGGCGTAAGAGGGGCTATTCAAATTGACATTCACAGGGCTCTGGGCATTTCTGTTTTTTATGACATTGATGGTATCTTCGCTAGAGGAAGTATCTATCCTCCGAATTTGAGGTCTCGATGAGGCTGCAGCGGAGGAAGAGGCAGCGGCAGCGGCAGCAGTAGAAACGGACGAAACACTGCTGCCGGGCAAGGGAGAGAAGCTCCCGGGGGCCCTCTGCTGGGATCGTACAGGCTGCATCGTCTAGTGACTTAATGGAAAGGTCCAAGTGCCTACTTCTGTTACATCTTGCCTCGATGCTGGTGAGGAGGACAATAAGATCGGCGTAAACCCCCGCTAGGTGATTTGCGCACTTCAATTACTATCGTTTTGTAATGCGTCTCGCTTCGATTAAACAGCAGGGATTCATGGATGGTGGATGGTAGATGATAGATTCGATGGAGCTAGCCTGATGCGACGATAAGGTAGGTAGGTTGGTTAATAGGTAGAGGTAAGATTTATATTGTAAGTTGTTAATTGTTAGTTTGTTGGTTGTTGTTGTCAAACATCATGGATGTTAAACATCGTGATGATGATAAAGAAGCTCAAGTTACATGTACATGTGTTGTCCATTGTCAAACTTCCAAGGTTCAAGACTTTGAAGTGCCAAAAAGTCTAAGGTTAAACGTGTACAAGTACTTCACTTATCTTGCAGATTCTTGCTGAATGTGCAGGTACATATGTGTAACTATGTAGTATGTACCTACCTTTCTAATACCCTATTACCTGGTAATGACCCACCGGTCCCCGCGTTTCAATCCAGCCCTGGCGCCCTTGATCATTATATTAAACACTAATGTAGTAAACACTTTCATTAAACTCTAGCACATTCAAATGTTATTCCAGGGATCGGATACGGTACTTTTAAGTACCTAACCTAGGGTAGTCAAAGCTTGACATATTCAATTACAGGCGTAGTAACGTAGGTTAGTAACGTAGTAACGAAAGAGAAGGTGAAGTTGGCAACCTCAATGTCATATGTATTCATATTCATAGCACCGAATGATGGACATATATGGATACCAGAAGATATATATAGTTACATGTATTACATAGTATCCGATGTCGCCAGGGTTTTATGAACTTGAAATTCGCCTTAATTACCTAACCGTACTATGCCCTATCAGCTGGGTACAATACCGTAACCTAGATAAATCATAAGGGGCAGCATTAGCCACAAAGACTCCTTAACAAGCCACATCTGCCCCGCGTTACTCCTGCGCAGTTCTTCATCCCACCTTGATCGACCTTACATCGAACTTTTGCGCAGTGATCCGACAATACCACAATCTCCCTCATAAGGACCAGACCAGACCAGACCAGACCCATCACCATGTCAGCCTCTCCCTCTCCCCCCAACACGGCGCACCTAAAAGCAACATACACCAACGCCCACCCTCCCTCCTCCTCCACCGAACCCTTCACCCTCACAACCCCCCTCCCCCAACCCTCCGACCCCAACTCCGCCGCGCAAAAGACATCCTACCTCTCCGCTCTGCGGGACGCCACCACCTCGCTACAGGAGAGCATAAACGCCGAGTTGACCACGCGCATGGAACGAGAGGCTGCTTCCGCCGCTGCCACCAAGACAACGGCAGCGAATAGTAGTAAGAATGGGAAGAAGAGCGTCGTGTTCGACGATGAGGCTGAGGAGGAGAACTACGGAGAGGAGGTAGTCGAGGATGATGAATGAGAGAAGGGAAAGCTGGATTTGCGCACACCATACCAGCCAACCGAATACCTACAAGAAGCTGAGGAGTAACTCAGTAGGATTTGGATTCCCAACTACCTACCAGTCAAGTCTAAAACGCATCAAACCAGTCGACACGGACACTTCACCCTTGATCACCACAAAAACATCAACAGGAGGTATAAAAGGCGTTTTCAATTTGACTACGATCTAGATACTTAAAAGGGGGTATTTTGCCTGCGCGTACAAGTTTGTATGTACTTGATCGCCACTACTCCAGCAGCATGCATGCATTGTAACGATAACCCAACGTTTATGCTATGATCCCAGAGACCAAAAAAAAAAACGAAGAAGAAGAAAGAAAGAAGAGAAAAAAAAACACCCCCTTAGAAACCAGAACGCCTCTCAATCGTTTTCGGTATATGCGAAAGTGGCCATCGATCCTTTCTCCTCGTCGTCTCATCCCGTAAAACACGTCGACTAAAGTTAGATGCTCATATTTTATAAATAACCACCTCCCAAGAAATAACAGGTGGGTATGGAGAAAAGAGGTGATAATAAAGGAGGAATATATGATCAAGTTTCGTCTCATCCCATCGTATGTCGACTTCAATTATGTCGACCCCATGAACCAGCAATCCGTTCAGTTCGACTACCGCTTCTGCTACGTCCTCTTCTTCTCCCTAGACATCCATAGTGGACCACACTATTGTCTGGGAGTACTGCCACCACGCTATTTCCCAATCTCTTGTGGCAGGTACCGCATACCCTTTCCTCGCTAATTACTACCCTCCTGTTCCGTCCGGTCTGGCCTCCGGGTACCCCATCACCAAGCAGTAGAAGCGCCTGCGTGTTAACAAGCTGCGTCTTTCGTAGCCCTTCGACAATGCGCGATTCGGAGACGACGCTATTAGCCGCGCGAATGCGCCCTCGGAAGTACGACTCGAGCTCTGCCACGGGAAGGTCGTCGGGTATGAGGGAGAGGGTTGATTCTGCCGGTAGACGAGAGCCATGCCTCGAAAGAAGCGATAAAGCCGGTTCCAAGTTAGGCTTATTGGGTGGCGGTGGGGTAAGGTACAACGAAATCAGCATGTGGTAAATAGAAGGCTTCGCATCAGGGTCATGATCGTCATCCTGGTCTGCCGATAAAGCAGCAAACGACTCCCGGCGAGAGCTAGGCAGTGCATGAATACGATTACAGTATCTGAAATATTCGTAAGTAAAAGAATGTTCGTCTGATGGGTGACTGTAATGAATGACTGTGAACTTACTCCTCTGCTTTCGTATAATCTTGCATATTGAAAACGTAGATCTCGAGTGCTTGTTTGTGCGAACCCATGTTACTGAATACTATAGCCCGGGCCTCATAAAATGCCGGATCTGTGTATGTGGTTAGAAATCGTTCTCTTCCTAAGCCTAACCGGAGAGCTTACCATCGCGAGGAATTATGCTTAGTGCTCTGCTGAGACTATATTGTTGGCTTGCACCCAGGAAAGTCACTAGGCTGCTCAGCTTCTCGTTCCAAGCCTCATCCCTCTCACCCTCTTTGAGTGCATGAACGAGCAACTCCACTAATCGGTTATGGAAGTCTGGCGTTCCATCTTCTAGCTCCATTATGATGTGCTGTAAGTATCGAATTTCTAAGTCGACGTCGATGGCGCCAAGATATCGGACGACCGTCTCTCGTGGTAATGTCTCGGCATTCTCGCTATCGGCCACAAAGATCTCCAAGCCTTGGCTCGGATCGCGCCGTAATACCCAATCGGCGAATTCAAGAATGATGTCGATCATCTCAGGGGGCAGGCTTTGCAGGTATCCGACAGTCCTTTGAGGGCCACGGAGTTGTTCGGGAATCACTACTTCGACATCTGTGTTTCCATTCAAGTCTAGCTTAGCTGACTCTCCCTCCATGTCAACGTTTCCAAACTTGCGAAGTAAAGTAAGTGCTTCGCGATGGAGCCTCTTTCCATAGAAGAAGTCAACCAGCTCATTGTACCGATTATGCTTAAGCAGGTGCTCATTCACTACCGCAGGGTCGCAAAAGTTCGGGATGCGGAAGAGGGAGCCAGCAAGGGTAGGTGTAACAAACATCAGGCCACGGAAGAGAGCTGTGTCGACTACTGTGTAAGTTTCTTTGAGTTCTCGCTCGAGCTGCTCGTCCGACTCGGAATGGGGATTTGTTAGCAGGGCATCTAAATTTTCGTCGATGTTGATAAGCGTTTCCGCGCCAGACTCTGTGCTGGATGGTGGTTTGCGTGGTTTCAGCTTTCCTGTCGCTGGATCGATCCACCGTTGTAGGCGTGCCCTTGTACCGGCTAGGTAGCTGTTTAATTCACGGACAGCCTTGACCAAGTCTTTCCCTTCCAACGGTTTATCTTCATCCAACTTCTTCTTCTTCTTTTTCTTCTTGGTCTTGGCCTTTATACTCGCCGCATCTTCATTGTCCGTCCCTCCTTTCTTGGAGGAAGCGATGGATGCAGCATCCGAGTCAGTTTTGCGATGTCCCATCCAATACTTGGCGAAAGTGCTGGTTCGAGACGGGGATGCAAATTCAGCAGCAAGATCGGTCTTTGCCGTTGCCGTTGCCGGCTTCTCCCCGTTGGTCTTTTCATCTTCTTCTTGTTCTTCCTCTTCTTCCTCCGAAGTTTCCTGGCGAGTCACTTCGGCGGAAAGATCTCCAGCGATCATTTTCGGATATAACCTGAGTACCCTCTGGGGAGGTGCGTGAACTTCGTCCTCGTTGAATAGGGCTAGACTTTCGGAGAATTTCCTCTTCTTGAACAAAACTTCGGCCTTGAGCATCTTGGCCTCGCGCATAGTACCAGTCTTGTCGCTCAACAGCGCATCCTCAAGCATGCCAAGCACACTCACGGCCTCGTCGTACTTTGCCTTGTCGATGAGTTCCTTGACCTGAGTATCATAGTCAGTGGCCTCCATTTTCCATACAGCTCGGTCGCTGCTGATATGGAACCCCTTGCCCGCATGAGCTAGGCTGACGGTTGGTGGTGGAAAGTAAAGCTGGGATGCACCAGGAAGTTCTATAATCTGCAAGAGGCTAAGGGTGTCAGGGTTCCGGACTTCCAGCGTTCCCTTAGCCGGCTGTTGGAGGGCTAATATATAAGGATAGCTGTATCCGATGCTCTCTGGCGCACTCTGCCATGGTACTTGACGCTTTTCCAATGGTTTTCCGTCAGTGTCGATAAACAGTGAGTTAATGTCCTTGGCGAGTAGCATCTGGCCCTCGGACAACCTCGCAGCCAACGGCTTCGGCATATACCCGCCTAGTCCCATGTAGCCCATACTCGTGGCACCGAACCTGATTCCTTGACCACCGGACGCTGTAGCACCAAGACCTACAATTTCGTGCGTCTCCGAGGTGGTGACGTCGACCAAGACGTATCCGCCATTCATGCCACAGACGACTTTGGTCGCGTTTGCCCAAGTCAAAGACCTAATAGCCTCAGACAATGTGATTTCGGTGACCTCATCGCGCAACTCGCTCTCGTGCCAACTCCAAAGCAGCAGGCGCCGTTTTATAGCAACAGCAAGGCGACTAATGATTTCAGGTATACCAGTGGAAGCATCCTTGACAATATTACTGGTGACAGCAAAGCAGGTGGCATTCTTTGTGCGCGATATGGTTTCGATCAGTTCATAGGTTTGGCAATCATGGAGGGAGACATGATAATTGGAAAGAGAGACGATGATATTGGCCTCCTTGATGATAGCAAGCTGTTCGATAGCACGCGTAGAGAACTTGTCTACTTCACGAAGGAGATCGGTTGGCTTGAGAGGAGGGCCGGGATTGGCATCAGGTTGGCTATTCGGAGGAGGAGTAGGAGAAGCTGGAGTTGGAGTTGAGGAGCGTGCGGATGTGCCGTTGGTGGGATGGTCATCGGTTGGTTGGGTTAGGCGGTATATTCGCAGTGAGCCAGTGTTGAGTCCGACGAAAACGCGATCGCCTACGATATTAGTTCATCTAGTACGCCATCAAGCTATCAAAAGCTAATTAAAGAAAAGAAGGAATAGAGACAAAACTAACCATGGGCCAAGATAGTCTCTATCTTTGACTTGTCACGCTGTTTGAGCTCGATGATGGGTCGAGCTGTGAATGCGGAGAGCATGGCGCTCTGATTTATACCATTACCCCGGATAGGTAGGTCATTGATTTGACTATAACATCACTTGGATAATAAAGAAACTAAAACTCAACCAAGTTAAATCGGATATTCAATGTTGTTGTTTCCTGCTTCCCAAAGCAAGTCAAATTACTATTGTCTTGTGAATGTTAGGAAACTTCAAGGTTGAACAGAAAGCAGCAGGTATGTCATCTGAATATTTCAAATGATGGACTTCAAATGGAGAAATGGGGAAATGGGGAAAAAAAGGTACAAGGCAATGTGTAATGTATGTATGTACAACACGGCATGCTTGGATGTAGGACAAGGACATGTACTGTAAGGTTCGAAGCTAGAGTGGATACATACTCAAGTTTATTCAATACCCATGCCTCGGCAGCCTATGACCGCATACATCAATTGCCCTTTTAGTTATTACTTGGGGGCTAGCGACTCCACCGTCCCTCCTATTGGATACAGGGCGTCATAGCTACTTTTAAGTACAACCTATAGGTACCCAACCTACGTTAGGCAGCCCTATAAATTCTGTGTAGGGTCCATCTGTAGGTACCTTTACATCATTCATCACCTCCAGGGCTGGGCATTGATATCGATCGATATAGGTGCATATATATTATATGAACAAAAATGGACACAGCATAGACACAATGAGAGCTTGTATATCTTGTATATACCATGATTATTTCTATATACTGCCATTCTACGTGCAACTCGCAACACCCACCGTACTCCAAACATGTAAAGCAGGTTACCACATTAGATATATACCAGGTAGGTAGTGATAGCCAAAATCTATAAGCAACAACATCTTAATCGGGGACATCGACTCGTTAAGCTAACCAATGAATAGCTCAAAAGCCACCTTGGTTGGAGACTTACATCCCAATAATCCGCATCGAACCATATCCAAGCGTAACTACCACCGCTAGAGCGATCAAACTACTCGGTATACCCCGACTAATAAAATGGCTAACACGAAGATATCGTTGCCCTGTTGCGTCTTCCTTCATAATCGCCGCTACAAAGGGTTAGCTATCAGTTATAACTTTCTAGGAGTCGTCAGGATTCCAGAGGAAATGGAGGAAATGCTTACTCATATTAGGGAAACCACTTGTTGGCAACGCCATCGCCGCACTGCACATGAGTGCCGCCCCCATGATGAGGAGATTAGGATGTGGTTCATCCATGTCCTTCCCAACGTCCGACACGAGAGGCAGAATAATTAGCGCCGCCACAGTGTGGCTAATAAAGGTCGCAATAACTAATGTTAAAGTCGAGAAGATAAGTAAAACCCCGTACAGGTCTACACCATCGACCTTTCGAGAGATGCTTTCAGCCACCGTATGAAGGAGGCCCGATGATGTAACGGCCTTTCCGAGTGCTAGCCCTCCCGCCGCGAGGATGATGATAGTCCATGGGAAATTGTTAAAGTCTTCCTTGGTAAGTATACCAATGCCGAAGAAGAGCACAATGGGAATAATGGCGATAACACCCATATGCCCAAACGTAGATTCAAGTTGATGGCTTGCACACCAAAGCCCGATGGTAGCTAGACACACGATAGACACAAACCATTGTAGGCCGGTAAACCGTTCTTTGACTGGTCGAATAGGGACAATAGTAGTGCCCTTACCGGGATGGAACGTGGTAAGGAGAAGAATCCAAATCAACAAGATTGATACGATGCCCACGGGAATCACAACAAAAAACCACTGGCCCCAGGTCGGCGCTGGCTCCATGATTCCTAGCGCAACAATGTTTTGGGGCGAAGCAATCGGAGAGAGCATACCGCCAATGTTGGAGGCGAGAGCAATACCCATAATAACTGCCTTGGACATGTTGGAGTCGGTAGGAAGATTACGAAGCATTGGCTATGAAGTTTCCTGTTAGAGACATTCTAGAGGATCCGAAAAGAAAAAGGGGAACTTACCTCGACAATGGAGAAGCAAAGTACAGGAGCTGCCACATTGCTAACGAGCATACTAGCAAAGGCAGCGACAAACATGGTAGCAACCAGTACGGTCCTCGGCTTCGTTCCAGCCTTGCTCAGAACAAAGGTCGCAATTCGCTTATCAATTTTGCATTTAGACAAGGCGGCAGCAATCGTGAAGCCTCCGAGTAGAAGCATAATGACGGGCGTCCACATGGCCGAAAACACATAGTTGACGGCGTCTGCGGACGATAACCTTTCATTTCCTGGGCCCTCGGAACGAACAACTCGGAGAACCACACAGAGGAAAGGTATCAATAAAGACGTGACAAAGAGCGGGATAGCCTAGCAAATGATTAGTTGCGCGTGCCATACATTAATGGAATAATGACGATTGTATCTCACCTCGGTAGCCCATAAAAGACTGACAAAAACCAGCATAGCCAAGCAGTTCTGTTGTTCGGGCATATCCATAACAGGGACAAAAAGCAGGACTAGAAAGATGACGATGATTCCAATAAGAGTGAACATGGCCGAGCTAAATAGCCAGGTTGGACAAGTAAAGCGGCCCATCGGCGTCTCGATCTCTTTCATGGGAGTAACAGGCACATCATCACCTTGCAATCTCATCTTTAATCCGTCGCTAGGGGCTCCGAGAAGGCCGCCCCCAAGAGTTGCAGCCTCGGCGCGACGTTCGAGACCGATGAGATCTCGCCAGACCGTGTTTCGTTCCCAGACAACGTGCTCTCTTAGGTGAGATCGGAGATCTTTCTTCGCCAGAGCTTCGTCGCCATGCGTGACTATATCTGTATAGGCTTTTTCCATCTTTCCAATGCTCTCTTCGATGTGCTTGACCGTCTCCGGCAAGAAAGGGTACGAGGTCTCGACGGTCTCTCGGAGGTACTTGGGTCGGAACTCCGTATCGATGATCTTGTCGAATTTCTTGAGGACTTTACTGAATCCTGTCTTATTTAGTTGCACATACGACTTGAGCTCACATAGCTGGACATAAAGGCTAATGATGCGTTTCTTTAGCATGATACCGGAGGAAAATAGCTCGGCCGTCTCAGCGTAGTCGTCAAAGCCAAGACTCAACCTGCGTGACCTAGTAACATCGGTCGACACAGTCATATCGATTGAAGCATGCATTGCATTCGGAATAGTACGTCTCCTCCCCAAGCCACCGCCAAAGCTCGGCCGCCTTTTCTTATGGAGGGCTGAGGTTTCATCGTTATCATCGTCGTCATCTTCTTCTTCGCTGTCCTCTGCGCCATCATCGGTCGAGCGCATGCTAACACCACTGCGAGTACTTCGAGTTCCCATAGTGGTAGGCCTTGCTTGGTCACTGATAGAACTTTGCATGACGGGCCTCTGAGGAACTTCAGATTCGTCAAACCCATTCGCGTCGAAGGATCCAACATCTCGCAACAATTCGTCAACATCGTCGAAGAGTTCCTTTTCCTTGACACCGTAAAACGAACAGATTTTCTCCAGCTCTACATCTAAGGCTCGACTAAAGACAAGCTCGGGGTCTTCATTTCGAAGAAGTGGTCGGGTTTCGACGTCGGTGACGGAAGGTTGATGAACGTTCTTTTCAAGCGTATAAATTCTACAGCAGGGACATGGTTAGAGTCAGGGTTGACTTATATAGAGACCACCAGCCAATAGAGACAAACGAAATACTTGCAGTTTCTTCAGGTTGCTATAAGCAATATAATGGCTGCTCCAATCAGGAACAGCATTAAACTGAATACTGTGAGAGAACTTCATCTCGTCGCGTTCTTCAAGCCAACGTCTCTTTTCGATTCTCTTTGCTCTCCGCCGTTTGTCCTTGTCAGCCTCACGTTTGCGAGCTTCAAGTTGTTGGTAGTCTAGCTGCTGGAGCTCGTAAGCGTCTTGGGAAGTAGAGATTCCACTACTACTCCCTCCTCTATCCTCCGGCTCCGGCAAGGTGTGGCCAGGGTGGTGGGGAGCTTGGTGCGCGTGGGCAGGATCGCAATAAGAGGAAGAGGAGGGATTCACCAAAGACTTTGAAGGTGTAATGGTTATGATGGTATAAAACGATTCAGGGTCAGTAGTAGCATAGGAGAATGCATGTAGTTAGAAGTTGGAAATAAATAATAATAATAATAAAAATAAAAATAAAAATAAAAATGGAATAGAACAAGTAGTCCGGCTCTACCTAGGGCAGTCTATGGGGTACATTAGTAGGTAGCTTCGAAGTTACCTTGAGCTAGTAACTCGTGATGGCACTTGCAGATAATTATTGAAGTACGTAAGGGAACAGGGGCAAGTGATAAAGATTTGTTCGATCTGCAGATTAGAAACGTCTAATGATGCAGTAACGAATGAGATCTTATGTTTAATGGTCCACGTGTGTGTGGCTGAAGCTTGGTATTAGTACTTGGTACCTTGGCATATTATGCATCAGCCACGACCAATATCAACTTCATCTTTCACTGCACACATCATTCATACCCTTTTTATGAGGGTCTCAAAGGTACAGTTTCAAGAGTATTGCCTCCAAGTCTATGAAGACGTAACAAAAGACACAAGGAAAATGAATAACACAAACCTCCCAAGTGGCCTGTCTCCTCCCAATAGTATCGTATATTTAGATGGACAGTACATAAGAGATGGGCATAATGAAGCAAACAAGTCACAAACTGTCAGGCAACGCTACCTAGTACTATTTACAATTCAGTAGTCGAAACAATCGCTTCAAGATAAAGTTGACTCTAACAAAAGGTGAACTCTAACCTTTATAACTTGGGGCTCGTTGCTACATGTACATAGTATGTGACCAATCATTTTTGCTCAGCCCTGAACACACCTGCAGCAGTTGCAGCAGTTGCAGCAGTTGCAGCAATCCAAACGGCAGGCACATGCCTTAGTAAGTACATACTTGGGTAGGTACACAACATTCACAATCAATGCTCCCCCCCTCAATTACATACCTATTACCTATTCTACACATGTAACCTACATACATCAGATCTCACCAATATCTAGCTACATACCTAACCTAGTGCCTACCTACTTACCTAGGTAGGCACCTAGTCAACATGAACCGTCCCCGGAGACGGAACCGACATCGATGGCCAATTACACATGCAGATCAGGACATAGAACGTCGAAGATCGGCAGCGGAACTTGGACGTCGACGAGCCGCAGCACAACGTCCTCTGAGAGTCACTCCAAACACTTCCGATGTCCCCAATGTTCCCATCACCGGCTTGGGCCGCCTAGACAATCTGCCTAATGAGGTCATTCTGCTTGTCTTTACACAATGCAACCTACGTTCCCTCTTGCGTCTCGAGCGCGTGAACAAGGCCGCCAAGAAGCTCGTAGCCTTGTTACCCGGCCTACCATTCGTTAGAAGTACTGCAAAGGGCATCATCGAACATGCTACACCTCCGTTTCGCCACATCATGTTCACCATCCTAAAAATTACAACGTACTGCGGACTTCGACATCTTTTGACCACCTACGAATGCGAGGTATGTGATGAGCCAGGGTCATTCCGCATGGTCAAGGTCAAGGTTCTTTGTGACAAGTGCAACTCCAAAAAGTTGGGAGGTCGCTAAGTACAAGACGAAATGAATTTGAACGATTGAGATCACAAAACGGAGATTCGTGGGTGCAGCTAGGTTAGGCTATGCAGATTTACCACAATAAACACTGACGACGTGACTTCAGATAGGGAGACACGGAATGCTTACTAAACTCGTCCAATTCCTCGCTATTATTTATCATTAGAAAATTATCTCAATGATGCTTAACTTCGTAGCTAGGACAGGTGAGGAAACTGCCCAAATTGCGTCCTTTCTTTCTATGCTGATAATGATATACTTTCCTGTCTTCCTCTCTAAGTAGATACTTAACTTAGGTGAGTATTCTTGAATACCTCAGTTGTTCTAGGCCAGGCACATATATAGAGGATTTTCCAGAACGAGGCGAACAGGAGCGAATCAACTGCGTCAACGTACCAAACAATGTAATTGCACAGAGGTTTTCCAACCACTCAAGTGCCGTCAGCGCAGGTCTCTATATTGGATCTCACAAGGCCCCTATAACTCATTCACATGGTATCAAATCCGAGTATATTTCATACATCAATGTCTCCACTTTAGGTCTTGATGTATGGCCAAATCCAATAAGTGCCACAGGCCGGTAGCATCCATCCTCAAATGCACAGATAGGTCGACTTCATTGCCTTACTTACAAAACATATAAATATAGCTACCCAATTTACCTGCATAGAAGCCTAAAACCACTAATGCTAATAATAACCCGATGCACCTAATATTATTTTCCTACGTTTGTTATGCGTCGGGCGTGGAGGCAGAAATTGTGGATCTCCTCATAAAAGGGGGGAGGCCCTTCAACACAGGAATATCGGGAATCGCCAAATCTAGTAGACAGCTTCCTGCATATTGAACCATAACACCTACCTAATACTGTGGTCTTCTGAGGTATATTGAAGAAAAGCACCTGCAATCTGCATACGTTCCCCAAAAATGGCCGATAGAGGAGTGCGAGGAGAGGAACCCCTGAATCGGGAGCCCAAGATATCGAAACTCGCATCCGTCTCTATTACCGAGGACGGCTATGAAAGGAATCACTGTGTTCAACCCGCAGCTGAGCAGCTGAATGCGAGGACGCATAGCGTACAGGTCGACGGTGCTGTCAAGGAACCTTTAAACCTCTCTATCACCAGTCTACGGACAGACTTTCCGCAGCATGAGGTCATTTGTGCGCTTCAGTGTCCAGAAAACCGGCGGCACGGCATGCGAACTTTGGTAAAAGAGGTGCAAGGGATCGACTGGGTTAACGGCGCTGTCATGAACTGCCGGTGGCGGGGCCCCTTACTCAAGGACGTGCTGGGAAAGGCAGGTATCGCGGATTCGGTCGAGCAAGAGGGGACACATGTGGCGTTCACCTCATTCCAGGTGAAGTGCCAGGAAGACTCATGGTACGGCGCCTCGATACCGCTGAGCCGGGCCCTGGACCCAGACAAGGAGGTCGTTCTGGCTCTGGAGCGGAACGGGAAACCCCTCACGATCCGACATGGTTATCCCGTGAGAGTCATCACGCCAGGCGTTGAGGGAGCGAAATCGGTCAAGTGGCTTGATAAGATTACGGTGCAGAAGGAAGAGAGCCCGAATTACTACATGCAGAGGGACTATAAGACTCCCCTCCCGCAGGCCGTGGATAGCGAGACGGCGGAGAAGTACTGGGGCGTCACCCCGCCTATGCAAGAGATGCCGGTTAACTCCGTCGTCGTGAGTCCGCGAAAGGGTGACACAGTTAAGCGGAACGAAGAGGGTAAGGTGGTATGTCACGGTTATGCACTGCCCAGTGGCGACGGTGGCTCCGTGGTCAAGGTAGAGATTAGCGCCGATGGAGGTCTCACGTGGTCCGAAGCGGCACTCGAACAACATGAGGGAGAGGGCAAGTGGGCGTGGAAGTTTTGGAGGGCGAGTGTGAATATGGCACCTGGAAATTCAGGGACCATTTTAAGCAAAGCTAGCGATGCCTCTGGACAAACTCAGTCAGCAGTGTCCCCTTGGAATCTCAAAGATGTTTGTTATAATGGGTTCGGCGAAGCTCGGGATCTGACAGTGGAGTAAGTCATCCTAGGTGGCGGATTTAAAGAATATGTATCTGGCAATGAAAGGATGCTATACCTAACCAAATCTACTATAAGCTGCATGTTGATGAGATATGATATCCAATAAGGATCCACCCTTCCACTATCATCTGTTTATAGGTAATCACTTGAACCATTCCTATAAATAGAAGTGGGCATGAACCAAAGCACTGACTCTGATCCAGTTGTCTGGTTCGTTATGTGGCATTAGCTTGAATAGACGCCCCTTTTATCCACGACAACATCAATACTAGGTATTTACCACACTCGAATGCATTTCACAACATCAAGCCTAATTACCGTATAATTACTGTATAGATATTCTTTTCTAGAGTTTCTTTTATTATTGGGCGTGAGCTACAATTATATCTCTCTTGCATAATTTCCAAAAACAAGCAAGAGGACCTAATATTCAGTCTAGATATGAAGCTCCTGTGAACCCCAGAAAATGCATATGTACAATATCTCGCACAAAAACTCCTTATGAATCGATTTACTCCGCAATGCCTTTCAATAACAAAAGAAAAAGAAAACAAAAAAAAAGAACCCTTCAGATAATAATACCCCGATTTACCATCCTAAAATGCTTTGCCCAGATTTTCCATACGTGTAGCTGGACCCTCCGCCCGTCCACGCCATGGTGGCCCCTTGTCTCGCGAGCGCCTTCGCGATGTTCTCCTCCCTTGGGATCTGCCAGAACATGGTCTCGCAGCCGCTGAGGGCGAGCTCACCGACTCGCTTGAGGATGCGTTCCCACAGGTCCTGGTTCGCGACCTTGGTCTCCCCGCTCGTGCACCAGCCGTTCTCGATCCAGGAGGAGATCCAGATGGTGGCGCAGTCGACCACGTAGGTCGAGTCCGTCGCGATGACGATCGCCTCGCACTCCTCCTCGTGCCAGTTCTTCCACTCGAGCGCCTTGCACACGGCCCACAGCTCCGCCCGGTTGCTCGTGTGCGGCGTCGTCGTCGCCGTCTTCTTCTCCTCCTCCTCGGGCAGCGGCAGCGGCAGCGACACCCGGTCGTCCGTGCAGTTCGAGTACGCGAACCCGAGCCCCGCGTACGCGTCCGCCTGCCCGTTGTTCACGCACGCGCCGTCGACGTAGATGAGCTGCAGCAGGATCTGGAAGTTGGGGCCGATGCAGCGGTGCCGCTGCAGCGCGAACCGGTACCGCGACTCGTCGCCCGCGTACGTCGTCCGCGATAGCTTGTACTCGTGGAAGAGGTCCTGGGGCACGCAGAATTTCGACCAGGTTTCGCTGTAGCGCTCGGGGTGAAAGACGTTCGGGATGTATAGGTCGTCTTTCAGCACTACAGTTCACAGGATGTTAGAAGTTTCTCTCGGCATATTTTCGAAAATTGATACTTTCTCGAGTTTCTCGATGGGATAGGAGACCCCCGGAACGGATTGAAAGGGGAAGGGGGGGAAGGAGAACGCTCCAGGTGTTACACATACTCGAGAGTTTCGCATTCATAATACGATAATCGACGGGAAGTCTCTTAGGGCCCCATTTGTCTTGCTCCTGACGCCACCACTCGCTGGGACCTCTGTAGTCAAGCCTCTTCAACAAGCAGAACTTGCAATTGCAACTGCTTCCGTGTCTCCCTCGGTCCTTTTCGGCGGGGAACTTGGTCGAGAGAGGGGAAGAAGGGACGCTTCGATAAAAAGACGCCGTTGGGGATTCCATGTCGTGAGGTTGTGTGTTGGTGTTGGTGTTTGTGTATGTGTGTGTCTTGTTTGTGTTTGTGTTTGTGAGTGTGTCTTTGTCTGTCTGTCTGTCTGTCTGTCTATCTGCCTGTGGAGGAGATGGATTAGTCTTAAGAGGAGGAATTATGTATTAGTATATTAGTTGATGAGGAAGAAAGATGCTGTTCAGACAAGACCTTTTGGTGAAAGACAGATCCTATATTAATCTAAACCTCGAGCGGAGGTGAGCGAACTCGGTGGGCCTGGAAATACGTGCTCCCATATAATAGGTTTGTAGAAATATGGAATAGCATATGGGACCTTTCTCAGCCAGAACCACTCGGCTTTCAACTCTTGATAGCTACTTCGTTGGAGACCACGACAAAGAAGCAATCAGACATCTTCCCGTGCTTCTACCCAGCATAGGATGGGCATAGAAATTTCGGAAACCTACCGTGATGTGGATGTCTATACATAGAATCTTGGTAAAGCCCAGTTTTACGGCATCAAGCTGCAGCAGGTTGCCGTAGTTGGTTGTACGTGGTGGATATCTAGACTCGTGAGTAGACGACTTTGCCGCTGTCATACGAGGCCCGACCAAGGAGCTGCCAAGTTCCTACATCTACAATGACTCCATCCTCGAGCTGACTAGAAGAGACAACATGACTAGTGGTTCGAGTGCTTATGTCAATGGCTTGAATATGGCTTGGAGGAGGCGGTTTACTAGCAAGCAAGCCTCATGCAACTCTCCACGAGTCAACATGCTACGTAGAATATGTGATATCTTTACCATTGACCCTTGAAACTATTCAGAGACTTCAGAGACTTCACGGACTTCACGATTCGTCAATGTGAAGTGACGTCATTTCTATTATATGAAGTGCTACATAGTATAGGAAAATAAGCCTCTCAAGATTTTACTTGCTGATACCTAATCTGCCAATCTCAAGGAGGCTCTCAGTGGTCAGGGATGAGTATGGTATCTGCTTGGGCTTGGGCTTGGAATGTTGACATACTGCAGGTAAGGAAAGTGGAGCGAGCCGTAAATACACTGCAATTGAACGCCACCCACGTTTGTTCATGAAAAAAAAAGCACGGATATGGGTCATGGAGTATGGAGTACAGTTGTAGAATGTTCTAAAAAGAAACAATCGAGCCACGTCAACACATCGATTACTTTCAGTCAAAAAAAGAGAGGCTGGCTTTTCATAGAGAGAGGATAGAATAATACCCGATATGACAACAATGCAATGCAAGGCATAAATTTTGTGCTTTAGTGCTTTGTGATAATCTTCATTGCTTTTGCTTTCTTTTCTGCCTTATCACATGAAAATGAAGCCTCAAGCTTTTTCATTGAGTAGAGTGATAATGAAGTGACCAGTAATTCTTTGTACCAAGGATTCGAGATATCTTTGGAATTATTGGTCACATCTGTCATAGGGCTACGTTTGAAATCTATTTTTGAATATTGTGTAGGTACCTTGGTAGACATACATGTTGGACTACATAACAAAGCTGTTTGCCATCCAACCCACGCTACCTATTGTCTGCCCAAGAAAGGGATTATAGAGGGATATTGTCACACGATTGTCGTTGGCACCCAACTTGAAGGATAGTCAAAGGATAGTACTATGTTTCAAGTGTATAATGAACAAAGACGGTAGCTTTTCTAGGAGGTGAGCGCCCTTTTCTCGTTGAGTGACATGGAGATATCGTCGAGTATAAAACCGCCAAACCCCTCCCGTTTTCATGATACAGAACCAGCACACAACAACACAATACACACAAGACTCTCAATACAAGCAAACAAACACACAAACAAACACAAACAAACAATAAAAATAACAAGATAATAATCACTCTTATCAAAATGGCCAAGCTCAACACTCGCAACGGAAAGAAGCCCCAGCGTCCCCAAAAGGGAGGGCTTGGATCGCTTTTCGATTTTAGCGATACTGACAACGGGCTCAGCCCTGGAGCTGGCGGAGGATCCGGTGGCTGCGTGATCATGTAATTGATCGATCGATACTAGCCAGAGGTAGCCAACTGTCAACACTCTTTTACAAAGTCATCTACCTACATAAGACTTCACTCGGGTAGTCTAGGGGTTGGATTGGGGATATTGCCTTGCTTCGTTCCATAGATGGTTACGGAGGACATCACTCGTTTAGTTTTCTCTTAGCATTTTAATAAAATTCTGTATTATATTAACTATATCAATGTCAATGTCAATGTTGCCACTTGAACAGTCTCTGAACAGTCTCCACTGGTCGTTGGGTTTGAATTTGCGGCTTAATAGTATCTACAACGCTAAACAGGGGTATCAATGAGATTCTGGGGGCTACAAGAAAATAGGAAAAGATATCGGGGATCTCTTACTAGATGCCCTGTCTTTTGGATGAATGGATATTGCGAGCCTTTAAGGGGCAATTAGTGCCTTTCCTTCAAGACATCGCTACATGTCCTGGACTCACTAGACTCTAGAGTCATTACCATGTAAAGTCTTCCATGAGACCTTCTAGGCTCTCAGCAAACCTCCTTATGTAATTTTCAACTTTTGAACAGGGCCTAAGGCTGTGATATGCCGGATGTAGTAAGATGGCAACATGTATCATAGCGTTACTGTTACATTATCATGCGGCGGCACCTATCTGCTTTCGCCCAGCTCCATTAAGAGGTACCAAGGGTCCAAATCTGTGGGGGCTTGCATTTAGTTGCCATTCCCATGTCGTGCTGAGATGTGTATACACGTATTTACCTAATAGTCAGCAAGAGGCTAACCTAGAGCCTTTCCTTTACAAGTTCTTGGAGGTCTTATCTAACACGAGATTCAAAAACACGATGACTTGAGTGGATGAGAAGCAAAAGATGAAGGTTGCTTCCACCCTTCTATTGTCTAAACACCGCCTCACCGACGACGGCATGCCTACCAATTAGAATAATACCTAGTATGACTTTTGTAAGTGGTACATATTGTATGTAGCATTGCTACAGGAATAGTTGTGCAGATATCGGAGGTCTGATGACCCCATTCTGCATATTGACTGACATGATTGACAGGGACTGGACTTTTTTTCAAACTAATTACGAAAAGTTGGAAAAAAGAAAGTCGGTCAAGGGAGCGAAAATAGATAGGAGAGATGAGAGAGGAGAGGTGAAGGATTTATACTGTATACTACCTAGGTAGATAGTTACTATGTATGTATGTATAGTAACTAGGTTATAGTTATCAGTACTACTACATGATATCTACATGATATCTGCCTAGTAATAGCGGCATTTGGATGTCATATCGTCAACTTTATACATCTTATCGGAGTATCGTAGTACAAGGTAGTTACTTGAATATATTATATTCGGTAAATGTCTTGACTCTTGATACGCGTGCTGTACTCCGTAGTAGAGTCCGTACTTTGTAAATAGAAGCCAATTAGGCTGATTCCGGGGCCGTATGGTGTACCGAACTGTTGAACATGTACGATTGTACAATACAATACAATAATACAATACAATACAAAAAAGCCTCGGTGTAATAATGTGTAATGCGGTTTGGGGTACAATTGTTTATTGGGAACAATTGGAAACAATTGGAACGCATCCTGCGCATCTCGCCCCGTCAGCCCATTAAACGATCTGGGATGCGCTGGCAGAAACTAAGCAGGGGTTAGCTGCAAACTATTTATCTGATCCCTGCAGACATCAAGTCCCGCGACTGGTTTGACTGTACTACGTACAAAAAAAAGTGCGGAGGTGGTGTTTGTTGGAGATTTTGTTCTTTCTCTTTTTCTCCTCGGTACGGTTGATATATGTTTTATTTATAAGAGACATTGATGGTGCATAACATGATGGGAAATTAGAAGTTTAGAATACATACATACCTTACAGAGATATCGTGCATACACATATGTACAGGTAACATTGAACATCTCTATACTAATGTACCTAGGTAGGTACCTAGGTAGGTAGGTTGGAGGTATCTTTAACTTTAAACTTGCATCCTTTCCCCGGTCAGGAAGCCTGTTCCTACCTGCTTCCTACCTGTTCCTATCACTGGTTCCTGCCCAATCGTGCATTAAAACAAAATATCTAGGGCGAAAAAGGCAAAAAGGCAAAAGGGCAAAGCCAAAAAAAAAAAAAAAAAAAAAAAAAGACAAAGGGAAACGGGAAACGGCAAAAAGGCAAATCCCATTGTCGCTTTTCAATTTTCCATGTCAATCATCCTCCATTTTCTATCCCTTCTTATTCTACTTTCCTTTCATTCTGTGATGGCGCAACAGGCAATGTTATACTTATGCAAACAGATTTCTATTATGCGACGAACAACAATGATGATGAGGGGTTACTGATGCAGCTACTACGACTGCGACTGCGACTGCGACTACTACTGCATGACGGCAGCAATGCATGATGCAAGGTCAGAAACCCATCATCCAAAGACAACAATAGCGGCAGAACCCCATCTCTGTTGCATCGTCGCACACACACAAACATTGATAATCCTAGACTAGGTACAACATTACCAACATACAATACACACGATACACCTCGACACAATGCGATACAATATATACCTACTTCATGAACATAGCGCTGGAGACTGGAGTCCGTCTGTCAGCCGGTCGCTGACTGTATTACATATCCATGGATGTATCCAACCTGACATTCCACCGTCCGCTGTACCTCCTACCAACCAGCATATGCCTGGCGCTACCAGCCTACCACAGCCGAAGTGGTACAAGTTGCATCTTATCGCTATATAATTCGTTGACAGCTCTTGGGGTATTCTTACCGCGGATCTAAAAAATATTCCATCTCCTAGCAGCTCGCGGGATGATACTTGCATGATATACCTAGCAGATAGGTACTTTATTTGAGCCGCTTGGAGCCGGATAACCATCCAATACCGGATGGTCGTCATTCACCTTGATGGGCTTGTGGTAGGTGCCTAACGGTGACAGGTAGGTATGTATTTAGAAAAAAGGTGATTGGATCAACTGCAGTACCTGCCTGCTCTAGATAATTAGACACTACATACATAGCATTATGTGATCAAGCAAACTGCTTTACATACCTCCATTGTAGCTACATAAATATCTAGTATCTACTTCCTAGTACCTAGTTCACATATGTAGTAGGCATACTAGCATAGTAGTCACTCGGATCATCGACATCATAATTACTTTAGTCCCGTCATTATCATCTTCCTCCACTTGAATTTTCTTTGGCCCCATCAGTACTAACCATTTCTGGCAGGCCTTGATTCAGGTCCCTTGTTTTCTGTTGCATGTGGTCTATTTTCATGTACATATGTATTGTCGTGTGTACCTATCTGTACATTCCATCACCTTGCCTAGCCTGCGATTAATTAAGGATTAAGTTGAGTCCGAGTCTTGACAGGTTAGATTCATCGGCTAAGCTATATCTTATTCATCAAAATTCGCGCCATCTTACTGTGTAGCTTGATTGTACTGTACTCTAGTGCTGTACTTCAGCCTTTTCACGATTCGATCCAATTCAATGTTATAACTGTTACATACATAGATAGTACTATGTATTATGTACCTACCTAGCCTAGGGTATTAACAGCGTCATCCACAAGAAAGTGCAACCACTTGCGTGTTCCGTATCCCCTTGACAGTGACCCGCAAGGTACAAAGAGGGGGCAGTTGCTTTTGGGTGCGGATAGCTGCGTACTTGGCAGTGGACGCCGTGGATTCGACAGGGATATAAAAACTGTACAAGGGCTGTACAAGGGTGGGTGCATGTCTTAAGTGCACCACTCATACCTTGACCTAGCCTAGGTAGCATAACCCTGGCACACAACTCACAAGTTCCCGGCCCCCCAATCTTGTCTATCCAGCCCATCCCAAGCAAGTTGAAGCAACCATCCATACACCTTCCCCCCAAGCTTTGAAGCAAATCCAAGCAAATCCAAATAAACCCAGGACCCCCTTGTTGACAGAAAAGAAAAAAAGGAAGGAAAAAAAGCTGGGTTACCATACAGCCCCCAGCTTTTAAGCCAAAGGGGTCAAGCAACTCAAGAAAGGTTTAGCGCCAGGAAAAAAAAGAAGCAGCAACGCAACAAGCTACCTGTTGTGTGCGCGCCGCGCTTGTGTACCTGTTACCTGTCGTATGGGTTTGTGTTAGACTGTGTGTTTCCTTAGACCGTCAAGTTTAGGTTGGGTGACAAGATAGATGGTTTTTTTTTTCCCTCCCTCCCCATTCATTCTAAACCCATCTATCATTTTGGCTTCTACGCTACTTTGATTTACCCGTCCGCCTTAACCTTACAATCCTGCCGAAACGAAGAAAATATCTCGTACCGACGTCGTCATCTTCTTTTTACACTTTTTGTTTCTCCTCAACTACATATTTATGCTTCCTTGTAGGAGGAGTACGTGTCGAGTAGAAAAATTACACGTCGTTCGCCAGTATTAGTGTGGTGGAGAAAAATAAAGAGAGGAGAAGAGGAAGAAGTAGTAGTGAGAAGGAGAAGGAGAAAGAGGAAGAGAGGAAGGGACTTGACTGACTGAGAAGAGTTGTCATATTCAATAATCCCTTTTTTTTCCCTTTTTTTCTTTTTTCTTAACCTCCCACTCCTCTCCTTTCGCCGACGGAGAAAAGACCCGAGGTCATTTTGGCGCTGGTTTCGGTGCTGGTACTGCTGGTTTTGTTAGCTCACTTAGATCTGTCATACTGCACCATCCCCATACCTCGATTTACCTCCCTAAGCACTAGACGGGTATTCTACCCCGTTGGGCGGTCATGGATTCGAGACAACAGCCTCCACAACTCCCTTTTGCTCGTAACGCTGCATCACCAGTTTATGGTCGATCGCCTTTCCCGCCTGCTCCTAGCTCGAGTTCGACAGTAGCAACAACCTCTTCACCTTTTCATCCCTCAAATCCTGCATCTGCAGGTCCTGCTGCGTACAGCGAGCATCAACATCAACGACGACCCTCGGACACAAGTCCATTTTACTCACAATCTAGACCACCACCTTATGCGCCCGAACCCACATCGCATCCTGCACCCTCCCATTCGCGGCATCAGAGCGCGTCATCTATTAATGCTCCTCTAAGTCGGAATATGCCTCCGCCTTCGTCCCCTCAGCATCAAGCCCAACAACCGCCTCCCGCTTCTCATCCTCCACATCAAATGGGTCACTATGGCGCGCCACCTGCGCCGAGAGCTCCTCCCGTAAATCTGGGACCCCCAAGCGCTTTCCCCTCCGCTCGAGAGCTCCCTGCATTAAACTCCATACCCCGAACAGGAAGCACAGGAGGAAGTATGTCGATATCATCCATGCTCGGAGGCCCTCCGCCAGCTCCTCGTGAGCCGACCCCGGGCCATCCAGCCTCCTTTGCGCCTCCCACTACCACCGCTGCCGTCTCCGGGCCAGCATATGTCGCGTCTATACATGCATCTCCTAGGATGCAGAATGCGAACGAATATGCTCCTTATAATAGAAGGCCACAAACACCCGATCAAGGTAGACCGTTTGATGGGAGGGATCATAGGGGTAATACGGCTGGGTCACCACCACAGAGTATGTACGGAACCCCTGAGTTATCTCGATATAACACGCCACAAGCGTATCCGCCACGAGGGCCACCGATGCCGCCAGCCGAGGAGAGGAGAGAACAGCCGGGACGAATCCCTACTGCTAGTGTGCCTCCTTCTAGACCCAGTAGCCAACCGAGGCCTTATGGCATACCCCCGAGGTCGGTAGATATGGGAAGAGGTCCGCCGCCTGGAGACCCTGTCTACAACAGGCGAGAAGAAGTGCGCGCCCCTGGTCCCGCTGAATACAACCCGGAGCGACAGCCACCCCGGGCTGTCCCGTATGAAGAGCCACGCCGTTTTATATCCGAGCGAGAGTTAAGAGACCAAATGAACAGAGAGCAGCAAATGAGCCGGGAGCAAATAAGCAGGGAGCAGCAGATGGGCAGAGAACAAATGGCTAGAGAGCCAATGACTAGGGAGCAGGTGACTAGGGAACAGATCAACCGAGAGGCAGAATTTCGAGAGAGGGAGCGAAGAGAACGGGAAAGGATGCATTATGAAGAACAGCGCCCCTTTATAGCTGAGAGAGAACGCATGGAACGGGAGAGGGAAAGAGAACAACAAATGGAGAGAGAACGGGAAAGGGAAAGGGGAGAGAGGGACAGGGAGCTAGAGATGCGTGATAGGGCTAGAAGAGAGAGGACCACGTCTGACCCGAGTCGCCCTCACGGTCAGCACTCTGCGGATCTCGGGCCCCAGGTGCTTCCACGACAGCCACCATATGGAAGACCTGACCCGCGGGATCATGCGGCATGGCAACGACCTGGGTTCGATCAACCACCGCCGAGAGACGCGTATGGTCAACCTTATCTTGGACCGCGACCAGGCGAGTTTCCTGCAACTACGGGAGCGTCGTATGGGGCGCATCCCGCTTACGCGCAACCTCCTCCCCACGAACGCTTCCCTCCGCCGGGACCACCTCCACATGGAATACCCGTGAGCCAACCGGGTCAACCGGGCCCACAGCCCACACAACATCCATACGAATCTCCCGAAAGACAGCGTTTCGTTCAACAAGCGCACCCTCAGCAGCAACCACCACCACCACCACCACCAGCGGTTCACCGGGGTCGACCTGCCGAAGATGGACCTCCTCCCCCGTCAGTTGCGTATACTGGCGTATCTGGTCCGGCCAACTTTGAGCCGGGTCGGCCGCGTGTTATGGATGATGGGCCACCTCCTATCGGACATCAAAGGGCTTTCCTCGGCATCCAGGAGACCAACCGTAAGGGACGGATGTCTCCATTGCCGCAGGCTGTCCAAGGTGTACAGCCACTGCTTCATGGCCCCGCGGGTGAGCCTGGGATCAAGAGTGAGTTCGGCCGTATGTTCTCCGGCATAGGAAGCGGTGTACGCGGTATCGGCGTCTCTAGCCCAGCCCCCCCTAGCATGCAACCCCAGTTCGCGAACACAAGCGTTCCGCGACATGATGATGAGCACCCGGGACACGAGCTCCTTGTAGAACCTCCGGTGAAGACGCGAGCGAAACGTAGGAAAGCCAAGGATGAAGACGGTAAGGGTGACGAGGATAGTACTGGCAGAGCTACACCTGTCAGCCGGGCCAAGCGCGTCAAGCCCAATCCTCATCACCACCATCACCAGTAAGTACCTACTTCTTATCTTGTATCCCATTGCGGCCGGTATTCATTGTAATTCTTTTCTCTAGTCATCACCACCACCATCATCATGGCCCGGAAAGGATTGCCTCGCCTTTGCAAGGAGCCAATGGACAGCTCAAGGGGTTCAAGGCTAGCACGCCGATCCCATCTCCAACGCACAAGGATTTTGCTGCTCTCACTCATCATCACCAACCTCCTAGGTCGGTTGGGGCCGGGTCTACGAAGCCGGCGGCACCCGGCTCGACCGTGATTCCAAAACCAAACAAGAAAATCTCATCTCAGGCGGTCCTCGACAGCGTTGCGGACCGACCGCGAAAACATCTAGGTGATGTTGTATACCAAGTGGTTCTGAAGCCTACAAAGTTAGACTCATCTCATCCCAAATTCGGGTACTCGTCCAACCCACGCCCGCTTCCCCTGGATGTGATCAAAGGCAACGAGAACTCTACTCTGACGGTCAAGATTCCACGAGTTCATTTAACCCCGTCGGCCCGCGAAGAGATTACCTCCCGTCGAGCCGTCTGGGGGACGGATGTGTACACGGACGACTCCGACGTCGTTGCTGCGTGTATTCATGGAGGTTGGGTCCGAGGTGAATGGGGCGAGGATGTGGATGTCGATTTGCTTGAACTGTACAAGCCTGGAACTACGAAGAAACAGCGCGCCTTACCAACGGAGCAGCATCTCGAAGTGTTGACCTCGCCGCCGCCTACGGGCCCTGCTCACGTACCCGCAGATCGCGATTTACACGTGACGCTGCTTATCCTACCCGCTCTCGAAAAGTATAGCAGCTCGACACGATATGGTATACAAAGCCGCGAGTTTGGTGGGACATACAACGGACGGAAGTCGATTCACGATGGAATCAGTTTCACGGTTATGAGCGTGCGCTGGGTGGATGGGGCGGCACCGCAGAGCAGGCTTCGGGGCAAGGCTCGCAGGGAGCGGATCAGAAAAGCGATGAGCGAGGTTAATCGAAGTCAGGTGGTGGATATAGCCGAGAAAGAGGTTCTGAGCAAAATGGCGGCAGCGAGGGATACCAGCGCCGGCCAAGAGAAGAGCACCGGGAAGGCTGTGGATGGCCACGGAGAAGGGAATAAGGAGAATCGCCCTACTAACGTATCAAATGGAAGTGCCATTTCCTCACCAAATCAGGAGAAGCCTACTACCATGGATACGAAGATGGACCTAGACGACGAGGCTAGGATCAAGAATGACTCGATGGAGAGTCGAAACACAAAGACGGTAGACGCCATGGCTGCTGCTGCCGCCGCTGCCGCCGAAGAAGAATCATCGGGAAAGCAAGGAACCGTCGGACCTGTGGGTACTACTGCATAAGGAGATACCGCACCGGGTGTCGTCGATACAGGAGAATCTGGATGCGGCGGGAATGCGTGCTTTACTTTACCGGCATGCGCCAGCGTTTAGTCGAAGTAACAGAGATGGGAAACTGTATAGTACCTCGGAAGAGAAGCATTGCAGTTTTCTTGTTGCCTGCCTGCCTGCCTGTCTGCTTTGCTTCGTGGCTTTTCTTCTTCTTCCTCCTGCACGATACCTTGTTCTAGCTAGCTCGTCTGCTTTCTTCTACTATAAACTACTTAGGTACAAATCTCACTGGGTTAGGTAGGGCACTTATCTATCTATCTACTACATAGGTATCATCCGGGTGGGTACCGGGTACCTTAGCATAGCGCGGAGTTTTTAGAGCAAGAGACAATACGTTATGATATCTTTACTCATATGACTATTTCATTCTGTTAACGCGACTTTGATGATTTGAGGGCCATTCGTTGTGGATACGGTCCGTTCACTGAGGCCAACACACTCGTCACAAGTTAAGGTATGTAGATGGGCTGGTTGCTAGATCTAACTATGTTGTACACGGCTTGTTCTCATCTGTATGCTGGTGTTGTAACGTGGGACGTCACATACACCCAAAGTATATTCATATATATACACGTAAACGAGGCTAAGCCCCTGACACCCCAGATGTCACTTTGTTGAACTAAGGTAAGAAAAAGTTGGAGTCGTGGAAGTCGTTCTCATGAAGCATCCAAGACCTCTACGGTCATAAGAGCGATGACTTGCCCATCCTGGTCAAAATTCCGGTGCCCGTGGATAACGCAATCCTGCTTAGTAGTGAGCTCGGCGACGAACGAACTAGACCCAGGCAGCGGCTGTCTGGGCTGGCCGTGTATAGAATTCATCATGGCCTATGGATACGACCCGACGGAGGAGGGGGGGAAAGATCAAGTCGACTCGGGCAGAGAAGGCGACGCAGACGACGCAATCTGCGCAGGACATACAGTCGGCTCTTACTGCGAGGGATGTTCTATCTATCGGACCGTCTTGTCTGATGCGCAGCCAGAAAAGTTTTTTTTTTTATTTATTTATTTCCTTCTCTCATCCACTCAGAAATCGGTGACGCGCCCGTTAAAGCTATAATCGCCCGCCGCGCCCCAGCGCAAGGGCTCGTTCTTGGGGCCGCCGACCTCGCCGGTCTTGGGGTTGACCTCGCCCTCGAACTCGGGGGGCGCGCCCTTGCGCAGGGGCATCGGGGTGAACTCTTCTCCTTCCTTTATCGTTGCGGTGGTCTCGGAAGAAGCGGCGGTAGTGGCGGTGGGGCTAGAGGAGGAGGAGGAGAAGTCCGGGGTGGAGGTTGGGTTGAAGCCGGACTGGGTGTTGGCGGTGCGCTGGAGCTGCTCGAACTCGGCTTGTTGGTCGGTGGGGAGACGAGGCGGCGCGGGCATGGTTTGGAAGGGGTTTGGGGAGGGGGAGTTGGAGTTGGAGGCGTGGCGGATGGTGAGGAGGAGCGGTGATATTGGTGGTGTGGGGAGGTGGTGTTGTGGAAGGGAGAGTGGCTGTCTTGCGAGACGGGTGAGGCGGGTTAGACGGGATGCCATGGTGATGGTGGTGGTATTGGTGGTTCTCGTGAAAAAAGTGAAGAATAAAAAATGAAGACGAGAATAGGTAGCGCCGAGTGTGATCAGTGGTGAATTGTGGTGAATTGAGTTACAGGTCTGCTGGGGTGGCGATCAAAGTTTAACTTGAACTTTAACGTACAGCGCAACTTTACCTCGGTACGGGAATATTCATCATTGCTTTCCTAATTCATTTAACAGAGTACTTTTAATTGGCTCGGCGTGCAGACAATGCCAGACATCCTACCTAGTAGTCTTTTTCTATGTTTCCTCTTCCTCTGTAATGTACTTGTGAAAATCTCAGGTCTCATTCTACATATGTAGCTCATTCATCTAGCATAAAAGAATGCAAAAAAAAGAATAAAAAGATCGAGCTCAGCAGGGATCGAACCTGCAATCTTTAGAGGATCAGTAAGGAAACCGAAATCTAACGCCTTACCATTAGGCCATGAACCCATTGATGTTGGTCTCCGTGCACTAGACTCTATTATATGTAGACAGAAAACGCAGAGGCCCGAGCTGTGGGAAGGCCGAAGATTTTGACCTAGCACATGTATTTAACGGGTGACAGTGGCATTGAGTTCAACGTTGAACAAGGGCTTAGTTACATATGTCATACATCAACGATACATAATAACTAGTACTACTACTAGTACAACAAGTGGGATGGATGGTGGGGTTGTGCCCCTCCGCCTCCGGGTTCGCTTTAGGAAATATTTTATCTATTTCACTTAACTTACCATGCAAGGTACGATGATGAGTACAACCTGTTCAACTTATGAGTCTTAATTTCTTTCCTTGACTCAGACTTCGACTTTTTCTTAATTCACTGGACTCCCTACTAGATAATATCCTATAAAAGGTCATACGGAGTCAACAACGCTCAATTATTATCGTTATACTCTCCACCACAACCAATTGACTGGTTCAAAGACATCACATCATCATGGAAGGCCTCAAACAGACATTCAAGCGTTGCAAGGCAGAGAACCGAGTATGTACAATCCGATTCAATAATTCGTACATTGTCATAATGGCCCTTTCTTACACTTGACTTGAGATAACTAATGAGCACCTCTATGGATAGTCTGCCTTGGTGACCTATGTCACTGCCGGTTACCCTAAACCGGAAGATACACCAGATATCATGCTAGGAATGCAAAGAGGTGGCGCTGGTACGTCGTGGCGAATTATTAACGAAAGCCCAGTACCGACAACAAGACTAATCGGAATTTAGATATCATTGAGCTTGGTGTACCCTTCACAGATCCAATCGCCGACGGTCCCACCATCCAAACCTCGAATACCGTCGCTCTCCAAAATGGCGTCACCATCAAATCTACCTTGGAGATGGTTCGCCAATCCCGATCAAAAGGCTTGACTGCCCCAGTCTTGTTGATGGGCTACTATAACCCCTTGTTGAGCTACGGCGAGGATGCTCTTTTGCGCGATTGCAAGGAGGCCAAAGTCAATGGCTTCATCGTCTGTGACTTGCCACCCGAGGAGGCTGTCTCCTTCCGAAAACTTTGCAGCAGAGGAGGATTATCGTATGTACCCTTAATTGCACCCGCCACTTCAGACACCCGCATGCGCATTCTATGCGCCCTTGCCGATTCCTTCATCTACGTCGTTTCCCGCATGGGCGTCACCGGCGCATTAGGTACCCTCAACGCCGGCCTACCTAAGCTTCTCGAAAGAGTCAAGAAATACAGTGGCGACAAGCCGGCTGCTGTCGGCTTCGGCGTGTCGACACGGGAACATTTCCAGTCCGTTGCTTCCATAGCGGATGGTGTCGTCATTGGTTCCCAAATCGTTACCACTCTCCAAAAGGCCGAGCCCGGCAACGGTGCCAAGGCTGTAGAGGAATACTGTGCCTATGTAAGTGGACGAGATTCCAATGAAACGACACGGGAAGTGGGCGTTGTCGAAGCCATCAGCGCAGCCAAAGAGCCTAGCGGCGAAGACGTTACTGTGAATGGGGTTATTTCCGACTCTGACGATGCCGCATTGGTTGCGCAACTCGCAGCCCTCCACGGCAAGATCCCCGAGCGGTTTGGTGAGTATGGTGGTCAATATGTTCCCGAATCTCTCATGGACTGTCTATCCGAGTTGGAGGAAGGGTTCAATGCGATCAAGGATGATCCCAAGTTCTGGGAGGAGTATAGATCTTACTACCCCTGGATGGGACGACCGGGTCAACTGCATCTTGCTGAACGCCTAACCGAATATGCTGGCGGTGCCAATATCTGGTTGAAGCGAGAGGACCTGAATCACACTGGATCCCATAAGATCAACAACGCGTTAGGTCAGCTTCTCCTAGCGAAGCGCCTCGGCAAGACCAAGATCATTGCTGAGACTGGAGCTGGTCAACATGGTGTCGCTACTGCTACAGTCTGCGCCAAGTTCGGCTTGGAATGTACTGTATTTATGGGTGCTGTAAGTTTTATGTACTTCCCCTTGAAGTCTTAGCGATATAGATATCTAACCATTTACTACAGGAAGATGTCCGCCGCCAAGCTTTAAATGTTTTCCGAATGCGACTACTCGGTGCCAAGGTTATTGCCGTGGAAGCTGGAAGCAAGACCTTGAGAGATGCGGTCAACGAAGCGCTTCGCTACTGGGTGGTTCACCTAGAGGATACGCACTACATCATTGGATCCGCCATTGGCCCCCATCCCTTCCCCACCATCGTCAGAACTTTCCAGTCCGTCATTGGCAACGAGACGAAAGCCCAGATGCAGGAGAAGCGAGGGAAATTGCCTGATGCTGTAGTCGCCTGTGTTGGTGGAGGCAGCAATGCCACGGGCATGTTCTACCCCTTTTCAAACGACCCTAGCGTTAAGCTTCTAGGTGTCGAGGCTGGTGGTGATGGCGTCAACACTGCACGACACTCAGCCACATTGACAGGAGGTACCAAGGGTGTTCTTCACGGTGTAAGGACCTATGTTCTCCAGAATGAGCATGGACAAATCTCCGACACACATTCAGTCTCAGCGGGTCTCGACTACCCGGGTGTTGGACCGGAATTGTCCAACTGGAAAGACTCGGAACGGGCCAAGTTCATCGCAGCTACAGACGCAGAGGCATTCCTCGGATTCAAATTGATGAGTCAGCTGGAAGGCATCATCCCGGCGCTGGAGTCGGCGCATGGTATATATGGAGCCCTCGAGCTTGCCAAGACGATGGGAAAAGACCAGGACGTGGTAATATGTCTTAGTGGTAGAGGAGACAAGGATGTGCAGAGTGTTGCCGACGAGTTACCCAAGCTGGGACCTCAGATCGGTTGGGATTTGCGTTTCTAAGGAGACAAGTCATTAAGACACTGACAGACGAGGATGGATAGGGCCTCATTGTTAGGTTTGTCAACTTTGGAGTTGGGGCGAGGCATTTTTTAAAAAGGGCGTGGAGAGATGAAAAAGAAATAAGTCGAAATTCATGATACGACGACACATATGGAAAAACGGAATGGTATTGGGCGGCATATAGATTGCGCGCTTTGATGCATTTTGTAAAAGAGATCATTGATGTATGGTATAATGAATGCCATTTTAAGAACCCCCTTGACCCCTTGACCCCTTGACCCTAGATTTTGGTTTATTTGTGCCATTTGTAGAGTCCGTCGTGCGAGCGCCATATCCGTAGAAACCAAGTAGGAGAAGCGAGTCGATTTCGACGGGCTACAAAGGCTTGGAATTATCCTCCTTCGGCCTCTCCTGTCCTAATTCCTCTGAGTTGAAGTCGATATCCCGAGAATCCTGAGTAGCCCCTTCAACGGCCTCGCTCTCCGTCTCGGCGGCGATCACTTCCCCCTCCTGCAACGCGCCAATCATAAACTCCTCGTCATTCTTCAGCATGAGGTCGACCTCATTCAGCACATCCTCCGACGTGAGGCCCTCGGCAGCCAATTCGCTCGGCAGCGCTGCTTCCCCCCCTTCGCCTCCTTCGACCTCCTTGGGCGGCAACCCCAAGGCGGCGCGCTCGAGCGCGAAGCGCCGCTGGATGGCGGGCGTCTGGATGATCTTCCAGCGCAGGGCCCAGCCGGCGGGGCCGAGGTCCTTGATGCGGCGCGCCTTGGACCCCAGCAGGTACTCGTCGATGCCGCCGAGGCGGTCGATGGTGTGCAGCACGCGCGCGGTCAGCCGCGTGCGGATGAAGGCTCCCAGGGAGGGCGACCACAGGCGCTTGACGTGGCGGTTGGGCAGCCAGGTGGTGCGGGACTTGTTCCGGTATTTTTCGGCCACGGTGTTGCCGAAGCGGATCTTGGAACCCGCGAAGAGGCCCTGGTTCGCTTGCTTGTACCATCGTAGGCGCCCGTAGGGGTAGTCGGGGACGACTTCGGGGGAGACGGTCAGGTAGGAGGGCTTTTGGCGCGGGGGGGCGGGGGTGCTGCTGAAGGTGCGGGCTGTGGTTTGGAGGAAGGGGGAGGTGGTTGAGGAGGAGGAGGAGGAGGGGGTGAGGCGGAGACACCGCGAAGGGGTAGTTGGCAATCGTATCGGTCGCATCTTTGGTGCGTTGGCGCTGGATATGCCCGCGATGGTTGGTACAATGAATGGGCTTTATTTAACGTTAATTGAAAGCTCTCGAACTTTCCACACACATCAGTGGAAAGATTTCTTATCTAGTGGTTATCGTTGCTCTGCTTTTCGGATTAAAACACTTTATGCAATAACTAAGTAACTCAAAATTAGCCACATGTAACAATTGAAGCGGACGAACCTCAAATTACGCAAGTCATGTGACACCGCTTCATCTTCGTGATTGATTGATTTCCTTATCGTCGTGATTTTGATTTTATCAGGTCGCGGGGTTCACCGCCAATCAGTCCTAACCTAGTACGTAGCACTTTAACCAACTGGCACTCATCCATGATCCATGCCGTCTATCTCCTTGCGAATCAAGCCAAGCTCAGTTCGAAATAAATACAAAAGCCGACGAAACAACAACGAATACCACCACCACAATGCTACCGCCCGTCGACGAAGCAGTCCTCCAGAGCAACCCCGACTTCGAGCGTCTCTACAAGACCGTCACCACCTCTCTCCTCAACCCCGACGGATCCTCGAAGAGCAATGACCCGGCAGCGAAGCGACGCGATGCCATACGCGATGTAAGTTAAGTGGTTTAGTAAATCACACAAACCTTAGCCTTACATCGTAGTTGACCAGCCGTTTTTACCTTCTCCCCGTGTAGGAACTCAGGACGCATCGCCTCCGAGTAACCAAGGAGCACCTCCTGCGCCGCGCAATAACCGCCGCGGCAAAAGCAACATCGAATCGTGAAGCGAGAGAGCAGCACCAACAGTCACAACCACAACCACAACCTAACCGACGAACCAGATCCTCACGCCCTCAATCCCTCACCACAATAACCACAACCACAACCACCCCACCCCCCGAAATCCTCGACCTCCTCCTCCTCCTCCCCCCCTTCCTAACCACCGCCCCCACCCTCCCCCCCACCTCCCTCTCCCTCCTCCTCTCGCGCCCCCCCTTCTCCGACCTCCCCACCTTATTCCCCGCCCTCGCCGCCACCCTATCCAGCACCCTAACCCGACAAGCCAGCACCCTCGCGCGCGTCCTGAGCCCCAACACCAACCCGTCCTTCATCCACCGCGCCATCCCCACCATGGCCTCCACCACCTCCTCCCTGCAGTCGGCCCTGCAGTCCTCGTCCCTCGCGCTGTCCGCCTCCCGCCGCCGCGCGACCCACGACCTCGTCGTCCACCTGACCCAGCACACGCGCGCCCTGTCGCACCTCCTGCGCGTGCTGGAGGCGAAACACGGGCCCGCCGCCCGCTCCGCCGAGCTCCGCGCCGCCGACGCCGCCCTCGCTGCCCGCGCCTGGGCTCTCGCTACCGAGGCCCTGCTGTGGGACTCCCGCCAGGCCGTCTACCCGCCAGAGGCGAGACGCGCACTCGCCAACTACCGCCGACACTTGGCAGACGCCCGGATGCGGCTGGGTGATGCTATTAGGGTGCGAGAGGCGGAGCTGGAGGAATACGGGGTCGCTGTCGTTGAGGGGGGGCGGGGCGACGAGGGTAAGGAGCGGACCATGCGTGAGATGGCGAGGGTGTGGAGGGAGATGGAGACGAGGCTTGAGGAGGTCAGGGGTGATCTGAATCGTTTAGGTTAGGATGTCTACGTCCAGGTATCTACGATTACAACCAGGCTACCCAGGGGATTACCCATCTACTTAAATAGGAGAAGACAGCTGAAAAGCGGGCGGTTATGATACATGTGATCAAGCACTTTACGATGAATATAATAATACGACTAATCTTTCTTGAAATGAGTTTTTCTTTTTTATTTGCCTATCTAACGGTGGCGGTGGTGGTATCACAGCGGTGGCTATTTTCTGTTGACCTCTGACGAGGGCATCTCAGTGGATAGATGCAAAAGACAGAGGAAGGGGAAAAGGGGTTCCAAAGATACAGCAAGATATCCTCCATGGGATAGATTACCATCTAGCCTGTCCATTAATTCGTTCGTCTATCCATCCATCGTACACTCATGTCAAATCTGGGTTCTTTTGTCTTTCCCCTCGGTTTTTTACATAATAACAGGTGATCCTTGTTCTTGTGCGTTTTCTGTGCCTAGAAACATTGGTTCCATCGCTCTCCGCGTAAAACGAGACGTATCCCGTTTAACCCTTGACCTTGTAGATGGCCTCGGCTAGGCGGCCAACATTGCCGCTGGTGATACCGGCGACGCTGATACGGCCGTTCTTGGTGGCGTAAACACTGTGCTCCTTGGCAAGCTTGTCCATCGAGGCGGGGTCCAGACCGGTGTAGGCAAACATACCGATCTGGGAAGTGATGTGGCTCCAATCGTGGGCGCTACCAAGCTTCTCCAGGTTCGTCTTAAGAAGGGCACGCATCGTGATAATGCGTTCTGCCATACCCTTGACCTCGCCTAGCCATTGTTGGTACAGAGCCGGGTCGTTGAGAATCTCGGACGCGATGCGTGCGCCATGCAGAGGCGGGTTGGAGTACAATGGTCGAACGAGGATCTTGATCTGGGACTCGACACGCTTCTTTTCTTCAGGTGATGCTGTTACAATGGAGAAGGCACCTACACGCTCTCCATAGAGACCCTATTTTGAAGCGAGTTAGTCAACCTCATTTTAAGCTACCTAGTAGGGTGGCCACCATACCATGTTCTTGGCAAAACTCTGAGCCAGGCAGATATCATGGCCCTGCTCGACAAAGTGTCGCACAGCGAAGGCATCCTTGTTGGTGTCACCGCTGGCGAAACCTTGGTAGGCCATGTCGAAGAAGGCATAGTGACCTTGGGCCTTGACGACGTTGCTAATCTCCTTCCACTGTTCAGGGGATGGGTCGACACCAGTAGGGTTGTGGGCGCAAGCGTGGAATAGGAAGATGCTTCCTTTGGGCGCAGCCTTGAGATCGGCAACCATGCCCTCAAAATCTAGGCCAATCGTCTTGGGGTTATAATAGCGGTACTGTTCGACCTTGAGGCCTGAGTCATCGAAGACAGCCTTGTGGTTGGCCCATGATGGGGTGGGAATGTAGATGGTCTTGGCACCGGGGAAGAAACGAGCCAAGAAGGCACCACCGATACGGAGGGCACCGGTACCCGAGATAGACTGAGTGATGACTAGGCGGTCAAGAGCAGATGAGCCCTTTCCGTAGGCAAGTTCGGCTGCGGACTTGGTGAATTCGGGAAGACCGGTGATGCCGAGGTATTCTTTGTTCAGACGCTTCGCAATGACGTTGTCTTCGGCGGTGCGGACAGAGGGCAAAACGTAGGGCTTGCCTTGGTCATCTCGGTAGGCACCAACACCTGAATAGAGGACGTAAGTTAGCTCATATGTCTGTCTGTCTGTCTGTATTACCTATTTGTGACCCTTGGGCGATGAAGAAGTCTACGTTGTAAGTAAAGAGGAATTGGTTGGGCGAATCATACCAAGATTAATCTTCTGCTCAAAAGGATCGGCCTTGAAAGCTTCGGTGACACCTATATACAGTTAATACGATGTTCAATGCCTTTCTTTACTCATGTATGAGAGATATAGATATGTACCGAGAATGGCCTGACAAGCGGGAACGAAGACATCATGTTAGTCAGTGGAAGCTAGTTCGGCTGTCTGCAATGCAGACGATCAAACTCACATCCTAGATATGCACATGTTAGCCATTGAACCCATACATTATGCTAGATGAAGCCACAATGGAGTTGATTATGCAAATAATAAAAGCAAAAATGATAGCAAGGCAAGACAATGGGACATATGACGTACAGGGGGGCCTTGGGCAACATTGGCCCAGGTGGATCCAGCTCTCGCAGCTTGGAGGGTCATAAGAGCCGGAGCTCGACGAGCCGCAGCTTGACGAGTGGCAACACGGAGTGCGGGAAGCATTGTGGGTGTTTTATTGACTAGGTATGTAACCTAGTTGTGGGAATAAGAGGTGGGGGAGGGGGGAGGGGGGAGGTTGTTTATAAAGATGAAGGGAGGGAGGGAGGGAAAAGAGAAGAAACAAGTTGAAAGTCGGGGATTGATTTGGATACCTGTGTATACAAGGTAAGGGAAAGTATAAAAAAAAGAAGGGGAATATGGACGAGTAGCACTTCTTAAGAGGTAGGTTCCAAGACTGGTAGTTGAATAAATGTGAGTAATTTGGACCCTTTTTTTCTCGTCTGGAAAGAAAGTCGAACGATGTCGGATACACAATGGAATTAGCTCAAAAATAAGTTACAGGTTCATCGTAATTGCCCAATTGCCTACCACTTGCTACAACTTTTTAACTAGCTTTGTGCTCTAAGTTTTTGTGCCTCAATTACAGTACAATAACTACCTAGTACCTAGTAAAGTTACATGTACCCACGTTCCAACCAACGCTCTTCCCCAGGTTTAAAACATACAACATATCTTAGCGCACCAATCAACTTCCCCAGATTATCTCCACCCTTTCAATTCGGATCTTCGTCGGGAAGTTGATCAGTCACCGGCTTAGTCAACGAGGTTGCTTATCAGATCAGATCGATAGGTGATAGGTGATTATGATAAGCCCGTTGAATCCCATCATAGTAAGCTTATACTTTTTATATTCATATAGCAGCACCATGTAGGCCATCAAGAGGTATCTCAGCCAGTGAGTACCTATAGGTAAACCACTTAGCTATCATACATATCATACATTGGCACTTAGTTACGCGCCTTAACAGCATCGGAGATCCCCCAGATGCTTCCACTAGATTCTCGTCCCGCCTTCGGTACATACTCAGACCCCTTTTTTATTCCATCTTCGTCTTGACCATCCGTGCTACATCGTTCTCCCATTACCAGCGTGTCGTCGTCTAACGATGTCGAACTGCGCTCGCTGAAGAAAGTGTACCGCTCGGAATGTCCCGGGGGAAGAGGCCAGAGTTTGCTGTCCCATACGTCGTCACCACTGAATGTGGAAGTAGGGCGGGCTGCTGCTGCTGCTGCTGCTTCACAGTCTCCCCATATGGAGCTGCAACGTGTGCCGGCCACCGATGCTCTATCTTCATCTATGCCACTTCGTGGTATGATAGCACCCGGGGATCCTCTTAAGTTTCGTTTCTGTTGATTCTGCTTGGCAAAGTATCGCCGTCTTTGTACCACAAAACAACGCAATCCGAAGGCGAGGGTGATGAGAAAGGCAACCGCTGAAACTACCGTGACGACGATGAGTGTGGCTTTTTTCATGTTGGCATGAACTCCGGGTGCCGCTATGTCAGACGTGGTCGAAGAAGCTTCGGCACTAGCTAAGCCCACGGGGCTGTATGATATTGTTGCCATGGTGGTTTTTTAGGCTAGTCGTAAGGCCTACGACGCCTGTAATTACTTCTAGCCAGCTCGTGGGAAATGTTGCCAGAGAAAACCGTATACTTTGCGACATATAGGTTCACCTCCAACAGTTTAGTCGACGTGTAATGAGAATATCTACGGACACGTATGAAGTCTCAATCGAAGCTGAATTGGTTGAGCTTAAAACATATGACCCGTGTTTAATTAACGAGAACGTAGTTTAGACGAAGGTATTGCTCAACGTGCTCGTAGCAAGCGGCATTCATCCGGGAGATAGGCTAAACAGTCGTTGGACTCGCTTCGTGTCCTCGCTAAACGGTAAGTTTGACATTTGCTTGTCGTACAATATTGTCATCGACAGAGATTATGTTTCGATGTTAATTGCTTTCATGGTATTATATTATTCCGGGGTTGGGTGGGATAAATTGAGGGTTGTCAACTATATTTGAAGGGGAAGTTCGTACATATATGGTGATGGTATGCAACTTATCCATACGCAAACTGGCAAAAAGGAGGAATAAGGTGAGTGAAACTCATGGGAGTGTAGCAGTCAATGTCCTAGGTAGGTAGGTACTTAATATAAACCGAGAAGACCGCCGGTCTTTCAGACATCTAGAGATGTATGTAGTAAGGAAGGATTTGCGGGAAGGATGAGAAATCGATCGAATTGAGATCCAACGTCATCTTCCTACCTCAATACCCAAAATGTATCTATTAAGATGAACAGTAATACACTCATACACTCAGCATGCAAACGAATGCAAGTGCTGCTGACAGATATCGGCCTTGCAGCCAACTCGTAGAAGTATAAAGTTGTTGTCATTATCTACAACCCGCAGGTCATGGCCTCTACCTCCAGCCGTCTTACCAAGCCCAAATTTCCATAGATATTATTAATAATGCCTTGTAGGATTTCTGGGCGTATCTCGGTGAAGGGGCCGATATGAAAGGATTGCGGCGATGGGGATCGACACTTTTACGATGAATATCACGAGGAAGCCACATGGAAATAATACCACCTCTAACACCACCTCTAATGATACATCTAGTCACAAGCTAGAATCCTATTGGAACGAGAACGATAACCTCGAAATCGATTCATTATGTGGCTGAATATTTTGAGGGGTTCGTTGTGAGTGTGATTCCCCCCCCCTTTTTCTTGCAACCCTACCGGTAACGAAAGACTTGCTTGGCCTCCAATCAGGATACGCGCCACAAATCCTCTGGGAATGACTGCTACTACCACATAGATGAAATACTATGTAATTATTGAATATTATTCGAATCAAGGGTAGCACAATGATCTCGGTTCGATATTAATATGCAGGAATAAAGTATTAAGCCCCCATTCCATAAATGTGAATATATTTCCATGGGGGCTAACTGCAACTCACACCTCAGCCCTGTGAGACTCCATTTCTGGTAGCTACTTGCGATATATCCATCAGAATCCCTCGCCCATATAGATAAGAAAAGCTTGGTATAAAAGGAGGCGTTTCTGTTGAGAAAATCTTGCATCTGAGGTTATTCCAACAGCCTACCTACATATTCATGGTTATACCATATGGAGGATCTGGTAGGTAAGCTATGGAGTTCTAACAGCATTTCCTCACCATTATTTATTTACCGACTTACTGTTTCAATGATACAGAGTTAAGTAAGGTGTTGGAGGAAGGCTTTGGTCTTGTCCCCTTATCCCCTCTAACCCAAGAGCTAACACCTTCCGTAGACACAGGAGCTAAGCACCCGCCATATATTCAAGGCTGGCCCCAAAGACTTGGATTGAACATTATTCCCTCGAAGCACCTTCTCATCGGGCTAGATAGAGAGGAACGACATCTATGCTGACTTCATCTCATAACTCTTATAGCGTTGACGAGGATTCCACGGCTTGATATCATATTGTACTAGGTATGTAGCCTTTACGTATACTACATAGGGTACGAAACAATGAACACATTCGCTTTATACCTGTCAGCAACCTACACGGAACAAAGCTATAGTTTCTTTATGAAAGATATCTGCAATCTGTGCGATATACACTCACCGTCTTGCTACATACCTGCCTAGCCCAGGACTTTCATACCTATGTATGACCAACTCCCAACCCAACCCAACTCAACCACTAATCACCCCATCTCTCCCGTACATAAACCTCAACTCATCAACACCAACAGCATACATAAAACCAGGTAATCCACCCATCCCCTTCCACAAACCCAAACCCAAACCCGAACACATCATCACTCATACCCACCCACCTTACATTACCTCACATCACATCACATCATACCGCATTACGCTACGCTACGTTACCCAACCCCATAATCCCCATCCCCATCATCCCCGTCCCCATCCCCATCCCCCCCTCATACCCGCGCATACCCCCTCCATCACCTGACTTCCCACATCACTCACCCAGCCACAGCATACATCGCCAGCACGGGTAGCCGCATTCGCATTAACAATGCCCACACCCTACATATCTGCGAGACATACATACATGTAAGGAAGAGACGTTACTCATACGTACCTCAGGTAAAGGCAGGTACCCTAGCCTACTCACATACATACATAACATAGTACTCAGGAGCCGGACATCCCCGCATGTTGTGCGCTGCAGTAACGGCGTACACACATACAGATGTATGTATGTAAATAGGTAGGCACGGTAAGCGCTAACCGATTTGGAAAATCCCTTCGAGGGCTTGCTTGCCTGCACTCGTCTCGATGTGGAAAAATACCTAATATGCAGGAGAAATCAGGGGTAAGCCGGATGGACGGCAAGCTGGCGGTAGCGTGCTGGATATGTGGCTGACATGTCAACCTAACCTCATGATGGAAGTAATTCCCATCTTCCATCACAGAGTATGCATAATAGAACAAGTAGGTTGAAAGTCAAAGGCTTATTACGCCCGTTTCAATTGAACGCATGGAATGTACGGCAGAGGACACCCAAAAAGGTGCTCTGGTTATCTTCACACACCGAAATAGGTACGCCATATCACCAGCCAGTCCAATAAACTGGCGGCATTATCTTCCCTTCCCATTTCCGCGCGCACATGATAACCTGCGCTGGGCCCCCTTCTCTCCCAAATATGATTTCCTATACACGCAAAAGATTTCCCATTGTTTCCATCACCCCTTAGAACCCAAGATGATGATGCAGTAATTTGACCCGTAGTGAAAACCTTTGCCAAGGTAAAGGGGGAATAATATCAAGAAATGGACTGATATCCTCTCGCCCAAATCAACCGTAATACAAGGACAGAAAAACGTATGGCAGCCAATGATGACCTGAATAAAGAAAAAGATGTGAGCCCTTTATTTGCAGCCCCGAAAAAGCACCTGCGCAGAAACCAACTCCCATCTCGTGCCGTGAGCGCAGAAACAAACAGGACACCCGATGTGCCTACCCAATACCATTGCTTTGTGTTGAGATTCTCTTAAATCCGGATATTTCCCATGCGAAAAAAAGACCCTGCCGAGTTAGAACACCTCCGCCCCGATGGGAAGAACCACCTCCCTTGCTTTAACAAAATAGAGACCGACCCCCTCGTCGCCAAACACTTGATCTATATGTGTAAGTGGTATTCTTAGATTTTTTTGCTCAAACGTCATGATCCGTGATGACTCTTAATCGTACCGCTCCCAGATATTGAACCCGAAGACTCCGTTTGTGTGTTGTGTGAACACCGATGCAATTACGAAATGCAAAAACCGCCGTGATTTAAAACGCCCATTCGCGAAACCCAAATAGCCTCATCTTTCGAGATCGAAACACCGTGGTTTTTGGTATTTTCCCCCAAACCGAACAGAAAGCAAGAGGTATCGATTATCTTCAATGACAGCCGCGCGCCCATCGTGAAATTTCTTGAAAGAGAAAGTTTTGGTGATGAACACTAGTTATATGTCGAATAAGGATGTTTATACAGGGAGAAAGTGGAGTGAATGTGATGAGTCCGCAGTCGAGCCCTCAAAGTGACCTGAAGATTATGATTTGAAATTTTGTCGATGCCTGATGTCCGTGCCGGTGTCCGCCAAGATGAACAACTACTTATGCAGTAGCGAATGCCTTCTAAATGGAGTGTAGAAGATGTTCATTACAACCGGAAACGAGTGTGCAGATGATGAGTCATCCCATCATCCGGAGTGGAAGCGAGACGACCCAGTCATCTACCACCGTCTTCCGATATGTTGCATTCGGGCGGGGGACACGGATGGTGGCGGGCTCGACATTGTCAGACCATTTGCGGGGTTGATGATAGGAATAGCATTGCGAGCCCGAGTGGCGGCAGGCGCATGCAACTTCAAGGCGGCATGATGGCTTTGGAAACTGGGAGGAATGAAAGCTGGTGAGGTGGAGTTGAGGGAGAAGTTGGAAGCAACTTGTTGAGGATGTTGGGTGGGCGAAGCATTAGGAGAGTTGCTAGACAATGAAGATCGATCGGAAGAAGCGCTGCTTATGGAAACAAGCTACGAACGAAGATACTAATTAGCAAACATGTTCTACATCGTCACTATCCAAAAGATTTCATCCAATGGAGATGTCTACAAGGGAATATGTTGTATTGTAGACAGCTGTTGGAGTGCTGGGATGACTCACATCAGTCTCCGTCAACAGTTTGGGACAGAACTCCATGTCATCTTCCAGGTCGAAAGATCGGCTGGCCTCGAATTGGGTTCGGAAAGCAGATACAGAGGCGGACTCGCTCAGTTCCTTCATGCTTCTTACACCACGGAACTGTTTTTGGGGGTTCTGGGAGACTGAAAGCCTTGGTGCTCTTCGGTTGCGACCGCCATGGTGGTTATGGGATACTGGCGCGGCGGCTGCTGTTGGTTGATGGTGGTTGTAGTTGTAATAAGACATTATGTATTTTGGGCTTCCCGTGATGGGATGTTGAATTTGTGATACTCAAAAGTGTTCGTGGTGGATTAGCGGGGAGTGGTTGGACAGAAGAGAAGGCCGTTAATAGACGTTGGGTGGCGGTGTGTTGCGAAGTTTGTAGTAGGGTTAAGGTGGTGCCTGAGCTGCGGAGCTTTTTTGCGCTATTAAAGCCAGCTCGGAACAACAATAACAATAAAACTGGTTTTGTGTGTGAGTAGGCAATTTTACAAAGATTTAAAAGGCGGGAATAACAGAGTTATTCAAAGTCTTGTCAAAAGGGTCTTTAGGAATTGGATATGTATAAGATAGTATGATAATCAAGAGTTGAGGGGACTTTTTTCTTTTTTGGTTGGGTGGGCGAGTTGTTGGTAGTGATGGTGGCAGTGGCAGTGGTAGTGGTAGTGGTGGTGGTGGTGGTGGTGGTGGTAGGATAGGATCGATTAACTGAGAGAAAAGAAAGGCGGGAGAGGAGAAGGGCAAGCTGTGATTCGGAGAAGGCGAAGGATTTTGTTGGATGGACAAGATGGACAAGAAGCAGAAGGGACAGTGGAAGGCGGCAAAAGAGGGTGGGCCATTGCCTGGGGGTACGCTTTGGTCTCTGGCTGGCCCATGACTCGGATCTAACCTGAAGAAAGACTAGCGGCGAACAACATTGAACAGCGGAAGCTGCAGAGACATCCAAACCTGCACAACCTGCACCGTTTTTGACAAGGGATCCTGGTTGTTGCGGGTGGGTGAGTTGGCTTGGTTGGCGAATGAGACTGAAGTCGCCACCCAAGATCATTGGACAACCTGTTCAGGCGCTAGAGCTAATATAGTTTAGCTACACAAGCCTGGCCCGTTGGTCCCTGTCGTTTCTTGCAGGAATGTTACAGTGTCAATCGGCTTGTTCTGCACATTGCACATTGCAGCACTGCAGAGTACCTAAGTACATAAGGTACCTGACGGCATTTGGGCAACTTTTGAACTCAATTCATTTGAATTTTGAATACTTCTCGATGTACTCTTCAATGTACATTCAATCTACCTAGTACTAATCTAGGTACTACTACTAGTCTACTAGTAGTAATGCTGTTTCTATTGTTCCCAGATGTTCTCCTGCAATGCGATCGCCGACAAATACCTACATCATACATCAACGATACCTAGTACTATGCAGTACATACAGCAGTACATACATGCACTCAGTAGACTCAGTACTTAATACATACTTACCTAGGTACCTACCTACACATACTACAGTCTACCAATGCACTGATTAATTTGCCATAGCGAGAGATACGATGGATGATGAAGTTTGGTTTGGTACTGCTTTAGAGACTTTAACCCTGAATAGATCAATACCCAGGTAAGGTATACGAAAGTAACAATTACAACAACATTGAATTGCAAAAATTACATACAACAATTGAATTCCGCATCCATTCGAACCTATACAATTGACCCGCTGGTTGTGTGGATGAGGCTGGTGAAGAAGGGGTCCCGGTCCCGTGTGGAGGAAGCGGCAGGCAATTCGTTCCATTTGTTCCATTCCGAGCGAGATCCAATGGAGGGGACTCAATCTCTTGTCGAATCCATATGGAATTCTATTACGGAATAATAGGTATGGTATGTATGGTATGTATGGTACACGTGTAAAAAAAGGGAGGTAGGTTGTCTATACTACTAGTTAGTATAGCAATACTGTAATACACTACATATGTAGGTTAGGTCTCTACATAGGTACTATCATACTACTATGTATGTATCAATGGATTCAATGCATCAGGAGACTCTCTAGTCTGGTGGGTCGATTAGTTAAAAAAGAGAATTTTTTTGTGAATGGCCTCAATTGTATAAGTCTATCTATCATTCGATCCCAACCTGATAACCTGACACAAGATGGCTTCATCTGATGCTCGGACTCTATTATCCCTATAGCCTATCCTTACCCTTGTATAAATCAATGTGCAAATGCAAAATGCTAGTATTGAATATTATTAGATACTAATAGATAGGAAATGAATAGACATGAATACGCACAGCTGAGATTAATTGAATATAATTGTACATTTTAAAATGTAATTATTATTACATACTTAGTCTCTCGTGGCTTGCTATGTAATTATTTAATAAATACTACAACATGTAAGTAGGGCATTTAGGACCTAGGTAGGGCACGTAAATGAGTTAGCCTTGTCGGTCGACGAATTATTGACTCGATCAATTTCCCTTCCCCTAGATTCAGGGGTAATCGGTAAGGAGAAGATGGGCTATTACCCCTAGCTTTGGAAACGCACAACAGTTTGGTCTGGTAGGTAATTCAATCCATATTACTTCTCCAGGTTCCGTTTGAAATTATCAATCTTCTTCTTTTTTTAAACGCTTCGTATTTTATTCTATTCAAGGTTTATAAACGGTTCACGGTAACATATCCGGATGATTTAGTTGAATATTCATTACATACTACAGATAGTAGTAGTAATATTTTAACATTGAATCCATCGATTTCAATGGCAGCATTCATCATTAGATTCATGACATACCTCGGTTAGGTAGGTACCTTACCCAAGAACTCATCTATCTCTTCGACAACAGCGTAGTGGCCCTGGATATGTACATACTACATACATCATCTCCGGCGTCAACATTGCTCATGCCATGCAGCTACGTACATAGGTTAGTATAACTAGACCTTGTTACCTACCATCCAATGGATATGGTTACGTAGGTAACAATTGGATGAAGTCGAGGGACAATTTCGGCCCTTTGGGCTTGTATGTAGGATATGTATGTAACCTACATACGTACTATAAAAACCTGTACATATGTATGTACGTAGTAGGTCTATTGACGGTACATAGTACGTGTAGGATGCAGCCTTGTCGGGCACCGTAACGGCCGACACTGTGTTTTGGTGTCGTCTGGGTCTGAGCGTTCTAAGAAAGACCTTGTTGGAAACTTGAGCTGTGTGGAGCGGATGGTGGATTTCGGACTGGAGCCTTTCCCTGTCCGTAGATTTGCCAGGATTGCACATACCAGTCACTGCAAGCCACCATACTAGGTACCACTGCGAGTGGAACTTGAACCTGGTCTCGTGCAGCGTGAGACTCCTTAGGGTTTGGGATAGCCGGGGTATTGCTGGCGACTTGAGTTCCTATTAGGCAGCTAGGCAGATGACTGGCTCACTTTTTTTCACGGGTGGTTGTCTTCGAGGCGGCTACCATACCTACCTGGGCTGCTGGGTAGTATACAGTGATATACTAACCTCCATATACTACATCCAAATGTAGTATTCATGGTGTAGTATACCTACTTTTCTGACCGCCTACTGTCTAGTATCTACCTGCCTGCCGCCTTGCCAAAGTGAGGTAAGGATAATGCTCTTCAACTTCTGTTCCTATCCTACTCCTTACGATCCTAAAAGCTGACAACATTCAACACATTCCTGCCTTTGCCCATGCAGTTTAGTTTCATTTCTCCCGGGCGACCAGTCGATATGCTTTCTGGGCCATGTGTAAGAGAACTCTGATTCAAGCGCTTCAATGTTGCTTACCTGAAGCTAAACGTAATTTATCTTGTCGATCTGTATTCCGAGCATAATACCAGAATATGTGCGATTATGAGACCTACATAGTACAGCAAGCAGAGTATGTACATAGTGTGCTACTATACATACATACTACATGCCTAGACATAAATTAGTACTGTTCAGCCCATCTTTTACTCGTCGACGGGGTGGTCACTATTAACTAGTGTAGTGACTGTAGTCGTTTGTACAATGGGTTGGATCGTCGGGGGGCAAAAAATCGAATTGATTGCTTAAAAGAAGACGCAAGTTACCGCCATGTGTAAGGAATTTGCCTCCTGGGTCCCAATAGGTATGTAACCTGGAACTGGAACTGGGACTCTTTGGACCCTGGTAGCCGCCTAAGAAGGGGAAACATCCTACTGGTAGAGGCTTGTTCCATTTTGGTCAAGATGCACTTCGAGAACATTGAACCTCTCTTGACTCGGTAATCGTGGTCTGGAAAGATTCGAATTCCAATGGAGACAATTGAACGGGTTGTGGCTCCCGTTGCTGGTCTACGGTCTACTGTATGTATGTACACACAACATACATATTTAGTATAAGCCAACGTACCTGGTCGCAACCTAATCAAGTCAGTCAGCCAGTCAGTCAGTAAGAAGATAGGTAGTGTTCGAGGGCGACGATCAGTGACATCCCAAGACATCTTACTGATAGCCCGCGTGTGACGAAAGCGGCAAATCAAGCCCTCCATAGATACGAAGCGGCGACTGATCTCGGGATGTTGGTGGACTCTTACGTTTTGTCCCGAGTTTGCTATCGCTTCGTACAATGTCTACCTAGTAGTTTTGGGGTCCGTCTTACAATACAGCGACATACTTACTTACTTACATACATACCTACTGTAAGTATAAGTATTCTACAGTAATATGTAGATAGGTAAGACTAGACATATACTATGTTACCTGATTGATAAGATGCAGGCTTACACAACCACGAGGATCTCTTTGTACACTTGGTCTTGGAGTAGCGACGATCTCGTTGTTGAACTTCCCTTGCAATATAAACCACAAAGCCGATTTGCTCCTAGACCGAAGTCACGGGCGCAGGCAATTGATAGGTACAATAATAGCGTATACTATTTTTGGTCCCTTGAAATGGCCATGATCGAATAGAAAGAGAGAAAAAGCTGCTGGCCGATTGATTCCGAATTGAACGTGGGTACTGTACAGTCTGTACATATGTATGTAGAACTTCCGACGCAGGAGAACCCGGACCTAGTCCAAGCCCAGTCAAACTCCTATCGACTTAATGTGGCTGCTGTGTCAGGTGTGACTGCATCTCCCTTCCGTTTCCTTTTAGGATTTGAGGGAGTTGATATGGTCTAGACCCCCTCTCATGATGTAAAAAGGGTGAGGGTGGTGAGATGAGATGATATGGGATGCCATGCATGCCCCGGCCAAAGTCACCTTTGTTTTTTATCTTCTTGTTGAAGCAATCGATAGATTTTGCATCTCACCTGACGACATCTTAAGAACCGGGAAGGCTCCCTGGATTAGGTAGGCTGGTAAGCAGACTGTCAGCAACTATCAAGGTCCTTCCCCCATTCTACGTTGTATCACCGAGATCGATCACCTAGGAACATACCTACCAGCCTACGTACCTAGCAGCATTTAGGGTGAGCACCGAGAGCATGGGCCTGTTAGGCTTAGCTAAATAGCATCATAGCATAGCTTTTAAGGCCTGGAGAAGCTTAAAGCGGCTGAGTGGCACAGCCGTTCCTATGATGGATCTACATACCATACTACACTATGGTAGTATGTACATACACATACACATGTATGTATGTACATATGTATGTATGTATGATGCAGCCAACACTGAGGGTCTGGCAGTCTGGCTCAAGACTTCTTCAATGCCTGCTTAACTGCGCCACGTTCTACACTATCTTTTTAATGCAGGATAGTTACATCCAGTACGGGCTTGACATATGTATGAATCCAAGTATTTTCTGGTATGGGATGCAAATGATAGTATGAACAATTACAGGTAAACTGGAAATACTGTAATAAAGGTTAGTTACATGTAACTATTGTACATACGCTACACTACGTAGGCATGTAGTATTCGACTCCACGAAACTTGGCGGTGTGTACAAGGGAATTGCTTCGCTAACGGCGGTACTGCGACCCAAACATCAACAGCTCCATTATTATACTCCCCGCAAGAACAGTGAACTGACGATGATAGCCTAGAAGGTAGGTAATATGTACTAGGCATGTACACATACCCATGTTCTGTAAGTATTCGGAGAATATTGGTCCTAAAGGCTTACATCCTTCAGCCACCCGCACAGCAACCAAGCCACCCTTTTCACTGAGCTGCATGTCATTGGAAATAGTAGTCACTTACTGCGGGTCATTGACTGGGTATGCCTAGACGGGTTGACGGGTTGACGGGCTGGGAATGTCGTTATGTATGTAGGTACAGTAGGATTTCGTGACAAGCTTCTTACTAATATGTAGTATAATCAATGCAAGGGACGGGACGTAACTGATGACTGACTTGAAGTCCCAACCTCCGTGAATCAAGGGTCCAGCCACGTGTGTGGATGAACATTGAGCCAAACCTGGGGCGCAATTATAGTAGATGTTTTCGAAACATTGATGATAATCATCCGTTCCATCTCCCTCTGGCATGGCTGGCAATACATACAATGTCTCGGCCAAGTATTCAGGTGGGTTATTGATTCGCATGACTTCATGTCCAAGACATAACAAACGCCATCTTTATATCGCCTTGTTGGCTCTTCATAGATAATTGATGTGACAGAATAATTTGGATGTGAGATATGAGGTCGACTAAGGACTATCTGGGTAAGCATCCGACGAGAGGACGGGCTTGTCATCAACGAGTTTATTCGAATGTTTGCCCTAGTACATTCCTAGGGCAAATCATAGTTGACTGAAGATTGGGCAATGCTATGCTGGTCATCGGGTTCATCATGCCATCGTCAGTAAAATAGAGGATTCTTCTTAAGCTTACGCATGCGCTCATTCTCAACTTCACCCTTAACCTAACCCTCAACCTCGTCCCCGTGGGTAACTTTGTCCACCTCATAATGTTTCTAGTGTTTATCTAATCCTCTGGCCTTGACAAACCTGTTAACTTGTTCGCGGGTCATTTTGTCGTTATATTGTTCGTGACATTCGTAAAATGAAATCAGCTCTTGTGTACAATCTATCATGCCCTCGATATCGACATTGCTTTCCGCCAAAAAGGCCGCGAAACGCTGCACCTTAGTAACTCGTGCTTCTTGTTGCTTGTCCTTCTCGGTGGCATTGGCATTGTTCTGATGATTACTACCGGAGCCAGGCCTATTCTGTTGGGCTTGCGCGAGCGCTGCTGTAGCTGCTGCCATGTTCGCGGCATTATTTCCACCTGGTACTGGATTCGGACGGAGGACCAAGGCAAGGAGGATTGCCGTGAGAGCGATAATATGTGGAGGGTATAAAAGGGGCAAATCTGTCATATAGTGATCGTTTATAACCGATAGGGCTAGATTAACCTCGTCTTGGGTCAAGTAGAAGTCGGATTGGAGGCTCGTCAAGGTTCGGTAAGGTTGGTGGACTATTAGCTGCGAATTCATTTCCGATATGAGGAAGAATTCGCATTCACCGATGCGCGATACCTCGGGATGAAGTAGGTCTAGTCAAGAATACTGCTGTCAGCAACAAAGCTCAATCAGTGTAGGAAGTATGATGTACCGGGCCATAGAGATCGAGCTTCTGTCGCAAACATCCTGATGTGTTGCGGACATTCCTCCATTTTGCAAGCCAGGTATAAGGCGGTGGTGAGAAGGAGGTACGGATTTGTTCGACGTATTTCGACTTTACAATAGAACCGTCTGATATATAACTGGGCTGTAGCAACTGCTTGTTGCTTGATTCCAAGTCTCTTGCTTATACGACTAAGCTCTAGCAAACCCAACCCGGCATTAGTATTGACCAATGTATATAGTGTCTAGGGTAAGAGGGCTTCTTACGTTGGTTGAAGTATATGTGTAGATGTGTCCTTCGTGGCAAGGGAAACATTTGTACCAGAGCTTGGTCACTCTTCTCTAGCTCGTCGCGCATCTGCGCAAGTTCATCCTTCGAGAACTGCCAGAAGCGCCTCTGCGTTGACTCCCAATAGTTGGCTGCCATTGTGACTTTTCAGACCATGATGACGGACTCCGGAACCACGGCCTATGAAGGTAGATCATGCACACATGGTAGGAGCTTTGGAAAAACCAAGGCAAGGCTGAGGAACCTTGTGTGATGAGACGAATACCTGTTGAATGGCTCTGGTTCTAGAGTACCAGAGATCCAAAGATCGTTATGTGGTATGTGGTATGTGGTATGTGGTATGTGGTATGTGATATGTAAGATGGAGGATTTACATAGGTACAAGATCTAGGTAAGCTACGATGTCTATCGATAATCGGAGATATCGGATGCTTTAATATTGAGAATTTGGGGAATTGGACATCTATGTAAGCAAGATCCACACTGTAGGTATTTAAATATCTACCTAAGCATCTACCGAGGATACCTAGGCAATGTACCTTCAATGCTGTAACATAGCTGAAGACTTTAAGTGCACGGTTCTGTTCCACAAATTCACACGGAAAAGTCGTCATCCAGTGAGCTTTGTGACTTATCAGCTTATCGAGTTTGACAATTGGGTTTGACGGCAGTCAAGCAAGGATTCCCTGTTCCCGGGACTGGCTGTTTAGCGGGACTGCCGTCATTTTCGCGCCCGTTCAGCCGTTTTAATGCTACGACCTTGGAATTTTGAACTTTTGTCACTTTCAAGTTGCAAATAACAAGCGACACCGAACCGCATCGCACCCAAACCGAGACGACGATTACGCCTAAACCTGCGCCTGCGACTACGTCTGTATGATCTCGCACAAGATAAGGCCATCGTCTTCGGTTTCTCTGCTTCTAATGATGCCCTATTCATAGCATTCGCCCGATGATTACTCGTTTCGCAATCACCTCCCGTGTCTCCTTTCTCGGTATTGCGCCGGTCATGATCGCAGAGCATCATCATGGCATTACCCAAAGTGATAACCGAGTTAAAGATGGATATGGAGGAATCGCAGAACCAGCGTGACGCGCGCGTTGAGCAGCTCTGGAGAAAGCTGGATTACCAAGGTAGAGGGAAATTGGATTGGAAGGACCTACAAAAAGGCCTCAGGAGAATTGATCATCGTCAGCACGAATCCCCGCCCTGATTATCGGATGCCCGAGATCTTTCGTCACTGACAACCTGCGCCAGCCATGAAAAATGCCGATGACATGTTGAAGAATATTATCAAGGTCGTAGATATGAATGGGGATGGCAAGATTCAATATGAAGGTCTGCAGGCTCCGCATAAGGTCTTCGATCCCGTGTCTCTCGTACTAACTCTACTGCTCGGGCAAATATAGAGTTCCGAGTCTTTGTCGAGGCTGCTGAGCGCCAGCTCTACATCCTCTTCCAATCTATCGACCACGACCAAAATGGAAAGATTGACAAAGAGGAGCTTCACCGTGCCGTGCAACGGGCTGGTCTCGCAGTGCCTATGCGCCGACTAGAGGAGTTCTTTGAGAACATTGACCACAATAGTGATGGGTTTATCACCTACGAAGAATGGCGGTCAGTGATCCCTTCAGTCCAGCCTACCTCTTTTATTGCAATGCTGTGAGGGATTAAAGTGAAATCGTGGTGTCTTTCTCATGTGCCTATGCTCTCATGCGTTGATTACCCCGTTACCCCTGATCAGTCAGAGTGATGAACACATAAGCATACTTAGGCCTTTACCTAGGCTGCTAGATAATGAACAGGTACTGATGTCTTGATATCTCTAGAAATTTCCTGCTCTTTATGCCCAATACCGATCCCACCACCACGCTTCGGGCGGTCTTTACATTTTACTCAGATATTCTCACCCTCAATTCTGAGGGTGATTCGGTAGTCAGCGAAGAAACTCTTCAAGGCCTAGGTACGAATATTCTCTACACCCTCCTTGGTTCAATCTTAAGAATCGCTTCTCCACCGCCTGAGATACCGCCGGATAAAGGCTATACCCATTCATCGTCACCCTTGCAAGCAAACGAAGATTTGGAAGCTACAGCACCGCATCTATCGTCAGAGCTCGATGAGACGACCAATACGAACACTGTCACGACACAGTTAGGTGTCGATGTCGCCTCCACCCCTGCCTCTACCGCTACATCAGTGAAGGCCCCTAGCGTACAACAAACAGTGCTTGTGACAACAACCAAAAATATTGAGAATGAATCTGACTCGAGTAAAAAAGGCGAAAGATCCGTGCTGATTAGATACCTACCCGATCCAGGCTATTTTGTTGCCGGTGCTGTTGCGGGAGGCATTTCTCGCACTGCGACTGCCCCCCTCGACCGGCTGAAGGTATATCTTCTCGTCAAGACCACCTCGACCGGCAATGCTGTAGTCGACGCAGCCAAGAAGGCCCAACCTGTCCGAGCCATATCGAGTGCGGGTAGACCCCTATTCCAAGCCGTCACCGACCTTTATAAGTCTGGAGGAGTTAGAGGCTTCTTTGCCGGTGAATACTCTCTCTAGACCCCTTTTTTCCGCGTTCATGAAAAGCTTACATTGACTAGGCAATGGACTCAATGTGATCAAGATCATGCCTGAGACAGCAATTAGAGTGCATCGCCCTATAAGTTATACCCGAAGAAGCTTCTAGCTGACTGTGTGCTAGTTTGGTGCGTACGAGGCCGCCAAAAAGACTCTTGCGAGTCTCGAAGGCCATGATGATCCTCACCATATCAACCCGTATTCAAGATTCGTCGCGGGGGGAGTTGCTGGTATGACCGCGCAGTACGTTTGCCCCGTTGACGCATGTTATACCAAAAATGACTAACTGATGTTCAGATTCTGCGTGTATCCTCTTGATACCCTGAAGTTTCGGTGAGATGATTCCCTATGCTATCGTTGATTTTTATAGCTTAACAACTGTCAGATTGCAATCGGAATATGTTGAAGGTGGCGCCAGAGGAAATACGCTCCTCTTCCAAACAGCCAGCAAGATGTGGACAGAAGGCGGTCTTCGCGCGGCTTATCGAGGTGTAACCATGGGCTTAATCGGCATGTTTCCATACTCGGCTATTGATATGGGCACCTTTGAGTTGCTCAAGACGACCTATATTACGTACAAGGCCCGAGCGGAAAATATTCACGAGGAGGATGCCCATCCGAGTACCTTCGTGACAGGCATTATGGGAGCTTCGTCGGGAGCCTTTGGCGCGTCGGTCGTGTATCCTCTGAACGTGCTTCGAACGCGATTACAAACCCAGGGGACTAGTATGCATCCGGCGCGATACACGGGCATATGGGACGTGGCGCACAAGACGATTCGCAACGAGGGAGTTAGGGGACTCTACAAGGGTTTGATGCCGAATATTCTCAAGGTCGCCCCTGCGCTTAGTATCACGTGGATGGTTTATGAGAACACGAAACGAATCCTGAAGCTGAATTAGGATATAACTATATCCTATATTCTACTATTCTATACCCCTACCTACCTACTTAATGTACTCAGAAGGCTGTTTGTTACAGGCGACTGCCGATAGGATACAAAATGCTCTCTCTCCCGGGGAGATATTCGATACGTTTCTATAGGAGGCCAGGCGAGGCGAACCACAGAGGAAATTCGATAATGTAAAATCGAACCAGATCTAGAGAAGGATCACACAAATCCCCAAGGGGCCATGATTTTTTTCTTGAGGATACCCGTCTAACTACCGCGGGTCCGAAATACCTAAACCAATCAGTCAATCAATCAATGGAGAGCCCTCCCTTCCCTCTCGCGAGGATAATGGCAGGTCAACAACGGACCGACGACTATTTAACTACCTACTCTAGATGGATAATCAAATAAACTGAAGAAAGGAGGGAAAATAAATTAAAATTTCGTTTAAAAAAAAAAAGGGGGGGGGGGGGGGGGGGGGGGGGGAAGGGGAGGAAGACTTAGGAGAGGGGCTGCGATATATCCCACTTGCATTAGCTGGCGTTCTAGTAAAAAAAATAGGGGTGGGGGGGCAGGCGGGCGGAGCAGATTCTTATCCCTTTGCGTGCGTGATTGATTCATTCAATTTTGTTCACGGAGAGGAGCTTTTTTTTTTTTTTTTTTTTTTTTTTTTTTTTTTTTTCTGGACGTATTTGCATCGTAGGTAGGTATCTAGGCAAGGTACCTAACGTTGGCTGGGGATTTTCTTTTTTTGATAAAAATACCTACAAATAAAATGGAAGCTATCAGGCTATCTAAGTAGATAGGCGGCGGGTAGGTTGGCAGGTAGGCATTTAGGTAGGTAGATGGGCGAAGTGGCCGGCGAGGAAGAGTACGTCTCCCTTTTTCTATGTTGCATTCTGGGTTGTAGATAAGTCTAAGGATGGTATGTGTGGGTGGGTGCCTAGAAATGTACTTAAGCAAAATGTATAGCGACTAGATAGCGTTCCTGTTAGAAGATACATAGTACCTAGTGTAGATACCCTTTCGTGGTTGACATTGGTTAGCTTTTCGATCTGTGCCGTGTCAGGTCTCGGAAATACCTTCAAGTGCTAGTTAGTATTTTGTCTAGAACAAGGTGATGTCACATGCCACAAGCAGAATAAAGTCATTATGGTTGGTTGTCATCTTTAATTAATCATTTGATCTTTGTCAACGAGTGCTCTATGCGCCCAAATCAGGGGCTTTCCTTTCTCAAAACTTCATTCCAACTTCCAACTATCATCTCCTCCAGGCTCTTTGAGAGCACAATCATATCCATCAACTCCATGAAATCTTCCAACTCTTGTCGAAAACAAGAAAACAAACACAAAAACAAATCCATGCCGAAACCTTTTTGAGTGACTTTCCGAGCCAACTTCTCTTATGCATTACTCCGACCACTTAACTTGAACTCCGTCTGATCAACCGATCAATGCCCCGCGAGTGGGATATCTTAAAAACGAATGCCGACCAATCCAAGCCAAACAATATAGCACGATGCCAATTGCATGCTATCCAGATGCGTATCCTTTCCTCCTTTCTTCAACAATTCGACGAATAACAGGCAGCTCGGGCCGCATACGATTTTATTACCAAACTCCAATAACACCTATCCAATGCAATGCCGGGCTATGCCACACAATTTAATATAGTGAAAGTGAAATGACACGTATCCTCTTCGTGTCTCGTGCTTTCTCAAGTAGTAAGGGGTGGTAGGAGGTAACAAGAGGTAAAAAGATGCAACAACAGGTAAAAAATAAGGGGTAGTAGTGATTAGGGGTGGGTAGTGTGTTAGAAGTAGTAGGGTAGTAGTGCTCTTGTGGACTGAACACCCATTATCAAAGAGCCGACAAGTCAAACGGCCCAGTAAACCCGCCGTTCAAGAGCATCGCAGCGATTCTGCGTCTCTGTAGAGGCAATTGATTCTCCGAGTAACAGCTTGGATCAAGTCCAAGCGCTAGGTAGATGGAGTTTGTAATAACAAACATGCCACAGTCCCAACCATTCGTCTGTGTGGGCACAGTGTATTTTTCCTGGCGCCATTCGCTAGGGATGTACTTATCCTTCAAAAATTCCCTTTTCCACATTGCAAGGGTTTGGATGTGTCGTCCTCCATCCGATTGGAATGAATCGACGTAAGCGAATGTTCGGCGTGAAGGACGAACAACGAGGATGGTCCAATGGCTATTGTTATTGACCGGGATAAGAACTGTATCAATGTCAAGGAAGTTCTCTGGCGTCATGCCCCAGTTTCGTTTGAGACCTCGGGCGTAGACATTGTTTCTTGGGTCGCGAGTGTAGTTAGACCAGTACTGAGAGGACAATGCCACACATTTAGGCGTATCCTTCTTGGGAGACACCCCGGCTGCGTCGTTGATATAAGTGGCGAGGTGCACCAAAGTCGATTGTATCGCGTTGTCATTCAACCATGCCCCGCGGGGAATAAGTCTACCAAAATCGCGTGCCGTTATCTCTACGCCATCTCGGTGAACAGCTCCCTGCCACTTGTTCTGTGGACAAAAGCCGGTTTCCATAGCCTCCCTGACCTTTTGGTCCCACTCGTCATCAAGAGGGACGATAAGGCTAGACCTAGGTCTTCGTAAACCAAGCGGGCGAAGGGCTTCATTGTAGCGTTCTTCCTGAAGACGAAATCGCTCTAGGCGTTCCTCCTCCGCCTTCTCCTTCTCAATGCGTAGGCGCTCTTCTTCGATACGAATGCGCTCTTGACGTTCCTTTTCCGCCTTCTCTTGCTCCATGCGTAGGCGTTCTCGACGTTGCAAATCCAATTCGTAAATCTTAGTCACATTGGGCCTGAGAACCAAACGCTCCAGGCCAGGCAAGGAAAATTCATCTTCGTGGTCAAAGAATTCTTGGATATTGGCAAATTTTGGGGGAGGGAGAGGTTTCCATACTTTCTCCGGAGAGGCTTCCGCTACCTGGACTTCAGGTTCCTGGACCTCAGAGGCCTGGACCTCGGAAGCCAGGACCTCGGAAGCTTGAGCTTCGGGTGCTTCAATCTCAATCGCTTGTGGTTCCGTTGCTTGGAGCTCCGCTGGTTGGGATTCTGTCGATTGGTCTTCAACCGGCTGGCTTGGTTCTGTTACAACTTCCGCTAAAGTTTGCTGAAACCGAGCTCGCCTCGATTTCCTTGTATAAGGATTTCCATTAGGGAAAAAAGAAAATCGTCGTTGTGCGGCAAATGTGGCGACCGCAGAGTTGGGTGAAAGAGTGGGGGACTGGGACGGTGATGCTTGTGGCTCCGGAGAATCTATGTCCATCGGAGAAGAAGGGGACATTACAGCGTTCACATCCGATGTCTTAGCACGGACGGGGCTGTCGATGTCCATAGGGTCGCCAATAGAATCATCCAAGCCGGACTCATCATCGGAGGTATCCGGCGAGGGAAGAGCATAGGTGCCAGATTTATTTGTTAGCACAAGATGGCTTTGTTGGGCATCGAGTCGACGGCGCTTTGGCGAACGCTCCTCTTCGGTTGGTGCGGTAGTAATAGGTCGAGGCGCAGTAAGGGTAGTAGGTGTAGTAGGCAGAGCAGGGGTTGGTATAGGACTTGGTGTAGGATTTGGGGCCGCACCGCTTCCTTGAAAATGGAAAATTCGATTGCATAGAGTGGCGCAAATATTGTATGACGAATCACGGACGTATGTAACGGCATTGTAGAGATTCGCACCAAACCGTGTAGGGAATGTAGGGAACGTAGGGAATGCCATGATATCGTTTTCCGGCGCCTCGACCATGATTTCTTCACGTGGCCAAGTTCCAGGTATATTCAATTCAAGTTCAGGTTCAGGAGCCGGAGCCGGAGCCGGAGCCGGGAAGGTGAAGGCGAAGGCGGGGGGGATGGGTTCTGGGGAGGGGGCACCTTCTGGAGAAAAGCGCGGGCGATGGAAAAGTTCTGGCCGCGTCTCTTCCAATTGCTGTCGCAGCTCGGGGTCTGGTCGGAAGAGATGAGGGGGTGAGGATCGATCGAATTGGGGATGGAAATCATGAGCTTGTGCTCGTCGAGTTTGATAACTGGCGTCTAACCAAGTTGATCTCGGAAGTACCTAGCTATCCCGAGATCCGTTCATCTAAGGTCCATGTTAGCTTCCATTGCCAAAATGATATTGAGGTTCTTAAAGCTGGAGATAAAAGGTGCTGGAATGGTAGGGGATCAAGCTTACCAGTATTGACGCGGATAATAACCCAACTCCTAATGGTGCCAATCCCGTCGACTGAGACGCCTGGGAGAACAGCCTCGGGGTCATGGGCTGTGAAATATCTGGTGTAAGCCGTCGCTTGCGGCTGAGGGGTGTCCTTCCCACAGGCAGTCCTGTGTCGTCTGTAGTATTGACAGCCCGTTGAAGGTGGGGGACTTCAATAGTTACGGTTCGGTTTGAATGTGGGACCCGAATGGTTCGAGACTGGTAGAAAGGTGCGGGAGAGTCTGAGTTTCCCACGACGGTGGCCCGAATCCTTCCAATACGGTGGGCTCGGTCGTGTGCTTCTTGATTGATACGCGTACGCGACGCGTAGCAGACGGTGCAGTGTCCGCAGTGGGCTAGGTCTTGCCAGTTATGCTGTACTAAGTCCATTGTTAACAATTGATGCAATGTTAATTGCCAAGGATCAAGGGGAGAGTGCGATATCAACTACAGAAGGTATATTCCTTCTGTAGGCTCTTCAAAGTGTATGGAAAGCTGTATGGAAAGGTGCGTATGTATTGAGTAAGAAGGATGGGTGAATTGAGGAAAGTGTTTAGAAGAATTTAGAATTTGAAAGTTGCTTGTTAGAGTGATAGAAACAAGATGAAGGTTGGATGGGTGATGGGTTCAGTTAATGTTGGCAAGTCAAGTTCGTTCGTCAGTGTTGTTTTCTGCTGTTGACAGATTACGAGCTGAAAAGTGTTGAAGGAGAGAAGAGAGAGGAGAAGGGGAGAACGGCAGTCGAGAATTGTTTATATAGTCGAGGGAAATAAGGTTTGGGCAGTTGCTACTGAGGCAACGAGGTTGATTATAGCACCTTCCATTACGAAAATTGACTGAGGGGCAAACGTTCTTTCCTTAAAAAAAAGTTTCGCATCAAAAGAGGATTAGCCACTATATATACGTACATTTATTATGTATGATTTATCGCGTCGACCTTGAGACGCGACGGGACGCGATCATATTCGAACCTGAGGAAGGAGGTATCTAGAGAAAAAGTTGAAGTTGCGATGCAAATAACTATGGGAAACAACCAAATCGTAATTGCCAATGCACAGACCACATTACGAAGCTAATCTTTCGCCGCATCCAGCCTTATCGACTATCAAATCCAAATTCGGACATTTAAAAGGTGACGTCTAGAGCAGGGTACTAGGTACTAGATACTTGGTACTTAGTACATTGAAATACAGTGCACCTTCCTACGTGCATCAGGTAACAATACTTACACGTGTAGGTATATATATAGCTGTACATAGGTACCTTCCATAATAAAATCACGATTCACTGGTCACTGGCATCGATTTCATTGTGCATCTAACTATGTACTTCGTACGCCTGGCAAATTTGGCATAGCTTCAGAACGTGGAAGTGACATGGTACATGACATTTGACAATGCCAAGAGATAGCACTGGATCTTCAATGAGCAGCTGTCTTTCTTTACTAATATGTACGAGTTGATGTCTGGAAATTGAATAAAATGCATATACCCAATCTGTTCAGTGCTATAATTAATCCTTGACTCAGCGCTCGGTTGTCGCTTCAGCCTCATATGCAAGATCCCGATGATGTACGAACATTGGTGATTTCAACACCAAAGATTGGTTCGATATGTAGCTGTAAACATTGAATACTACCAACTATGTACATACCTGGGTACTTTACCTCTCAGCATTACACACATACATGTACAGGTAGGTTGACCTCCATCACCAGCAACATTTAAACATCGTGTATATCGCCAGATCACGTAAATATTGAAATATATACTAAGGAAGTAATACCTAGCTATTAAGATCAACACCATTAGGGGTTTATGGGGCAGACTAGGAGTTTTGTATGTAGGTACTAGGTACTAGGTATTGTACCTAACCTAGGGGAGTTAAGGGTACCTGGGTACTACCTACTGTACTACGGTACTACTAGGTAGGTAGTATGCACATTATGTACATATGTAGGTTTCCTATGTAGGATAATGCTGACATAAAGGGTTTGACGACCAGGTTCTTTACCTCAGCGGATCTTGTCTCCGTCTCATTCTCATTCCCGTCCTCTTCAGCCGTGAACACCCCCGCTACGGCCCCACTCTTCATTGCCGTTTTGATGTCCCGGCTTCAGATCTGGGGCGACCAACCAGCTGATATGATTGATTACCTTGCTAACTTTAAACGACAGAAAAGGAAACCAGCAGGGGGCTTCATCTCTTATGCTGACAATATGAATCAGTTTCGTCGCCAGTGTTCTCATTTCTCTTCTTCAACGTATGGTTTTTGATTAACCCAGTTCCACTCTTCCAGGTGATAACGGGTCTTCTAAAGCCTGTAGAGGCTCTAATGGGTACCAATATACCTCTACGTCTTCCAAGAAGTTATTATGCGGTAGCGGTTTTAGTCAAACACGTTACACTTCCCGATGTCCTTGCCGTCACAGAACACTAGTGTGGCGCTTATGTCTTACCGTTATATCTTCTCCCCGGGCCATCCTCTTATATAAACTATACCTATTGCTTTGAATTATATATACTTAAATTGAATCTGGTCCTGATCACATACTAGAGCACTACAATCATTCTGTTATGCTTTTTAAATCCATAAACCCTTTGTCTTGAAGTATCATAAAGCCTCGATTAAGTTCCGCTCCATCCGTCTCTCCTATCTGATCATATAACAATAATGGCCAAAAAATCTTCCGGGAGGCCTACTTCGCCTCATTATGATATTGGTAAGTGTACTGTCGCTTACTACTTTATTTATTATTAACGTAATACTAGTAATCATTGGTGCTGGGCCCGTCGGCCTCATGCTCTCGACTTGTCTCGCAAGATGGGGCTACAAAATTAAGCATATCGACAACCGCGCGGAACCTACGCCCACAGGACGTGCAGATGGCATCCAACCTCGATCACTAGACCTCCTTCGCAACATGGGACTGAAAGCCGCCATCATGGCACACAAGCCCGCCAAAGTATTCGAAGTGGCATTCTGGGATCCACCCAAGAAGGGCAAGGGTATCGTCAGGACAGGTACTTGGGCCAGCTGCCCAAGCTTCATAGATGCGAGATATCCTTTCACCACACTCTTACACCAGGGCCTGATCGAACGGGTATTTATATCGGACCTTGAGAAGAACGGCGTACAGATTCAACGACCATGGACCATCAAGGGGTTTACGTCGGACGAAAAGTCAAACCCAGAGTACCCTGTTGAGGTAAACCTTGAGCATGTCGATGGGACTCATCGGGAGACAGTCAGAGCGAAATACCTGTTCAGTGGCGAGGGCGCGAGATCTTTTATTAGAGACCAACTGCGCATCAACATCACACATAAGGATCCCATTCAGCACGTGTGGGGTGTCATGGATGGCGTCGTAAAGACCGACTTCCCAGATATCAAGGTCGGTTTCTCTGCGCATAAATCTAGGGGTATTTGAGCTGACAGAATTCAGATGAAATGCACAATACACTCCAAACATGGCTCGATCATGGTTATTCCTCGTGAGGATAATATGGTTCGGTTGTATATTCAGATCGCGTCATCTACTGATGCAGACTGGAATCCACGCAAGACGGCTACCGAAGAAGAGGTACAGGCTTCTGCGAAGAGAATACTCCACCCTTACTCGATTGAATGGGAACGAGTCGAGTGGTACTCAGTTTACCCTATCGGCCAGGGAATTTCCGACAAATATACGCTCGACCATCGAGTATTTCTAGGTGGTGATGCGTGCCATACTCATAGTGTAAGACCCCCTGCCCTGTTCCTTTTCCCCTTCCTTTTTTCTTTCCCTTTTTAGGGGCAGGATCGCTTACTTTATCTTATAGCCAAAAGCTGGACAAGGTATGAACACGGCATTCTTGGACGCTTTGAACCTCGCTTGGAAAATCCATGCTGTCGAGGCTGGATTCGCTGATCGAGCTATCCTGACGACGTATGAAGCTGAACGCAAAGATGTCGCAGAGACACTATTGGCTTTCGATAACAAATATGCCAAATTATTCTCTCAGCAGGCACCTGCTGCAACTGATGTGCAGGCAGCGTCGGAACAGACGACTGAACAGACAGAAGATAACGATTTTATCAAGACTTTCAAGGAGTCCTGCGAGTTCACTAGCGGTTATGGCGTAGCATATAAGCCTAATATGCTGAACTGGTCCCCAGACCACCCAGCTAGTTCACCATTAATCAATCCCGCTGGCATAAAATTACGGACAGGACGACTTCTCAACAACTCCGACGTAACCCGAGTGGTGGACGCCAATGTTGTACACTTGGAACAAGAGATTCCTCTCAACGGATCATTCCGGATCTATGTCTTCGCAGGGAAGCCTTCGGTTACCTACAAGGCATTGAAGGATTTTGCCTTCCACCTCGGTAGCAAGAGATCCTTTTATAGTTCTTATCTTCGACCCGACCTCGACGCAGTCTCACACCACGAAAAGACCAACCCCCACAGCCTATTTTTCACCATCTGCACCATACTTGCTACCCGACGGGCTCAAGTCGAGATCACGCGCGATGTGCCGGACCTGCTGGCTCGTTACCGTGATTATATATATGCTGACGATAGATGGGATCGTCGTGTCCCTGATGCTGCTGCAGCGGCTCATGCCAAGATGGGGCTTGATCAAGAGAAGGGTGGAGTTGTCGTCGTTCGACCCGATGGCTATATAGGAATCGTCACAAGCTTGGCAGAAGGAAGCGAGACGGTAGACGCCCTGAACGAGTACTTTGGTACATTTTGCACGAAGAAGCTAGGTGATGCGATGTCTCAGCTGTAGGTCCTCTTGCGACCGGGCCTATTAACGACATTGAAGAGATAGATATATGACGACGTTCGTATTAGTATATACTCGCGTATTTTATACGTTACTGTACGCCATAGATACCCCAATAATTTATAGATGAAGAGTTTTCCTTGATTTACGTACCTAGTGTTCACATTGTGCTATTGGCCTCGCCTTATCTACCTAGGTAGCTACCGGCATACTTTGATGTAGGTAGGTAGGTATGTAGGTACCTAATCTAGTACCTAGCAGACGAAGATGAAGGAAGCATCAACCATACTACGTAGCTTCTATCCTAATAGAATTTGTCATTAGTACAATACCTAGTAGCACCTGACGTAGATGCTGGGCACCTTCCTCAGTAGATGTTTATTTGGTAGACAACCTTGAACCTTGAGACTTAAATGCACCTATGTGTATGTACAAGTGGTGCCTAGGCAGGAACTACTATTATCTCGGTTGACTGAGGAAAGGGCGAATACCTTATTAGGATGCAGGTAGGTAGGGGGGTTTGGAAGGCGCGTATAGAGACAAGTAGACTTCCATTGTCACGCCAGGAAGTAGGAAGTCTTGTATCGCACATGCCTATTAGGTACGTAGCAAGCAGCTTCTTCCCCAGATCTCCCAACGTTTTACACACATGTGCATACAACCTCAACATTCATCATTGTTGTTGTACCATATTAGGTACTGCAGCTTTCTTAGTATCTATGTGGAACACCCAAGTCCTTCAGGCCAAATATATTCGATCCCCTAACGACTCAACCCATCTACTTCACCTTGTATGAATTTGTGATACATTAGACGTCTACATCATGTTATCCAGGACACCTCGTCGCCCAATGGGGCCTGTGAGCACTATCAAGCATGATAAAAGTTCTACTGGAGACATATTCCACCATATTCGTGATGACGACGACTACCCTGATATAGATGATACTTTCAAGCGATCTGGACCGCATAATCTTAACAGGGCTGGATACGACGAGGATAGTGAGTACTAAGTCATGACCCCCCTAACCTAGTTGGCTAATAGCTCACGGGTATCTAGAATGTCGCAACGTACTTGTGAGATACTGCGCGCATATTCCGCGAAATTATCAGTACAAAGATGGCACCAAACAGGTTTGATAGTATGACCTAAAGATAGTTATTCTTTATCTAATGAGTTGTGGTAGATCTTTCTGATTTTGCGGGAACATCTTGGGGACGAGAACCTCGATCTTGCAGGAGGTGTGCTTTATGAGCTCATTGAGATCGACTGTGAACACACGGATGATCCAGGGGCTGCTTTTCAACGATGGAAGCATGATCATCTGCGCAGATATGTTAGGTTTCCCCAAACTATTTGTTAGCTGGTGAACAAAGGCTGACAGTACCTATTTTCCAGGATGATCTCGAGCTTCCCCATGTTCCACATATGACCACCATCACATCGTCAATTATTCCTACCAAAGCACTTGCCCAATGGAGATCGAAACACCAAGAGAGATATCCTTTTGTATTGTCCGACTCCTCCCCCTCAACGGAAAGATCATCCCTTGATCCTAGTTGCATACGAAACCGCAAGGTGTGGCTCATTGACCACACTTTCTATGTTTCTTCTCGGAACGACGGTACTCGCCCTCTGAATAAGCCGAAGCCGAAGGAGTTTCACGAGATGCAGTGGAATCAAGAGTACGGGACTCATGGGAGGCTTATTGAGGAAAGAGACGTGCCGATTATGTCATCACCTCGCCCGAAAGAGATATCGCCTCCAGGGACCGCGGATACTCTGCTTGGTGCTTCTAATCACACCAAAGGGCTCTGTCGCTTTTCTCCCAAGCTTGACCTTCTCGGGAAACTTATAGGCAAAAGTCGCGTGCAAAAGCAGAAGCCTGATATGGAACAGAGACGGCATAGTTGGATACCTGATGCGCTTGTGTTCGAGACAACAGCACTGTTCCGGGATAAACGAACAAGCCCCGAACCCGATACCGTGCCTCTGCCGGAAGGTTGTCAAGTGCCGAACGCAGTTTTTGCTAGAAAGTACTTACTACTTGATACTAGCGACTCCCTACCTCCATCTCTTTCTTTGAGGCAAATGCCTACAGCGGAAGCCAAGGCCACTGATGCTATTGTGGAGGCTGCGACTAATGGACTGCTGAACGAGACATCGCAATGGTCATTCCGGGGGCCCTTCACTCCGCAACTGGGATTTGACGGAGGTTTAGATTACCAATGGACTTCCCAGGAATCAGTCAAGACTTTCAGAAGATTTGATTTAGATCAAGATGCTCCAAGTCATGATCTAGTTGATCCACATAGCAGTCAACCAGACCCCCATGGCCTAAAGATTGCAAATAGCACTGTCACTCATCAGCGGACGTCAACAAAGAGACAGGGAATTATTTTCAGCATAGACACAGCGATCGACCTTGATAAGACAACTCCTGCACAAGACAATTACACTACATCGCCTACACATACTGCCCACAGCACGAAGGATGGTAGACCACGAGTGTTCGATGAAGTATCTGATTTGGACCTCGTAGCTTCTGGTGGAGTAGAGATGCCTTACAAAGAAAGGTTCATATAGTGTGAGAACTTTTAGGCAAATAGTTACTAACAGGCACTGTGGGCATAGACAGAACTTGCGCCGTCGAGATCCTGCACTTTTTAGCAACGTTGAATTTACGATATCAACAGGGACCCTTGAGGTAGACAAATCAGCCTCGAACCGTAAGACTACGGTAGTTGAATTATCGACAGGCCTTGCTTCACCGCCGTTCGATTCATGTATTTGTCCAAACCTTAGGTGTCAAGATAAGTGAAAGAGCGTCACAGACAGGGGAATGGTGTAAATGATGGGGGTTCTGTGTTGGCCAGGTCACTGATCTGTGAAGTACTGCTCAAAGGCCCTAGCCCTAACTGTGTATTTTGAAGGGGGTAGTCAATAAGCTTCGTGCACTGTGCCTGAGGGGATCTCCAAGGTAGACGCACACGGTTATAAGGATGCGGAATTTGGTGCGATGCTGGTTGCTGGGTGAGGAGGTTTGACTTGTACCTATCTGCCTCAGTACACATATCTACCTTGGTACACATCCGCAACTTAGGTATATCTATTTCTTCCACACCCGCAACCTAGGTGTATCTACTTCTTCCATCAAACATTTTTCAACAATAGCGGCGCGCTTTACATCGCACAACCACCTCAATTCAAACCGCGCAACGTGAAAAAAATGGCCTTTAATCAACTTAAGATGAAAGCAATGGATATTCATCATCCAAAGCGAATTCTCAGAATGTTTGATCCTAGTATGTCTTCTCCCACTGTGCTAATATTGCTGCGACCTACTGAACTGGTCAACTACCTATGTCCATGGCCAAAAGATTCGAGCAAAACAATCTCTTCTAACCTCTTATATTTGCAACTTAGGGAACAGAAAGTCGAAACTTACCACAGTGGTCCCTTCAAGACTCGAACATAGTAAGTACCTAGCTCTTAGGCAGTTTGTGTTGTTTTTATTTTTATTTTTAAAAAAAATTCCTTTCCTTCTCCTCTCTTCGTTTCTCTCATCACAACAACGGCACCACAAACCTTCCTTCACCTTCGAACCTACCTACTTGGTAGCCACTGATATCAGTACTGATTTGTGTCCCTGTGTAGGCAACAAGAAAGTGATCGACTGGCTGAGCATCGCTACTAATAGCCGAGGAGACCCAGAAGAAGAACCTGAAGACCTGAGCCCTCATTCGGAGCCGAAGCCAAACACTTCTCTGACACTCCAACCTAATAATCCTCTGGGAGCTGAGCGAAGCTCTGCCTCCCTTCCTGCACCACACAACGACAACAATACTGGACGTGTTCACTTCAGTGATTCCTACACGATGTAAGTTTTTACTACTCTTGTTGAACTGTATCATGTTTCTCACGATGATGTATAGGTATTCGCCCCTTCCCTATCGGGATGCGTACGGCAACGTTGTTGGGTACTACCAACGCGTCGAGAACGGTGTTATCGTGCCTATCCGTCCTCGTCACCGCCAGCGATCGGCCAACCATTCATCTGCTCGAGAAGGTGGCCGCGCACAACAGCAGGGTTACGAGTCCCACCGAGGTGACATGAACGATGAAGTGCTTCCTGCGCGCGAGAACGCTGTAAGCAACCACGAGAGCCGCATCACGACGATGTCGGATATCATGAACGCAGGCAATCAAGAGGGTGGTGGACTTTCTCGATCGCAGTCTTTTCATCAGACTCCCCGATCGCCCAAGAAGCCAACTACTGAACCCTCTAGCAACAAGAGAGATAAGAGTCGCCCGCCTCCACTTGATCTCAACAGCGTTCGTCGATACGCCACCGTGGGATCGCACATGAACATTCAGCCCATTCATAATCCCATCACTCCGGATGATGTGCGATTCACCTACGTTGTTGACGATGGCACTTCGTCTGTGTACAGCCCTAGTACACCATTCCCATTCCGCGACGAAGGCTCGGGCAGTCCCCTTCGTGTTCCCCGCCTCTCCGAGGTTCGAGGCAACAACGTTCTCCAAGTGTACAACAACTGGAGAGAGAACGTTTCTGAAGGTGCTGAGTCCGGCCTGAACGTCCAACCCGGAATGAAGGCCAGCGCAGAGCAGCTACGCTTCGCAGGAACGCCTGACTTCAGCCAGACGGAGAGCCGAAAGCTGTCTCCCTCGAAGAGCGTTCAAAGCATTCCCAAGAACACTACTCTTGGCGAGGATCTTAAGGAACCCGATGTTCCTCCCTTCACGCCTCTTACTCCGTGGCTCATGGGTAATGGCCACACTAAGAAGGTCTCGAAGACTATGATTGGAGACAAAGGATGGTTGGAAGACACCGCTGCGCAGACCGTGAAGAAGCCCGAGCGCCAGAAGATGGCCGCTTTCTTTAACAGCGTCAAGAAGACGGCTCGACGAATTGTAAGTAATTTTCTTCCCCCCTTCTATTTTTTTTATACCTGCCTCTCTTTCATTGATGACCGAGACTAACCACTTCACAGGCCGAGAAAGCTGAATTTCAGCCTACCATGACCCGATTCAGCGTCCCTCGAGAGCTGAACATCTCACTCGACCCTCGCGAGCAAAGCCTGCTCTATTGCGAGCTTGACTTCGGTCTCAGCAATGCGCTTAGCGGCTATATCAATGTCCAGCTCCACAACGGAAGATTGAACCCGCACATCCTGGCCAAGGTTGCCGACGCGTGGGAGCAGAAGGGTCGCCCCAAGGTGATCGGATTCCGCTATGATCTTGAGACGCAGCTCGAGATCGTTGAGGCTCACATGGATACGTTCCGCTTCTATGGACCGCAGCAGACGGACCCTAACGTTCTCAAGGGCCTGCTCTATGGCATGAAGGTGAACGCGCGCAGTATGCAGGTTCGCACGCTCTGCCAGCCGGACACGGTGATCGCAAAGCATATTCTCGATTCGCAGGCGCTATTGCAGCTGCTCGACAGCCCCGAGGCTATCCAGATCTCGCTGGCGGAGGTGTGCCAGTTTTTCAAGGTGACGGTGGAGCGCGAGCGCATGAAGCGCAAGGAGAAGCAGGAGTCCAAGGCGTCGATGCGTATGGACGGCTACGCGCCCAACAAGGGTATCTACCCCCGCGACCCGGAGAACCTGTCGCCTCCCAAGAGCAAGTACCCCGGCGAGTATCGGGTCAAGAACCAGATCTACGTGCCCGAGAGCCTGCGTGATATCAGCGGCCCGATTCTCGAGCCTACGGTGTATGATCCTGCGCAGTCGCGCGGACAGCCTCAGGCGATGTCTTACGGCTACCATCATCAGCTGCAGCATCAGCAGCCGCAGCCGCAGCCGCAGCCGCAGCAAGAGCAAAAGCCGGAGGGTGGTAACTAAGTCGCGTGTGTTTCCTGAGGACCTAGTTTTTTTTTCCTTTGCGGTATTTCACGAATTGACGACGCCTACGATTGATATACCCCCCCACTGCTTTTGTTATTCCATACATACTTCTCGTTGTTCGAGGAGTTTGGTTTTTGCGCCCTGATTAATATGACAACACTCTTTAAGCCTACTAGGGCTTTGAAAGAGGATATCTTGCGATCATCGACAATGTTTTCCCAAGACATCGCATTGATACCGGCTCGAGAGTAGAGTGTTGTACATGGGCACTCAACGATCGATTATGGGGTTTTCCCCTTCGTCTCCTACACTCGTTTAATAATTTTCTTTTGTTTTTCCTGTCTTTTCGGCAGGGTTCGCCTAGGGGGGGACAGGACACTAAGGCAGCTACTCAACTCTGTATCTTTGTACACACATCTCGCCTCTCTGCTTCTCCTCCTTTTCTCTATCTCGATCTCCAGGAAAATCCTGAACGACAAACTTGACCTCGTCCTACGGGCTTGGTGAGGCCTATTGGAGCATCGGAAAGGGGTTGCCTGGATTGCCACTAGGACGCGGGGGGTTTTTTAGGGGTTTTTTGTTCCGCGTCACGATCGCGTATCCTGACTTAATCGTGCAACCGACTATTGTACTCACCTAGTCACACACACACTGGTCTCGTACCTGTATGGGTGGTTTGGTGTGGCGAGTTGATGATATGTACATTTTGTTGCGAAGGATAAACTACTTGGGAGTTTTGACGATCGTTCGTGCTGGATCTTATCTTGTGTTAGGAAACACAGGCTACCTAGTTATGATCAAGGAATATTCTCGGACGTTTTAGTGTTCGCGCTTCGGACGTCTATAGGCCTGATATTAGTAAATTGATGGCAAACCTACATGTACCTAATTGAGTTGATCGATCGTGAATTGCACTTTAACGTACCCGCGCCTTGTTCTACTGTGTTTCCCCCGATTACATCACTTAAAAAGATGTTTCGTAGGTTGGTGATACTTGAACGCGTTCTCTTGTGTTCTACAGCCTTGCAAAACAAGCTTAATTATATCCCCGCGGCTTTGGGAGTGTAGTCTGACGTGTAATTATGTGTAGAATGTTCTATATCAAGTTGATATTGCCCATAGGTCAGGCTTTTCTTTTCGGAAGGCAGCTCGACCAGGCTGTACCTACTAATATAGAGCCGTGGAATAAATGCTTATACCTACATGATAGACTAAAGGCATTCTATCAGGCATTATCCACGGACAACTTTACCTAGGTTAGTAGTATTTCGGTAAGCTGACTTGCTGGGAGTCAGGATTGAGATTCTCTTGCTTTCTCGGTCGGGTACCTGCATATTTTTTTTTACACTTTGCGCTTTTTTTTCGATTAGATATAACTAGTTAGTTACAGGTAGTATAAAAGTTTAACGCGTATTATGGGGCTATATGTTTGAAAGTCGTGCTGCTACTCCAAGATTTTGATGGTTTTCAAGGCTGTGGTTATTGGACTGATTTGCCGACATGCCGAAGTTTACAGATGGAGGTCAATACTTAGTACACTACTACACATCGTTTAGGTGCCTCTCAGCTCTTGGCATTTAGTATTCAGGTACCTTTTTCAGTTAAATAGGTGACTGGCGGAAGGCACAGGGAATAATAGCACAGGGATTGAACTTGGGAAGCACATGCGGGTAATCAAGTGGTCACCAACCCGTGACATCATACGCTTGTGGCTCCACCAATTAGTAGCCAAAGTCACCCGCCGACGATGGAAGCAACTGGTTAATTGATCCTTATTGAGAATAGGTACTATGTAGTAGGAAGGCCAAAAAAGCCGAGATACATAAGATACATGAGATACATTCCGACTCAGCCGACTTACTGCAACCTCTTCTGGCGTATCAACAGAAGCATGGCGCGGGATCAGAAGGCGGTAATTCCCACGAGACTACCTACCTAGGTACACTACCCAGTGGTTGTTACTAATACCAACTAATAATATTTCATGCTAATGGAATGAATACCTACCTACTAGGTAGAGTAGTGTGGTGGTGGTGTTCAATGTTTGCTGCTGCACATGTGTGATAATTAACTCGTTACTACTCTGGTTCTGCATACGAAGTACACACACACATAAGTATAAACGATGTCTGCTGCGCCTTCGGCCTAGTAGGTAGGCAGCCTACCAACTTCGAACATACATGGATTTCGGTGAAAATATAAGACGCAAAGTTACCATCTAAGCCATTTGCTCTGCTATGCGGGCCTCCCTCCCTCCCTCCCTCCCTCCCAACCTAAATACTTAAAAGAAATATCATCCTGCTGAGCTGATATAAAATTTTATACCCCAGCTTGGCACGCTCTTACTTACCTCCGAGGTTGTTTCTCGTTTCGCAACCTTCCGTTGAACGTCTTACAAATACTCAAGTACAACTATAAGCAAAGCAACCAGAGATCCCCGCTAACCGGAGCGTGAATCCACTACACTTGCGGAACCTAAACAACACCCTTATAATCTAGAGGAATGTCGCGCTACGAAGACGGTTACTCCCGCAGCCGTTCATCCCGTCATCGGGATCGTTCCCCCGAATATGCATACGAAGCCGACAACTTTCCCACCAGTTACGAGGAAAGTCGACAGCTCGCGAAGCAAGAGGACAAGACATATAATGGGGCCCACCCGCTGAAACAACTGACTTACGAGTCGGAAACTTCTTCGTACCCCCGACCCCCATCGAACTTGCTAATCCCCGAATCGCACGCGCGACCGAGATCTTTGCCAGACAAATATCGTAGGTCGGTCCGGGGAAGAAGAAAGGAAAGAGGTCATAGTAAAGACAGCGATTACGATGAGTCGGACGATAGCCGAGAACGAACTCCACTGGACAAGGCGCGGGGATTTGTTGATAATACGTTCTCCAACTCCACCGCCGGCCTAGGCGTTGGCGTCCTAGGTGCACTGGTGGGGGGCTTAGCGGCCCGGGAAGCTGTCGACGCTACGAGCAAGCACAACGGTTACCAGAATGACGCGGAACTTAAGCGCAACCAGATGATTGGCACGGTAGTGGGGGCGGCCGTCGGCGCGCTCGGTGCGAACGCGGTCGAGAAGCGGCTCGAGGTGCACCGCGAGAAGGACAAGATCAAGCAAGAGAAATGGGAGCGCAGGTACAGACCCGAGTCGGACGTAATCGAGAGGCGCGAGGTGATCATGCGACCACGTAGTACAAGTGGGAATGGCTCGGGCTGGAAAAGAGATTATAGTCCTTGGGAAGATCGGGACCGAGAACGGCTACGTGACCGTGACTATGATCGTGACCGTGACCATGACCGGTCTAGGAACCGCGGCGTCGAGCGCGAAGTTGACCCGGACGCACGTAGTTGGAGGAACGTGGAGGATTGGCTTTACGACGACCGGAACGATACCAGACCGAAATCGAATGGGCGCAAACTCATAGAAGACGACGAATATCGTTATTGATGAACGAGGGAAGCAGGATCGGCAGATTAAAGTACTTATCGCTCTAGTGGTGTACACCGGTTTTTCTTTTCTTCGAAGCTTCATATACATGTATCTATCATGTGTGATAATGCAGGTACCCGTTATTTTTAGTAGTCACTGTTTGACTCGAAGGATCTGTGGGTTCGTTTGATGTTAGACTGGTGTTTGATGCTTCAATCTCCCTCATATGCCTACCTTACTACTATGTAGTAGTAGGCCGGACTTTCTCATGAAGCCATACTTCAGCTCTTTGATTAGTATCTATACAATCAATAACATTGAAGTGGAAGTAAAAGTAATATTTGATAATGTGGTGATGCCTACCTAGTACCTCAACTCGTTTATATATGGTGATGGCATATTAGCATGTCTTATCTTGAGACGAGGTAATGATGAAATGAGACGGCAAAATCGGACTTCGCGTTGGCTTTTCAATCAAATGTTCAAACAAACAGAAATAGTACATACATAGAACAGGTAGGTACGATACATCACGTTCTAGGAATGTGGCAAGTGGCCCGCGTTATTTAATTGGCCAGTGCGCGCTCTGCTCAAAATGCCCAACTTGAACATTGCACCTAGTAACTACCCTAGGTACCTACCTAACCTAGTATACATGACAGCATTTTCAATCACCATCACCATCAACTACATCCCCAAGGGTACTATCATTCTACACCCACATGGCACATACTACATAGTAGGTCCTGGGCGAAGATATATGTCTTGTCCTGTGACAATTCTACTTATTCTACATATTCAACACAAATCTATTGAATGAACTAGCCCGAGTGAAATTTCATACTAACGCAGGTACAATCATTTTTCGATTTAGTACTACATAGTACGCCGCCACTTCAAGTGAACCACCACAACCTCCAGGCCTCAATCTCCAGTCATTCTTCATCTTCATCCCCTTCTCCTATATCCAGCGCCGGTGTGATACAATACACTTCTTACAAGCCCTCAAATACCTAGTACTCACCTCATCTAAATTAAATCAATGACACAGGCCTGGGGCTTTTTCATCGCAAGGTGTAAAAGACATGTGAAGGACTGCTTCACTCTTTGACCTTGGCCCATTTATACTCGCGTGTTTCCCTTACTCCTCCCCTGAGCGATGGATTCTCCTCTATTTTTACCCACCGAGGCTAATGAGATCGACGACCTGGACAATATTTCCATAACCTCCACCGATGCTGGGGCTAGTGAAGATGAGGATAAAGAATGGCATGTCGATAAGATTTACGCTGAACGGCCTGACCCCGACATGCCAGGTGAGATGCAGTATCTCATCAAATGGGAGGACTTTCCTATCGACCAGTGCACCTGGGAGCCTACAGAGCATTTGGGCTCAGTACTACTTTCTGAGTGGGAGGAGATTAAGAAAGCCAGTCCAGATGGGAAGGAACAGGCCTTGAATGTTGAGATGTTCAATATTGCATACAAAGCAAGATATGCGAGGCACACAAGACGAAACGCCAAACGCGAGCGTCTTGGTTTGCCACTTACTTATCAGACACCTCCAGCTTCTGAACCCACTGTTGAACCCCCTGCACAAGAACTATCTTCTCCCGTCGTTCCAATAAATGATCCAAATGCCCGTGTCGAGCCTCAAAAGATAAGTGATCTCGATAAAAATCATTCGTCATCTAACATGCAGACTCAAAATGTGGTCAAGCGTAAACCTCCCAGTGAGAATGCACCTGAGAAACCTAGAGCTGAGGTGAACGCGGCTCAGAACGTGAACAAGAAGAAACCTATAGCAAAGCCTATACCGAAGCCTAGTACCCAGAAATCTACCCCGAAATCTCCACTGCAACCTCCAGCGTCATTGCCTCCTCGGCCCGGGGTAAAGAAGCGAACAGCAACAGGCGATGGAAAGCCGGGCGCTACTATGACTGGGTATCAAGGCACTGCTCGAAAGCCGAGTGCTGGCATGAATCTAGGTCCATCTAAAGAACCTGTTGGCAAAGCTCCAACTCAAAAGGGGCCAGGGGCAGCCTCAGGTCCTTCAACGATGCCTCCCAAGTTGTCGACCAGTCTAGCAAACAAGTTTGCTGGAAACCGACATACGGCAACTCGTACTCGGCCGCAGCAAACCTCAACAGCACCTGCGCGGGTAACAAATGTCTTTATTGGAGGAAAGGAACGAAAGAAGAGAGCGAGTTTAAGTGAAGTTATGGATAATGCAACAAAAGCTCCCAAGGCCTTTAGTTCGATGCGTGTCATGAACATCGCTAAAAAGAAAGGGATTGAGAAAAATGACGCAGCTCATCCTGATTTTTCATCGATTCCGGCTAGCTTTTTTCTAGACGGGCAGAATAATCAATCCAAGGCAGAACAGAAGAAAGCGAAGCCCCCTCACATCATCACAACATCGCCGACCATAGTACAAAGTCCGACTGCGATATCACCAAGTAGCACAAGCATAGCCACGCCTACAATCAAGACTAAAAAGTCTGTTCGTTTTACTGGAGCGGAGGATGAGCCAATGAGTGATGTTGTGGATGATGTAGCCAACCGTACAAGTGGTGGACAGGAGAGCAGCAAACGTCCTCCAGTGCCTCCAGTGTCTCCAGGACCTCCAGGACCTCCAGCCCCCCCACGACAAGCCGGCCCCAGTTCCCCAGTGTGCAGGAAACTCTCCTTGAGTACTTATCAAGAGAGATCATCATCACAAGTTGTGGCGAAGGCAGCCGTGTTTGGGAAAGCCACAGAACCGATGAGAGTCTTGTTTTATGGCATAAGCCGCCAAGGCCAGCCATGGTTATCGGCTTTCATCGCCATGGGCAAGCTGGATTTTGGCACAATTTGTGCCTCGTACAACTTTGTTCATCACAAGGCCTTTTTAGTTGAAGAAGTTCTCTCAACTGGAAGGATTATGTCCCCTACGGAGGAGACGAAACCGGCCTTGGTCAACGTTGGAGAGCATCTACGACGGGACTCTCGTGGGTGCCATCTTGTAACTGAGCAATTCTCGATTCTTGTGTACCCTTCTAGATGCAATGGATGGGATGGACTGGACCTTAAAGTTGATATTAGTATGGACAAGGACAACGCAGAATCGCCTTTGCGATATATTATCTACAAGTCTTCACTGGATGTGCGACTTTATCCCCCAATATCTATTCAACATGATCTGGCTCTTCCAAACTACACAGAATCGGGATCTCATCGTCAAGTTTTAATGAAAAACCTGCTTGGCTTGGACTTTTCCCAATTCTTGCCACAAGTACCCAAGCAGAAGGAAAAGCAAGTTTTTATGTTGTTTTTCCCCGAAAGAGAGATGCAGGTGTGCAACATGATCAAGCTCTGGCTCCGTAAGTTAACATCATATAATAACTATCATCCCTTGAAGGAAAGTATATTTACTGACCCTATCTTTTGTAGGTTCTTGTCAGCCTGGTTGTCGAATTTTTTCGCTTGAAATCAAAGATAGTTGGTCGAAATTCCATGAAACTGTCAAAGCCGGGGCCGCAGGCACCGTCATCTTACACGAAGACATGAGTGCAATGATTCGAAAAATACCACGTATATATCAGATGATCGAGAATAAGCGTTATTACACGTTCTGGAATCTTGCTACGGGACAATGCAACCCGCCGAAGTTCCCGTCAGATTCATACGCCTCCATTGAACCTGGGACGCTTCAGTTGACTCGTATGTTCCCCCAAGGACGAGCCTTTCTAATCACTCCCAGCCTCGCGCTCTCTGATCCAGTCCGACTTCATAAGTTCTTAGATTGGTATAAGAGTTATTGCTACAATCCACACTATATAATCGTGGCTTGTGCGGATTTTCCTAATTACCTGAAAGAGGTCACCCTAGAGAAGGAAAAGGAGCGCCGTGAAATGTGCTTGGCATACAAGGATTCCACAAGACTTGAAGTTTCACTTGCAGATTCAGGCCTCACTGAAGGAGACCTGGAGGCAAGATTCAAATGTTGGCAAACATTGAAAGAGATTACGGATAGCCTTGGAGACGAAGAGACTACCGAAGAAATACGGAAAGTCCAATGGATTACAGACTTCATTGATCCAAATGACGAACAGAGCCTTGTCAATTGGTTCTGTTGGTGGTCTACCCAAAAATGCGATCAATATCGAAAATTTACAGTACTCGGGTCTAGCAACAGCAGAATTAGAGCGGCCTATAGGCATATCGAAATCCCAGCTTACACGAAAGAGACAGTCAGTGATCCTGATATAGCTTTGGCTCGTGAGGAGCGACAACGCCGAGAAAGAGAAGCCAGAGAAGCAGGCGAAGTAACGAAGGATATAAAGGGGTCGGGTCAAGGCGCTCCTCCGACGCCTGTTTTCAGGCCACAACCTAGATTCCAGAGTGAAATTTTCAAAAGTGATCGTCCAGGCCACATACGACACTGGATCACCTCATTATTCAACGAACCCAGAATAGAAAGTTGGCTTCGGGTACACGCTAAGGCCGTGTCGTGGTTAAACGTGTCGATGGCTGATCACTTTGATGATCCGCGATGCGAGTTCGACACTTTTAAGAACTGGTTTGGTAGGACGCCACCATTCACGAGAGGGGTAAATACATGGTATGGTTTATTCTACACCATAGATAAGGACTGGGACCCACAGGCACCAGCCAGTATTTATGGGCGTCATCCTTGGATCGCAATATTTAGACCTATCAACCCCCATTTCTGGGGCAAATATGCGGCAATGGAACTTTTTATCTGGGACCTGTCTGCAAATGCTAGGCAACTATCCCATGGGAACTCGTCGGTCTTATTAGACATGCAACGGCGTCTCGTAAACCTGGTTAGAGAGGAAACACATCTCAGGAATCCAAAATTCACTCTCCAAGAAGTCTATATTGGCAGCAAGACAGATGTAGAGTACGGGCCGGGCGATAATCCTCTGGAAATAACCTATAAGAAACTGCGGGAGATGGTTATCAATGGTTCCAAGTGGCTTCCACCCTTTGAAAACCTTCTCCGCGATCAGGGCTGGAACTCTATTCCCAAGTCCGAATGGGAACGGGGCATGGCTGTCGAAAATCCCAACCCGTCGCCTGTTACACAGCAGCAGCAGGGCAAACCTACCCCCACGCATAGCAATGACAAGAACAAGGTCCAGAGATCGATCTGGCATGCGCCACGGCCCAAGACGAAAGGGGGAGAGTCGAAATGCGTGAATCATCTATATGAGGCTGCGGTGAAAGCCCGGATGAGCAACGAGTCGGCAGACACTATGCGGTACCAGTATAGGTCGACTCCCGACTGGTATCACGACATGAAAGTAGAGGGGCGTGATTCTAGTCATGTTAATGTCGACAGTACGGATAAGATCTTGTCTGTGCTGCTTCAAAAGAAGTAGACCGACGGTCTAGTACCTATCGTGACAAAAGAGGAAACGATACCTGATGGGAGATAAGGTGCTCAGAGTGGAGCATATGCGGTGTGTTTTTGACGGAAAGGCTCTTGTACCCCTAATACTAGGGCGATATCACTTTACGCGATGTTTTAATGCTTACCTAGGTACATACCTAGGGTACCCCTTATCCTTTGGCTTTTTCAACTATTCACAGCCATGGGGTTTGACTAGAAAAATCACCAAACTATCTACTTGTGCAATAAACATTAGGCTACGCATATCCATAGTTTACCAATACTAAATTTCGAGGCCTGTATACCTTACCTAGGTACCTAACTGATAGCATAGAATAGCATAGTAAGACGTTAAATAGCAATAGCAACAGCAATCTACCTAGTACCTAATCTACTTGGGTGGGAAAGGATATATCCAAATTATCCGGCCTAAAATCCCACATCGGCGTCAGGATATCCTCGTACAAGTTTAGCATAAACCCATCACCATCTAGCACATCTACCATGGAGAAATCCATGTCGCCGCCATTATTGTCAATAAAACCATACCCTCCCGCCCCGCTATCCGGGACTGTAAAAGGGGGTACTGTGGTGGCGGCGGCGGCGGCGGCAGAGGTAGCGGTACTCGCAGCAGTAGTGGCAGTAGTCGGAATAGGATCAGAAAGAATCAAATCCGGCGGCATCTCAGCGAGGAACAGCGCCTTAACGTGGCGCAGAAGCCGGGCCGCCTTGCGGAAGAAGCCGGGTCGCGGTTTACTTTTGCTTCTACCGCTCCCACTTCTACTTCTGTTTGTTGTTCTTGTTCTTGTTCTTCCCCCCCACGCCTCTCCTTCTTCTTCATCATCGTTACCTCCCTCTTCCGACGGATCCACAATGCCATAGACGGAGAAGGGCACGGTGTCGATGATGTGGCACGCGCGGTCGAGGATCTCGAAGACGTCGGCGCGCCGGCGGACTTCGGGTCGTACGTCCCACGTGCTGGCACCGCTACCGCTACCGATGTCGAGAGTGCTGAGCTTGAAGAGCACGACGAGCGTCTGCGTGAACTGCGCGAACACGTCCGACGTGATGCCGAGCCAGTCCCCCGGGGGCATCCCGAACAAGGCGGCGAGCCAGCGCTCGGCGCTGCTGAGGACGGCTTCGAGGTCTGCTAGGCGCTGGATGGTGGAGAGGCCGCTTGGGTCGGTGGTGGTAGTAGCGCTGGTGTTGGTGGTGTTGGTGAAGAGAGGACGAGGGCGAGGACGGGTTAGTTGGGATTCGAGGATTTTGAGGGTCGTGTGGTGGAGGTAGAGTTGTGCGGTTTCTGCGGGAAGGGGGAGGGTTAGCCACCTAACTATAGTACCTTGACGGCGATGACTGACTTTCAGACGCGACTTGAGCTGGCAAGTTCTGCCGAATATCATTGAGTTGTGCGAGTAAAGTAGCAGCGAGGATGGCCGACGGGGCTCTGGAGCTCTCGGCCCCCGGCGGCTCGTCTGCGAGGGAACAGGTTAACTGGTTTCGTATGATCTGGCACTTGATTTGTGTAGCTAGGAGGATGTCCATGGGGGTTTCTGTCCCTTGGCCGATGACCCGGAGACATTCGTCTAGATACGGTGTCCAGCGGAGAGGCTCGGTCTTCCTATATGTTGCCCAGGTGCTGATGGTTGTTTTTCCAGTCAGCATCTTCTTCACTTAGGTACGTACCTAGGTACACATGAGAGAAAGGGGATAGGTAACTATGATACTCACGAAGAAGTAACGTGGAACAAAGCCAACATGGTCCGACGCTCCTCCAGAGTCCGAGGTGGCTGTCTCGCCGGCAGCTCGTATAGAAGGCGGCTACGCCGTAGCGTAGTTGTAGGCGTATCATGATGGATGCCCAGCTCGAAAGCAAGCGAGACGGCCATTTGGGAAAGCATGGTCATGAATGGTAGCTCCTTTTTAAAGAAATGAGACCTGCAAGTTGGCTGTTAGTCACCTGGCACTTACAGGTACTTACATGTATACTGACAGAGACGAAAAGAAGCCATACAGCAACATATATATATTTTTAAAAAAAAAAGGGGTGGGGGGGAGGGGGGGGGGGCAAAGAAAAACGGTACATAGATATCGGCAAAAGATTACCAGGTAGCGAAACATATAACCCCGAGCAGCAGGTCCATATCCACAAGATGCTGCGTCACGACCCTGCGCGACACAATATGCCATATCGTCTCCTCCATCGCAAACTGCAGCGAGAACTTCTTCGCCGTGAGCGCCATGACGACGAACCAGAGGAACGGCTTCTGGCGACGCAGCTCCGCCGCGCTCGTCGTCTCGGGGATGTAGACGAACGGCAGCATGGAGACGAACACGCGCCTGAACAGCTCCAGCTGCTCCTCTGCCGTCTTCTCGAGAACAGGGTGCCGGACGGTCCAGGACATGATGTCCTCTTCGACGACGCGTAGTGGTGAGGTGCGGTTGTTGGCCGGGCGTAGGAGGTGGATGATGCTGGTGGTGGTGTCTATGACGACGTCTGGCTGTGTGTTTGCCAGATTCGATGTAAAATCCCCTGGGTTTCCTTCCGGCGTAGGCCGCGATGATTGCTGTGAACCCTGAGCTTGAGCTTGCGAGCGTAGAAGGCTTACGAGGTCGTCTAGCTTCTCCTCGATCCGGCTGGTGCTAGTGCTAGTAAGGGGTGCAGGCGGAGGCGGAGGTGAGCGCTGGGAAGACGACTGTGACTGCGGCGTAGACTTCCGGACCTTGCGCTTACGAATATTCGAGGCCGGCTCACAAACCTTCCCAAGACGATGGCATCGCTCACATGTAGATCCCTCTGCTCGATAGAAACACTTGCATTTGGCACGAGAACAGCCGGCACATGCCCGTCCATAAGGCGCTGGACTACATGACGCAGACACAGACGCAGGTGTAGACGAGGGCCCTGCTATAAGATTGGGAGACATCTTATCGTATAATCCAGTTCCTATCTCGATCGGGTTTCCTTGTTGAAACCCTCGGCGATGAATGTCCAAATCCGTCGCCACGGTCGGAAGCTGAGAGGTTCAGCTTTCGGGCCCGCGGGGTTCGTTTGCGAGTTTCGCTTGCGCGTTTCGCTGACAGTTTATGAATCCCGCGGGTCACACAGCAGTATGCACCCATTACTAAGCGTCTAAATAGTTGAAACCCGCGGGATGCGGTATACCAACGACGAATCATCTATATTCACGTCTACAATGTGTAGTTCTATGATAACTATATTTAAATGCATTCACTTCCAGGAAGAATAGGTTTGAATTGCCATACTTATCACTATCACTTCAATCCTCTACAGACCTACCATCTCCCCCCCCCTATTTCCCAAATTCAAACTCAACTCCAAAAAATCAGAAAGCACAAACCACAAATGTCTATCATTAGCCCTCTCAGACAAGTTTTCCCAGGAAAGCCCCATTTCACGGAAAAAGACGTTCCAGACTTGAAGAATAAGGTACGTACTTACATCTTGTTTTACTATGTACTGCCCCAAAAAGGGTTGTGCGTACCTAGGTACTTAGGCTTGTGCTCGTAAAACCACTGGGCAGCTAATCGTGTTGAGCATCTTCCAGGTCATCGTTGTTACTGGGGCCAACTCAGGAGTCGGCAAAGAGCTTGCCCAGATCCTCTACGCGAAAAATGCCAAGGTCTACATGTTGGCACGGTCCGAATCAAAAACAAAGGCAGCCATCGACAGCATCAAGGCCGCGGTACCCATGTCAAGCGGCGACATGATATTCATTCCCCTCGACCTTGCCGACCTACCTAGCATAAACGTCTCGGCCAACGAGCTTCTCCGCAGGGAACAGAAGATTCATCTTCTATTTAACAATGCAGGTGTCGGATACCCGGAGAAGGGGTCCAAGACGAAGCAAGGCTACGAGCTACAAGTCGGCGTGAACTGCATCGGCGCCTTTGCCCTCACCAAGCTACTAACCCAAACCATCGTCGCAACGGCAAAAGCATCACCGCCCAACACCGTCCGCGTCGTCTGGGTCTCGTCCTCGGCCGCCGAGGGGGCTAACCCCAATACCTTCATGGCGAGTCTCCCCGACATCCAAAATAAGGGCTCGGCGCAGGGATACTTCGCCAGCAAGCTGGGCAATTACTTCCACGCCACTGAATTCGCGGCCCGCCACAAAGAAGACGGGATCATGTCCATCCCACTGAACCCTGGGAATCTTGACTCCGACTTTTGGCGGTCTCAAGGCCCTATTTTGACATACTTGCTTCAGAAGACGGTCCTTTTTCCCCCAAAATATGGCGCCTATACAGCTTTGTTCGCTGGCTTCTCACCCCAAGTTACTCCGGAAATGTCCGGCCACTTCGGTAAGTACCTTCCTGGGATAGCCTACAACCTTTATTCCCATGAATTATTGCCCACAAAAGCTATATCTAATCAATCGGTAGTTGCTCCATGGGGAAGGTTCTGGAACGTTTCCAAGCAAATGATCGCTGCGTCCAAGTCCAAGTCCGAGGGCGGCACTGGGGTGGCGGCGGATTTTTGGAAATGGACCGATGATCAGGTGCAATTGTACATTTGAAATTTCTGTTACTTATGGCGCTTGGGGTTGGTGCTTTCGATTGACTGGAAGGATATCAAAGGGATAAGATTGGTAAAGGGTATGGCATAATTACCGGATCCTAGCTGCCCTAGCTGGCTTAGCTGGCTTAGCTGGGATATGTATAAAAGCCGGTGTGTGTAGAGGGGTCACAGCTCGGTATAATGGAACCTGTTAACGATTCTGGTGATAAGATAGACTATAATACTATCAGTATGGATACGATCTCGGGTCAAATACTGGGGTATCAACTGCCTGATTAGAATACTCCTTTTATCAACTACCTCTGCAAAGTGACGAGACGCTTAGTAGGGATTAACTATAAACACGTCAGTGTATACTCAGCATACCCGCTCTGCATGGTGTACGGTGTAGTTACCTATGAGCAATAAGAGGAGTGATTTACACCAAGGATACTGCCGTGGACTCGTGTGGAGTGAGAGGCGATCCGCGCGCGGACTCTCGGGCCGCGCTGTGCGACCCGTCCATTCATATCCTAGCCCGGGAGACGGAAATCCACCTGTGTACATAATCGGGAACAAGTTTCCAAGACGGAGGTTATGTTTAGGGAATAGCTTGTAGTTACGTACGTGACGTGGTGAGGGGCGAATAGGATAAGCAATGCTGGCTTCGAAGCATGATTTGATGATCGTGACCGAGGTGAAACTGAAGAAGGTTGACGTAGCTATAGCGGGCTTGTCACGGTGCGGACGCACTACGGACCGCTCTCGCCCAAGTCCCCGTAATTTCGAACATGGCGAGGAATAAAAGTAACCAGTCGGGTGTATCCAGGACCATGGCACTGGGAATGTAGGGACCAGCTTCAAATACCCTGATTGGTAATAAGGGACTTCAACAAAATTACAGTTAGGTCATCCATCATTTGAGGCTCAAGTTCTTGCAGGTTTTTTTGTACTGGCTTGTTAGTGAATAATCATACACGATGCCAGGCTTGCTAAGGACGGCGAGCAACTCGTCGGCCTCTGAAGGCGACACGCCTGCGACGAGCGTCAAGTCTAGCGTGAATGGTGACTATCCGGCTGTCACATTCCCTGGCTATGCAGAGAAGCCTCTAGATGAGCAGCTAGAGCCAATTGCCGTTGTTGGCATGGGTGAGTGAATCCTTCTTTCTTAGTATCAAACTGTTTCCGGCGAGTTGTAGAACTAATTGGTACTCAGGCTGCCGGCTCCCGGGAGATGTCCGTTCACCGGCCGATTTCTGGGATATGATGATGAAGAAGAAGACCGGCAACACACCAAAGGTTCCGGCATCGAGATTCAACATAGACGCTCACTATCACAAGAACAATGACCGGCCAGGCAGTTTCAGCGTCTTGGGAGGATACTTTCTAGATGATGATCTAGCAAATTTCGACCCCGGTCTCTTCGGCATAACGCCGATAGAGGCAATGTGGATGGATCCGCAGCAACGCAAACTGCTCGAAGTCGTTTACGAAGCCCTAGAATCTGGCGGGATATCTCTGGATGCTATTGCTGGCACCCGAACCGCTGTTTTTGCTGCCAGCTTTACGGCAGACTGGCAGCAAATGGCATTTAAGGAGCCATCATTTCGACATAGTTTGGCAGCGACGGGTGTTGATCCTGGAATTATCAGCAACCGTATTAGCCATGTGTTCAACTTGAATGGCCCCAGCATAGTCGTCAACACGGCATGCTCATCGTCAGTGTATGCCTTACACAATGCTTGCAATGCTTTGCGAAACAGGGAAGCCGAGGGCGCCATTGTCGGTGGCGTAAATCTTATAATCACTGTCGACCAACACATGAACACGGCAAAGCTTGGTGTCTTGTCACCGACATCAACATGCCACACCTTTGACGAGAGAGCAAACGGGTATGGTCGTGCGGATGCTGTTGGAGCGGTATACATCAAACGACTCTCTGATGCTATTCGCGATGGCGACCCGATACGCGGTGTGATCCGATCCACTGCTGTGAACTCGAACGGAAGAGTTCCCGCAACTGGAATCACGTACCCGAACCGCGAAGGACAGGCCGACGTGATTTCTCACGCTTATAAGCGCGGTGGAGACCTCGACCCTCGCCTGACCGGGTATTTCGAATGTCATGGAACGGGTACTTCTATTGGTGACCCCCGTGAGGTACACGCTGTCTCCATAGCTATGAATAAGGGCCGTAAGGCAGGGGACGAGCCATTATTGATCGGTGCAGTCAAGACAAACATTGGACATAGTGAAGCTGCCAGTGGATTGTCTGCACTCATCAAGGCAATCTTGACCGTAGAGCGCGGCATTATCCCTCCAACCCGTGGTCTTGTAACCCCTAACCCCAAGATCGAATGGGATGACTGGAAAGTCAAGGTAGCTACCGAGCCAGTCCCATTCCCTGCACACTTGCCAGTACGACGTGTATCGGTCAATAGTTTTGGATACGGCGGCACAAACGCCCACATTGTCGTCGAAGCTGCCGAGTCCTTGATAAGGGAGCACCAAACGTACAAATACATCGACGACAATGGGCCTCGAAGGCTTCACACGCCTCGCCGAGCGGCTCTTCGCAAACGTCCTTTCTTAATTCCTTTCTCAGCTCATGATACCCATACACTTAAACGAAATATTGAGGCCCATGGACGCGTGGTGGGCAAATACAACTTGCTGGACTTGTCGTATACTCTCGCCAAACGGCGAAGCGTCCTTCAGAGCAAAGCCTTCACCGTCGCTAGCCATATTAATGCCAACGACGTGTTTAAAAACATAGCAAGCTCGTTCACTTTTGCAGAAAAGAAGTCGGTTCGGGATATCGGCTTTGTCTTCACTGGGCAAGGTGCCCAATGGGCACGTATGGGTGCGGAACTCATTGAGTACAGCCCACGCTTTCTCAGGTCTATCCGTAATCTTGACCTTACTCTCGAGGAGTTACCTGATGGCCCGGAATGGTCTATCGAGGATGTACTCCTGGAGCCTGCCGAGGGCTCTCGAATCAACGAAGCTGAATTCTCACAACCCTTATGCACCGCTGTCCAAATTGCTATTGTGCAATTGCTCGCGTACTGGGGCATACGTCCAGTAGTTACAGTCGGCCACTCTTCTGGCGAAATTGCCGCTGCGTACGCTGCTGGATTAATCTCAGCTAAAGATGCTATCATTGCTGCCTACTACCGCGGAAAGGTCACGCGTGACGTTCAAACTAGCGGTGCAATGATGGCAGTTGGTCTCGGTGCAGAGGCAGTCAAGCCATATCTCGAAGAAGTCCAGGGCAAGGTAGTCGTTGCTTGCCACAATTCTCCTTCGGGCGTGACTTTGAGTGGTGATGCAGATGCCTTAGATACGGTCAAGGTTGCACTTGACAATGCCGGAGTTTTCGCACGTCTTGTGAAGACGAATGGCAAGGCGTATCATTCGCATCATATGGCACCGGTGGCTGCCAACTATGAGGAACTTGTCCTTGCGGCCAGGAAGCATTCTTCCTTCGAACTACCCGGCACGACAACCACGAGAATGGTGTCTTCGGTTACCAACGAGATTCTCGCTGAAAGGGCCGTCTTAGATCACACCTACTGGAGCGCCAACTTGAGAAGTCCCGTGCTATTTAACCAGGCCGTCCAAACCATCTTGACGAGCCAGCAGTTCGAGAACGTTGACCTGCTGATAGAAATTGGCCCTCACTCTGCCATGTCTGGGCCGATTAAACAAATCAAGGCCGAGGTAAAGTCTGAAAAGCTTGACTACCTGCCTACCCTATTGAGGGGAGCAGATTCGGCTGTTCAACTTCTTAAGCTCGCGGGTGAGCTGTTCCTCCGAAATTATCCGATGGATATGGAACGTGTTACTAGTGCATATGTCGAAGAGAGGTCGCCTAAGGGCAAACTGACCAAGGCTAAGGGGTCAGTCATTGTCGACTTGCCCCCCTACCAATGGAACTACACTCGACCATTCTGGGCGGAGAATCGCGCAAGCCGCGAACAACGGCAGCCGAAATACCCTCGACACGATGTTCTCGGACAGCTTGTGATTGGCTCTTCCCTTACTGAGCCAACTTGGAGAAACGTTCTGCGAACCAAAGATTTGCCTTGGCTGAAAGATCACTTTCTCGGAGGCGAATCTGTATTCCCAGCGGCTGGCTACTTCTCCATGGCAATGGAGGCCATCACTCAGCTCAATGAATTAAGTGACAAGCCTGCCGAAATCGAGAGTTATGTGTTGAGAGACGTTTCTATCAAGAAGGCTCTCGTGACACCAGATGACGATGACGGTATCGAAGTCGTATATAACATGCGGCCCTCCGTGTTTTGCGAGTCAGAGAACAAGCCCACCTGGTGGGACTTTAGCGTCTCATCCATTGATAGGGACGGCGCGAAAAAGGAGCACATGGCTGGAAGTATCAGTATCAATACTCACCCGCGCGGGAAAGCCCCCCGAAAGGCGCCGTCATTCCCGCAGCGTGCTAGTGGAAAAACCTGGAACCAAGCCCTACGTGAGGTTGGATTCGATTACGGCCCGACATTTCAGGACATGGACGACATCCGGTTTGACGGCAAGCAGTACGAGGCTAGTTGCACTACCAACATCAAGCAGTACGTCGATGAGTCGCTAGGAGAGTCCAGATACGCTCTGCATCCAGCCTGCATAGACTCCACATTGCAGCTTGTTATTGCCGCGATTTACGCCGGCCGTACAAGCGCTATGGACTGCGGTGTTGTGCCTATCCAGGTTGAGGAAGTGACAATCTGGCCGCCAACCCAACAACAGCTCGAGACAAAGAAAGCCAGTGCATATGCCTGGGTCGGTAGACGAGGCATCCGATCCTTCGAGCACAGCGTCCAAATGGCGGCAGAGGATGGCGAGATGGTCTTGGAGATTCTCAACGTACGTACTACCAAGTACGAGGCTGCTGTTCCCCAGAAGGCAGAGAACACACTTAAGGAGGCTCCATACGGTACGATGTCCTGGGAGCGTGACTTTAACAGTCTCGCAACTGATTCAAGTATCGACGACTTGACCGTACCTGATCTAGCGCACTTGGCATTGTTCAAATCCCCTCGCACGAAGATACTCGAGATAGGTCTCCAGCATGCACCAGAGGTCCTACGTAGGAATCCTCAAGCCACTTACACAGTTGTGGTTACCTCTGACGAGGAAGCGGAGTCGGCTACTGCATCTATCAAAGGTTATCAGAACACCAAGGTTATTAAATTTGACCGAGCTCGGGATGCAGAGGCTCAGGGGCTGAAGCCGGAGTCGTATGACTTCTTGATAGCTGATCAAGGCACAGCGCCCACAGCGGAGCTTATTTCTAAGCTCCAGAGCATTGTCAAACCTGGAGGACATGCTGTCTGGGGTTCCTCTGCAGAGATGGCCGACGGCGAGGCTGACCTCGGCTATTCTCCAGTTGTGAGGAGTAGCTCTGGTGTAACAATCTGCCGTGTCGGAAAATTGAACGAGAACCAGGAATCTAGCGTGGGACACGAAGTCCAACTGGTTTATCGCACAGCAGAGGAATCGACCTTGCTGGACGTTAAAGCTGCCTTGGAGGCCCTCTCTTGGAATGTCAAGGTCTCTGGCTTGAACGATTGCATCGAGTCCCAAATTTCTGAGCATGTCATCCTACTCGCAGACTTCGAGGGCCCTACTTTATTCACTCTGACAGAGAATGAGTTCTTGGCCATTCAAAATATCATCAAGTCAGCAACGTCTCTTCTCTGGGCTAACCCATGCGGCATTCTTGACGGGAAGAGGCCTGAGTTTTCTATGACTTCTGGTCTTGCAAGGGTTATCACAGCTGAGCAAGCTTCGCTCGATTTCAGGACGCTCAGCATTGATACCGATACTGTTGAGCCGCGCCAAGTTATCGATTCTATCAAGAAGGTCGCCGAACAGCAGCTGATAAAGGAAGAATTGCCCGAGAGAGAGTATTGCGTCTCGAACGGGAAGACTTACATTAGTCGACTGGTGAGAAACCAGAGTCTGAACAACATCTTTACCGCATCGCACGAAACGGAGCCGACAAGCTTTTCCCCCGACAATCGAATCACGGGTCAAGTCTTGAAAGGCAAAGTCGTGTTCCAGCAGCAGATAGACGGGGGGGATGATATCAAGCCTCACCATGTGGAAATACAAGTTCAATGCAGTGGCCTGACCAAGGAGGGAGTGCGCGTTATTAATGGAACTGATTATCCGACTACATTCAGCCATGAGATTGGCGGCCTGGTAATGAAGGTCGGGGCAGGCGTCCAGACTTTACAGGTTGGTGATAGAGTGGTGGGCTTCAACTTTGACAAGTTCTCCAGCTATCAGCAAGCCCCGGCCACGATGCTTCATAAGATTGAAGCTGAAGACGATATGAGCACAGCAGTGAGCACGTTGATGGCCTATGCTGCCGCTTTGCACGGTCTTCGAAATCTCGCTCAGATGAAGGCTGGAGAAAGGGTCCTAATCCTTCACGGCACAGGCACTAGCGGTGCTGCAGCAGTCAAAATTGCCCAGTCTGAGGGTGCCATTCCCTATGTTGTAGCTGCAACACAAGACGAGGTTGATTTCCTCCAGAATCAACTCGGGCTTGACCCAGCACACGTGATCAAGACCACAGACGGCCAGGTTTCCCAACGTCTCAACGAGCTAACAGAGGGCAATGGTGCTGATATTGTCTTCAGTGCTGGCCATGTAGATCCAGCCGCTGCACACGAGGCGTGGCGATGCATCGCTCGTTTCGGTCGCTTCTTGGACGGGGGTCGGAAGGATGTACTGAACAGAAATGCCATCAATACTGTCCCAGTTCATCGGAACGCAAGTTATATGCCTTTCGACCTTCTAGACTTATACGAAGCCCGCCCTCAAATCCTTTCTGAGCTGCTCCCAAACATTATCACCATGCTCAAACAGGGTTCGATTGTGGCTCCTGGTCGGGTCCAGCATGTCAACCTCGCTCAGCTCGATCAGGCTATTTCCAAATACTCTGATTCCTTCGACGCGGCCAAGTCAATTATTCGGTATGAGGCGGCCGAGGAACAGATACAGGTCTTGCCTACCAGGATCCCACTCAAGTTCAGCCCTGAATCAACCTACCTGCTGGTTGGCTGCTTAGGTGGTCTGGGACGTAGTCTGACTTCTTGGATGATGGCATCTGGTGCGCGAAGATTCACCTTCCTCTCACGTTCTGGTACCGATTCCGAGTCTGCTGCACAGCTTGTTAAGGATATAGAGACTGCCGGTGCTATCGTTCAGGTGGTGAGAGGAGACGCGACATCGCTGGCCGATGTGAATCGCGCTGTTGAAGGAGTGTCTCCGGAACACCCAATAAAGGGTGTCGTTCATGCGGCTATGGTCCTGCGAGTAAGTCATTCCAGTCGAGAATTAATGAAATATAAACTAATATGATTACAGGACGGTCTCTTCCACTCCATGTCTTTCCAAAACTGGAAGACATCAGTTGAGCCAAAGGTCGTAGGTGCTACGAACCTTCACTCGGTGCTGGCAGATACGCCTCTGGACTTCTTCCTTATGACCAGCTCCGTGTCAGGAACCCTGGGTACCCCTGGTCAGGCCAACTATGCGGCGGCCAACAGCTATCTCGACTCCCTTGCACGACACCGCAAGTCTGCCAACAAGGCTGCTACCTCGGTAATTCTACCAATGATCCTTGGTGTTGGTGTCGTAGCTGAAAGCACAGAGCTGGAAGAGGCTCTCAAGCGTAAGGGTATGTATGGTATTGACGAGGAACAACTTCTCGAGTCCTTCGAGGCTGCTATCAGTTCTGAGAAATCGGAGCAGACGGTAGACCACATTGTTGTCGGCCTTGACCCCGCCAGGCTTCAAAAGGCTGTCAGCGATGCTACGGAGGGTGGTAGCTTCTGGGTAGAAGATGCTCGCTTTAGTCATGTTGTCAACGACATGAACTCCTCAGCAGAAGATGCTGGGGCTGCGATGGGGGCACAAAGCATTTTAGCGACTATTAATGCTGCACCGTCTGCGGGTGAAGCCATCGCTGCTGTAACTGAGCACTTCATCGGAAAGCTATCACGTATACTCTTGATCGGCACGGAGGAGTTCGACCCGGTCAACAAATCGATTGCCGACTATGGTATCGACAGCATGATCGGCGCTGAACTTCGAAATTGGATCTTCAAGGAGTACCGACTAGACGTTCCATTCCAACAGCTTCTTGGGCCAACTTTGAGCATTACTAAGTTTGCAACTCAAGTATGCTCTAGCCAAGGAATTGTTTCATCGTGAGTAGATGGGATTCGAAAAGAGAAAGGAGAAAAGAACGATGGCATGAGAATAGAATGGAGCATGAGGATCTTGCATATAGAGAGAATGAAGCATCATTAATGAACATTGAAGATAGAAGGACGGCGTTTGTATTATAGGGGTGTGTAACATTTTCTAATGGGGATTGAGGGGGGATTAGGTACCTACTAGGTACTATCATGTACATAGCTGTGCCGCGCACACGCATGTCTTAATGGGTGGGTACCTAATACGTACATAGAAGTACTTACCAAGATTGTCATACAAGAAGCTGACAAAGCATCCACTATCGTTCAATCTTATTCTTATCATTAAACTCAATCAGCTTGTACGGCGCAGTACGGCGAAGATCGATGGCTGAAACTCTAAAAAGACTTCAACGATCTATGTAAGCTCAGGTGGGTGGGGTACATATTCATTGCCCTGGCGATCCTACATCATCCTAGGCCATTCACCCCACACAAGGAAGACTACAATGTCACTGACCTCCCGGTGATGGCTTTCTCTAACCTCCTGTCACCTAGTGTTATAGCTTGAAAAGTTGAAGTCTCCAGCTGGGTGCTCGGCTTTCTTAACCTACTAGGTAGACTCCCCAGTACTTAGGTCTGATACTGCTGCCGGCCGGTCCCGCCGAAAAGATACGTATAAGTCGATAAACCGGGCCGTGAATAGTCACGAAAAAAAGTATTTATACTTGATCGGTAGGTAGAGGGCTCACCTTAGGCTATTTCCTATTCGCAAACTTCCCTGGCCATGATGCAAAGAGATGAGCCTTAGCCTATCCCAGGAATAGAAAGGTAAGTCTATCCATTCCTTCAAGCGTACCTAACTCCTTAGCAATTAGCTGGATACGACACCGCACTACAGCGTACCGATCCGTTTTGTGAAATCTTAACGCATACTTTTCCTCGCGAGTCTTGACAATATACGCAGACCCTGCCATCGGTGACGCTTCTAGGTCAGCGTGGATCGTGGCGCGGTCCTTTCCAGCCCGAGTTATGAGTCCGCCACCTCGAACCTGAGCTGGCTTCATTTCGGCTGTGGATATCTCTCGTTGCAAAACCCGAGTCAAGACATCCTTATCGGCCAATGTGCCATAGAAGAAATACCAAACGGGACATTCATTCCGGATCGGTGCTGGTGTTTCCGTTTGACTTTGCAACCGATATTGAGGCATCGTCGAGTCAACGCCGAGGGTTGGATGACGGCAAATCCACGGAAGGTTCTTCTCTGCTGTAGAAATTCGAATGTAGGTCGGCTGAAAGCCTATGCAGTGGTATAGCAAGCTTTTCTCGATGTTTCGTTTTTCGGTTGCATCAATTACACAGAACTCTACGTCTCCGTCCGCATCACCGTCACGATACTTGGCAGATTGGCTGTCCAGGTTTCCGATTATTTTGAGGACCTCTACATCTGAAAACAAGCCCTCTAGCTTGAGCAAAAATGTCGACTTTGGTTCTATGTACGTTGAATTTCGTAGAGTAGTTGGTAAGCGCTCCGTTGCCAGTGCATATTCGTAAGCCTCTTTATAAAACCCCTTCAAGCTATCTTTATTCAATTCCCAGGGCTCGAAACCAAGGTATTTGCATCCAGTACTCGACCTCCTGTCGCGAATCTCCATCTCCGCTTCGGCTGGGGTAAACCCGAATATCGTCTGCCAGCGGTCTATGTCGGCTGCTAAATCGTTCCCATCTTGGTCGTATACACTCGCCGCTAGACGTCCACGGGTCGTGAACAATTTCGCGTCCATGTTTGCTCGAATATAAAACCCTATGTGTATTTTCAGCTTGCACTTCTGTCATTGGGTTGATCCTAACCTTGGATTATGAAAAGAGGAAGAGAGCTCGCGCCATCTGACTACTGGATACCTACCAGGTATGTAATAGTAGGTACTGCCTCATATTAGGTTCGAGTCAGGTCACACCTGCCACTCACATCTTAAGATTAGGTATCTTAGGTCTAAAGATGCCGTATAATATCAGGAGCTTTTGCTACCTACATAGGTATATAACGATTTAAGTTGTATGTCGGGAGCTACGAAAGAGCTAACTATAGTTCGTACAGTGTTTCTGGCCATTGGCCAGCGAAAGATACAGCGCCATTCAAATATATAGGTTTAAAAAAAACATATGTATAAACCGCCTTCTCGACAATAGGATAGAACGTTGTCATGGAAGACATGCCGCTACGACGACTCAGAAGTGGTGAGATCCTACCTACTTAAAGGTCGAGGGATGTGGACTCTGTTATAAGGAAATGTGCGTCTAGGCCTGTCGCTACGGTGTGGGCTTGCACTGGGCTATGCTAATACTTCTTTCTTCTATTCTAGATGATGAGTCGAACGCTGTTCTGCGGTTTCGTTAATCATATCATATATCGCTATATACCTACCTAGGGTAGGTAGTTATACCTGTCTGGGTATCTCAAGTATTCAACGGGGATTTGAAAACACCAAATACGGATCAAATTTCTGTTATTTCAACATGAGATGTCACCGAAGTGGTCGACTAGAACGTTGGCTAACATAGAAACAGCCTTAAGTTGGATCTCGTTCGATTTATTTCTAGGCACTCAGTGTAATGAGATATGGGTGCATCCATGATACTTACGCGGTAGGTAATATAGATCCTTATCCTTTGGTTAGATCTTTGGATCCTTTAACCTTAAATCCTTCTCCGGTAGAATATATCCGAGCAAACATCCGGAATTATTGCCGTCCTAGGTATGAACTTTCCCCCTGGTAACAGGCCCGGATTCAACGTCAGAAAGCGGACGAATATACGTGAGCGGCGATGATATCTTACCCTGCTACGTAGGTACGTCGCAAAGTTACCTTGATGGCAACATTCTTGGACCAAGTGGATCTTGACAAAAGGACTGACTGTTGATAGGTACCTATGTAGTTTCGTTACGATGGCAGCAAGATGGAGGGGTATCTCGTATACAGTACTGCATGATTTCGGCCCCTCCCCGGTTCGGGACCACTTACCTAACGTACCCAGGTAGGTAGGTATCTGGGATAAATTCCGCGAATTATGAGTTAGGCTATCTTTCCTTTCTTTCTTTCTTTTCTTTTCCCTTTTAACTCGGAGGCGAGAACAAGGTTCAAAATACGTGATGGGAACTTACTTACCAAGGCATTTTACGAACGGATCATCGTATAGAAAACTGCCTACGTCAGCATGACCACCAGCGTACAGCGCCGTGTCCGGGGACGGGTCCGGGACGCCGTAGGTTACATCGGTCCGGGTAGTATCATGTATGTCGTGTCATCTTTGCTGCAAGTGCGGTGGATTGCTTGGTATCCAAGTGCGGAATGGGCGGTCCGTCTTTGGCCAGCTTATGCCCGGACCGCACGAAAGGGGAAAGCCCGTTTGCCATTTCTACTAGTCATCGCGCCCCGTTCCTTTACATTAGCCCTTGTATTCCAACTTTCCATGAACCCGAAAACCCCCTCCCCGCCCGCTTCCCCTCTCTAAAGCTTGAACTGCGTTCTTGGATCCACAAGGGACGATTCTCGGTAGATTAACATGCCACTGTATTTGAAGACGTAATTAGGTAAGTCACTGAGGGGACAAGACTTGACACGCACCACATTCACAACCAAGGAAGCTAGCTCGGGGACGGAAAACTGTCGGGACGCCCATATGCGGCCTGTGGGTTATTTTGCTCCTAGATACTGGGTATTATGCAGGTAGGTAGGTCTCTTCTGAAAGACTGCTTACTATTCACGCGGTGGCTCGGCCCAGCATCGCCGTCTCACAATACCATAAACTTCATAACTCATCATAAACGTCAAAAAACTCGAAGCAATAAACCACGCGCCGCTCAATGCAAACGCGATGATATCTCTTTCTCTCTCTCTTCCAGCTACTGGAACATCCAACCCGCCTAGGTATCTAGTACCTGCTAGTACACATAAACAGCTACCTACTACGTAGTAAGTATGCCTCATTATAAGCCATTATCTATCTATCCTACATCAACCTCGCCTCCATTCTAGAAACTGCTTTAATGGTAGAGAAACGCTTTTTTCTTCGATCTCTTAGCATCGGCTATTTTCGCCTCAACTTGCTCTAAAAATCCTAGGCGGAGATGTCTAGGGTCGACAAGCTCCCTTAGAGAATCTGACAGGATACGCATAACGTTAATGTGCGTAGTAACTTTGTTTTCTGGATGGTCTATCATCCACACACAGGATTCTATCGCCTTCGTAATAGTCTTAGCGTAGAAAACACTCGCGCGGCGAAAAGTTTCGGACGCGCTGCCCTTCAACTGCTGGCCGACCTGTATAGCCCCGAGGATATACGTGGTGGCAGCCTGACACCTGGATATGGCCTCCGTGGTAAGGATCGACGGAAGCTTCTCCTTTTCTATCTTAGCCCATGCTACTTCATGTAGCTTTATTTCTAGGGCACCTATGCTCATACGAAGTAGTAAGGCCAGGACATCACTAGTCTCCTGATTATGTGTGCTTATATGGCTTGCTAATAAGCTATCTCGACAGAGGATAATCAACCTGTCGATAGCATAATGGGCATCCCAGAAAGCATACGACGGCTGCTGAAGCCAGGCCTGGCTATGATCAAAACAGCGCTGATAAATAGACACTATGATGATAACACCTGCAAAAGATGATAATTGAGCATCGTCAGCCTCGCAAACTTGCTGAAGTGCCGGCATGCTGCTAGTCTCGGTTATAATTGAGAGATCGTCAGGGCATGGAAGCGGCACGGAGATCTACATTGATTCTGTTAGAGCCTGCCATATGCCACCAAAAAAAAAAGTAATATTTTGCAGGTTCTCACCTGTCGTCCATCAAAGACCGGGTTCGTCTTCATTTTCATCGCCGCAAATGCGTCTAGTATATAAAGCACCCAAAAAGTGCGACGTCTCTCTTCCGTCTCAGCAGGATCGGGGGGTGGCGGGGATGGGAAGCCTAGGTTTGCATCTGTAGGGATAGTGGGTTGATTGTTCCTGTCCAGGAACATCAGTTTAGCGAGCTGGATGGCCCGCCCCAGTGTTATCCATGCCCTGGCAAAGTTCGGTTGCTGGAATTCGTAGAAACTGAGCAGTACGTATGCTTGTAGGGTGTCGATATTAAGAAGACTAGTGCTGTTTTCCTGCCTCTCGCACCTTTCGAGTAAGGTACGGGCCTGGCTATAACACGGCCCCAGAGCACAACCAAGCTCAGGGGTAGCTAATGCACCCAAAGCTCCAATAGCATGGGAGAGCGCCTGAACGTGGGTGGAATTCGGCGATTGGGCGAGCTCGGCTTGGAAGCGGACGCGGTTGATACATGGTAAAATTGGGTAGAAAATATCGAAGAAGCTGGCATGCCTAGGTACGTGTTCTGCGTAAGCTCTATCGTCCTAGGGTTGAGTATACTAGCAGGGGTTGGCTACTTACAACTGGGGAAAGAGAGATGTCGGTATCTTGGAGGAGGAGGGTTCGCTGCAGACTTCGCTAAATGGAGGTGAGATTTCTTGAAAGAGAGGATCAACATCAAAAGTATCGTTCACGGATTGGGTCCCTGAGAATTCGGCCGAAATAGCCCGCTCAAACGGGTCACTTTGTTCATTCGTGTTATTGTACCTAGCGATGGGTCAGTCCAGGCAGAAAGAACCAGATAAATGCAAGACATGGCTTACCATTCATTGGCTATTTCTGACATGGTGATACTTGATATACTCCCCATAGTCCCCCGGCCGGCCTTTTGTGGGTCTTGCGGCGGGGACCGTGAAAGGGGTCGCAAGGGAGCCGGTTCCGGAATAGGGATCGCCTCAATGGAGTCTTGGGCTGCTGGCACTGCACCCCATGGGTAAGAAAGTTGGTTGACATTTGGAGCTGGTGCATTAAATGCTATTTGGGCCTCTGCTTGTTCTGTTGTCATGGTTAGTCCAGGTAGTCAGGGTAGTGTTTGGCTCGTCAGGTTCCTAGGGGACATACCGAGTCGATTATGGAGAACAAGTAAAAGTCGAGAAAGGTCTAATTTGGAAACAGACTGCTTGGAAGGGCTGGAGTAGACACAGTTGTGTCCCAGCTTTGCACACCTCCCACATATAGGGTGTTGTCTGTTGCATCGGACTTTGCGGTCACGACAAGCGTTGCAAGCCAGACGTTTAGCTGATGCTCTAGGGGATCCTTCTGATAAAATTCTGTTGGTGTCTGGTAGGGTCGGGGTAGCATTGGTATCGACTGAGGGTCCGTTCGCTTGTTGGTCGTCTTCGACCGCCAAGAAATCAGCTGCGGCGTTTAGGTTATAGAAGAAGGACATCATGCAAGACAAGTTAGACAATAGGGAGGTACCAGACTGTCGGATACTATGTCTCGAGGTTCTAACTTATAAGTAATCTCCGTCAGACTAAGAAGGGAAGCCGTGTGCCTCAAATAAGTATAAGCTGCGATTTTCGTACGAGCTACTACCCACCTAGGTATACAACTAGACCGAGAGGTGAGTTGTTATGGCACGGCGTCAGGCATGAATCATCAAGCACGTGAAACGAATGTCACTCAAGAATTGGCACCTATTTGATAAAATGCCACTCAAGCATTGACACCTACTTGTTCGCTTAAACTTCATGCAGCAGCAGTTTTGCCTACCCCCCGGAGGCAGATATTACGGCGGGATTTACCCAGCCAAGTCGAGTCAGTCGTTGAGTGCATACGGAGGAGCAGGGATGATTACATAGCAGCTGCACAGTAGAGGCCGTACTTGCAAAGCACCTACTGAGAATAATCCCGAAGAGCTGTTGTCTCTGGTGGGGAAAGCTACACTAATGTATGTAGGTCATGAGCTGATCAGTCAGTATCCCGAACTTCCGGATGGAATTTAAGGTTAATTGGGTTAATTGGCCTGACGGTGTTAGGGGTGGAATTGTGGGATATCCAGGGGGCCGCATAGTGGCCAATATCATAATCGAAAGGGTTTGGTGGACATGCGGCATCTACCGAGACGATGGTAGAGTTAAGGATAGACACCCTATATGTGCCTCTATGTGACTCTTGCTGAATGACGTGACTGGAAGACTCCATGCGTCTATGATGGCCTCTTACAGTCGTACACATATTTCTTTCTATGTTTATGTGTTTAAGGAGTAATCATATGTACTCCTTCACCTAGGTAACCTACCTAGGTAAACACCTGACCCAGTCACCAGTCACCCAGAAACTTGGCCTACCCTACCCTGCCTTGGACATTTTGCCTACCTGGGTAGGTAGATAGGTATTTTACTTAGCAGGTAACACCCCCATGTCCCCATGTCTACCTACCAACGCACCTAGTAGCTAACTTCACCTACCTAGGCACCTAGCCTACTACATAGTACTCACTTCATCCATTCCATTGCATTACTCGCTCACTGCTTATCATTTACATGCCTAATCTTCCAGAAGGACCCCTTATCACTTTCGAAGACCCGCGCATGCATGTGTAGGTTGGACCCTAACGATGCGAACCCCCTATATCGGCAATTCAATCCTTTCTATTTCTCAAGCTTCTTCTCTGCTTACCTGACGAGGGCCTACATACTTAGTCACCTATTGCCAACATGTACCTAACTACCTACTAGCTGTCGACCTGCCTAAGTGTAGGTATCTACCTATGAGGTACGAAGCCGATTTGATGGACCCATGTAGCTAAGTAGGTATGTAGGTATTTCGTGGGGGGAGCACTTATACTATTCTGGCTATATCACTGCCTACAACCGTACATACCTATGTAGTATCCTACATTACCTACCTACCGGTCCTACCCTAGGTAGGGTAGGTATGTACGTAGCTAGCAAGGTCCCGGTTTGCCGGTAGCATAAACCTCGTCCGGCCCCGCAAATATCAACACTCTCTATAGTAGAGTCTATAGTAGACTCTATACTACTGTATTACTACATAGTATAGCTCCCTACCCAGGCATTCTTCCACACATTCACAATCCTAAACAAGAAATTTAGCATATCTACCTACCTACCTAGGCAGTCGAAAAAATGATCGACCTGCACGCTGTTTCCAGTCTAGACTATTCGAAAAGCTTAACTTGAATTCACCCTAATGCTCAATTACATAAGGAGTACCAAACTCTTGAGACAATCGTAAATGCTGACGACACCCATCCAACATCCATATGAACGTAGTTAGTTCTTTTAATGCCAACCGTCAATTATAATAACTGTAATAATCGTCACTAGCTTTGCACTCCAAGCTTCAATGTTTATACCTACCTACCTACCTACTCTTGATATCTGGACATCTAGATAGTTTTCAACTTCTTGGCATTACTTTGGCGGAACTCGTCAATAAGTCCATGGTAGTGCTTTGGGAGGATTGGAAGAAATAGTTCCGAGAACATATTGCTCTTTCGCTGGGTTTTGATACCCAGATCTTCCAAGAGCAAATCAATATACTGGACCAAGTTAGCATTTTCCCGTGCCTGGTGGATGATGGGGATAGAGTGTAAATCACTTACGGAAAGCCAGTCCCAAATGCAGTAGGCGTGTTTCCTTCCCTGGGCAAGATACCTCTTGCGCGCCCAGACATTCCATTCGGCCACTTCGCGCTCCATACCTGGCTGCGAGGGAAGGTCTTGTAGACCGAGTAAAAATGCAACCCCCCACAGGGCCTGGACCTCGGAGACTAGCGGTGTGTAGATTGTATGAATGAAGCCTGGGAAGTAGATCGACCGATCGCCCTGGGCAGCCAGACTAGGGATGATTAAGCGCCGATAATGGCGGCTAGGTCCATGTAGTGTTCCCCGCTCACTATTATCATGGACATACTCACGTCCCTTAAGAGGGGAATCCTTGATCGCTGGGAGAAGTTGGTTTATCGTCTTTTCAGCATCGGTTTCGAGTTCTGTCCACTTTTCTGCCTCGTCTGGGTTGGGCATGATCCCATAGGCTTCCAGTTGCTCCTTGCTAAATGTTTGGTAAGATTTGTCAAAGCCGGTGCACAGGACGATATAATCTGTCTCATACTGGGCACCGTTGCGGAGAGAGACAATGTTGCCGTCGGTGAGTGACGAAATCTCAGTTAAATGGATCGTGCAGTCTCCCGAGTGAAATACTTTCCAGAAATCTGGAACGCTTGCAACTCCCAAGCCAGCATTAGTCCAGAAGATGCTTTGTTTTAATGTCAGCCTGGCAAGGTCTAGGTAGTTGAATTAGCGGGTGATTAGGTTAGTAACATACCCATTTCCGTGCGGGAGAGGTCTCAGTTTTTGTGCGTTGGGCGACTTGGCGTAGCCGGCGTGGGCTGCAGACACCCAAGTCAAGCCCTTCCAGAAAGCTTGGGCCAATGCTCTTCCAACAGGTGTCCTTTGAAAGAATTGGTAGCCGGGTCCCCTGGTGCACATTATACTCGAACTGAGCATTCCAACAATTCTGGTGGCTGCTGCCTCCACCGAAGTTACCATGCCAAGAAGGGTGGGCGGGACTATAGCTAGGGGACCCGACCCATCCTCCCGGATGATCCAGTCGACCTTGACTCCAGCTTTTAGAAGGAGAAAGACAGCATCGTAAGCTGACTTGGCCGCTCCAACCACGGTGGCCCTTCGAATCTTCCCCAGGGCCCCGAGATGTGATCCTGTGTCGGATGAGTGGATAATAGGTGAATTGAAGTTAGACTGAGGCCACGAAGGGATGACAGGATGTGAAGTTGGTCCCGAGGAGTAGATCAATTTAGCACACTCGATGGCAGGTTTACCATCGAGGTTTAGCCTCCAACCACCTCCAGGAAGTCGGTCTACCGTGACGACCTTGGTCCGTAGCCTGGCTCTTCTAACAAGGTCATATTCTCGGGCGAAGTCGTTGAGGTATTCATGAATTGTTTTACCCGAAATGTAACCATCTGCTGTAATGCCTTCTTTTCGCATAGGAAAGCACGAGTATTCAAATTGTCCATACTTGATCTGGGCAAAGAGAGTTGGATAAATCTTTTCGGCACACCAAACGCCCCCAATCGATGCCTGGTCATCGACGAGGATTAGATTAGCATCCGGTTTAAACTCAAGGTATGTCTTAGCCCCAATGAGGCCATGCCACCCTAATCGACTGCATTAGCAAAAATGGGCAATCAGGGGAGAGTCCAACTATACCGGTGCCTATGACGACGACCTCAAACTTTTCAGCTGCCATGACCGTCGATGATTAGTACTTCCGAGGAAGAAACACCAACGTCTTGGTGTTGATGCAGCCATTCGTCTCCTTTTGCTTATGACTATTTATCGTATCGATTTCTTGACCAGCCCGTCAAGATTTGATGGCATGACAGTATGGCCATTTCGGACCGCCTGTGAATCCACAAAGACTATTTAAGGCTAACCCGACTGCAGCATGACAACAAGTGTCCCCGCAGAGCTGATGCCGATCGAGGCGCGGCGACTGCGGCCGTGGCGGGCCAGGGCGGCCCGTTCGTTGCAGACATCTTATACCAGTTGAGTATAGTTGCAGTAAGCTTAAGCCGTCATCATATGTACGTATGTAGGTAAGATGTTCTTTTTGTAAGCCATTTATACTCACTACCCCGTTTCAGTTGCAACACAGGGAAGTCTCGCCGCTGTTATGACTTCATGTTCATATGGTATATAGGTACTGGGGCTTATTTCAATAAAACCCCTTCTTATAAGTGGCGTGTCAAAAATTGTATCGTCACCGCCAGCCTATGTCCTAAGCCTTCCTCTAAACCTAAAATTTACGCAGGCGGCATCTACTTCGAATCACGATGGGGTTAGCAAGCCTTACGACCGTTTTTGCCGGCTTGAGCATGTTGGGGTTCTATTTGGTATGGGCCCTTATGGGACTCAATGGCAGCTTGGAAGCTCTGTTTGCGACAATTGCGTCGGGTGTCTTCCTTGATGGACAAGAGTTGAAGAAGAGCTGGACCGGAGTATGGGCGATAGACTTCGTGATCTGCCTTCTCGTGGTTTTTTTCGAGGGCCTAATCGACTTGTCGGATGAGTCAGCGTATCTCATGTTACTAGACCTTTGCTTTACCATTTGCGTCATAAATATGATGACCCTCGTGGAAAGTCGCCGAAAGGAGGGATCACGTGGGATGGGACTGTAAGAGTATTTTCACGCCGTGCTTGGTAGCTATTTACTAATATGTCGCAGTTGTGGTGTATGGCAGTATTTATGGGATTGCGGAGGTGTTGCTGTCTTCTTCCCCATATACTCGTTATTATACGTCCGCCGGGGCTCGTCGAGCGCATCACCAGTCCCTGTGGCGGAAGCACAGGCGCTCCCATTCACTGCCATCTGGGGTCTCTTTCTGATTATACCTCTCATGCGACCAGCCGCGATTCATGCAACGACTCAGCAAGGAACCGTCATATTTTTCCTGGGGCCTCTGTTTTATGTTGCTTTCCACCAAATCGTGAAAAGTATCTTCGCGAGAACGAATTATCGAGGAAGCATGAGGCCGGCGAAGGTTGCGTACTTTATTGTTGGTGCTGCTAGCGCTATAGTTCACGTCGGCGTTGCTATTTACGCCATGTCGTCGCTCTCTGATTCCAATGTGTCCCTGAGCCAGATTTATATCCCCAACGATAGCGCGGTGCAGCGCGGCCAACTAAATGTTGTAACGAAGGGCGCGCTGCAATTTATTCAGTGGGACAACGTCATGTTAAACACCGTCGCCCTTCTTCTTGGCAGTTATGTACTGTGTTTTGAGCCTGTCCTACGCGCCAAGTCCTCAAGGAGGAATGAGCGAGCTAGCACTCTGCTCTCGAGCCTCGTTGGCATCACCTTTATTTTTGGAGCTGGTGCAGGATTGGCTTTCGCCTTTTACTGTAAGGAGCATTGGCTATCTGCCGATGAGGAGTGTAAGTGGAATTTAGAAACTCCCAACTGGCAACGAGATTGACTGACATTATGATTAGCATTCCCTGACGAGAAGCGCGAGGCAATAAACGCAGGAAAACGAGTAGGCCGAGTTTAATATTTGCTTGTTCGAGATTAGAGGCTCGGCGAGATGAATGCTGTTGTCGATCACACTAGGGAGATAGACAACTATGGCTGCTGAAAGAGAGCAGTCACTAAGCCAGCAATACATTTGTTTGAAACAATGTAGGCTGTGATGAAGAGAAGAGTTACATGATGGAGGAGTTGTTTACCTACCTAACCTAGTAGGTTATATTAGTAGCTTCATTATGAGAAGATATGATCAGACGACGAGATCGGATTTGAATAGATCAACTAAAAGCTTCCGAGTATTTTCGTATCCCAAACTTGTGTCATGACCGGAACAGAATATTGAAATTCGATCGATGTCTATGACCACCTCGCTATGTAATTTGCAGCATGTCACTTTATAATAATAGATGTTGCTCGAAAAAAAGAAAGCGAATCGAATCGATGTCTAGACGATATATTGTCCGCACGACGAACCGGAAATGTTAGAAGTCTCGCACATCGGTAGGTTTCTTCAGTATCCGTAGACATCGGTATCGGTCGAGTATGAGTGAGTGAGCTCCTGCTTTAGACATAGTAATCGGCCTGAAAGACCTACATGTAGCCACGATATTATATACCTACCTACCTAGAATACCTTACATACCTGCATACCTAAGTTAGGTAGGTATACTATAAGTAGGTAGGCAGGGACCCATATTATGTACTGATAAAAGTGTAGTTTCGATGTTGCGAATCGACTTTTCTCGTTGGTATGAGGACCTGCTTGGTAACTTGGTCCTATCCATAGCTAGCACATCAATAGAATGTATGTTAAAACCTTGGGTTAGATAGGTATGGTTGGTGACTGAGTCAAAGTGAGGAAATGATGAAATAATGAATCTTTGTAGGTCACGTGACAACGTCTTGCCCCGCCTCAGCTGCTTTCTTATGACACTCGGGCCCACATACATCACTTGGCACTAAGCTCTACGAGGTGAAACAGACATCACGCCGGATGGATACTGTAGTACCATATGTATGTACTTAAGGGGTAGGTACTGTTACCGCCTATTGAATGCTAATAGATACTAGATTTATAGGTACCTGAAGTAACCTAACTTTGGTGCTGTTGCTTTAATCAATGTTGATTGATGGGTCCAAGCAGCACCTGGCAGCACTAAAGTGGCAGCAGCAGCAGCCCGACCGCTTGCTCAATCATACAGTTCACAATAATACATACCAGCACGGTACCTGATCCCCCCCATTCACCAACCTTGAACTCCACCACTTCGATATTTGATCGGCTGCATCTAACTACAAAGTCACCCAAAACTCTTTCACTGGACAACTGACTTCTGGAGATTGCGATAACGAACAAGCCTAAGGGGCACTCATATTACTGTAGCTGGAGATCCTGTCAACAACCTCGCCTTTTGCAACTCAGCGCCGACATCGATTTTCGTTGTCTACTTACCTACCTGACCTACTTACCTTAGACATTATCTCGCAAGATCCATCTCGCTGTCTTTCATTCTCCTTTTCCGCCTCCGTGTTTTCTTTGACGAGACAACACCAACCCAGACAGTCTATCGCCCAACATGGCCAACGACGAATATGATGTGAGCTTTTATCTGTTCCATGCCCTTTCGCATCTCGCATCTCGAGTCGTGTAATCATCGTCGATTGGATTGGTTTAGCTAACTGAGACTCTCACAGTTTCTCTTCAAAGGTGCACCCACTTCTCCACCGACTACCCAGCTCACCCGACATTTAGGTCACTAACGATGTGGAATTGTAGTGGTGTTGATTGGAGACTCGGGCGTTGGAAAGTCCAACCTACTTAGTCGATTCACCCGAAACGAATTCAATTTGGACTCTAAGTCGACCATCGGTGTCGAGTTCGCAACCCGATCTATTCAGGTCGATTCCAAGACGATCAAGGCACAGATTTGGGATACCGCTGGTCAGGAGCGATATCGCGCTATCACCTCTGCTTATTACCGAGGAGCGGTTGGTGCGCTACTCGTCTACGACATTAGCAAGCATCAGACCTATGAGAACGTGACAAGATGGCTCAAAGAACTTCGGGACCATGCCGATGCCAACATCGTCATCATGCTGGTCGGTAACAAGAGCGATTTACGGCACCTACGAGCTGTTCCCACAGAGGAAGCCAAAGCATTTGCTAGTACGTCATTCTTATTATCATAGTATACCTTCTAGGTACTTGAAGTATGTTTTTTTTAAATATCGTTGTTGACCCAATAACCTACAGGCGAAAACCACCTCTCTTTCATAGAAACTTCTGCTCTCGATGCCAGCAACGTTGAGCTTGCCTTCCAGAACATTCTCACCGGTAAGTGTCCTTTTGCATTACCCCGGCTTACTAAAGCGCTATACAAGACCGCCACCACCGCCATAATTCTAACCACTTTTTTTCAATAGAAATCTACCGCATCGTTTCGAGCAAAGCATTGGACAGCGGCGAAGGGTCTCAAGCCCCGATGGCAGGAACCAACATTTCGTTGACCAAGTCTCCCGATGATGCCGCAAAGCAGGGTGGGAAGTGCTGTTAATTCTTTTCACACGCTGCGGGACGATACGACGTTTATACGGCTGGTATGATGTTACGTATATGGCGTCACGTATTGTCCGGAACGAGCATTCTGGGATTAAGTGATGTCACAACGGGGTTCGGAATATTGACCTTGAACAGGACATGACTCTCATGTTTATTTTCTTCTTTTCATTAATGTTCCTGGCCATGGTCGGAGATTTGACAGCTAGAGGTCACTAACAAGTCTAATCTAACACAATCGACGTTAGGTACTCACTGAATGCCATACTTTTTGTCTGAAGTAATTCGATGAAGTGCCTTGCCATCGGGCTTCGTCATTACTTTTCCATGCTATTGGATTAATATGACATGATACAGTACAGCAAAGCGAACCTCTAGCTTCAATATTGTGTAATATCCAGGCAACTACTGGAATCATACTATATATAATACAGTTATATGCTACGTACAAAACAGCCCAAGTGATTGCTATAGTTCATGCTTCTCTTCTTTCCATGCAACGCTCTCCTCCCACATACATACCTACATAGTATGTAAATTCGTTGTGTCTACCTACTGTACCTACCTAGTACTACGTAGGGTAGGGTAGATGCGATGCACCTATCCTAGTAGGTTTAGATCAACGTTTTCATTCTACGCCTTGGCAATCTTAAATCTTTATTGAAAGTTCCAAGGCTTCGATGGTAGAACAATGAATGTACCTCGCACTCGAACAAGGAGGCTGCAGTACATACATGTACTTGTCAATGTGTAAGGAATGTACTAATAACTATAACATTGAACATAAAATCGATGTACCTACCCTGTACTAGGTACCTACATATTCATTGTAAGTTGTAACATGTATGGTGAGAAGCTAGAGCCCCAACCCCACTATCTAACGAAAATGCCATGTGGTCCGTGGTTTTCCTTATCGATAAATACGATTAGAAAAAAAGTTATCTTTGCGACTCGCGACTCGAAAATGATCTTGGACTTGGACTTGGTTTTATACAGTACTTACTAGGTACTTTTTTTGAGAGAGAGAGTGAGTTGCTACAAACATCGACACATTCAGTCCATAATGGCTGCTGTTTACAAGTCATTGTCCAAAAGTGCCAATGGCCACAAGGCCGAAGCACCTGCCAATGGTGTCCGAAAGAATAAGCAAAGGGTCTTGATCTTGTCCTCTAGAGGTGTTACTTTCAGGTATTTCTAAATCCGCCGGCCTTCTACGACTTGCGCATAACCTCCTAACTATTGCTGTTTGCAGGCATCGGCATTTGCTCAACGATCTTGCAGCTATGCTTCCCCATGGCCGAAAAGATGCGAAATTCGACTCCAAATCCAAGCTTTACCAACTCAACGAGCTCGCGGAAATTTCGAATTGCAATAACGTGCTCTTCTTCGAGGCTCGCAAAGGCCAGGACTTGTATGTCTGGTTGAGTAAAGTTCCAAACGGTCCGACAGTGAAGATGCACCTACAGAACTTACACACTATGGAAGGTTGGTCATACCTAATTCAGTTCCATTTCTTATCGATCCTGTTTGCGTCAAGGCGAATGATTGACTTGTTGGCTAACATCCTTCTCTTAACAGAGTTACATTTTACGGGAAATTGTTTAAAGGGTTCAAGGCCGGTTCTTTCCTTTGATGCCGCCTTTGATAAAGAGCCATACCTCCAAGTCATCAAAGAATTATTCCTCCACACCTTTGGCGTGCCGCAAGGCGCAAGGAAGTCGAAACCTTTTATCGACCATGTCATGGGGTTTACATTCGCAGATGGGAAAATATGGATTCGAAATTACGAAATCAAAGAAACAGAAGCTTCCAAGTCAACGGACGAGGATGCCGAGGCTGAATCGAAGGCCTCTAAGGGTCGCAGCAAGGAGCTCGACATCAACATGGTTGAGATTGGGCCACGTTTTGTTCTGACCCCGATCATCATACAAGAAGGATCTTTTGGTGGCCCAATAATTTACGAGAACAAAGAATTTGTCTCACCAAACCAAGTTAGAGCTGACCTACGAAAGAGGAAGGCTACAAAGCATAATGCTCGCGCGGAGCAATTTGTGGAGAGACTCGCGAAAAAGGGAGATCTAGGTCTCCGAACGAGCGGTGGTAAACCAGTCCCGGTCGATGAACTAGATACGAAACAACTATTCGCTTAATTGTACTCCCTCCTAACGGCGTTCTGGCGTTTACATGGCACCTAGGTGTCCGCAGAAATTCTCTTGGAGTTAGATACAATTCATGCCTAGATATGTATAGCTACTACCTACCTGCGTACTTATTAAGTCAAGCTTTGGGATGTGAAGTTAATGTCAATACTCCTGACAACTAAGTAATTCGTCTTAAATAGGCCGTGTATCAATACATAAGGTAGGTAGTGTTTGACCTTCAGATCCCATTTGACCTTCCTCCTTCTAACCTGCATATGTACATATGTCTGATACATTTATACGCATATGTGCCTAAGCAATTAGACTTATATACTCTAGATATATGCCAGTAATGAAATGCTCAAGGTCAAATAGAGTTTACACTAGGAGGAGCACTAGCTAACAAAGTCATGTGACTTACTCCCTAATCACGTAGACCATCGCTTCACGTGATACCCTACTACATAGTCCGTTTGCATTCCTCATCTCAACCGCAGTATAGGGGTTTTGGATGGTGGTAAGCAGAGCGAATTGGTTGAGGCCTATATAGTTTCTTCAACTATGGTTGCTTCAGGAGCTATTGCATGATGGGCAATCAATATCATATCAGGGGAAGTCGCTCTAAGAACCGGCTTGAACATCCCCGGTGAACTATTCCTCCCAGCCTGCGATAATACCCAAAGAATCTTGCGTCTAAGGGCATCTTGCGTCTAAGGAAACATATATCCTTCTTCAGTATGCTGTTAAATTAAAGGCTATTAGACTGCCCTTAAATAAGGGCACAAAGCCCTATATTCTAATATTTCAATCACCTTCCACAAAAGCCATTTCATATGGACCTTGGGAATATTTTCAATTTACAAGCGGGCCCCTACTACCTCGTCCATAGACAATATATAAATGGCAGTCACAGCCAGACAGATGAGTCTATGCCCTAGAATGGTAGCATTGAGTACTATATCTCTACAAAATCTAACCCACCATGCTCCAAGTACTTCTGCCATCGACCCCCCCTCCAACCTTCACTCCAAAGATTTTTATTATCAGTCCCTAGAACTCTACCTAGTAGTCTTCACTACCAGTACATGTTCTAGGTACTTACTTTTACATTCTCTCAAATTTCCAATCCACTCACATTTCATCTTCCTTCATCACGGTTTCCTTCATTGTTCCTCAATTCTGCGTTACACTATCCAGAGAGCGAAGCCCGGACACAAGGCTCCCTTCTTATTTTATTCTCCCCAGTCGCGTTCTCGGAGTTTTCTTGATCAGTTCTCAGGCTCGCGTCATCTGGGTGATTTCAGTTCTGGCAGTACGTCCAAAGGTGCCGAATGCCGCTGGTGATCAGTACCAACCGGTACCAACGCAACCAGATTCTCGTACTGGTGAGAGAGAACACGGGGTTTACTTGCCAGTCATTCATAGTAAACAGTCTATTATCCCTTAGTTCTATCGGAATCTATCGCGGATAATCAATCATCTCTCACTATTACGAAACTTGTCCCTTCTTATACATCCCCCTTTCCCATATTCTCGGCTCTCACGAACACGACAAAACACAATACGGCCTGAAGAGAAGCCAAAAATACCCTCCTCTACTTCATTCACTCATGTACTTCGGGAGCTTGAGCCACGAACTGGTTCCTGCATTTTCAAGATGTCATCCGCTAGCAACAGCCCTCGCGGGCCATTGAAACTCGAGACCCTACTCAAGGATGTTGGTACGTACTTCTTAAACTACTTCTTCCCCCGTTTCATGCCGTATCTCGTATTATCAATTACTATGATCTTTACTTGCATATTTAAGATATGTACCCTATCCGACGGTATGATTGCTAACTATTACTATAGTCCTCCATATCATGGGAAAGATGACCCCGTCTGATCTCGTCAACTTTGTTCTTACGAACAAAAGGTTTCTCGCCTTGTTCAACCGATACAAAAATGGGCTGATGGTGAGCATTCTCAAGGAATTGCCTGAATCAGAGACCATGACGTTGTTGTATACGACTCAGCTCACTGAGTTACATCCAGCCTGGACCCTACGTCCACGTGCCGTGGATGTCCAAACAGCCTCACAGCATTTTATAAAACTCATGCAGCCAAACGGGGATTACGATCAGATTTATCACATGAGCCCAGCTGGAATTCTAACTCTGTGGAAGATGACGAAGGTCATCGATTGGTGGGTTCAGATGTTCCCAACCTTATACTGGAGAGATTCTTTGGCGAATCGTCGACACTTGACTCCGAATGAAGAGTGGCGCCTGAGAAAGGCTATTGCGCACTGGTGGCTGTATGCACACCACCATCATGGATTCTCTTACGCCTTTCGACAGAAGCAGATACCGAAGCCATACGAGAGGGACCCCAGAGTGTCTCACATGAGACGTCTGTCAACGTGCGAGCTTATGGAACTTCGAGACCTCTGGGCCGTGGTCCACAACACGGTGAGCAACGATATTTGCTCGTCCGCAGAAGCCGTGTGCTTCTGCCAGGTAAGACTACAAAATCCATCTTCTAAACCCAATATATCAATTTACATAGGCTAATAATTGTGTTTAGAGCCCGGATGGTGTGGCATTTGTTCCGTGGGGCCATGAACAACAACGCCACGCAAGCATTGTTCGAACATACATGAAACTGGATCCGAGAAGGCTACGCTATTACTTGTTGTATTACCCAAACTGCAACCGAAACTTCGTTACGGGCCTTATCAGACAGCAGTCACGCGCCTTCGATTCTGATATCGAAACACTATCATTCGCGATAAACAGGGCGCTGATTGAACGAGAGCACCTCAGAGAAATTGTTACCGGGACGTTCACCCCAACGCCAATCTTCGGAATTCTGGACGACACCCGAACAGGTGTCGATGTCTCTCGATGGGATGTCGACCAATGGCTGAATGCGAACTTGCACAGAGTAGGGCCTCAAGTAATCCTCACCCGGCGTGTTCCTCGTGGCGACGACGGTAGCGACAGACCAATTCCGTGGTAGAATCAGGGACCATTTCGTCGTTGCTGGATCTGCAGGGGAGAATTCACGCATGCGGCCTTTTGGCCCGTCCCGTTTCATTCGGCGCCGGCAAACGCACTATTCCACCCTCGTGATCCTACTTTCAGGGCCTCTTTGCCCCCAATCACTTTCCCATGGCAATGGCGGCATGACCCCCCACCCGAAGAAGTGCCTCGGCCTCTTCACTTCTGGTCTTGAAAGAACAAGGCGGGTCACAGTTGACAATCTCAACTTTATGCTATTTGATATTGCTTCGTCAATATCCAGCAGTTGCTAGGGAATATTATGCAGAAAGAAAAGAGGTATTTGAGGCAGGACGAATGAAGAAAATGTCTTCACTTCCTGCCCCACGGAGAACAATATCAACGAGGGACTTTAGCCCTGGCAAAGGGTTACGACACGAATGATCGAGAGTTTATCTTTCTTGCCTCACGACCCCCCGACAAAAAAAACCCAAATCCAACCTCTACTGAATCGCCAAAGGCCATTGACAAGACGAGGGGCATGATCCGAAAGCCATGCCTGGGTCGAGAGTTGTTCCCTCACATGCTGGGGGTTGGGGCAATAGTGATCGAACCGTTTCCTTCCTTTCGCGTTTCTCTCTTCTTATTCCCTTCTTCATTGCATTAGTCCCCTTGAGGTCCGGAGGAGACAACGAAGAAGTCGAGATAGATTTAGTCCATGTGTTGGTCTATCAGATAATACGGTCTTCCAAACAGTCAAACAGTGGGAGCCCGATGGTTAAGGATCGAGTTTCCAAAGACTGGCTTATTCAGATATGGGGTTTTAAAGCCGAGTATCGACATTTCGAGATTATGGTCGAAGGGTTGAGGCTCTTGAGGGCTGGGGGCTGAGGGTTGGGGGTTTGAGGATTGTGTTTCCTCTTCTTTTTCTTTTTCTCTTTATTCATTTATTCATTTATTTCTTTTCTACATCTTAATTTGCCTCGGTACAATATCTCAAGCTCATGAGTACGGCAGCTTCCTACCAGGCATAATTACAGATAATCATGTTTTTAGCAGTCTCTTTCATGTCTAATTGCTCGTTGCATTCTTACAGTACAACCCCTATTGCTAGGTACCTACTAGGTACCTAGGGGAAGCTTTATTATACCATAGCTAGCTCACAAATCCGACGGACCAAATGAAGAAACCATTAAATACGAGTTCCCGTAGTATAGAACCTTAGATTGCACCTGGGTTGATGAATAGGCTCATAGCCATCATTAGGTACCTAAGTTAGGTAGGTACTTTGAGTGTTGGCAAGTAATTATAGAATTTATAGTAGGTGGGTTAGGTAGGTAGGTACCTAACGAGGTTGTGGACCCCAAGTAAAGGCTCCGGGGCTGATACGGCGTATCGGATTTGATAAGCCAGGGCCGTGTCGCAGCCCGGGGTCGTTAAAATAATTAGCATTACTAGTACTCGGTACTTAGGTACCCTAGGTACCTACAATTTCTAGTACAGGTATGCGCCTTAAATGCACCTACATCTGGTACCTGTGCTGTTAGTTAATTCAATGTTCACTGAAGCATGCTCTCCCCTGCATCTCCATCACACCCCATACAATACATGATAACCTCTTCCAGGTCACATCCGACAATCTCACAACGTCGGCGAGGGTATTCACATCTTTGGCACCCTCTCATTAAGAGCCTTTGGAGTGATTTATCATACGGCATCACTTTCATTCAACAGGCACACACACGCCACCCGTACTTTGTACATCTATCTATCTTCAGGTCAATCTGGGAGGCTGGACTTGCATGATCCATTAAGCCACCGAAGTCTACCGAGAGTAAGTATTCACGCTTCTATCTTGTATCTCTTTGATATTCCTTTTCCTGCTTGATAATTTTGATGAGTCTCAAATATCTCAGTGGCATGTAAAGACGCGCTGCCTTTACTGACCAAATTTGGGATGAGATCTCGAAGTAAACATTGTCTTCAGATAACTTCTATAAATCCCGGGACACAAGTATCTTGTCTATCATATGCGCCGTGATAATTGTCGACTAAATGCCTACCAACTCTATCTGGCGGGCTTGTTCATGGGCTTGGCACACCACCTACGTAGCAGTCAGCTAACATATCATTAGGCCACTACCATCTCATAGTGCTCTGGTTTTACCCCAGCATCACTCCTGTAGCCGTGGGCATGCGAATCATCAACCTCCTGGAGGCATCTCGATCGCCGTGTCCTTACTTGGCTTAAGTTAGACCGTGCTTATCACCATAGGCGTTGTCCTTGGTTCCGCGCGGGCTAATACCGTAACCTTCCTAGTAGGTGAGGCCCGACACCAATACGTTTTAGGTGGCAGTATCATCGACTCAGCCTTCACCATTTGATAAGTACTGCTCTATTCTTGCCGAACTAAGGAGAAGCTCTTAGATTCAGCCCGACTCGTTGGCATCATGGAAGGCGAAGATCAATCTATGACAGACGCGCCTAATGGACTTGACGAATCTCATGCTCCCCCTGCCACAGGACAAGGTAGCGACTTATCAGCCCATAATGATATGAATGTAGACACAGACGAGAGTGAAGATTCAAGTGAGGCTGAGCTTCGGGCCAACTCGATGCTGCAACGCAGAAAGCTCCCTACAGGATGTTGTTACGATGACAGGATGAAGCTTCACGCGAATGCTGATTTTGGCCCTGCTCCTCACCATCCAGAGGACCCTAGACGAGTCGAAGAGATCATGAAGATGTTCAAAAAGGCCGGTCTCGTATTTACCGGTCCTGACTCTGAGCTTCTGGATATTCTGAGAGAGAATCCGACCAAGTATATGTGGAGAATTCCAGCTCGCTCTGCCACGAAGCAGGAGATTTGTACGGTGCATACCGCACGACACTATGCATGGGTCGAGCATCTCTCCGACATGCCCACAAGGGAACTGAGACTACTAAGCCATAATCTAGATCAAGGTAGAGCCTCGCTCTATGTTGGCGGCATGTCCTATGAAGCAGCATTGCTCGCAGCAGGAGGGTGTGTGGAGACGTGCAAAAATGTTGCCGCCGAGCGTGTCAAGAATGCTTTCGCCATTATTCGGCCACCTGGTCATCATGCCGAGTACGATACCCCCATGGGATTCTGTCTATTCAACAACGTCCCAATCGCCGCAAAGGTCTGCCAAAATGAATTCCCCGACACATGTCGTAAAATTCTCATCTTGGATTGGGACGTTCACCATGGGAACGGAGTTCAGAACATGTTTTACGAAGATCCGAACATCCTTTACATATCCATTCACGTATATGAGAATGGTAACTTTTACCCGGGGAAGCCAGAAAACCCCATGATACCCGATGGAGACATAGACAAAGTGGGAGACGGCCCAGGCGAGGGGAAGAATATCAATATTGGCTGGCCATCCCAGGGTATGGGAGACGGCGAATACATGGCTGCATTCCAACATATTGTCATGCCAATCGGTCGCGAATTCAACCCGGATATGGTGATCATCTCTGCTGGCTTCGATGCGGCCGATGGTGACGAGTTGGGTGGATGCTTCGTCACGCCGACATGCTATGCCCACATGACGCATATGTTAATGTCCCTTGCCGGGGGGAAGGTGGCAGTTTGTCTGGAGGGTGGTTATAACCTGAAGGCTATATCCAACTCAGCTCTAGCAGTTGCCCGAACACTTATGGGCGAGCCGCCACCCCAAATGTCCATACCTCCCATTGCTAAAGAAGCCGCAAAAATGATCGCCAAAGTTAAGGGGATACAAGCTCCCTACTGGGAATGTATGAGGCCTGGTGTCATTGACCTTAATGAGTTGGGTGACAACAGGTCTCGTCTGCACGATGTCATTCGAGGTTATCAGCGACAGGTGCTATCTCAGAAGTTCAACATGATTCCACTCTTTATCCAGAGAGCGGTTCTCTATAAGTCGTTCGAGAATCAAGTTCTTGTTACGCCCGGATTACAAGCTAAGAAAAATATAATGGTTATAATTCACGACCCGTAAGTGTAGACGTCTGATTTTCCGTCATCTTCCTGCTAACAGGTGTCATAGTCCTGAACTAAAAGCAATGCCGGATACCATCGACAACACCGTCGACCCACATAACGGCTTTATCGTTCGTGATCTCTTCTGCCAATCTTCGGGAATGAGTACTGACAAGTAATAGGTGGATGGTGTCACGTCGTATATCGAGTGGGCGCACAAGAATGATTTTGGTATCGTTGATGTTAACATTCCACATTATATCACGCGTCCGGAGGATATGGATGCATACATGGCTCGAGCAGATGAGAAGACGTTGCAGCGCCAGATACAAGAGTTGGTGTGTTACATCTGGGACAACTATCTTCAGTTGTACTCGGCCACGGCGAATTTATTCGTCATGGGCGTTGGTAACGCATACTTGGGGGTTAAGGTCCTCTTGACAAATCGAGGTGAACTTATCCCATATATCTGTATGGCGAAAGCCCACGTACTAACGGTTTGCTAGATTGCAAATATCAGCTCTCAGGAGTCGTCAATTTTGTCACGGGCAGCCTACGACCGGTCAAGTCGGAAACAGATCCGGACCTGTCGACCTGGTATAAGCAAAACTCGCTAGTATTTGTGACCAACGATCATGCTTGCTGGGCGGATAGCAGTTTGGCAAAGAAGGTGCTTAAGAAGCGTTTTGGGGGCGTACAGAAAAGCCCCGAGTCTGGACTGAACCGTATGATGGAAGTGCATGAGCCCGATGTCTGTCAATTCATCAATGAGAGGCTTAAAAGCCAGAGACGAAGTGGCAACACTACCGAGGATGAGAATTGAACTTGGAGGAATTCTTGTCTTGTAATGAGTGAGTGATGGGATATGTAGGTGTAGATACCAGAAGAGGTATATCAGTCTCTGTCCAGGGCCCTTTCCCCTAGTTTCTAGGTTGGGGCTTCAGGCTACAGCACCGATGATTCTCGGGTTCTAGTTGCCTCAGACTGAACCTTTAAGTAGGTATTAATTCGAAAGAACTGATGTCCCTTTACACAGAAGTCGATATCGACATTTCCTTCGATGTTTCTTAGGCCTTGCTCCAATTTTTTTCTTCTACCCTTTCCTCTATTTTACAGGATTGTGTCAGAAAATAAATAAAAATTGCTTTCTTTTCTTTATAACATAACTTCACCTAATCCATCTCCCATTCCACATCCATCTCCATCTTGTCTTTTATCTTTCACTAACACAAAGCAATAACTTGAATCACCTACAGTCTGCCTAGGTGCTTAGGTACCTAGGTAGATAATTATCAGCCTATCACAGCACTTTTTGACCTGGCTTAAGTGGACTCTTTGATCAGTTATCTGGTATTGTCTCTCTTATCGCAATTGTCCGATTGGCCAAAATGTTTCCAGGCAGAGGTGGGAGCAGAAGTAGGGGCAGAGGTAGGGGCAGAGGTAGGGGCAGAGTTAGGGGCACGGTTAGGGGCAGAAGTAGGGGCAGAGGCAGAAATGGTGGCCGTGGAAGGGGCCGTGCACAAGCAAGACCAATTTATGAATTTCAAGTTCACATTCCTCCACGCCAATCATTATCACCAATACCACCATCACCACCATCATCATCACCATCTTTTCCTCCTACACCACCACCGCGATCCCCTTCGAACAGTTTACCACCATCTCCAGGACTATTTCCTTTTGGTTCTGTCTATCCGTCTACAGACTTTGGAACTGTTCATCGTTCTAATCCATACTCTCCTCCTCGTCCTGGAACTCCCCTTTACCATCGTGCGCGACAGCACCAGAATTACCCCCGATACCCCCACAGAGAGCCCCATTATCCTGATCCAGAGGAAGCTGCGCCTCGATACCCTCAGGAAGACGCGCCCCAATTTCAGCAGGAAGAATTTTATCCGGGAGCATTACACCAACCCAGAGACTACTTTGAGTCGAGTGAACACCCTGAGCCGAGAGCATACATTAGGCCTGCAGAGCATTTGACATCTAGGGAATTCGTCAGCTCCGAAGCATATCGAGTCGAAGAAGAGTACAGTGAGGCCGATAGAGATTCATCGCATTCTCAATCTCGTCGCAATCCTCGTCGCCAAACACGTGATAGACCAGGTCACTTTAATCCTCGCCGCCAACTTCGCGGCCCGCCTCGTTTCCACGACCGCCGTTACGAGCCGCCCACTTCTTGTGGCATGGATCGCGACGCGCGAAGCAGAAGGTAAGAATCTCAGCGAAATATCAACACAGAACGTGGAGATAAATTACTGCTATCTGGAGAGGAAAAAAAGAAGAATAAGAAAGCAAACTACAGAACCCCCATGCTAACGAGAGGCAATCTTCTAGATACGATGACGGAGAAGTCACTAGATATGGCGCTGGGGAGTCCTATCGACCGTTCAACTCTAACCGCTCTCCGCGACGGGCTAGAAGCCCTCCACGAGGCCGTAGTCCACCAATCATAGACAGCGACCGCTACATTCCCGGCCGATCCCCGCGACGTCGCTCGCGCAGCACAGATCGCTATCGACGTGAGCCTTCTAGAGACAGGCGAGACACTAGAGAGATGGGCGACAGCTGGAGACGACGGGATAGAAGTCGAAGTCTCCGTAGAAGCCCTCCTCGACGATCTCCTCCTCGACGTAGCCCGCCTCGCAGGAGTCCTCCTCGCAGATTTTCTCCAAGACGGGATGATAGAGATCGGCTGAGATCTCCTCGTAGGGGCTACGACTCAAGGTTCCCACCACCACCCCACAATGACAATCCCAACGCAGTCCCCCTAACTCTTGCTTTCAGACGAAGATCTAGATCTCCTTTTGATAGAGATCGCGGTCGAGAGAGATCGCCCTTACGTCGTTCACCTCCCCCCGTACAAAGAGCTAGCACTTACAGAGTCCGCTCTCGCAGTCCAGAGCGACGAGATGATCGGTACGGCCCCTCGTACAGCAGACGCCCTTCGCCACCTCGCGAGTCCGCTATTTCTTCGGCCATCCCGTCTCGAGATACCTCCCGTAGATCTTCACCCCATCCTCTCCCTCTCCGTCGCGATGATCGTTCACGTCAGCAATCCCAAAGCCCACCACGACCACGATCTAGATCCTCGGCCGGCATCCCGGTAAGAGAGAGAAGTCCTCAGGGAACCCCCAAAGAGTCGTTTGTACCTCCCAAATCGCCGCCGCGCGGACCTGCTGCGCTTCGCGTACCTCCCACTGGACCAAGGGAGACTCGTATCTACGGAGGCCAGTCTGGTGGAGCGATAGGTCCGCCTCCCAGACCAGCACCCGTCATGCCTACGGCATCGAGTCAACATAATGTTAGCCCTGGCGCTCCGCCATCGGGTCCTCGAGGATACGTATCATCACGGGGAGGCGGTTACAGTCGTGGTGGCCGAGGGGGCCCTAGCTGGGGAAGTACGATTCAGAGTCGAAACTTGCTACCTGCTACAGGTCCCGTTTCCGCGTCAGCAGTCACGGGCGCGAGCAGCATTCCTACTGGCCCGCGGGCAGGTTCAATATCACAATCAGTCCCCACGACCCCCATCAACCAGTCGAAGCCATTCAATCCCCCTAAAGGGCCCGCAGCCGAAAGCAACCGTCCAAGCCTCGCCCAATCCTTGCTGCAATCGCTCCCCCCAATCATACCGGGAGGTAAGATGGACGCGTATCATACGGCGATTGCGACGGGCGTAATGCCAGAGCTCCAGGCCCATACAGCGCAGCTCAAGGAGGAAGAAGAGAAGCTCCGTGCTGAGAAGTATGTCAAGGAAGAAAAATTGCGCAAAAGCTTAGCCATGTGGGACAAGTTTGAGCGTGAGGCCAAGGTACTCGACCTCCGCCTTGAACTATCCGAGAACAGCGTCAAGAAGTTCGCCGGTGAAAGTGTAAGCAAAGCAGCCTTTTAGTAAAAGCCCAGACTAGGCTAAGCTAGGCGGAACGAGGCCTCAAAGTGCATGCATCTTCTTTAGGGAAAGGAAAGTTGAGTGGGTGGGTAGGAACAGGTGCGATGCGGTAATGCGGTGGCTGGTGGAGATGGGTATGTACATGAAGGCCGGAGAGGAAGGCAGGGTATTCCCGACACGCGTTTGCGTGACCAAGAGTCTTGGAGAACGATTAATCCTCCTGAGGCTACGAAGTTAGTTGAGGCGATACGACGATACTAATGCCGTGGGATGCCGAGAGTCCCTAAGAACGTGGGAAAGGCCCTTTCATAAGGGAGGGAGGGTATTACGGATGTTCACGGCCGAGAAAAGGACCAATAATTATTGTGCTAAAAAAGGACAGTCCCCCTCTTCAAGAGAGGTCTTTTTCCTTTTAAGCCCCATGTTTCCCTTCCCCGGTTTGAGGGATCTTAAAAAGGGGACAATAGTTGGCGTTTGTCATGCATTGACAAACGTTAGGCAACATACCCAAGAAGGGAGGGAGGGATGGATGGAACTTCAGGTCGAGTACCTAGTTCAACTTGGCAAGACAAGGCGAGGCGAGGTTAGAAGAAGGGAAGGGCAAGCAGGACTCACTCACCCTCCTGCTTTCTCTTGCTTTTCTTTCTCTACACAATTTACACGGATGGGGGGGGATTCCTTTGCAGTTCTGCCTATTGCATTGGTCCCCCCTGTACAAACTACCTACTCAGGTTAGGTAGTCAGGTAGAGGGTTTCCTCGTCGTCGCCGCGGCCTAGAGAGAGAGAGAGAGAGAGAGAGGCCTTTGCATGATACCATAACCAATAAATCGAAGATTTTTTTTTCTCACACTGAGGAACTGATTGAGTAACTGGCTGGGCCGGTGTTTAACTTCTGTGGGTGTGTATGCGCTGTAAATGAGGCTCTACAATATGCTAGGTGCCTAAGTAGGTACCTACCGACCTAGTTTTGATATTCGGTTTTTTCAAGGGGGATTCAAAATCCGAGAAGGAAGGTAATTAGGTGATCACTATAACTATCTAGATCTTGGTTTATCAGGGTCAAGCATATCATATTTCTACCTTACCTACCTAGTCGGTAGGTTCTTATGTATCTATTTCAACGCTCGAATGACTCGTCGTTATTCTGTTTTCCTCCTCTCCCTTTGTCGAGACATCACACCCTGCCTCTTCATCTTCTTCATCTTCCCCGAAGTCCCAAATACTCTTCCTCTTCTGGCCCCAGGCTCTCGCCCCCTTACGCGGGGAGTGCCAAAAGATCCTTTACTAAACGAGCCGGCCGTACTCAGCGTCTTCGGGTCAGCCTTGCGGTACCTCACCTTGTACGAAGCCCACCTCTCGAGGTTGGGGATGTGGATGCCGAGGGTGGGCAGCGCGAGGAGTTTCATCTTAGAGACGTCCAGGACCCTGGGATGTAGGGATGGCGCCGGCGCCGGGGTCCCGGTACCATCGTCGGTGATGGTGTTGGCGTTGGCGTTGTTGTCTACACGCACCGGGTTTGGGTATCCCGGCCTTGGCTCGACATCTTCGCTCTCTAGGTCTAGGGGCTCCTCGAGATAGAGGCCCGGCAGGGTATATCTGACCTTACCAGGGGCATACTTCTTGAGTAGTGCCGCTAGGCGATACTTGGTGTTTTCGCTTAATAATTCTCGGAAGATTTTCACGTGCTCGATCAAGAATGGCTGCACAACAAGGCGGTACGGGAGCCGGTGGTAGATGTTGATCCAGTAGCGACCGTCCCATAGCTTCCATACTGTGCGCCGGGACCCCTTCCAAAGCCCCGTGTCGTCGCGCAAGACGGCACGATACGGTGTGTGAACGCGCGGGAGAGGCTTGGTGGCAGAATATGGCGCGCGTGAGAGGTACCAGGCTAGCCGTGGCTGTTCAAGGCCCTCACTCGTACCTTGTGGGGTGTCTTTGGAGTCAGGTTTATATTCGATGGGGACGAGATGCACGCCGGCGACAGTAAATGCCTTGGGATGGTTGGCTAACGTAGCTTCGTCAGGGCTAGCGAGAGATGAGAACAGACGAGCTACATGGCCTACTAAAGTCGCAAGGAGCGGTGAGTGTAATTCAGGGGTCACCAGCTCCAGGATTCTGCGCAAGACAATCGCAGCAACTTCTCTTCTTCTCGCGAGGCGCGCTCGACGGCGCAGCGGTGAGCGCAAGTCCCTCTTCGTTAGGGGTGATTTGATGACAGGGAATTGAACGGTTACGGTCCCGACGTACGTTTCGAAATCGTGAATGATGGTTCGGCTTAGCAGCCTATTAGCTTCGGCCTCCTGCGCTTGAGCTCTGAGCTCACATCTTTTGGACAAGGCAAGGATAGCCGGCTTCTGTAGAGCTACAGGGAGTGTGTAGCCCTTGTGCAAGTGTCTGACAGCGTTTCGCATCGTCAGCGTGGGGTCCTTATTCGTAGCATCTTCCCACCAAGGGACATTGTTCTCCACACAAGTAGCAATCAAGCGGTCCTTACTAAACTCCAGCAAAGGCCGGTATACAGTAACACCACCATCTTCCACCTCAATGTCGTTAATTTCCACTGGGTCAGACCGCTTCCACGGAGACATCTCCTCTATTGGTACATCACTTGGCTGGTATATTTCTGCCAAATCAACGTCGATTAAGCCAGTCGCAGAATACCCATTCAATTCTATCTGAAGCATAGCAGGGTCTATCATTTCAGACTTGAGTTCTTGGCGTAGAGACTTGCACTCCCTCCGCGACGGCTTCAAGTCGTAGTATGGAAATTCGCGACGCTGATCGTCAATGTAACCACTCCGGTTTGCGCCGAATAGGCCCTCACACTCGGGGATATCTTGGGCTTTCTGCATGCCGCGCAGACCACGACTGCCGTGGCCCTGTAGCAGGCGCATGAGAAGGGTCTCGTACTGGTCATCTTCGTGGTGCGCAAGCAGCAGCGAAGCAATCTTCCGAAGGTGGGACGAAAATCCCAGTTTCTGATAGCGCAGCCTGCGGGCGACGCTCTCGAGATTAGGCAAATCCTTGGGATGGTCGTGGCCGCGCAGTGCCGTCTTGGACCATTGGAGTGTGAATATCTCGGCAGAGAAGTCCATATTATGGAGGGCTTTGCAGACAAATTTGGCTTCCTCGCTAGATTCTGGGCGGAGGCCATGGTCAACGATAAAGCCGCGAAAGTTGGAGACAACATTATCGGAGAATTTGAAGTCGGGTTCCAGTTTGCGCACTTGGGAGCAGAGGAAGGCAAGGGCCATAGAATCCACGCCGCCGCTTACGGCCATGGCTATTTGATATGTTAGTTAAAATAAGCTTAGGCGGCTAAGGTATGTAGTAAAAGAAGAGTAAGAAGAGTAAGAAGGGTAAGAAGGGTACTTACCAACCTGTCTACGTCGTGAGCCTCTGGTAAAGGGGAAGCGAGGAGGGGAGATGGCGCGCAGGGCGTCCATGAATTCGGGCAGGCCAATTGGCCTTGCACCGGTGTGCATAACGTGGTAGAGCGTGCCCATTCCATTGTATATTTACCCAGCCACAACACGCCGGAGACGATGTGATGGTTGGGTATATATAATAATACTTGATGTATACCTAAGCACGAGGGTATGAAACATATAGGAAGAGAGAAGAGAAAAGTGTAGGTATTTATCGCTGCTACACTAATGTAATGCTTTATCGATACCTGCATACTAGGTACATAGTAGTACCTAGTATTGTACCCCCACTATACTATTTTGCATGTACTCTTCTCCGATAAAAGGACCTTGAGCAATCCAAGTTGAATCTCTCCAAGCTACCCTACCCTAGGTACATAAGGTAGCACTCAAAACTGAACCACTCCAAATTCTATAGTAGGATATTTTACGCATCATCACGAACAAGCAGCCAACAACACCAAACTTGACCAATGGACACACCCCTTTGACCTCTCCCTCCTCGCAATGGCCCTTAGGATTCCCTTCTCAGTTCCAATCTCATTCTATCCTGCAATAGAGGGGTTGGCAAGCCATACCTACTACTAATATTCTCTCTCTCTCTCTCTTTCTTTTTCTTCCTCCTCTACTTCATTCTTCTAGAGAAACACCCTCAAACTCGAACTTACAACCACCTACGAATAAAAAAAAAAAAAAGAAACACAGATATCCCACACAATGTCTTCCTCCACCCAACCACCCCCCTTCGCAACCGCCCTTCTCGCCGGCGGCATAGCCGGCACCACCGTCGACCTATCGCTCTACCCCCTCGACACCCTCAAAACGCGCCTCCAATCCTCCGCCGGCTTCTTCCCCTCGGGCGGCTTCCGGGGCATATACCGGGGCGTCGGGTCCGCCGTCGTCGGGTCCGCGCCCGGCGCCGCCTTCTTCTTCTGCACGTACGAGGGGGTTAAGGGGGTTCTGGCCTCGAGACGACCGCACGGCGATTCCTCCCCCGAGATAGAGGCCTGGCGCGCGCCCGCCGAACACATGGCGGCCGCGAGCCTGGGCGAGGTCGCCGCCTGCGCCGTGCGCGTGCCCACCGAGGTCGTCAAGCAGCGCGCGCAGGCTGGTCTGCACGGGGGCTCCAGCGCCGGCGCCCTGACGGCCATCCTCTCGCAGTACGGCCGCATCGGCGTCGCCGGCGTGTGGCGCGAGCTGTACCGCGGCTGGGGCATCACCGTCATGCGCGAGGTCCCCTTCACCGTCATCCAGTTCCCACTGTGGGAGGCGCTGAAGGGCTGGGGCCGGCGGAGGAGGCAGATAGGGAGTGGTAGCGGTGGTGGTGACGTGGGCGCGGGCGAGAGCGCGCTCTACGGAAGCGTGTCCGGTGCCGTTGCCGCCGGCATCACGACGCCGCTTGACGTGCTCAAGACGCGCGTCATGCTCTCCAAGGAGCGCGAGAAGGTCTTCACCGTGCTGACCGACTTGCTCAAGAACCACGGCGTGCGCCCGTTCTTCGCCGGTATCGGGCCGCGCATTATGTGGATCAGTGCCGGGGGGGCTATCTTCCTCGGGAGCTATCAGTGGGCTGTGAATGCCTTGGAAGGACACGCTTCATGACCGAATCTTTCATATTCGACGCGATATAGAAGATGAACAAATATATACGAAAGTCTTGAGGTTCGATAATCCTCTTATGTATATAACTCGTGGGGGTTAGGTACCTACCTATCCTAGTATATACTCGTGGCTGCATTATGTAAAACAAAAGGGGGATGATGGATGGTTCTTATAATAACCTAGTAGGTTTCTAGGTATGTAGATATATACTTGTACAGCAAATGTTATTGACAACACCCCTTTTGATTTTCAGATGGATCATATATACCTAGGACATTATGGATGATACCCCTCACTCCCTCCTAGCTATATAGTCTCAGTTCCAGAACCCAACTGGATCGATCAGGTTACAGTGGCTATCGGCGGGATCGACATTTGTCCTCCAGGATCCGAGACAGCAGGGTCATCAAGTTGCAGTTGCGGGAGCTCCTTCGGAATATCCTTTCGCCCATTTGCCTTATAATACAAGACAACATCGTTGCCGCCTTTCCAAACATGGGCCCGCAACGTCGCCAGACTCATAGAATTCGGTAATAACTAATAAATCACTGATTAGCGCCCTGCTCTGTTCCCAGTCTCATTCACATTTGAAACATACCTGGTCATTACAATAAAGCTCCAAATACTCCTCAGGCCTGAGGGCTCCAGCTTCCGGCTCTTCAGGCTGTGGATCGATCCTCTCAGCCACGTACCCCAATATTTTCTTCACTCTCAGCATTCTATTTGCGTTGAGACGGTTATTCCCATCGGTTGTCGCAATACTGGGAAGTGAATCTTTCCAGGGGTGTAGAATAAAAGAGACTTTAACAGGATCTTTTGGGGGAATCGCGTTCTGTAAAAGTTAGTCGCTGTCTTAAGAACCATGGCATCGCGACGTACCGTAAGCAACACTTCGCCTAGCCACATCGGGGCTTTCTCCTCAATGATATCTGCATCGACACCTACACTCATTACAGTGCCCCGATATAAGTTGGCACTACCACCAGATGTCTCTTCCTGGATAATGACTTTAGTACCAGGTGGGAGTTTTAAAACTGGCGCGTCTATTGGTAGGGCCGGTGTTATTTTTGTCTCAATTAAGGTATCCGGGTTCTCAAGCAATTGCTTTTCGTACTCATTGTGAATCTTTTGAATGACACCTCGGAGATTATCGTCAACTTCTTTCTCATGGTTCGAGGACGACTCCGACTTGCTCTCTTCCGGCTTGTCCTCTGCCGTAGTAGGCTTCTCAATAGTAGTGGATGCTGACCTTCCGAGCTTCTTAGTACCGAAAGACATGCCCATTCGGAATTTTTTGCCAAAGGGTGTGCTTGGAGATTTGGCAATATCTTTCTCTTTCTCTTTCTCTTTATCCTTGTCCTTATCCTTCGTCTCTGTTGGTGACTTGGGTGCCTCCTCTTTAGTAACCGTCTGATCGGTTGCCGGGGTCGTGGCAGACTTCACAGGGGAGTCTGCCGAGCTAATGCTGGTCGAGAAATAATCCTCAGTAGAGGGTCGATTGAGTGGTTGAGAAGTTGGCTTGTCAAGAGAACTAGCAGAGGCGGTTTTCTCGGAGATTCCTGGAAGATGCAAAGCCGGAGTGGCTAGACCTATTGCTAGACCTGGGGTTATAGGGTGATTGGCGCCGTTTGCTCTCGGCGTTAGCACAGAAGAGTCATCCTGCTCCCACCCTGGTATAGGTATTGGCGGCGGATTTGGTCGAATAGCCGCCTGCCGTCTCTCTACGCTCTCATTGAGTTTCCGCCTGTGGTCTTCGTCGCGTTTGATTTCCTCGTCAATGAGCTTAGCAAACAAGTATCGAAGGATCCATCTCCCTAGATTTACTACATCATAATTAGTCTCTGTCTCGTGCTGAATTTCCCTAAGTCCTTACTTCTCTGATCTTCCCGAAATTCGACAGGCTCTGCTAGAACCAAATCATCCGCATACATTTCGGCATCAAAACAATTAAAGGGTTCTAATACGACAGTCAAGTTTCCTGAACTGGTATCGATTGAACACCAAGGGGCAATTGCCTCCAGTGTATTTACCTCCGGCTCAACATCTTCTAGGTGTTTCTTCCCAAATCTATGGATGACTTCGCACTACTTCGAGTCAGCCAAGTCCTTACTTCATGGGTAAGGGCACCTACTCTGATGAGATCCCACAGCAATACATCGCCTGCTGTATCTAGAGTTAAGACTCTTCGTCGATCATTAAGAAGCTTATGTTTTACAAGTCCATTCTGCCCTTCTATAGTTTCTTCTGGTAAGTGATGTATAGGCTCAATTATAGGAACCACTGGGTCGACAATGATTTCTGATTTCCTGGAAGCCGCACTGAGTGTCATGTTAGGTTCGGGAAAGTCATTCATTACTGGCGGGAAAGTAGCCGTATTGGACATTCGCAAGATTGACTTGGCGTTAAGTTCGTTGTTTTCTAACCCATCGACAGACGACGTATATAGTTTTCGTGCTCTTGACGTAGAGCTACCAGCCCGCAGCTGTCTAAATGGCTCTGGGAGTTGAGCGTTAGGTCCGGTTTCAACGTTTGTCCACCTGTTGATGGAGGAGCTAGAAGTAGCACTCCAGATGTAACCTCCACAAGCCACCACTTTATTCACACCGTCGTGTTCCTGGGCCACAGCAACAGAAAGGCCTTCATCCATCTCAATCGTCCCTCGAGTGTCCGTCTTGACAATCATTCCAGACCGGTCGCTACTGTAAAAGACATCAAGCTCGGGCTCTTCAGAGAATAGTGACCAGACACTGTCGTTATGCATAGTGAGCGTATACATGCATCTTCCAGCAGTAACGCTCCACACTTTGACCGTCTGATCAGAGCTGGCAGTCATGACGGTATCGCCCGCCTCGTTCATTAATATGGCACGAATGTTATCAGTATGTCCAACTAGTTTGGTGATCCTCTTGCCTGACTTGGGATCCCATAACCGTACTATGGACTCGGGTCCTCCACTAGCAAGAATATTTTGGCTGGCACACATAGCGTATACAGACGCCTTCTCACTGACATCCTCGCCTCGGACATCGATTTCCAGAGCTTTCCCCTTGCCATTGAGGTCCCAGAGGTATATCTTTCGGTCCAACCCGCCCGAGGCTACCCAATCTGCGGAACTCGGTGCCGCGACGCATTTTACATAGTCAGCGTGTTGACCGATAGTATAAGGTTCGGTATCTCCCAAGTCAGGTCGCCATGCTTTGACAGTCAAATCGGACGACGCGGATACAAGGGCGGCATTATTGGCAGCGAGAACGATATCGTTGACCCAGTGGGTATGAGCCTGGGTTGAGGCGCGGAATCTCGTGGTTGGTTGGGGATTCGCATCCGGATTTGATATGGCATCGCTGTCCTTGAGGTCGAGGTTCAAGTCCCAGGCGCAGATGACTCCATCCCTGCCTCCAGAATAGCTGTGCGACAAGTGTTAACAAAGCCATTGGTATTTGTAAGACAATGGTATAGAGCTTACAGGATAGCATTATCGGAATCGACCGCGAGCCCGTTAACGCCGAGTCTGTGACCTCCAGACGACGAATGATCAAGTTCGAGAACTAGAATATAAATCAAACGTTAGGATAGACTCAAAGGTGTATTGCTTTAGTTGGTTGGTAGTATTGCGCACCGACACGCAGCTAGATCGGAAGATAAATAGGTAGCCCTAGAGGCAGGTAGTATGCGGGGTGGGCGAAGATCAATAGATGGAGAGATGGAGGGGACAAGACTGCCATAGGAACGAAATACGGAACAATCAAACGAACCATAACTTATCCTCTGACGCGCCTTTTTGGCCATGGTAGATTGGAAACTGTAGAGATAGTCATGCGTGGGAAGGCTGTCGATGAAATGCTACCTTGAAAGGGTGTGTTAACATCGATTAGCAAAGGTCGAGGGCCCTATATGTAGGTGTGTAACCTAGGTTAGTAAGATTGGATGAATTGAATTGGTTCAGATCCAATGTTGTATGCCTCTACCCTCGGTAGGTAGGTATGGATGTATGTACTTGAAGACCACATGTGCAGTTGACCTGGGCAGATTTATGAGTTGAACTGCGACAGCATGCGACTAGACCTGCCTACATAGTAACTACCTACAGTGTACTATCCCGGGCATCTCGGTGTTAGTTCCCCACGCAAGTACATCCCTGGATACAGTACCACGCGAACTTAAACCAGCCTACCATGTAACACTTTTAACATGGATTGAAAGTATTGTTCTTGGTAGTTCTTGGTCTCCCCTGGATGATGCAGGTACTATTCAAGCTGAACTTGTCTGCTTTAGGTACTCGACTTGCTCCAATAATGTACCTACCAACCTAGTAGGCAATGATCCTATACGTCAGTACCCCACCTTCCAAGGTTTTATACAACCAACCCCAAACCTTCGCTTTAACTCTCCCCGGCCTCCTACATAGTACAATACAATACATATGTACTACCAGGGTAGGGTACATATGTAGGTACATAAGCCCTTGCTTTGGGTTGGCTGACCACACGGCCAGGACTAGGTATGTAGTAGGTATGCAGCACTGATACAACTGCAATTGTCTACAAATTGTCGACTTTTTCATCTTTTCTTTTTCATCTCACACTCGTATACTATTGTATGTAGAGTTATAGAGTTATACAATACATCTTGGTAATATTCGCAGTTTATCTTTACTGCCTAGTACTCTTGGGAGAACTGCTTCATACACACCTAGCCATTAACGCCCTAAGATTAAATTAAAAGACATCCTCCATCTTTCTCTTCAGGGCTATGCCACCTAATAGACAGCAGAGAATGGAATCTGGCAGTCTGGACAGCCTGGAAAAAAGGGCACGAAACCGCCAAGGTTCCAAGAACCTAACTCTGCAAGCATATCACAAATCCTCCGATATTTGAAGTTCTGTCCCCAAATAAGACCCAAACTTGATTTACTGTACGGTAGGCGGTGTTTTATTCAGTTCCGAACGGAGTTTATACGAATCCAGGGGCTCAAAGATAGGTATTTCCCCTTTTTCCATTTACTTGGTTCTTCCCTATTCCGTATGTACCTCTTGAACCACGAGCTCTTGGATAAGCAAAGACTTCTAGATGTCCTCTATAAGCTCTCATCTTGGATCCTCCTCAGGTTACCTTCCGGTGCTGTTCTAGGAAAATCAGGGAGTCGCGCATCTGTTTAACTGCTGAGGCGTCCGGCGACGGGCTGGTAAGACTTCGTCCTATCACATGTGTCAGCCGGTGATATAGTTGTCCAGCTACTCGCTCGTAGCTCGTAGCTTTTCTGGGGTAGAGTTCAGATCCTCTTACCTGACTCTGTGGATAAGCTTGAAGCTGTCGTTTTGGACGCTCTGGCCGCACCCTGAGCCAATCGTGCCAGTCGAGCACACTCTGGGCAAGGGGTGCTTTTGGGTCTTGTAGCTTCACGGAGCTTGCATCCAAACATGCCCGGCGGAATCTTAGGCTCTCTATCCGGGAGAAACTTGGTCTCAATCATGGTGTTGTCGGCGTTTGGTGGACGTCTCTTGGCAACATGGCAGAGGTACGTATTTTGGTACAGTTTGTGGTTGCACTGCTGAAAGATATTCCAGACCTCGACACACATAGCGGAGGCGAGTCTAGTAGTAGGTATGGCGATATTACAAAGGAAACTCGAGGTGCTTTACTACTCCGCGACGGCGATGGAACGGTTTATCCGTACACTCAAGAGAGGGTGCAAAGGCGGTTGGCCAGAGCGGTGGAGTGTACCGTGCGGAATGAAGGAGATAAACGAAATAAACGAAAAGAAATACACAGCGACGTGTGCTCGGTGTTCAATATTAAGCAGAACCGAATTGAAATATAACTGATTGAAGGAAAGAAAGAAAGAAAACGGCGAGGTTGAAGTGAATTTGTGGTGGTTCCATCAGTGAGTATCTGGATGTGAACCTTCATCCTCAGGCACGAAGTTGGTCGTTGCCACACACCCATCATTTACTAGGTACAGTGAACGGGGCAGCATAGGCACCCCAAGGGAAGTACAAGGACTCACACTATTTTTTTAACCAAAACAAATGGTAATGAGTGAGTTTATTCATACAACTGCCTCGGATAGGGGCAAACTACTATGTAGTGACATACACTTGACATGAAAGTCACTGCGCACATGAGGGTTCTCATCATCAAAGAACTGCATTTGTATTAATGTTACGACAAATAACTAGGTACGTTCGTGTTCGAATTTTACCAGTTCAACATCACATAATATTCTAGGATTATCACATACGGCCATGAGAGTATTGTTTTCATCTAGCATAGGCTGAAGGTCAGTTCCACCATGACGAAGCATAGGGTCCAGATGAAAACCGCTCTTTACTACCTACCTACTGGCCTATATTCATACTCATATAATGAATATATCTTATACGCCAGACACAGGACCGATGAAGAGCGTTCTCAAGACAAAATGTTGACAATATCAAAAGCCGGCAAAATTAAACGCTATCAAGACTAACGAATATACAAGAACGAAAAGAGAGAGCAAGAAATTATTTCAATTACCTACTTTTCCAACCAAACGCTCGCAATCCGTGTCCCATACCGCCCACTCCTTAGAAATTCCGCCTATTTCTCATCTAAGGGGCGTCAATCGTCGCATCGCTATCATCGCTATTATCATACTCCCGCATCTCGCTCAAACGCCCTTCGCTTGCCACACGACGAAGTCTAGGGTCAGGTCGGCCTGCTACAGATTCTATATCCTCATCTTCACTGCGGTCCACTTCTTGTACGTTATCGTCCATGTTGTTGGGCAAGGCTTGACCCCCGCTCTGGCTTTCAGGATCGGAACCGGAATCGGAATCAGAGTCCAAGACTATGATCGGGTTAGGCTCAGACTGTGATCTTTGACGGCTTACATCCACGGCGGGAGGTCGCGGTTCCGGCTGAATCAGCGGCGGTAGGGGGGGAAGGTGAAGGGAGCGGAGACGGGGCATCCTAGTCGTGCCGTTGGCGATAGTTATCGAGTTTCTGAAGGCTTGCAATTGATTCGGTTCTGTTGTTATGCCTCGGCCTACTACCGCATTCCGCAGCTCAACCTCTCGGATGTGGGCTGATCTCTGCTGCAGGTTGTCGAGCCTAGAGAGAAGATCTACCCATCTAGTACGTCCACTTGGGTCCAATGCATGGGTGAAGGGCATATTGTCTCCGTCGTCCTGGGTTCCCGGAAGCATCAGCGGTGGAAAGTAGGGTAGTCTGGGCTGTGGTGTGGGCTCTGCGTGATTTTTCAACGCAGTCACCAGCTCTCTGACGGAGGTCCGAGTCCCCCCAGCCGGCTCTTCGAATCCCGAACAGCAGAAAATGCATTGGTGTGAGTCCTCCCACCCGACGACGAGAACGTGTACTTTGTATCGCCCCCTTTTAAATCTTTTGCATGAGTGCATGTCGCCATTGCGGGCCATAAAGCAGGTCTCACGATATTCGGCGTTCGTCGTGACGGATCGGCATCTCATGCAGATGGTGAAGCCCTTGTGTATCTGACACATTTTGTCTACTTCGGGTCGATTCGAGTGGGAGGCGGATAAGGTTACTGGCGAGGCATCCAAGATCGCATGCAGGCGAGTATATCTAACAATGTTGATATTCTCCTCCGTTTCTGATATAACGACTGACTTAATAGCGATTTTAATTGATTAAGGGGTAAGACATGTTGACAAATGTATCCAAAAAACAAAAGCGATCGTTAGATGTTGCGACAGTAACTTGATGTATCTAGTAGTAGTAGGTAGCTAAACAACTACCAGATGATTGAGAAAGAGTTGAGACATCTTGTAAGAAAAAATGCGATATCTGACACGTAATATTTATGCCAGAGTTCAAGATTATATAGGTAGGTAGGCTTGCCTCTCCTATTCATAGTGGGATTGCAGATGGAAGTTTCGATGGCTTCACTTACCCCTTTTCCCACTATACCGTCCGCAAGTGCTACCATTGTAGATGAAAATTGGCACTTAGCACATGGCGCGATACAGAGTAGACAAGAGTAAGTCATTGTATATCAATAATATAATGTCATTAAATCCATAACGCCGCACTTGGTCCCTTGAAGAACAAAAGTTAAATGAATGCGAGGGTATTTCCATTTCCATATCCAGATTCCACATCCATCAAGCGCCACATGCATGCTACCCGCCACACTTTCAAGTACCTATTCCTTCCTTCCTTCTTTCCTACCCTTCCCCCCTAGACTACAACCTCCCTTGTATACCCTTCCATCCCATTATCATCTCTAATTCACACATCCCCCACCACAGCATCCACATCCCCCGACAACGCCCGCGCCCAAATCGACGACCCCGGCATCCCCGGCACCACCCCCTTCCTCGCCTCCAGCCTCGACTCGGGCCCCCACCCCCGCGACGGCTTCACAACCTTGACATCCCGCCCCCTCACCCGCAGAACCCCACTCATCGTCCTCGCCTGCAGGTACCCCTCCCACGCCTGCGGGTACTGGAGCCGGATGTCCCCGCTCGTCGCCTTGTGCACCGCGGCCAGGCAGTCCAGCGGCCTGCCACCTACCCCCCGCACCGCCGCGGAGTTTTCCGCGGCCCCGAGACCGCCCCACACGGGCGACAGCACGCGCACGGCGGTCGTGCCGCTCGTGGTCGCGGTCTCCAGCTGCGCGGGGCCCGCGGCGGACGCGCTCGCGGGGAGCACGGGGAGCAGGTCGAGCGTGAGGTCCGCCGACGCGCTCTTGAAGGTGGCGCCGCCGCTGAAGGCGAGGGCGGCGCGGACGGCGCCGGAGGTGGACTTCACGTCGACGAGGTAGTTGCGCGGGGGGGTTGCGGGCTGCTGCTGCTGCTGCTGCTGGTTCGGGCGCGCGTGGATCGGCTCCGAGGCGGAGACGGTGCCGGATAGGGAGGAGAGCGAGAGGATGGCGGGCTTGTCGCTGTCGGGGTTGGGGTTGGGGTTGGGGTTCGCGGCTTGCGGTGTGATGGAGACGGAGATGTCGCCGGAGCTGGTGTGCAGGCCGAGCAGGTCGTATAACGGCCAGTTGCCGGTTATGGGGCCCGAGGTGGAAGAGGCTTCGATGACGCGCGAGTCGAAGGCGTAGGTGTTCTTGGCGGGGACGAAGGTGTGGTCCGGCGGGAGGAAGCCGGAGGTGTCGTTGGCGTAGTTGAGGTGCGAGGATGGGGGGCTGTTGGCGGCGGAGGTGATGCTCCCGGAGACGGAGGTGATCCGCGAGTACCCGTCCACGTGCAGCGACAGGTCGTCGACGAGGAGGATGTCGAGGTGGGTGGTCCCGACCCTGAGCTCGCCGATCTCGGCGTCCGCGGGCACCCAGATCGTCGCGCGCATCTCGACGCACGGCCAGTTGACCCGGTCGACGTTGTCGTAGGTCCGCGGCACGCTGACCTTCATGGTCTGCGACTCTTCGTCCGCGTACACGTCGAGGAAGAGGTCGTGGGCATTGGTGACGATCTCGAGGACTATGCGCGGCTCATCTCCCCCATCGGCGAGGCGTCGCACATGCACTTGCCCGGCAACGTGCACTTGGGTGTTTCCCGCGTGCGGGTGGTGGTCTTGCAGAAAGGTGACGTTGCGGTTTCTCGCGAACTGGAGAGGCAGGACCTGGTCTTCGAAGTGATACCCGGCCCCTGAACAGCGGGTTGGCTGGAAAGGTGACTCCATGGCGGGTTCGTCGGTGTCCGGCTGTGCGGGCACTTTCTCGGAATCTGGGGGTCCTTGCTCGACGGGTTGAGCTCCGATGGTTTTCTTCTATTATTTGGTTTTTTAGTACCTAAACTATTAGGGACCAGATACGTGGATCCGACCGTAGCTGGAGAGAAGGGGGGGGTGGAAAAAGAGAGGGAGAAAGAAGGTGGCAAATGCAGGCTTACTTACGTTACCGTCTTCTTTCACTATCCGGAAGGAACTTGCTAAAAGAGTTATGGACACGAGTAGTATGAGCAGACCAACCAACACCAGCTTCGGGTTGAGCCACGTTGGTAGTCGTCTCCTAACTCGTCGGCTCCAATGAGGTAATGTTGGTGTTATGCGACCGGTCTCTTCGTCTTCTGGTTGGCTGAGGCTTTCTGGTTCTCGCGAGAGCAGCCGCTCGTTTTCAATTATGTCTGCCGCGCCCATGGTTGCTGCGTTAAATGTGTTGTAGCTTCTAGGTTGGCTGATAGGGATAGGTGGGAGACGAGCTGTGAGAGGTGATGTGGGTGAGGGCGAATACGCGGGTGGTGCGTCAGAATATACAGAAGGAGTCCGTCCCCCTGTCGGACGAGTCCGGAAAGAAGTGCGAGATGGTGACGATGGCGAGTACGTATGCGCAGATGCCAAAGGGTGTTGGCGTTGGTCTGGTGTGGTGGTCAGATTGGCACTGCTTTGCGCTGATTGCCCAGCTCCTTGAGTGCTGCCTGATCCTATCAGGTTGTAGTGACTGAAGTAGGTTCCTGACCTCTGAGTATTTGAGCTGAGTATTTCCTCGTCCGCTTCTCGAGCTTTCGACTCAGTGCCTGACTCCGACGTTTGCTGTTGTTGTAGCGTGGGGTCAGGGATTAGGATATTTGGTATGGTAGGCACATGATGGAATGACGAGGCAGCAGAGGAGGCGAAATAGCCATTTGATGGCGATAGATGATCTACATGGTGGCTTTCGCCATCCGAATCCGAGTCGCCGCCCACGCCCCAAGAATTCAGGTAGTCGGAATAAGGCATGGTTTCAGTGGTTGCAACAATTCTTGGCGGGGATGACGCTGAAACTACACTCGAAACGATCGTGAGTTTTGTCGCACTGACAGATGGGAGGATATAATTAGTGATGCCAAGGATTTAAATGTCTTGGATGATTAAGTACTAAGGTATGGATTAGATTGAGATATAACTAGATTTAGATTGATTCTATCACCAGTAGAGTTGATAGTAGAAACACCGTAGATCATGGTGGTTTGGTTTAGAATAGGACCAACTACAGCTACAATGGCACAGCACAGTCTTGTAAGGTGAAATGATCCGATCGACCACGGGAAATCCTACTCTGAGTCCAGCCCAAAGTACGTAACCTGATAGATATGATCAGGAAGTCTACGTAAGCCCTATCTGTGGAATGCAGCAGGCTCGCATATATATCTGTATATCCCCTCATTTGAGTCATCAAGTTATGCGGTGAGAATGTTCAGCAGGAATATATTAATCAAAAGAGGAAGTTCGATAAATAAGATGCTGACAAGTTCTTGATACCCCATATGCTCTATTGGCTCAACATCTTTAGGGCTGTGAAGTCCCATACATACTGCATGTCGTCAGGCAATGCCCCGCTGATACAATGCAGCGTATGTACGGTATGTTGTCGTATGCCTTTCTCAAAGTCCTAGGTGTGCGCGTGCTTTGCTTCTTCCCCGCCGTCACGTTCTGCTGACGGTGGTACGTGAGCTAACTTACCTACCTACTTCTGGCCTATGAGCCAGCAATATATAGTTCGAATTGCGAATCTAATATTAATTCTAATATCATCGCGATTCTGGATTTGATTGGACGAGGAGACCCGAAAGTCTGGGCATACATGAAATCCCTAAAAGGATGACGGGCCCCTTTTTGTACGAATCATTGTGGTATGTATCCATAGTGATGGTAGAGTGGTGACAACACCGGCCCGACAAGGCAGACGTTGGAAGCTATGCTTATCCTAAGTGTTCACAACCTCGTCACGTTGAGAACATTCAGCTAACGAGTCACAACGCCTTTGAGAGTTCATTTTAGAGTTACGACTCTCCTTCCCGTTGCCCTTGTGAATGTTTATGAAGGGTCTTGGGTGGACCGCTTGGACTTAGCCTCAAAGATGCCCTTACCCACGTGAAAGGGTCCTGGTGTTTTCGTACTTTCCATGACATGCTCGATGATGTAACTCTCACGCCGACTTGACTTAAACTAATAAAGGCTTAAATCAAGCATATGTCTTAATCTGGTATCCCGGAACTGGTCCTGTGCCCATGATAGGGCTTGGGTTAACGAGACGTTGACTCACGCGTAAGTTTTACTAGACTAGCCACCCGCCCTACCTGAGCCATATAATCGGGTTTATAATCCGACAGTTAGGAGGTCTTTAGCTTGAATCCTTAGTTATGCGGCCGCAAACACATATGGAGTGGTTCCTTTCCTTTGGTTCTCTAGATATTACCTTAAAATCCTAGCCCTACTCCTAGCCCAGTGTTAGTCTCAGCCCGTCACTCTGCCTCTAACACCGACGGCTCTCCAAGGATCTACAGGTACATGTAGGTCTAAATCGAAGTACCGTTACTTTACTTGGTACTTTTTTTAGTACTCTCTACGTACCTCTCTCGTCCACTTGACATGCAAGCACTTTCAATGGAGCAGAGCAGCGCTCGGATCATCGTGAATAGGAGACGGGTGTTTTGAGAATGGTAGGTAGCACGAATACGGGATAGAAGTTAGCAAATAACACAAGCATATAGAGAATTCTCGTGTTATACCGACCCAATGATAGAATATATAGGTATATCAGCTGAAAGGGGTAGCTTTCACTCTATTCCTACCATCAATTTGGAATATACATGTCTTGGGAGGACCCAAGTTTTCTGTGAGGGGGTGATACGCTCATACACGCCGGCGTCAAGGTACTGTATCTCATTCGAAAGAAATACCTATATGTTATGTCATTGGCCTACCCAGGGCCGCGGAGATGGAGTTTTAAATATTCTTAGCATGTGTGAATTAGAATGCCTTTCCTTGGTAGAGTAGCTGTGTCGATAGTGCTTAGTGTAAACCTACATAGTACCTACACGGCTCAAGGCCATGTGCTTGACTTACTGTGTATGATCGTGATTCAGACCGCGCCAATGGCTAAGGCTAGCTGTCAAATAGGTATCCCTTTATGCTGTGTATAAGTCACGATCGCTTTGATATAGGTCAATGGACTCCTAAACCACCAATCTAAGCGATGGTTGACAAGCAAATCACACCTTCCATCAAAAGTTAGGTAGGTAGCTATCTCGAGCCTGTTTCTTGGCCTTGTCTCCTAGAACGCTTCTAGAAGACCAAAGAAGCGCAAGTCCAATATACCTGGCTCTTATCTCTGCATAACTGGCAGATCGCCAATGGTGTCATTCTCTAGGCGCTCTAGGCTGGCCCCTAGTCTTGCCGGATAATTTACTACCTACCAGAGGGGTTCTTGCATGAGTCAGGTATGTTCACGCCCTATTCGCCGGTAACAATATCTCATTTGGCGGGGGTGACTCACGTAGCAAGATGCGATTAAGGGCGCAAGTTCGAGTATTTCCTAGTTTGAAGTTCGCTTACGGCAGTTTCTCCTCATAAAAGGGGTAGGTACCTGCATGGCATCTCCCTAGTCGCCTCTTCATGATGGAGCACACGCGATAAAAGGAGTAACAAGAGGTTCAGAAGATTAAGGTCTAAGATATACTACGATACTCAGTTTGTATCGTAGGTTTTCTTTTCCGCCACAAATTTCCCACCCGAAGTCCAACACAGGGTGATGGCACAGGGTGTGATCGACGAACCAATATACGCCCCTATTGGCAAATAACTTGTCTATTGTTCCTTGGCGGGCCATAACGTACCTCCCCCTATTTCAGCTGCCGCTTTTAATGAGATTTGACGCTGCTGTTTTCAGAGTTGAATATCACATTGTGCCGCCGTGGGTAACTTTGCGACCCTCCACCAACTTTTGACAGATATTGTCTCCACATTCCGAGTTATCTCGAGAAACAGAGTCTGGTTGTAGAAATCTTAGGGTTACCACACTGTCCAGGGATGTGGAGAGAACAATTAATAGGGGTGGGATAGGGCATTGACTCCAAATTTGTGAACTGTCATCCTTATTATGGCTGGCGCAAGTGTTGTCTAGAGCCGTTGTTGAGATATGGTTAACCGCAAGTAACATACCATATGTCCCAGTGGTCACCTGTAGCTTACTACCTACATCGAGGGTAACTACTAACTCAGATGTCTTCTTATATTTGTGATATAGAAACTCGACTCATTCGTTGGGTTTATAATGACTTTGTTATCATTGACTTGGCAATTTCCCCCTAAAGATTCTCAAAACCAGTATGTAGATCGCGAGTCAGCCACGCATGGAGAGCTGCGAAGCGACCTTGTGAATCAAACAATTTAAGGCTTTGGTGCTTATCGTCGAGTGTCGAGTAAGTGAGTAAGTAGAACCCAACAGAGGGCGATGTAACTAAGGTTAAAGGCAGCGCAGTAAGATTGCAACTGAGCTACTCTCACACAGCTGCCGCAGAGCCAAGGGGTAACAGCATACTTGCAGTCAACTATCCCAAACCTATGAGAACCATAAGATTAATTGAGTGGCTACCTAGGAACCAAGTGGGTAAGAAACGTCTCGTACGAGCTTGTTGTCGGAATGGAGCTGAAATTCGATGACCGTTGTGAAGAAATATCATATTACCGCGACACAAAACGGATCTCGACCTTACTAAGAGATTATATCATCACGAATGAAAAATTCAAGACAATGCGTAGTACAATGCTTATTATATTAGGCGACCCCGTATGGTTCCGCGGAGCCGTGATAATGTTTCTTGCGGGTGGTGTTGCTGACCGGGAGGCTGATATCAGCGGCGACATTCAAAACATTCAGCTTCCGATTCTCGTACTAGCAGTTGACTCACTCCTTTTGTTACACGGGGGTTTCAATGGGTTTATTCCCATAGTAAGCACCTCAGCATCTAGGTTATAATGTGTTCGAGTTAGGACGTCCGTGACACAAACATATCTGTTCTGCGATGACCCAAATGACGGGTAAAGAATTGTCAAGAAAAAAAGAAAAAAGAAAAAGACTGCCTAGTGCGAGACTACTTAAGCATAAACGCGTAGCTCGTAGATATTTATATCTTTTACAAGGATGAGTTCGTATACTATGTATGACTCCTCGTTGGAAAGAGACGATGCTTGCTAGGCTTGGCCTATAACTAAGACGTCACATGCGAGGCGTTCTCGGATATTCTAGTATCCCCATAATTCCCTCTCAGGGAAACCCCTAACCTAAATGAATGGATCTACACAAGTTCACCACAACCTAGGAAATAAGAGGCATTGCGAGGCGAGGTCAGGCGAGAAGGGTGCATACCTAGTATATATATGCTTATTTAGGTACATGATATCTCGACAGATCTTGTCTAGTTGGTAGATAAAATAGGAGATGCTATATAATCTCGATTCGATTCTACATACTCGCGCAATAGCACCCCTGATTATCAGTACACCTTCTACCTGGTATGTTACGTAACGGTCGAACGACTGAGCATGTTTGTTGGGACTAAAAGGGGTATCGGCTCGCTTGAATGAGGGATTTCAGATCTCATGGCACGATGGGATAAAAATCTGTTGAGCTGTTTTCCAAAATACCTTTCAATCACAGACCGAATGGAGTCTTTAGATAATCTAGTTCGAGTCGACACTTGGCGAATCCGTTGGAGGCGGGGAAGAATGCAAGTGAGTGCATATATTTATGTGTGTCCTTGAGGGATTAGGGGGGCTAAAGGCATGATTATCATCTCATCTAACCTAGATCTTGAGCCGGGTGATCCCCCGGATTTTCCGAGCTCGATGTTTGCCCTGTAGACTTGCCTTTCTGGTACAGTGGGGATTGAGGCTCTGATATAAATTATTGACGACACCGAGTCATGCACGTAGTAAAGTTATATCGAACGTCTACTAGGCAAACGGCCAATCGGAATCGATGCACTTCATGTGAGTGTAAGTCACATCAAAGACCAAATTGGTGAAAGCCAGGATGTGAGTCTGTCAAGCTAGCCGAGTTTGCCGTCTCTGTTGCCTCATTAGGAAGCTACCAAGTCTGTCTTCGTCGATATCATCTTCGTTGATACCAGCATATACGAAAAGCACGGAGGAGGGCCGCGAGCCGTTGCCATGAGGCTCTGCCAAGGATAATAAATATTGCTGTCTTAGGTAAGTCCTTCCAGCCGGCTAGTAATGTCCTAAAATGCGATATTCCCTTATCATTAGATATATTAGCAACAATAATAACAATGTAAGTTGGTGGGTTAAATATGTATTGACTTTAATGGAATGACCTTAACTCGTTGCATAATTGTGAGTTAATTGGTGTTGCACCTACTTGCGGCAAGGGCTATCATTTCTTGAGTATTCAAATTTTGGAAGATCGTGGAAAGGGGGGGCTGCATAGTATGAGTACTAGGTAGATAGGGGGAGGATAATAGCGAATATACAGCCAAAGATGCAAAGGGATAAATTCTTGTACGGCTAAATTCGCTGATTTCTCTTAACCCTGCAGCGGTAATCTCGTCACTATCAGATGGGCATGCAGCTTGACTGTGGAACATCGACAAATCCGTAGGGAGTCCAATGGCATCACAAGTGAGACGTTGTGCCACATGCAAGAAGGTGACACCTGTGTACTATGTAATACATTTGGGGGTGGTCTTGGATATCTTCATTAAGCGATTCGAGCGTAGGTCGTGTAACGTTGAGCAACCTGTGGGATGCTACAGATTGCGTCGATTGGAATTTCCTCGGAAACAACTTCAATCATGGAGAGCCTGTTGATATCCATGAATATGTAATTAATATATATTAAAATGGTCGTGTCCTGCATACTGGAACCGGAAGGTCCTCTCTGTCACGTGGAAATATATGACAATATCCTCATGCTGGCTGATTGGTATTACTGAGGATACATATAACTGGTACTGGAGATGCGACGTTACCCATGCGGTACTGCTGTAGCATTAAGGCTGGAAGGATGAGTCAAGCAGAGACCTCCGGCCAACGTTAGAAGTAGCCGTGTTTCGGGTCTCCGGCGGCTAACAGCAGCGTAACACTTGGAACTAACTGGTCACCTCGTTTTATGCCGCCCAGGTGGGAATAGGTAAGAGTGGATATGTGACATGGTAATACATGATGAAAATTTTTTGTTCCGTACCAGCGTGTTGGAAAACGGGATAAGCCGTTTGGTTCCACTTGGATGTTTTCTGGAATCTAGATCCTTATTCTAGAAAATCGGCTTAAAACGGTGTGACTTCTCAACATCCTTGGAGACTCCGAGGTCTCGGTCTTCGTACTTGGCAGCTCGGATAGAATTCTAGAGGGGGCCACAGTAGCGGGCAAGGCGATAGAAATACATACATAGTAAGAGCTATTACTGAGGAGCTCGGAATCCATCGTCCTAAGTAGCAAGGCTGTCGGTATGTAAGAGCTGAAGAAGCATAACGGGCTGTTTTATCTTAGGTCATAGTCGTTTGAACTTTCGATTGCCTTCCTAATATCGCTAGACTGCTTTCAGTTTTTGGTAAGCGCTCCTGATCCTCGAACCAGGCTTACCGGATGAATAATCCGTTACGAACCGACCGAGAAGGTTAATGGGATTGTATAATTGTTTGTCTGATTGGCCAATTTGGATGGACCAGAAAGATTTTAAAGGCCAAGACGGCCAGTTAGGCCAATTAGCTGTGCTGTTGCGGCGCAGAGCCTAGGTCAAGCAACCTGTTTTATACTGGGGATACTGGTGAGAAGTTGAGAACTGGCGAGAACTGGCGAGACAAAATGGTTGAGGTACGATATTGTTAGAGCGGATAAGGTCACCTGGTTGTCCGAGTGTACACATACTGTACAATAATTGGCGATGATAATGGCGGTGATGAGATACTGTGTAGACAAGTGTACTATGTAGTAGACAAGCTGAAAGTTGGAAAGGACTAGAATCCAAGTTCTTCCTTTGGCGTTTGGAAAAGAAGAAGCTTATTGGGTCCCGAAAGGAAGCCGGCATGGCCGGGGACGGATTTAGTAGGCACTAAAAGTCATCCGTAACCCCACTAAGCAAAAAGTTCTAGTGGACACATACTGGGCACTGGGCAGTGGGCAGCTGGAAAATGTTCTAGAAAGCTTCTAGAAAACTACTTGTTATTCATGGATAATGGATGAATAACCTTGCTTAGGTGGGGCTACGATCGGCACTACGTAATGCCCAAATGCTCCATTCCATACAAAGTGAATGTACCAACTCAACTAGCCATGGATTATTCATGGAGTATCCCTACATTGTTTGGATAACTATCCTTGTTCCTTCACTGTTCCAAGGCTGTTCAGTGTTCATGTACCTACATTATACTACATCAAGTACCTAGGTGGGCAGGTACATACTGAATTGGCAGGCACTGGCGATTTTGAATGTTCGAGTTGTATACTACATGCCCTATACAAACCCTATACCTACCTAAATCGTTCTTCCTCGGTGCAATTCTTCCTTTTCCATTCCTTCCATGCTGGGAGAGTAAGCAGCGAAGAACTCGTACGTTGTAATCCCGGCTCGAAGCTATTGGTTACCTAACACATACAGTACCTATCATAACCTATGTAGGACCTAGGTACCTACATATACATAGACATGTAGTTATTCATATCTTTTTTTTTCCCCTCTTCGTCGCGAAAATTGCCAACATGAGATGAGATCTGTTGTTCGCACGGCGCAGCTGTCGGGCCCGGCGCGGTTGTGGTCGGCATTGTTCTGTCCCTGTTGTGTGCTGTTTTGCGCTTCCACGTATGACCGTACTATGAGAGGGGCAAATGAGTATCTGGACAGCTGTTTCTTGACGTCTTGGGATTATTGGATTTTTCGTTTTCTTTTTTTCTAAAGAGGAAGAAATTGCGGTGTAGTTCTGCGTACGTGTACATGGAAACAGCAAGGTAAGGCAGTAAAAATATATCCAATCCAGCTCCAAGCGCAAGTGTTTCCTATTCCTAGCGCAAAGATATCTTTCCACATACGTCCCTGGATATGTATTGGTTATGTGGGTGTAAGTGGCCGGGCGCAAATGTGATATGTAAACAAGTCCTGATGCGACACTCTTGATTTCCTACGACACCGCTCCGGATACAGCAATGCTGACGACCATTTCCGTGATGTCACACCCAATGAGAGACACTTCGCCGTGCTGAAATTGGCAGTGTAAGCAGCTGATCTCATATATCAGTTCTTTTCCAGAGTTTCCTCCTTGCCTTTAATGGTGGAACTGGGGCTGTTAAGAGGATGGGACTCGTCTAGACATACAAAACAGTACCCATGTGCTGGGTATGCTCTGCCCGTGTCCTGCATGGCCGATCTTGACTCGATTCATGCCCGTCGAGGTTCCCGAGCAGTGCTATGAGAGGGGTAATGAGACGACAGTTTTGGCCTACGCTTATGTCCAATGATGCAAACTGGCATCTTTCTGTTCCGGCGCCATCAAGCGTTTCGAATTGGTTGGCGGACGAGGGCGAAACACTGATACTACCTTGTCCGTTCGCCAACTGCCGGCACCATTTTTCACTGTAACTTTTGTAACTCATAGCCGTGATCTACACCATCGATTATTGCTAAATCAGGCGCTTTGCGCATTTGTTAGTGACACAGTCCTGCGACCCCAAAAGATAACCACAGGCAGAACACAGGCAGAGGTAAATGAAATAGGTATATCTCTTACTACAGGCAAGTGATTGAATTGACCAGTAGACTCAACATTCGCTATCTAGCGCTCATGAATTACTCATTATTATTAAAGACTACATAGTAGCTCTAAGCCTCGCAAATCAATATACTTATAAAGGTATGTCCAATACCTACATTATATGGTGTGTCTGCCGAGAAAGCTTGGCCCAAACCATTGCGCGCGCCCAATCACACCTTTGGGGGTCGATGTTACTGTAATTATCGAGGATAATATGAATTTGGCCAGTCACAATGCGCAACAATCACGAGATGTAGGGCGACGATATGCTGGGAGGGGCAAAATAGATATTTGCTGATATGGAGGAACAAGTATACATCTTGTATACATTCCAAGTTGTGTGATCAGATGCGTATGTAGTATCGTGGTAAGAAGTTCATGCAGACACACGTTTATACACAAAACATCTCCAATACGCCCTTTCTCATCCGACATGTCGAAGCTGCATATGTTGAAGTTCAAGTTGTCTGGTATCATTGATGTCTTCCAACCTATCATGTACACAGTAGTAACTTTAGGTACCTAGGTAGGTACCCAAGAGTGAGCATTGAACATTTGAATGTTCTAGATAAAAAGCTTAAACGATCAGTTGGATCAACTTGGATGAATTGACTGGGGTGGGCCCGGTCACTGGTGGTGATAGTTCAGCGATCTATCGGGAAAATGTCATCTTCCTAGTACTACTAAACTTAAGTATTACTAGGTATATTGATATCAATGGAGGTACGTATGTATTCTGGAGTTTTTGAATTTCCAGATGTCCATTTTAATGTTCAACTTGAATGTTACATACGTCGTAGTACCGTACATAGGTAGATGTATACATACCTAACCTAGGATACTACCAGGTACAATACATACCAATGCTATACAGACATCTGGACATACATGCCTTATGTAAATGCACATTTTTAAGTCGGATTGCGTGCCTTACCTCAATTAAAGTCAGCACTTAATAAGACGGTGGCAACTCCAGTACATAAGTTAGATGTGTGGTCTATGTACAATTATACACGTGGACTTATGTAAAAGTACTTAGTTATGTACATACATATATATGTATGTACACACTTTCTTCTCAAATGGCACCACATCTTAGTGGCTCATATCTCACCATGAAGATGGCAACGGCTAAGAACTATGATTGGCTTTGTTCGTAGCATCAGGTGCTTCTAGCATTCTTCCATCATCCATTGCCGCTTTTACACTGTACGGCTAAAATGGACAGGGGCATGACGGACTATTCCGTATGGGAACGAGACCCCTCAGATGCGATTGGAATGAGCGTTATGATTGGTCGACGGGTGGGTTCTTCTTCTTCTAGTGCCTTTCTAGCGTCGCGCCACCTTCAATGCGTAGTGTAATACCATGTACAGTCGTCGCTGCACCTGGCTGAAGCGACCAGGGCAGCCAACGAGAAGGCTGCGCACGTCGCAGATGGACTGGCTTCCAAGGTTGTGTCACCTTGTGGGATGACCGGGATGACGGCGAGTATACGCAGCCCTGGAGTGATAGTCAGGCAGACAGGTAAGGCTTTAGAGAATAAAAAACCTGACCTTGCCATAACATATGTTAGCCAATTCCAATTAAGTACATAGCACTAGAAATAAAAAGATTCTTCTTTTTATTATACATATGCATACATATACATATACATATACATATACATATACATATTTTGGGCCATGATAATGTAGTATAATGTTTAATAATACACAACGATGGATAAGTATTATCTCGGATAGACAACTCAGTGGATGGGAAGAGAGGAAAGATAATTGAGGTTGGTGCTGGCTGGGTGCTGGGCGTTTCGCCCCGGCCGATACATACTCTGTTCCCCTCTTCCAAAGTTCCTTCGTCGCTGAACTTCGTACTTTTTCTCATGTTCGAGAACGAAAAGCAAACTTTGAATAGATCACGATTTCATTGATGGATACCTAGGTGTATAGGGCAGAATACTCATAACCTAACAAAAATTTATGAGTGAACCTGAAATTCCGATAATTCCGTCCTCTTATTCTTATTCTTCTTCCATCAACCACGGTGACTGAAGGATTATAAACGGGGGTTGAGGGGACTAGACATGGGTACCTGGTACTTGTGTACCGTGTAGGTTTTCTTAGTCAAAGGTTCCACCACAAGGTTACTACCTGGTACATAGGTAAAGGGGTATCCATCGAAAAATCCTAGTCATTCGCCATCCTTAAGGTACTTTGACCAAGCTAAGGGTGGGTACCAGTACTTCTCTCTCCCTTTTTCCCTTTAATCCTCCTGCTCTCCCACCCGCCTTCTGTTTCTAGTCCTGGCTGTCCCACACCAAGTCTTCTGTTGCTTCTCGACAACATTGAACCTGTTTGAATTTTGAATACCTACTACATACATACCTGCTATCGGCTACGACTACACTACGACTACACTACGACTACGACTACAACTACATACACATCTCTGGCCTCTATATTTCCAACCTTGTAAATTTTACATTGCCGCTCGATTCTCGCCTCGACTCCAACCATTTAAATTCATCCAAATCCTTTCGTTTATATCACTGCACCCATAGTAATACAGACGGACCCAATTGCTGTGGTGACGACTGACTCCTACTGTGCGACTAATTCCGTCAACGATCAACGCCGCTCTTTCGTTATCCGTTGAACAACAACAGTGTCACTACAATTACGCTATTGCACCATTGCACTATTACGCTATTACGCTATCACGCTACTACGCCTGGTGAATCTCTTAACCTTGGTGTTCGTCCTTCGTTTCGTGCGGGCAGCCGTACCAATTACGTTGTAAAACGGAAGACCATTACGCTTGTTGGGACGTTGTACCATACAAATATCGTCTACTAGAAGCTTCAACGAACTTTTAAGTTTGTCCGACTTATAGTAGAAAAGCCTTACATCCCTAGCCAAGCCAATGCCTGCCGCGCTCGTCACGCATTGCTAACTCAAACCTCTATCCACACTAGAAAACCGCTGGGTTTCAACCAGGGCCAACCTATCTGTCATTACTTACGACCCCTCCATCCAGCAAGCAGGACTTGTCAAATCTAATACCCTTCACACAGGACGACTACTGAACCTTAAACCCGGAACTTGCCTCCGGTCTTGTCCAAAGAATACCTAGGTATCAGCCATATATCGGACAACCGTCTCTATATTATTTATTCTAGGCCTGTTGCCAACAACTTCGACTATTTCAAAAAAAATTGTTTTCATTTATAAAAACTTTAACCACTTGAGCTCTGCCTCTACCCGCACGGCATTGGAAGCAGAATTAGTTGATTGGTTGGCAGCAATTCGATCTTGGGGATATATACGGGCTACCTGCAGATTGGAGGGTTGCTTGAACATACGCTACAGGCGGCTTTTCGTGTGTCGTCTACGAAACAATCTTGTCAAACAGGATAATTGCCAACATTGCATGGCGCCGCAGCTTGTTTGGGGTTGAATTCGCTGCACAAGAGCTTCTGTTTGCTCTAGGTTACACGACCAGGCGGATCACCCGATACTTATTCTCTTCACGACTTCAAAGGAATAATGGGAAGATCTAAATTACGAGGAAGCTCGCCAATTTATTTGAACCCATCTCCTAAGGAGTTATCACCATCATCACCGGTCTTCGTTGACTGGGACCAAGAAACTACAATGGGCACATCACGCCCAACTAGCCTGGCCATACCACGGACTGGCTCACCATTCACCAACCCACCATCACTTGAGGACATTCTTGCTAATGTTGCGCCGCCGCCGTGGACACTGAGCTCTTTTATGGCATTCTTGTCTCAAAATCATTGCTTGGAAACGCTGGAGTTTATTATGGCCGCTGACCGATATAGGACGGCGTATCAACAATTCGCAGAAGGCAAGCCATCGAATGATTGTTCGCAAATATGTTCATTATGGCGGAAAGTTATTGATGCCTACATTATGCCATGCGCACCACGGGAAGTTAACTTGCCCTCACACGTTCGTGATCGTTTACTTCAGCATAAATGCTGCAAGTCAAACCCACCTCACCCAATTGAACTAGATGAGGCAGTCCACATTATACAGGAATTAATAAATGACTCGGTTCTCGTTTCATTCATTGAGTCCGTATTGCCAGCTGTTGGAGCGCGATCTGAGGATTTCTCCTATGACTCTAGGCACGGACGCTCGCGCCTTGACATATCCCCAGAAGGCCTATCTGGTGATGAAGGAGTTCAGTCACCTAGAGCCTCTTATATACCTTTTCTCAACATTGGCCGAAACAGCAGTGCTGGGAATCGCTCAACATTAACATCTGTCGAATCGGTGGATTTCGATTTAATGACTGATTTCAGCAGCAGCCCAAATTCGTGGTCTGGAACTGAATCAATGACACCACCTGTCACACCACCCACCTCGAGTTGTACGCGTAGCACCTCCCCTACTGCGTTGCAACGGGCAATAACAGGCAGCAGCTGGAAAAAGATGGGAGCAAAGCTGGGCTTGACGAAGAAGAGCAGCAAATCTATCCGTCGCACAACTTCAACGTCAAGTGGTCAACCCCCATTATGAAGGTTACAGGCCACGCCATCACATAACTCATCCACCGTTGTAGACTGCGAGAGCAGCTCCATGCCGACAAGGCAAGTGGCTGCTGACGAGACAAACACGTCCTGGGAGGATCCTCACCCCGGTGAGAAGATCCGATTTCCACTCGGGGTAACTGCTGGATCACACGATAATCCTCAGACTGTCAGTGGAGATGTTGCGGGTGGCGTGGCCGCGAAATCGCGGAGCGCACAGAATGAGAAGGGACTGTGTGTAGTCCGGCGTACTTTTGGTGTTCGCCAGCGGAACAGTGCACCAAAACCGTTAAGGATACCTGACAAGGTACTCGAAGAGCCGGAATCGAAATACAGCTCGCTAGCTTCTTCGGAACATAATAATCATACTGGCGCATTATCACCACCTCTTCTCTCTGATTCTCTCCAGACTCTTGACTTTGAAACCGATACAGAGACGGAAGTAGATGGCGATGGAGAATTTGATCAAGTCAGAGTGGCAACCGTCAGCCACCCTCATCTGAATGATTTCTCGAATTACCTCGACTTATCACAAGAGGAGGAGGACGACGACGACAGGTCGGTAACTGTGGTTGATCCCGAAGCCTTCACCCGACCTAATTCTGTCGATACTTATGGTTGGGAAGAAGAGTTGAATCGCAAGATGGGGTGTCGAGTTGGTAGCGCGAGTACTCTATGTCCGTGTCGCTATCCAAGTCGGGAAATAGATGGTGGCAACAAGCGGGGCCTCCTGTATCGCGTCTTTTCCGTGCCGACAAGGAGGACGAATTCCGTGGTTTAGAGGGCACCGACCCATTGAGAGATGATGAAGTCAGCAAGCTCTCGTCATATCGACTACGAGAAGGTGGATGTACAAATCAAAATTTCATGGTCGCTAATACGGTTCTGGAATGCATAATTTACTCGGCGTTATCATAAGGGCAGCCGGGCAACCGGGCCCTTCGGGCGGCAAAGCATCTAAAAAAATTTCTTGGGAACGAAATAGACTGGGAAAATTAATGAATCATGGCTGTTTTATTTTTATTTTTTGGCGAGGCGTTTGAGCCAGGAAACGGGGCACTGGTTTTTAAGGGTTTACGAATTTTCTTTATCTCTTTTAGAAAGACGAAGCTACCACCCTCCTCACATACCAGTCCGGGGCAGTAATAGCAGCAGCAGCGTTGTCTCTTTGTTTTTTATCATTTTAGGATCCCCGCACGCTGGGGACAGCGGCGAAAGGTATACCCTGGATGAGAGAAAGCTTGCATTTACAATAATTTGCATGAGCTGCATTTTAGGGGGTGGAGTGGAAAGGAGCATATTGTACATATGTATCCTCGGACAATTGTCAAAGAAAACGAGGAGGAGAAGACAACAACGGTAGTACGTACAAAACACACGAAATTGTGTTTTGTTTAACTAGTCGTATGTGTGTCAGGAGGAAGGAAAATTTTCATCATTATCCATTGTCGATATAGCATAATACCCTCTGTTGTTTTCAGGTGGAGGATAACTACTTGAATATATTCTGATAAAAAACTCGATGTATATGAACAACAAACAAAACACTTTGCTGCTGTGAATAATAACGCGTTGCTATTGTTGGTGACATCTCCGTTTGTAGAAGCTTTCCTTTAGTTCTGGAAGTTTTGTTCCATCTTTCTGGATCACGATGTGTGGTGTCTTGTCTCTTCTTCATTGCAAACCAACTGTCTTGATCAAAATGCTGGGTGTCTTAACTTTCTAGAGTCAGCTAGCTTAACGTCACGTTTACAAATAAATCAAAGGCATCACCTAGGCAAGTAAGTAACAGAGCAGTTCTTTCATACCCAGGTAGTCTTTTTTTTACTAAATCGCGTATCGACTAACTATCGAACCCTGTCCCGGCTCCTTGCTTGTGGCTAACTACAACGCCCCGACGATGATGAAGAGTTAGGTAGGTAAATAGGTACATAGTAGATTTGGCTGTGCTGAGATTGCCTCCCCAGGAAAGGGGAGAAAGAACATACGCCAAAATTTGCCCTACCTAATCGTCTGTCTATGAATCTCAGGTTATGGGTCTTTTCCTATACAATGGCCCTTATTTATGTAGGTACACACATTAATTTTTCCCTTGGATGTGATGTGATAAAAGGGAGTTTCTATTCCTCCGCAACTGGAGGCTTGTCGTGTCGGGAGTACATGTTGTACTCTAGGGAGTTGCTAAAGTCGAGCTTACCCTTCTCGACCTGTGCTCGAGTAGCGGTCAACATGGGCTCCGGCAAGCCCATTGACTGCAAGAACGCCACGGCTGAAAGAATGACATATCGAATTAGTATTTCAATGCTATAATTCGAGAGGGAAAACGGTAGGGACGGCATATTACGTGGAGGGATCACTTACTGTCTTTCCATTCCTGATCCTGCCGGGCCCGGTCCCACTTCAGCTCTTGGCTCATGATGTCAATAATCCTGGGCAGGCACTCGAGAGCGGCCTGGGCATTGAGGAAAGCTAATCGGGTCCTTCGTGCTAGGATATCGACGGGCGTCTGTGCATATTCGTTGGTGATGGCGTATCGAATTTCACCATCCACGAAAGGGTACAAGCGCGAAATGCGCTCTCCTCTGGCAGGGAATCGCTGGTCTGTTGGCTTACACATGGCGGCGACGGTCCACGCTCTGTCTCCATAGCTTTCTGTCAAGTGCTTGGCAACCTCGGTCTCAATGCCGAAGTGCTGGATCAAGTTGATGAACAGCGTCTTGCTGAAGCCATGGGCACCGATCAGGCGGACGTTATGGGTCTGGCAGGTTCCATTTAGAATAGCTCCATCATCCACAACTTCAGTTCCGCTGACACGTGGAGCGTTGCCGAAAGGCTTGGTGGGGAGGCTGAATTCCTTAATTGCCGCGTCCACGCAATCCTCTGCCATTTGTCGGTACGTCGTCCACTTTCCACCTGCGCAAGTCACAAGCCCGGAGCTAGAGATATCGACGAGATGGTTGCGTACGAGAGATTGCGTGTTCTGAGCCTTAGGGTCTTTGACAAGAGGGCGAATGCCAGACCAAGCAGCAAGTACATCACCACGACGGACAGTAATGTCGGGGGACAGATAGTGGCTAACCTCGTTCAGGATCCATTGTATCGACTTCTCGTCCGGTAGTGGGTTAGCGGAAATGGTTGTTGGCTCATCAGTTGTGCCTGCAATTGTGTTTCCTTGCCATGGTAGGAAGAAGATGACTCGACCGTCTGACGTAGACGGGTCGATCAAACCCATGTTCGAAGGGCTATAGTAGCCTGGCAGAATAACATGAACACCGGAAGCAGGCGCAACAATCTCTTGGCAGTTTTGGTCATCGAGCTTTCGTATCGAATCGGTAAAGGGGCCAGTACAGTTGACAATACATTTAGCCTTGACCGTAATTGGTTCCATCTTCTTACCGTTGCGCTCGGCGATTACGTCCTTCACCGAAGCACCGCAAAGCTTACCATTTTCGTTCTTCATCAGACCAGTTACCTCGGCATGGTTCAAGATCGTAGCACCATATACCGCAGCAGTCATGGCAATGGAAACGTTCATTCTCGAGTCGTTATGAGCACCATCGTAGTAGACCAATGCGCCAACAAGGTCTGTCTGCTTGAGCATAGGGAACGCATCGAGGGCCTTACTCCTAGTCAAAAAGTAAGAACTCTCAATACCTTCACTACCGGCAAGAAAATCGTAGAACTTGGTACCAGCCCAATAATACGGCGCCTTCCACCACTTATCAAGCGGCAGCATAATGGGCAGCCATGAGCTCAGGTGAGGAGCAGTTTGCAAGAAATACTTGCGCTCCTTGAGAGCTTCCTTCACTAGCTGATATTGACTATAGTCGAGGTTCCATACAGCTTTCTCCAAGTATCTCACTCCGCCGTGTACGAGCTTGGTACTTTTGCTGCTGGTGCCACTGCTAAAGTCGTCTCGTTCAACGACGGCTACTTTCAGACCTCTAGTGACGGCATCCAACGCAACACCAGCCCCGGTAGCTCCGCCGCCAATAACAAGCATATCGTACTCCTCATCTTGTGCGTTGCTTTTTTTTAAGTCGGCAATTTGTTCTTCACGTGATTTTACTTTAGGAAAGCGAGGAAGCTTGAAAGTGCCATCAGCGCCATAGATGGGTGGAGGGACGGCAGCGCCCTCAAAGCCGGGGATGTTTCGGGGTCGATAGGTGTATAGAATGGCACCACCACCGACCGCGGCGACGGTGGCTGGAAGGGCTATACGCTTCAATCCTCTCGCAAATCTAGACATGACAGTAGGGCGTCGAACTCGTAAGGATAATTAAGTATGTCCCGCACAGCTGTACCTTTCTAGGTAATGCGGGCTGCGCCTAGCCGTACTCAAGCGTGGTCGAGTATAAAAGCGGCCACAACGACTAAGAAAGTCAAAAATGAACTTGTCTCAAATTTAAGGCCTTTCAGGTTCCTTTGTCTCGAAGGGAGGAATTGAACTAGGTATGTATAAAAGGGTGGATATATGGATATAATCAAATATTTTAGTCGACGGCGGACTGTCGATATTAGGAAAGCTTAATACAAGGCTGGTTTGAATTTGAAGATATGTACTATCTAGATTCTAGGTTAGATGGGTAAATAGGTAGGTAGGTAGGTAGGTAGGTAGGTAGATAGGTAAGGATGGTAAATGAAATGAATGAATGGGAAAGATAAAATTTCGCTCAATCTTTAGTTTGTGGTGACGTTGAATGGAGCTGGCATAGCATAGAAGAATGCAGCGTGGGGGTGATCTTTGAGCGTTTAGTCTACCTACTATGCAGCCTGTCGGTGGAGAAAATTGAGGAAAATGGAGAAGAAAATGGAGTAAGAATGGAGAAGAGTACGTGTATCTGTTGAAATCAACATAAATTTGATTGTCTCATATTAATTAAAGAAAATATGGAGGGAAAGGACCTCTTTTCTTCAGTTCTGTACTTTGTATTACTTTGTGATGGGTTGCTTCTTGGTACATACCTATGTAATGACGCTGCTCTTTCCCCGAAGTAAAATATGACTGACCATCTTATACTCCACACTTATACTCCACAGGCTCCATATAAACAATGCGGCAACAACAACCGTTGGGTGTGCGAAAGAAGTTGGACCTGCGCTACTACTAACTAGTAGTACACTAATCTGACAGACAGAATCAACTTCAAAAAAAACATTGAACAAAAAAAAAGTTCAGGTCACAAACATAAGCTATGCTACTATCGGGTTAAGAGAACGGCATTAAATTTTCCATCAATCGCATGCCAATTCGAACATTGTACTATGAATTTCAATTCATTAAGAATAGTTATAACTAATATCCATGGATATAAATAACTATTGTACAAATTGTGTTGTACATAGTTCATGTAATATGTATAGCTGACATTAGCTGTTTATCCAGGCAACTACTAAATAGGTATGCATCATTGCATCTTATGTAACCATAAGTACTACCTATCTAGTACCTATGCATGGGCAATATGCATAAATAGGGGTGATCCACGTATTAAGCTGCCTTTCTCCACGTGCGCATATCTCATGATCCTATCCGAGTCTGATCCCGATCCCGTCCCGTCCTATCATGTATGCAACCCAAACTCTCATACCTCCAACGAATAAAGCAACACAAATCAAACAAACGTCGTATCTTGGCATGTGAGATTGAAATATGAATACACAAGCAGCCTTGAAGTTAGTGCCCACCAAGGCAAACAGCGAATAACTCGTCCACAAAGGTAACATCTTCGTTTACCTTTCCACGTTCAGCCACCGCTGACCCAAGAGGTTTCCCAATACCAAAGTCTCCTTCCGCACCAGGTAAACATTCCATTTCAAACCCAAAAACGGTTCCAGAGTCAACTATTGTTACCCGGTCCATTTTCGCTACAGTCTTCGATGGAATCGTTGGCCCTCCATTGGCATCGTCAAGCTGTTGTACGTCGACCTGAATTTCTTGCGATATCATGATACCACCTAAAGCTAGCGGCTGGTATCCCGCGGCCCCTCGAGACATCACATCATCATAAGTCTCCCGGAGATTCTGCTGCTGGGGTACTATAGTAGATTCGGAATGGCTGGAGTCACGCCTAGATGATTTTTGCACAAATTTGGCTGAGCTTGAATAACCTTCTTCGACGACAGCATAGCTGTTACGGTTTGATTTTCCGAGACGGCGCAATGAGCTTAAACGGAGCATGGCTCTCCCTATTTGTTGATATAACTCGTCCGGCGGGTTGATCGGCACCGCACTTACGATTGGTGATAGTTCTCGATGCACGTATCGTGCGAAAGCGACTATTTGGGGCGAATCTCTGTATACCATCTGATGAACTTTGAAGAAGCTCAAGGGTAGAAATTCGCATCCAGGGCTGCAAGGACTAGCATGATTTGGTATCAACAAGCACAGGGCTATCACTGTGCAGGATCTCGCCGAGTTTGACCCAGCATAAGCACGACAAGGTACTTGGACCACTTTTGATGCCAGCACGGCTTCATCGAAGATGGGATCGTCTATCCAAGCACGAAGAGATTGAAGCGCATCGCACAGCTGAGAAGCGAAAAGCACCTCACGGGGAGTGAGCTTAACCATCCCAGCAAGACTCTGGAAGAGAAGGGCAACACTCATTCGGTCAAATTGGCGAATAACTGTAGATGGAGAGTCAGTCATACTTAATACTATCGCCATTAAAAATGTTGGGATTATTGGCTTTTACCAAACAAAATTGCCCACCAGTTCGAAAAAGAGAAGAAAGAGATGAACTTACTCTCCATCTGCCACGATTCAACACGCTCGAGTGGTAAGGGTATAGTGGGGAGCAGATTTCGAGCCCCTTTCCTGACTACAACATCGTACTCAAAACTCCCAGTGCGAGCCTTGACGCCAAAAAAGCCGAGATGAACACCAGGCTCCATCAGTGTCTTCTCTTCAGCAAAAGTCGCCATATCTTTCAACTTGCCATTAAGGTCCTGGGTCTTAATTTGCAGGTATGTCGTTATTATCTCACATACCTGATGAGTATCTGCGAATCGAAAACCGGCAGCCTCGAGTTTCTTCACATCCGAAGAGCTTTCGACACGGCGAACCAAGAACATGAGCGAGCCGCGTCTATGTTCTTGTTTCCTAGTCCGATTTCCCCGCCAGTTGCTTAGTGCATCGTACCAGCCTTCCCCTGGCCTTTTATTACAGCATTGATTGAGTCCCCGAGGCGATCTGTCGACTCCGGTAGTCAATATTTCTTCCCATAAAATTCCCATATTAACCAGCTGCTCTTCCAACTTGACCGCCAAACCGACGGCCGCGACACAGAACAGCTCGCGAAAAACGACATCGTGATCATCAATAAGTTGTCCGTCATCGTCAATAAGCCGGATCTTGTTATCGCGTGTACTCTTGCGCAGGCGTTCCAGGTGAGCGGTCATGCCTGAAATCATAGCGTTTACGCTGCTCCAGTTCCGAGAAATCCGAAACATCCAATGGAAAAACGGATGTGTGGTATTGAATGTGTCGCCCTGGTTTCTTTCCACGTAGGTGTCTGTGATTTTCTCGCTGGGAATGAGCCCATTCACATCCACCAAGACTCTTCCGGAATGATCAAAGACTGCGGCTGCTAATACGACTTGCCGAGCCTTTCTCGCTTGACGTCTTACAACCCAGCTCGCATAAAGTGCAGATACCAGCAAGAATAGGGTCGCGATGAATGCTAGGCAGCTGACAATTATCAAAGCCTGGGCTTGGGTAAGCCGGGTGCGCTCATTCAAAAAGAGTAGACGGTAGTCAGTCCCCAAGGCCGCGATCCAATGCATTGCCGATATGCCGCCAGCTAGCAGGAATGCAACTAATGCTCTTTTCCACCACGACTTCCTCCAAGATGCCCTAAAAACAAATAACAAAGACAGAGTTGTGATGCTGTCAAATGTAGCAGTCAAGGCCGCTCCCACAATGTGTACTTTGCTATATTCGCATTGATAGTTGTATATGGATGCATTGCCCAAATAATGCATGCCGCAGATGGATAGGCCAGCAAGAACTCCTCCGCAACAGATCCGCCACCACGAGACTATCTTGTTCGCTCCAGTAGTCAGGAAAGCTGCACAGAGTACCATTACTGGCAATAAAAAGGCGAGTATAGAGAAGGTACTAGAGTAATCGATGCGAAGCTCAGGCTCATCTTGGCCTAAGGTCAGTGCTCGCTCTCCAACGAAATGCTGCAATCGGTCAGGTCGTGCTTCGTTCCATGATGGACATACTCTGGACTGCTTACCATACAGTAAATCGATATAGCACCCATCGCTACCGCCGCACCAATAAGGATGACATAGTTGAAAAAGCCATTGCGGAGAGTTCGTCGGTTGAGTAATTCGAGAGTCAAAATTGCTCCAATCCAAGATACGAAGTAACTAAGGACCACGAATTCCCATTCAAAGGACTTGGGGACAATCTGACCCTCATACTGTAGCATTAAAACCTCAGCTCTTGACATCGTGATTACCACTTTTCCCTCCGAGACGAATCGATGGGCGTATAAGTGACTGATCAGTGGACGGCGTTAATCATCACTGATAACTCGTGATGACAAAGGTAGTTAAACGTCGAAGGACCCTAATATGAAAACTCGGGTAACTCTACAATCAACGACAAAGAGGTCGAAATACAAAAAAATTGTTTGTTATTCTAAGGACGCCACATTATTTGAAGGCATCACATCTTAGTACCGACTAAGTAATGCAGTCAAGTTTGGTTAAATCAACAGCCAGTTATTAACATTACCCTCAAATCTAGTAACAAAGATCGATTTAAGGACGTTTCAAGCTCTCTATAACAGCCGAAGCGAAGGGCGGACCGGGGAACTTATTGCAGCAATCCATGGATGCCTCTACCAATATGGGAATAGGGACGTTGATTTCAAAGACAGGCGGAGTTTGAGGAACGGATTCTATTGGATCATGGGATTTCTGCTAAGGTCATGGCTCGGTAAAATCCTAATTATGGCGGTCCCGACATCACGGCACCCCTCCAGGATGCCATGTTCATCAGCGGCATAGGAAATTTACTAGAGACTATGACATCCCTGGATTTCTTGTCATTTCCGAATCAGCAAAGTTTCCTGAAGTCATCACTGCATGTGATATATGGTGCAAGAAGACCGAGGAGGTACTGGCAACTGCATATGTTATCTTGCCGGTGACAAGGGCAGTTTACAAGCTACGAACCAGTTGTTTCTTCCAGTTACGAAGTATCAAGTTTGCGATGATGACAGATAGAAGACCCTGATTAAGATTGCCAAGCTTTAATCACTTATCAGCATGTTTTCTATACCCCTTGATTCCTCCCCCATCCCCCTTTTTCAATCCTGGGACTGGACGGCATGGGGTTGCTTGCTTAACCCCTAGAATACTTTACCTCATCATAGGCTCATTACCTCCGAAGGTTAATACTTCCGAAGGATAGTGCCTCATTTTTCTAACACGACGAGACTTTAGGAACAACTGCCACGTCGAAGCTTAACGCTGGCTTTTTAAGTTACCAATTGTCTTGGACTGCTTGAAATCCTGTGCATTTCAAGAGTTGTATAGTTGTCAAACTCTTTGGGGTCGGAGAGATACTTACTATGCACGCCAATACTGCGTAGCCAGACCTTCGGTAATCTTATTCTGGAGAAACGCTTGCCCTTTTCACAACGACACGTACACGGTGTGTTGCTTCTAGTTTGTTAACTTCATGTCGGATCCTAAGAGCCCTACTATTCCGCTAGCTTCGAGTCTTATCTTCTCGCGGCCATAGATTTGAGCTCGAAAGGAAGGAAATTAGCATGCCCATGAACATCATGGTCTGCGTCAAGTACGAGACACGGAACCCAAGCCCACGTTTCTGTGAGTGGCAATATAAAGAATTCGGCGTCGGTTATACCGTCTTACTGCGAAAATAAGCTCTATCCAGACGCAGCGTAGTTTTGCTGCTCAGTGTTTAGATATCAGCAAATCACAGGTTTCTGATCGGCTACCTATGTAGCTTAGATGGGCTTGTTCAAGGAACTATCTTCTTCAGAATTAGTGGAATGTTGCTGCAAACGTAAGTGGCACTCAAAAGCAGAAGTGAAAAGGATATTCATAGCAGCAAGCTCCCAACCCAGTCGTATTCGTTCATAAGCTATAGCCAACAAACAATAAGGGAGGGGGAGAAGATCTCGTATCATCAGCCAATGCCACCAACAGCATTAATATATCCCTTGCCTCTTTTAGCCACCTGGGGCCTGGGCAGGCATATAATCAGCTAACACCTTTTGCAACGGATTAGATAATCACCTGCTACAGTATGTACTGTAGATAGACATCTCGCGTTGGCGATCACACGTGCAACGTGCATAGGTAGCCCAACTGCATTATGTAGGTTCTCTAATCCTCAAAGCCCGGTCGCCCTTTTTTCAGGTTCTAGACCACACATGGTATCCCGAATTCGCTAGCAGAATCTCTCACGGTACACGACATATCGGTAATGGCTGTCCAAGTGCTTCCCCGAGAGGAGGCTCGAGCCACGAGCCACGAGCAGCAGATCCTCGTTCGGGATTCGTGGTGGAACGAACTCAAACACCACCTGGACATGGAGCAGTCAACTCCCTTTGTTCAAGCTAGTTATGGCCCAGCCGCCCAGCCGCCCAGGGGCAAGTAATGTATGTACCTTAGCTACCCTGGTACTTTTGTGTGTTCAAAGGAAATAAGCTGGTTGCCAAAATGAAGTGGCAAATGCCGATGTTTGATACTGACACAACACTCAATTATTAGGAGAATCCGGAACAGCCCGGATTTGTCAACCTGGATGGATCGTCAACTCAATCTCGATCTTGCAACGCGTAGAATTTGACGATAACCTAGGTACATACATACTATGTAGTAGGTACTAGGTATGGTCCTGACCAACTGCTAAATTCCGGTCCGGTCACTTGGTGTCGGACACTTTATGACGGACGGAGCTTAACATTGAATGTGATAAGATATTTGTGATGTATTATTATTGGCCAATTCCGTCAAATCCTATCATTGATGTACAAATATGAACATACTGGGTATTATCAGTCACCATAATTCACAAAATGTATATTTATGCTTATTATGCTTAAAGGCCATGTACCTCCATATACGTAAAGTAGCCCCGCCAAATTATCGACAGTGACTCCATATGCCCCGCATACGTCAGTAATAATCGATCGAATGCGCCATGTTAATTAATTCAATAATTATTCAATAATTATTCAATAATTAATTCAATTCAATTCCAACAAGATCAAATTCACAATCGCGCCGGTTTTCATATCAAGGTTTTAGATCACCAACTTGATAGTTACTATAAGACTTAAATTAAAAAAGAAAGAAAGAATAATTCGAATACTACGTACTCAATTGCCATCGTTCAACAATCCCACAGTCCCCATCTCTCGGGGCGCCAAAAACCCTCCGAACAAAAAATGGCGACAACGACTACTCCTACTCCTACTCCTCCCCCCGACTCCATAAAGCTCGCGCCCCTCCCCCCCTTCAAGCCCGACCTCTACCAGCGCGCCTGGCAATCCGTGCCCCACCCAACCCTCCCCTTACTCGCCACCGCGCACCAGAAATCCGTCACGGTCTTCTCCCTCACCACCCTCTCCGCCCACAGCGCCCTGACCGACGGCCACGACCGCTCCGTCCGCTCCGCCACCTGGCGGCCGAACCTGCCCCCGCACAAGCTGTGCCTGGTCACCGGCAGCTTCGACTCGACGGCGGGGCTGTGGCGATGGACTGACGACGACAACGCGGCAGGCGATAACTTGGAAGTGGAAGTGACAGCGGCAACGGTGCGATCAGACAACGACTCCGACTCCGATAACGACGGCGACAAGAAGGACTGGGAGCTGATCATCATCCTGGACGGGCACGAGAACGAGATCAAGTCGGTCGCCTTTTCCCCATCGGGGCAGTACCTCGCGACGTGCAGCCGCGACAAGACGGTGTGGATCTGGGAGGACGTCGGCGAGGCGGAAGAAGACGACTGGGAGACGATCGCGGTGCTGAACGAGCACGAGGCCGACGTGAAAGCCGTCGCCTGGTGTCCCCAGCCCACCGAGCCCACAAGCCGTGCCGGTAACAGGGGTCGCTACAGCAGCGACGTCCTCGCGAGCGCCAGCTACGACAACACCGTGCGCGTGTGGCGCGAGGACGGCGAGGACAACTGGGTCTGCGTCGCCGTGCTCGAGGGCCACGACGGCACCGTCTGGGGCCTGCAGTGGGAGCCCAAGCCCAGGCCGGGGGGCAAGTTCCCGCGCATCCTGACGTGGAGCGCCGATTGCACTGTTCGGATATGGACGCTGAAGGAGGAGGAGGCGGATAATGACGACGAACAAAGCGCGGCGAGACACCAGTGGGGCGGCGCGCTGAGCGGGATCCCCAACACGATGCGCCGGTCCCTGAAGGAGGACTGGGCGTGCACTGCTATACTGCCCAAGGCGCACACGAGAGACATATACGCGGCGACGTGGAGCCCGGAGACGGGGCTGGTGGCTAGCACGGGGAGCGATGGCATCATTGCTATCTACCGCGAGGAGGAGGAGGAGGAGCAGCAAGGGGGAGGGGAAGACGAGGCGGTCGCCGAGCTCGACGGCGATGATGTACCCATGACGAACGGACACACTGGAGAAAGCAGCAGCAGCAGCAGCAGTAAGTGGAAGTTGATATCCTCGACGCCGAATGGTCACGGCCCCTACGAGATCAACCACATCACCTGGTGCAAGCGCTACGACCAGGGCTGCGCGCCGGAGAGGAGGGGGAAGGAGGAGATGCTGGTTACGACGGGAGACGATGGGATCATTCGCCCGTGGCAGGTTATATGATGACTACCTAGGTACCTACCTAGTACTGATTAACCTACTACTACCTTGCTATCTGCCTGCCTTTTACCTACTAGCTAGCATAGGTGTGTGTACTTTATAGCGTAGAAAGACCAAAAAAAAACATAAAGGGTCAGCTTCAGTGCCTAAAGTTGTAGGTTACACTATTACCTGGCCACACCTACTCCGTCTGTAAATTGAAACGTGTGAGAGAGAACTTGGAGGGTAACATTTGTATCATAAGTTCCTAACTACCTAGGTAAGTGGGCAGTTAGGTATCGCGGTTCCACTAACAGAGGATTTCGCGTTTCTTCCTTGCTATCCATGGATGTGCCTGCCGACTGGCCTACAGACTACCTAGGTAGCTAAGTAGGTAATAGACAGGTAGGCTGAGAAATAGGTATGGTACAACTTGAGCATATGATACAATACAGCAACCTTGGGACATAACACGGTATCGTATAGTCCAGTCCAGTCCAGTACAATAGACAGGCGGGAGAGGAAAGCCATAGAGACAGTCATGAAGACAGCTAGCTAGCCAGCCAAGAGCAAGCAAACCATCAAATCCAGATGATACAAGTACCGTGATAACAACGGTTATTAGTGCTCTCCTTTCCTCCCTTAAGTATCCCATGCCTTTCTCCGTATGTTGGATCGATTGATCGGTCGTTCATCCGTTCGTGCGTAGACTCAGCTCAGCTCACTTATTACCTCCTTGCCTTCGTGCTCTCTTGCCTGCTTGCTTTCTTGCCCCTATACATATATAGGCCTTTTGATTTTCCTCCCCTTATGCTTCTTCTTTTGCATTTCTCATGATTATTCTTCCTCTCCGTTCAACATGCAAGCAGATCGGCAAGTAAGTAGGAAGGCAGGTAGGTAAGCGAGGTAGCAAAGCATGTCTTCGCCCATTAATTAACCTGGCCTAGGCCCTTAAGGTCATAGACACCAGTATGTACCTTCACTATTAGCCCTTCATCCTGTCGGTTCATTGATCCGTTCGTTCGTATTATTATCCATCGATTAAGTACCCTTCCAATGCAATAGAACCAGGGTTCAAGTACTTAAGAAGTAGGCACCCAGGCAGGCACTCACATACCAAGCCCCTCACAGCAACACCAAAGATAGACAATCTTGCGGCCCGCACATCTGGCGCACCAATCCTCGCCTCGCCTGGCGCCTCTACCGCGGCCGAACAGCGAAGCGAGGAGACTCCATCGCTGGTCCGCGGGGCGTCCGCACGCGCGGCAAGTCCAGGCGCCGCGTCGGTCCTGCTCTAGTTCGGCAGAAGAGGGGTATGCGCGGACGCGTTGATCGCCCGCCTGAGATTGCGTTGCGAGAGGGTCGTCGGGGTGACGGTAGGTAATTGGGTCGGGGTAGCCGTGGAAGTATTGCTGCGCCTCCTGCTGTTGTTGAGGCTGTTGTTGGCGGATAAACGGGTGTGCGTCTAGGTTTCCATGGCCACTGCGCACGCCGCGGAATGGCTGCTCGTACACGCGAGTGCGGTCTGGGGTGTAGTACAAGGTGCCACCCTCTCGGTTATCCTGCGACGAGGTGCGTGGAGGAACCCACTGCTTGAGGCCGACGGGGGTCGAGGGTGCCTGATGGGGTGGATAACTTGGCTTCTGTGGGTACGCGTGAATATCTACGGTCTCTATGGTAGGCGGCGAATGGCGTCGGCTCGTGTTGCGAAGGCGCGGGATTCTAGCGCCGTTGCTGCCTTCGCTGGCGCTCATGCCAAAGCCAATGGCTGTGGCGACGGACTCGGAGGTTTCACCACCGCGATTAAGGTCATTGAGACTGAAGGAGTGTTGTCGGCGTAGGGTTCGACGGGGACCCATTCCGATGCCATTGTTGCCTCCGCCATTGGAGTTCTGAGTCGTGTTCAAGTTGGTCTTGCTGCTGATACTAGACGACTTGTGCTTGAGTAGGGAAGAGATATCTGAAGTCGAAAGACTAGCGCCAGTGCGAAGGGTCGTGTAGCTGCGCTGCTCCATGATGGGCGCGAGCTCGGTGCCGTGACCGTAAAGGAATGTCGACGTGTCGTACATCTCGTCGTACGCTTCGAGGGTATGCTCGAGGCGCGAAAGTGGTGATTCCGAGTTAGGGTCTATGGGTCCGCGATTCTGTTGTTGTTGCTTCTGTGGGGGGGTCGAAGGCCTGGCTACTGATAACGGAGCCGAGGTAGAAGCTGCAATTGGCGCTGGGGTTTGATAAGGTGACTTCGCGATGTCGCTTGTCGATACCCAAGCCGCGTCGTATAGAGAACTATGGGAACTCGGCTGTCCTTCAGAAGAGTCCTTGCGATCCCATCGAAGATCGGGACTGTGATGGTGCGCGAGGTCGCCAGTGAGGTTGGATCTGTTTGAGAGAGGAACTCGGGGTCTAGCCGATGGGCCATTGGAAGTGGGATGAATATTATAGTCCATGTTATATTCTAGTGCCAATACTTAATGTTTTTCAAAAAGTATCGAGATAGCGGAGTGAGTAAATCGATACCTAATTCCTGAGGAGAATAGTAGGACTCTTCTGGATGGTAAGATGCTAGGGTACTGAAATGTGGTCTAGAAAGAATCATGGCTTCACTGGTATTGTTTTGTTTTTGTGCTTGTTTTCGATTGAGATAAATAGCTGGGTCGATGGCTTGGTCGATAGTTTGGTCGATACCTTGGTCAATACCTATACGGTACTAAAGAGCAAGTAAAGAGCAAGTATGTTGGGTTGTGCCTTCGACTATTCGGTTTCGATATCCATCAGTGGTCATGGGTGGTTGTTGCAACTGCTGTGAGTTTCGTAGCTCCATCTTTTTCAGGGGTAAGAAGGCATACTCCATGGATAATATCAACTTCCATTTGTTCCTTCACATGATCCTTCACATAAACATGAACACAAATCCCTATTCTTGCCAAGCCTTCATGAACATATAAACACTATTGTTCATTATCGTGTATAACTCTTGGTATCCCAGTCCAGTGAAATTGAGTTCAGTTCATCACGAGAACATGAGGTTATGCAATCTCAATACCCTCCAGCCGTTCCCAAACTCCCAATGCTTATGCTACCAAATATCTACCTGACCTTAGGTAATCTATCATTCTGTGCTGGTTTGGATCCCTTGAGCAGACAAGGCCCTTTGGTAGTCGGCAATGGCCTTGTCTAGAGATCGGAGAGTAGGGTCCATGAGTTTGAGAACTGCATCCCTACCTCCGCGAATCGACTTGGGGTCAAACATGACCTTTCGCCTAGTTCGCTCATATATCTCTAGGATTTCCCTCCTCCGCTTCTTTATCTGCTCATCCCTAGCCTTTTCGGCGTCTGCTGCCACGACATCTATCCTGTCTTTAGACCGCTTCAGAGCCTCAGCTAGGTAGCCCAATTCGATAGCACGATCGGGATCACCTGAAAGAAATGTTGACCAAAACTGATGGAGAAATTCCACGGTAGTAGCGTGGGTCAAGTTGCAAGCCTCCGTAGTTTCGGCAGACAGACCCATTGGTGACGATTCGTCCGAGCCGTGACCATATAACTGAGCTCGCTTTTGGATGATTCCATCAAGGATCTGCTTCTGTGCTTCCTTCCGTGACGCTCTTGATCCTACATGGGGCGGCCTCTCTCCCTCATCTTCGCTATCACTATCGTCATCGACACCTAAGGAGTTGTGAAGGTCCACACCTCCAGCAGTATTCTGGTTGAGACGATTTAAATCGCTCTGTACATCACTGATAACCTTGGATGGTTTTTGCTTCGCATAGACCGCCGTTGTTTTTGAAACAGTGTCGGTCTCGTTCGAGAAAAACCTGCTCTGCTCCTTAATGTTAAGAATGATCCGATTTTCTTCTACATCCCCCTGAAGGTCACGGAGGGCAAGTTCTCGATACACATCATCCAAATCTGCCGCACTACCAGATTCATTACCGGACTGTAAAGCATTGGCCAGTAATTTCTCGCTGATACTGTTCAAGGTCTGAATGATAGGTACGTCTTTCCTCCCCCGTTGGCGCATTTCAACGTCCTTGCGGTTTCCACTTCTAAAACCACCCTGATTCTCCTCATTGCCCTCAATATTGATGAAGTGTGGTACCTGTTGTGCTAGAAGTTGACTGTTGAAAGCTTTGATGTCGTCATATTCGTCATATTTATCAAAGATCTTGTCTGGCGTTTCAAGGTCATTGACACGCTCTCCTCTTAGCTTTTTGGATAACTTGCTAAGGAAGAATCTCTCCCAGAACTCATTTTGTGCTAGAGGTGGCACGTTCTCGTTGTAAATGCGCTTTACAAGGGGGTGTTGATTTAGGATCATCTGAATTTGCTCAACACTGAACTTCATCTTTAGCTCACTAGGCTTGTTTGGATCAGTGCTCTGCTGCATAGTAGGCTTCACCTGGGCCAACACATTGTAAGGGCCCTTTTTCTGGTTATTCTCGATAGCATGGGCACGGAGCATGTTGATTCTTGCGGACCAGAATTGCGTGTTGAAGGTAGCATCCGACATTGATTCGGGTTTCACCTTGCGACCCTCCATGTACATCTGAAAGAGGTTGCGATCCGCTTTCATGAGGGATTGCTGCAATGCAATATCGCTCTTAAGGGCATCGTCATCAAATAAACGTGCCAATGAAGGTTTTGATAGAGCAGTATTAGCAAAGGTCATGGATCCCGAGCCGGCAGCTCCACCTTGCGCGCCCGCTGGTCTTGGAACATTAGGATCATTGTTTTTGGCGTTAGCAATTAATTTTGATATGAGATCCCTAATGGCGACAGCTTCTGCTCTTGGATCAGCAGGCGAGTTGAAGTGGAATAAGTAGGCTGCTGGCTCAGTAGCCCCTGGAGGTTTATCAAAAATCTTAAGCATAACCTTACGGGCGCTATCCGGTGTTTGCTGAAGATCTAGAGAAAAACGTGTTAGTTTAAAGGCATTGTGACATGTGGATTAATAGGCAGTCATACTGGTGATAGTTGTCACGGTTAGTGACAATAATGGTGGTCCACCGGGAGCAGTATTTGGAGTCCATATAACATTTTTGTAGTCGGAAGTGAGAGTGAGAATGCCTTCCGTCTTTTTGTAGACAGCAGAACCTGTTGGAATGGCCATCTTGCAAAATAGAGAGAGTTGACTAGAGGCCGAGTTGTAGCCTGGGATGTCGCGTGTGCAGTAATCGCAGTAGATGTACTGTGGTAGCCTGTTTCGTTAAGAATAGCCAGTAAAGAATGATATATAAACAAGAACGCCGAAATATGAGACAAAAGGTATAAAGGGTATCCTCAAGGCATGTGTTCACCTTTCTCTCGGTCCAATATATGCCTTAGGTATCTAGGAACCTAGGGAGCGTTACTGTCTGTCATGAAATCCACAATGTATGATGTACAGTATGTAACTTTTGGTGAATGGAATAATAATCGTTGAGTTGCAGTTCAAAGCTCGGACGCTCTTAGATGCACATGTGCATGCATTCAATGTTGAATCAAAGAGCAGTCGCGTATGTACGGCATAGTACTGTGTATTGTACATACTTAACTTATGTAAGCCAGCATATGGAGACTTGAAACCAGACCATTTAATTGGATTGGAAAGGTGGAGAGCTTTGATAAAATGACATCGTTGAAACACCGTTACTTACCCTGTTATCGATACCAAAACAGCTCTTGAAACTGCCAGCGATATGTATTGAAACGGGTTTAATTTATTGATACATAACTAATCTAATCATTTAGCAAATCACAGCGTCTTTTATTTTTATTCATCAAGACCCGGCAGTTTTGATATTGCCGCACTGGAAGTAGTTATGTATGAGCGAAATCTGTTCATTCCCCTTAGCCTACAAGGCTACCTAGGTCCTAGTAGTCTAACCGTTAGACAGCTACCTAAGCAGCTAAGCTAACCTAGGTCAAGTAGCTAATTTTGTCTCGATCTTGGAAGGGATTCCCGCCATTTTCCGAACATCCCTTGTTAATCAGCTCCTTTATGGATAGTTGAATATTCCCATAAGTACCTACCTCGTTGCCAACCCTCTTCAACTCTTGAAAATACCTACATACACTGAGTACCTAAGTAGTATATATAGTAACAGTGCAACCATAGTTCAATGTTACTCTTGAGCGACATAAAAATAAAAGCCTCGAGTTAAGACATAAGTCGGTGACCACTAACCATAGCCTCGGTGGTTTTTGTAATAAAGATCAGGCCTTTGGGCCGAATCCAGATAGAGTTTAGAGCTACCTGAACAGCCCTGTGCATTTCTTCACAAGCCGAATTTAGCCTGTAAATACCAAAAAAAATTCGCTGGTGCCCTCATTTAATTACATAAGGCATTAACATTGGCAGCGATTTGGCAGCCGAATGATCAAGTGTTAAACGCATATTAACACGGTTTAATAGCATAATATAATCGGCAATCCCGGGCATTTCCTTGGCTCTAGCTTGATCTGCGACCGGGTGACGACAAGGGGCCAGTCGCAGTTGTATTTTTCAATTTCTCCAAACAGTTTTGGGGCATGACCAGTGACCTTTCCTTTCCAAGTCTATCCAAGTTTCTTTTTCCTTTTCAGCTTCAACACTGAAAGTTCAACACCTCAACCTTGCAAGGTAGTGTTCAAACTTCACCCCCAAAGACTTACTCCGCCACTCCTTTGTCTTTTCGAGAGATTTCTTACCTAGGTATTTTGCATTTTGCCCAGGAAGTATCTCGTCTTCTGGTAGGAGTTTGTTTAATAGTACCTATTATACATTAGTATACATGTCGTCGGGATAGACTAGACACCTTGTCTTTTCTTTCACACGTACACACGTACAAACGTACAAGATCCTAATTTATATTTTATAGCTGTCAAAGCATTAGCCTGGCGCCATGCTGCGAAGCTCCCTTCGCTCCTCGAGCAGCCAGCTCCTCAGAGCTAGCTGCCGATCCTCAAGATGTGCCACTCAGGCTTCGAGATGTTTTTCATCTCTAACCTCGGCTCGTCGCCCTCTCGCCCTCTCTACTCAGATGCGGCACGCCTCCACCACGACGTCATCGTCGCCCTCCCCTAACGACAGCTTCTTGTCCGGAAGCACGGCCAATTACATCGACGAGATGTATCTGCAATGGAAGGAGGATCCCGAGAGCGTTCACGTATCGTGGCAAGTCTACTTCAGAAATATGGAAAGCGGCGAAATGCCCATCCAGCAGGCCTTCACCCCCCCGCCTACCCTGGTTCCCAATGCTACAGGAGGTGTTGGGCCTGCCGTAGGCATGGGAGTTGGCCACGGCTCTGATGTCACAAACCATTTGAAAGTTCAGCTTCTCGTCCGCGCATACCAAGCCCGTGGCCACCATAAGGCTAATATAGATCCTCTGGGCATACGTAATGAGCAGAAGGGTTTTACTAATGTTAAGCCTAAGGAATTGTCCCTTGAGCACTACCAGTTTACTGAAAAGGATCTCGACAAGGAGTTTTCACTTGGCCCAGGTATCCTGCCCCGTTTCAAGCGAGAAGGACGCGAAAAGATGACTTTGCGCGAAATCATTGATGCTTGCGAGAAGATCTACTGTGGTTCCTATGGCGTCGAATTTATTCACATCCCCGACAGAGCCAAGTGCGATTGGTTGCGAGAACGAGTCGAGGTGCCCCAGCCGTTCAAGTACTCCGTTGACGAGAAGCGCCGAATCCTCGATCGTTTAATCTGGAGCTCCAGTTTCGAGTCTTTCCTGGCTACCAAATATCCCAACGACAAGCGATTTGGTCTAGAGGGATGCGAGACTCTTGTTCCTGGAATGAAGGCGCTCATTGACCGAAGCGTCGACTACGGTGTCAAAGATATTGTCATTGGAATGCCTCACCGTGGTCGTCTCAACGTTCTCAGTAACGTCGTCCGCAAGCCGAACGAATCCATCTTTAGCGAATTTGCGGGAACGGCTGGTGCCGAAGATGAAGGATCAGGTGACGTCAAGTATCATCTGGGTATGAATTTCGAACGTCCCACGCCTTCCGGAAAGCGAGTCCAGCTTTCTCTCGTCGCCAACCCCTCCCATCTTGAGGCCGAAGACCCAGTCGTGTTGGGGAAAACCAGAGCCATCCAGCATTATAACAACGACGAGTTGACGCACCGAACTGCTATGGGTGTATTATTGCATGGTGATGCTGCTTTTGCGGCTCAGGGCATTGTATACGAATGTCTTGGCTTCCACTCACTACCAGCATTTTCGACAGGTGGGACAATCCACCTGGTGGTGAACAACCAGATTGGTTTCACCACTGATCCACGATTTGCTCGCTCGACCGCCTACTGCACGGACATTGCCAAGGCCATTGACGCTCCCGTTTTCCACGTCAACGCCGACGATGTCGAGGCTGTGAACTTCGTTTGCCAACTAGCTGCTGATTGGCGAGCTGAGTTCCAGTCTGATGTTGTCATTGATATGATTTGTTACCGCAAGTACGGCCATAATGAAACGGACCAGCCGTCCTTCACGCAACCTCTGATGTACAAGCGCATTAGCGCCAAAGACCCTCAAATCAACATATACACAGAAAAGCTGCTTCGAGACGGTTCATTTACCAAGGAGGATGTTGAAGAGCACAAGCAATGGGTCTGGAACATGCTGGAGGAAAGCTTTGCCAAGTCCAAAGACTACCAGCCCACGTCAAAGGAATGGACTACCTCTGCCTGGAACGGCTTCAAGTCGCCCAAGGAGCTGGCTACCGAGGTGCTACCGCATATGCCAACGAGCGTCGACAAGCAGACTTTGGAACACATTGGTGAGGTCATCGGATCCGCTCCTGAAGATTTCCATGTCCATCGCAACCTCAAGCGTATTCTGCAAAACCGCACCAAGTCGGTCGTCGAAGGCAAAAACATTGATTGGTCAACTGGCGAGGCTCTCGCATTCGGTTCGCTTGTCACTGAGGGTCACCACGTCCGTGTATCTGGCCAGGATGTAGAGAGAGGTACCTTCTCTCAACGACATGCTGTCTTCCACGACCAGGAAAGCGAAGACACTTACACTCCCCTACAGCACATTAGCAAGGACCAAGGCAAATTCGTCATCTCTAACTCTTCTTTGAGCGAGTACGGCGCCTTGGGCTTCGAGTACGGCTACTCGCTATCATCTCCCAATGCATTGGTAATGTGGGAGGCTCAGTTTGGTGACTTTGCCAACAACGCTCAATGTATCATTGACCAGTTCCTCGCGTCTGGCGAAGTGAAGTGGATGCAGCGAACTGGATTGGTCATGTCTCTCCCGCACGGTTATGATGGACAAGGCCCTGAACATTCTTCTGGGCGTATGGAACGATATCTGCAGCTCTGCAACGAGGATCCTCGCGTATTCCCAGTACAGGAGAAGCTCGACCGACAACACCAAGATTGCAATATGCAGATTGCATACATGACGACCCCTGCTAACTTGTTCCACATTCTTCGCCGACAGATGCACCGACAGTTCCGAAAGCGTAAGTTTACCCATACATTCCGAGATAAAAAACCAAATTCGCAAGTACTAATTATATGATAGCTCTGGTGATTTTCTTCTCCAAGTCACTCCTACGGCACCCCTTAGCTCGCTCTGACATTGAGGAGTTCACTGGTCCCGATGCCCATTTCAAGTGGATCATCCCTGATCCTGAGCACGAAACTGGAACTCTCAAGGCTCCCGAGGAAATCGACCGTGTCATTCTATGCACTGGTCAGGTCTGGGCGTCACTTCACAAGTACCGTGCTGACAATAAGATCGACAATGTTGCCCTCACTCGAGTTGAGCAGCTCAACCCATTCCCTTGGGAACAACTCAGGGATAACCTAGACATGTACAAGAATGCCAAGACGATCGTCTGGTGCCAGGAGGAACCGCTCAATGCTGGCGCATGGAGTTTCACTCAACCGCGTATCGAGACTTTGCTCAACCACACCCAACACCACGACCGCAAGCATGTCATGTATGCTGGCCGAAACCCTTCGGCATCGGTTGCCACCGGATTAAAGACGACTCATAAGAAGGAAGAGGAGGATCTGCTGAACATGGCATTTACGGTAACGCAGGACAAGCTGAAGGGGGAGTAAAGGGGAAACCAAAAAAAAAAGAGAGGAAAGACAGGGGGAATCAAGCATTGACATCATGACGGAACGGAGCATTAAAGTATCTCATTTTTCTTGTATTGTATCTTGTGTATAAGGGGGCCTCGGGGATCACATGACAAGTCGAGGCTACATAGACGGGTGGTTGCTAATGGGTTTCCAAGTAGCTTAATGGATGCTTTCGTAAGTCCAAAATCTGCTCACTCTACTCAAGTATAACAGGTTACATAGAAGTGTGCATGAGAATTTGTTGCCTATGTACGGTTGTAGGTACCTACCTACATACCTACCTACATACATACACACCTGCATATGCAAAATATCAAAATATCACGCCAAGACAGCCGGGGTTGTGATAAGCACCTTGCTTCTCGCTCCCTAATTCGTCAATGAGCAAGGTTTGCTTAATCTTGAAATCATTGTACATAAACTTGGGCTAAGTCGATATAAGCTCTTATCTATCCAACTCTGGACATACCTAACCTAGGCACATAATCAGCATGTAGGTTAGACGAATAAGAAAGCAAACGACCAGGCAGTCAGTCAGCTAGTCAGTGAGGGCATTTACGCCCAAGTTTTTGACTATCTCAATGTGCCTATAAAGAAATGGATTTCTTGGCGATTCGACAGCGTGGCCAAGCCATCCAGGAGAAGACTCGAGCTCGGTTGACGGATAGGCATAGCTGGAAATTGCCTAAGCAGACCAGCAGTATTGCGCCACCGCACGTCTGGACGAATGCTGGTATGTCCTTAGTCTGTCTATTCATACAAGCGAATACCTACCTAGGTTAGGTACCTAGGTAGGTATGTGTATAGTGGCACTGTCTTACCCCGTGCAACAGATCAAGACCCTGTGCCGGAGGATCAACGGACTTGGACGAAGTGGGCGTTCATCGGCTACTGGTACTCGGACCTGGTTACAATCTCAACATGGACGGCCGCCAGTGCCATAATGACGACGGGCTTGACGGCGACCGATGCGGTTCTGATTGTCTTTGTTGCGGCTATAGTACGTGCCTAGGCCCGTCACATGTGCTTCTTCATTCGCGGAGAAGCTTGACTGACTGACTGGCTGACTGACTGTTTTCAGTGTAACGCAATACCAACCGTGCTCAACGGCGCCATCGGCGCGGACCTGCACATCCCCTTCCCGATCGCCTGCCGCGCCAGCTACGGGTACTGGCTCAGCTACTTCTGCGTCGCCACGCGCGCCGTCCTCGCGCTCTTCTGGTTCGGCGTCCAGAGCGCCAACGGCGGCACCTGCGTCACCGCCATCCTGACGTCCATCTGGCCCAGCTACGCCCGCCTTCCCAACGCCCTGCCAAGGTCCGCGGGGACCACGAGCCAGGGCTTGCTGAGCTACTTTGTCTACTGGTGCATACAGTTCCCGCTGCTGCTGATCCCGTCGCACAGGCTGCAGTACCTGTTCTGGACGAAGACGGCGCTGGTCACGCCGATGGCGCTGGCGATGGTTGTTTGGATCACGGTGAGGGCTGGGGGGCAGGGGGACTTTTTTTATGCGCCGGCGACGGTGTCCGGGTCGGCGAGGGCGTGGCTTTGGTTGTCTAATCTTGTTAGAAACCCCAACCCCTTTTTCTTTTTTTTCTCCTGTCCTCCTGCTTCTCATCCATACCTAGTAGCTAACACACACCCAACAGACAAGCGTAACAGGCGGCTACTCGACCCTCGCCGTCAACATCCCCGACTTCTCCCGCTTCTCCCGCACCCGCGGCGCCCAGCTCTGGCAGCTGCCCTTCATCCCCCTGTTCAAGACCCTCGTCGGCATCTGCGGCATCGTCTCCGCGAGCGCCTCGGCACAGGTCTACGGCGCCACCTACTGGTCGCCCCTCGAGATCATCGCAGCGTGGCAATCCCCGCCCACCCCCGGCGGTCGCGCGGCAGCCTTCTTCGCCGCGAGCCTGTGGCTCCTCGCGCAGATCTCCGTCAACGTCAGCGCGAACGCGGTCTCGTTCGCCAACGACGCGGCGTCGCTCGCGCCGAAGTGGCTCAGCATCCGGCGGGGCGTCGTGCTGGTCGCCCTGCTCGGCGGCTGGGCCCTGTGTCCGTGGATCATCGTGTCGTCCGCGGCGAGCTTCCTGGCCTTCATGAGCGCGTACGCGATCTTCATGGCGCCCATCGCCGGGGTCCTCGTGTGCGACTACTGGGTCGTCAAGCGCAGGCGGTACGACGTGCCGGCGCTGTATGACCCGGGCGGGATATACAGCTATCGCGGCGGGTTTGGGGGCAGAGCTGTGGGAGTTAACTGGCGCGCCCTCGTCACGACGCTCGCGGTCATCGTGCCCCTGCTGCCGGCGCTCGCGCAGAAGGTGGCGCCGCAAAGTGTGCGCATTGGTCAGGGCTTGGTCAACCTGTTTGCGTTCAATTGGCTGTATGGGTTTTTTGTCTCCTTCGTCTTGTACTACGCGCTCAACTACTTTTTCCCGGATCGGGATACCCTGATCCCGTGTGTGGTTTTGGGAGACCGGGGGGCGGTTCTGCAGGCGGCGGGGGCGGACGATGATGATGATGTAGAGAGTGGTGGTGGCGGTGATGGTGGCGGTGATGGTGGTGGTGATGTGGAAAGGGGGATTGCACAGAATGAAAAGAAAGAAGAGGAGAGCGTTAAGAAGGCTAAGGTTATGGAAGAAGTGTAACGGGACACTTATATCTACCTACGTAGGCACTTGATACCTAGGCGATGAGTCTTTGAGCTAGAATGATGGAGTCGACGATTATATTCTATGATTCTAACGAGTCTATCTGAACATAAGAGGTTTAATATGCATGGATGAATTTTTAGTCACCTTATAGCATAACATCTTACTCACACAGCCTCACACCTCCCCCCCTCACTCCTCCTCTCACACCCTGCCGGACACTCCACGCCCCCGTCAAACTGCCACGCAAAGTACCCATCCGTCTCATTAGCCAGCACATTCCCCAACAGCCTCGTGCTCGCCCCCGACAAGTCAAACGACTGTCTAAAGACCTCGAGCGACGAGATGCGGATCTGCGTCCACCCGCGCGCGATGAGCGTGTCGATCGAGGACCCGTAGACGTACTCGCGGAAGCCGGCCCAGCGGATGGCGGACGCGCACATGGGGCAGCTCTCGGCGTTGGTGTAGAGGGATAGGGAGGAGAGGGCGGCTTGGGCGGCGCTGGGGGAGAGGCGGTAGGGACCGCTGGGGGAGGTGAGGAGGGCGGTGCAGTTGTTTATGGCTGCGATTTCGCCTGTTGTGTTTGGGTCATGAGTATGTATCTTTCTTCGGACTTTTTTTCTTGTTGTTCCCGTTGTTTTTTTTTTTTACACAAGCGAGAAGGAATGGGAAAGGGGGAAGGCTTACCATGGAGTGTTGGGTTTCCAGTTGCACTTATACTGTTATGGCCCTCACAGATGAGGTCACCGAGTTCGGAGGAGCTCGTGTGGTTCACGATCACGGACCCGAAGGCGGCAAAGGGACATGGGTGATCGAGGGCTAGGTTAGCCCGTCGCATCCAGTACGCTCTGGTACTAAAGGGGATGCCATTGATGGAAAGGGTTGAGTCGCCGATGGGTGTTTGGTCTCGTGAGTGGAGAGGGTGTCCTCCATGACTGAGAACCGGATGACTGATGGCAAGGATGGAGATGGAGATGGAGATGAAGGAAGCACGAAAGCACGGTTGAAGCCACATTTTGACCTAAGCTATCAAATGAAGTGGTTGGTTAAGTACAAGTATGTGGACAGACAGCTAAGTTGTCTTTTATATGCCATCATTACCGAGGTACCTATACTTGAAAAAGAAAAAGGGCGACACTAGGTACATTGATGTAGATAATGTTGTGTCGACGATCGGATCTTCCTAGAAGCTCTAGATAAAGCTACCCTGGTATAGAGATAAAGTATGATAAGAGCATTGATACTGTTAAAGTCTGTTATCCGTTCACACGCAGGTACCCGGCAATCCCGTATCAACGGCCGTCTCCGATAGATAGGTGCCTGCATAGTAGATATTCAAATCCGGTAGGCTGATGATAACCATATCTACCTACCTATACAACACTGTATCAATATATCTAACCTAGTTACTTTTTGTAAATAGGAGAGCATTATTCGGTCACTATCCACAACAATATTAGCAACATCATCACCATCACCATCACCATCATCATGTCTCCAACCCTTGTCAACTCCAACTCGTGCTTCACCGTCACACCAATGAGGAAAACCTCGGAAGACAAACATGATTACGGTGCAGTCGTTACTGACCTAGATCTGAATGACATCAGCGGTAAGGGCGCTTCTATAATGCCATAAAATCTACCTATATTCAACCTAGTTAGATGCGGCCGTTCGACGCCTATCAGACCTGATCTGGACACATAAAGTTGTCGTAGTCAAGGGCCAGAAGGACCTCGCTCCGGCGAAGCAGTGGGAGCTCGTGACCCGCTTCGATCCTGATGCTCCTCAGATTCATTCTCACGGAGACTTGAAGACCTTTAACAGCAAAGGTGGTCTACTTTCTGTAAGTCTCTGGTTCAGTGGTCCTGTCCAGCCCTGAGCAAGTCAGTTTGACAAGAAACCTAGAAAGCCCGCGAGGTTGTGGGTATTCCGGGTGCTGAAAACGTCCGCCTAATCGGAAAGGGCTTCCAAGGAGAAGATCACTATGGCATCAAGAACAAGACCATTGCCAAACCACTGTCACATGACTGGCACGAAAAGGAGCTCCCGCAGCACGAATTCAATGCAGGGAATACTCGATTTCAACGCTGGCATATGGATGCGCCGCTCTATGCAAGAGATCCAGCTTGGTTTACCACCCTGCGTTGTATAAAGCGCCCTACCCACCCCGACGTCAACATCCGTTGGGATGATGAGTCCGGATTCAGCATGAAGGCCGAACCCGGCTTAACCGCGTTTGTCAGCAACGTCCAGACGTACGAAATGATGACCGAGGATGAGAAGAAGGTCGCTGATCACAGCTGGGTCGAATATGCACCCCATCCCGTACGTAGAATCCTCGTGGTCCAAACGCTGGAGACAGATAGATGCTGACAGCAGGCATGATCAAGTACATGTGGATAGGCGATTGTAAGGGGAAATCTAACGGCCTTGGCCTCGTGAGTCAAGCCAAAGAGAAGAAGCTCAAGGACCTAGGCGATTTTGATCCAAAGGATGTTAAAACGTATCCAATGGTTTGGATTAATCCCGTGACGGGCGAGAAGGCATTCCAAGTTCATGGGATCTGCGCTAGGAAGCTATTCATTCGTTCATCGCCAACGGAAGAGCCTCGAGTAATCGATGATGTGGTGGAGATTCGAAACTGGTTAAAGACAATACAAGAAAGGGTACTAAAGCCAGAGTTTATCTTGATTCCGAGTCTGGCGGAAGGGGACATCGTCATGTGGGCCAACTATCAGATGTTTCATACAGCTATTGACTACCCGGATTCATATGGGCCAAGGACTATGCATCAAGCGAATATCGCTTCGTCTGCTCCTCCGGTTGGCCCTAATCCAATCCCAGTAGTAGTTTAAGCCCCAATTCAAAAGAGATCGCACATACGATATGCCGCCTTATATTGGACAATGATATATCTCGTTGAGTGCAATAGCTTATCATATGCCGCTATCAGAAAAGGAGGTAACCCTTCGTATATGTGTCGTTGTTAAGCATCCATATTACTAGGTATTGATCCTTATGCAGGATCCTAAGTGTTCTATATGAGGCTGAATACGACGGATTTTTAGCAAAGGGTCTGCTGGGAAAACTCGTCTACCAGTCGCTTCATATAAAACTCTCGCATATCTGGCGGCAGTTTACTAAACGAGTTAGCAATACGTACAACATCTTGTCGACCTTTTTCATACTATTGCATCTATAGTTAGTAATCGTTTTCATTTCCAAACGATCGAATCATCCGGCCAAGAAAAGAAAACTGGGTACACTCACAGCTGCAAGATCTCGATTTCCATACACGTCTCTCCCGGTTGAGTAGCCAATTTCGAGATTACGAAAGAAAACGTTGACAGCGATGCCTAGGTTACTCAGCGGAGTCGCAGTATGCATCCAAAGAGGTGGGAGAAATAGTATATCGCCTGGGTTGAGCACAGCTTCATGAGGATGAGTTCCGGCTAGAGATGGTGATTGAAGCTCCGAGAACACGTCGATACTCGAACTAGATGCACCTGGCGCAAAGGAAAGCCGAGTGACATCTGAGGGCGGGAACAGGATAAACCTTTTGGAGCCTGTTATTTGGCAGTACACGTTGGCCATAACCTGATACAGTGTGAGTTACTCATGCTAGACACTAGATACTTCGCATTTCTTACATCGTAATGAAGCCACATGTTTACTGGCCCAGTTATCCGCAGCACCGAGCTGAATTCGTGCTCAGTGACGAATGATAGTGCCTCTGGAAGACTGAAATCGCTGGCGAGCTGCGGAAAATCGACCTTGATATTGGCAGGCTGGTCTGATGGGCTATCCTCCGAAAGGGCGCGAAGATACAATTTATGACCACTTTCGATTTGCTGCATCATTTCCCCAAACTTTCTTTTGACATACAGGAAATTCTTGCTATTAAAATCCATCTTAGAGCTATTGGCCTCGTGGACAACCACCTAGTGACTATGTTAGATTCGCCTGAATAAAATGTTTAGGAGTTCATTACCTCTCTGTCGAAGCCAAGTTGCTGCACGATGTAATCTGACGACCAGGTTTGCGTACAGCTTCCCAAGGTACTGTTGTTGATGATTACAGGCTTCCCAGCCTTCAGCAGATTCAGAAATTCGTCTGCCGTATTAACTCGAAGTCTTGGTATATCGACTTTGATCGCAGCTTGTTTATCAGTCGAAAGACTTGAGATGGATGGTTGATGTTCTATATCTTCTGCAACCTCAATAATTTTTGAGTGTTTCCAAATTCTATCATCACAGGATGATGTCGGCGACCCAAGGACAGGAGACTTGGGATTGTATTCCAGTGTATAGCAGCCCGGATTCCAGAATGTCCCCATAGAGAAGCATGTGGCGCCACCACCCATGACCACTAGTTGCCCATTGTTCGTTAACTCAGTTGAAACGCCTATCAGTAACGGCCGTGGGTTGACTGCTATATGACATGCTGAAAGAATTTTATAATTCGAGTCGGATACATCTATACTCAAGACATCGAGATCTCGCGGGATTATGTCATTCGCAATGATGCCCCCGATGATACTCAGGTATCCTCCTGGAGAAATGAAGCCAGAAGCACCAAAGCGGCTGATCAGGTTATCAGGATAGTTTGTGCTATCCAAAATCTGCTCCCCAGAACTATCGCGTTTTAATGTCGATAGAGCTGTGAATGATATAGTAGGCTTGCCATTTTCCGGCAATGTCAAAGTCCATCGTAAGAGTTGGCTAGCAACAGTACCGTCCGGAGAGATACCACCTACAAGAACACCATGAAATTGCACTCCCTCATCTGTCGGAGAACGAGTTGCTTCTTGATGACTGGCTAGGAGAGAGCCAAATATTGGCATGTGTTTTGACCCTATAATGTTACACTCCACCCAGCCAGAGCCTGGCTGGTAGACAAGACAGCCACCAAAAATGGCTGAAGGGCCAGTTTTACCCCCAATCAAAAGAGCTAGATTCGAGCGGCCAAGTCTAGTCATTCCATGTCGATACAAGGGCACCGGTAGGTCGTCAATTCGTTGCCACTCATTGGTACTCTTTGTAAAGATCCAACAATCACGCAGGGCGGCTGAAGGAGAAGCCCTGCCACCTACGAGTAAACTCCCGTGTTCACCTAGATCTGTAATAGTGTGGCACATACGGCTACCGGGACCCGTACGGTGTGTCTTTACGTCTCGAAGAGGAATGTCTTTCGTATAGAGATCGTATGAACGCAGTCGACTATTCGTACCAAGCCCAAACGTGTTGGCAAGAAATTCCTCGCCTAGATCATTCCGTAACTTCATCGTAGAGCCAAATCGACGTTGACCCCGAGTTCCAGAGTATTCTCTAAAATCTATTCTTGGATTGGACACAGGAATCTCAAGCTTTCCATTACCCCTGGGGCTACCGAGAGCCATTTGGGTATTTTCGGGGTAGGTCTTGGCAATGACTACGCAGTAATGGCCAGCAAAAAGAGCGAATTCCTCCCATTCATCAAAAGGCTCAATGACGTCAAGTTTCCGTCTGGCATCTGCTGAAAGCCATGAGAAATCGGACCATACCTGCCAGAGGGATTGCACGTCGACCTGCGACCATCCCCGACTGGTGAAGCGTTCCCGTTGGCTATGGAGGTTTGGATAGGTGAAGACAGATTTCAGGGGTGTCTTCAACTTCTCAAAATGGGCCAACATAGTTTTCGCAAATGGATGATCTTCACCATCTGGTATGATTTGCTCCAGCAAACAAAATTCGGCTAGATCCTATTAGTTCCAACAGATAGAGATCAGTTCGTGCAAGTCTAGATACATACCTTTCCCAAGACTGCTGGCCCATTTAATGACTGAGTCTGCACCCTGAGTCTCCATATAAGTGATAGACACTTCAGCAACGAACATAAACTCGCAGTTGGCAATATCGACGACACTGGAGAGTGCATGTTCTATACTGGGAATATGACGTAAATCACATCCGATTTGAACGTATTGGTCACTCTGTAAAAACACATGGTTTCCCACGTCGGTCTTCAAAGTGGTCAAGGGAGAAGAGAGCTCCGGAGTTTCCTGGACGACCCGGCACTTCTTTTGGATCAAATCTGGAAAGTCAATATCGACGAATTTAGCATTACGACACTGGTCCGGATATCTGGTCATGCACTGCCATGGAAGCACATCGCTAGCAAAAGTTAGGGGTGATGTTGCATATATAGAAATGAGATGTAGGCCTACCTTCCACAGCCAAGGTTTATAACGACCTTGGTCTTATCCGAGGGCCTCTCAAGAAACCGCCGGACGGCAACATCAATTATGTGTAATCGGATATGATAACCCCGATTTATCAGGGGAGCACGTCGTTGAAATTTCTTGACAAAGAAACGAAAGAAATGAGGCTCATTCGGGTAGTATATGCGTTCAACACTTCTCTTAGATACAATGCTACTGCTGTTCGTCTTGATGTGAGTAGATTAGAAAGGAACGAGCTGTATTGTCTAGGCTAGACTTAGGCAAGAGACATACAGCCATGACCAAGTCATCCAAGGCACGTTGCCTAGTTGAACGACTAGAACCCTGCTGGCCCTTGACGATGGTAGTTGAAGAAGGCATCTTGCTTATGAAGAAACGTAGGTATGCAAACGGTACTGTTCTGCGGTCTTAACAATAGTATGACCTTGAGTGGTAGACAGGGAAGCGTTGCTACGTGCTCGTGATGTTACTTAATTTTTCTTCGATAAGAGTCAGGGCCATATTAAAGGTACTCTCTACAAGCGTAGTAAAGTTCAATGTTTAAGATTTCAAGGTTGATGATGAATAAAATCGAAAAGGAAAGTGTAAATCATGATAAAAAATGAAAATATCAAAATGATAATGTGATACCTAAGCCTCAAACGTCTCCGAGATCACTGCAGGTACTAAGTACCTAACTAGTTATTTGTGGCGCAACTTTTAGCGGGCCATGGACGTCACTCAATATCCCGTAAGCTGGTGCAAGGCCACTGCAGGCCCAAGCTCCCAAAAGTACAGGCCGCAACAGGTTGCTACAGGTACAGCAGTGGACGGCATTGGCGACATATCCATGGATGAATGCAGTGCTACGAGCTATACCCTGGTAATACCCCGCCTGATAGAGGCATCTGATTGATGATTCCGAGTGTTCCCCCACCCAAATCCAAACTATCCAGCCCCCTCGGATTTTTGTAATGCTACTGGGCTACTGGGCTACTGGGCTACTGGCAGTGGAGGTAGGTACAAGTACTGACTGTACTGTATGGGATTTCTTTCAACCCGAACCAAACCAAGCCAAATCAACCTAGGCTCACAGTACCTAAAAGACCTAAAAGACCTAAAAGACCTAAATGCCAACATTGAACATTGAAACTATCCATAATCCATACATATTCATATCCATACCTATCCGATACTTCCTACGTACCCTTACATCCGAAAGGTTACCTAGCTCAGCATTAATCCTTTTTACCTAGTGCTATCGATAATTTTCTTATTATTCTATTATTCCTTCTACTTTAACAAATCTAACCTACACACTTCTTCCTGTGTGGTTTCTTCTTCTACTTTTGTGTCATGACGGGGAACGATCGCCCCGAATCGAGACGGCGTTGACGTAGAGACAGAACTTGCCTCAGCCCACTCCTCCAAAAGTATCTGTCTACCTATCTGTCTACCTATCTGTCTACCTACCTGTCTACCTATCAACCTACTAGGTATTTCACCGAACCTAGGTGGCAGTTCGAACTACAGCTGTGGTCGCATTGCAAATACTACCATTCCTAGAATTGCCATCATCCATTATATAAGTCTTCAGTTAGGAATAGCTCGGCGCATCTTAACAGCCATGTCGAATCCAGCCCTCAATTTTATCACCTTTAACCAGGATCACAGCTGTTTAGCTGTTGGTATGTTGACTTTGGAACATGTGATATCTACCGGTAGGCAGCTAAACAGTTTTAGGAACCTCCAAAGGATTTCGGATATACCATACCGACCCATTCTCCAAAATCTTCAGTAGTGATGATGGGAACATTGCTATCATCGAGATGCTCTTCTCGACCTCCCTAGTTGCTCTTGTCCTCTCCCCGCGTCATCTCATAATACAGAACACAAAACGTGCGTCTGTTATTTGCGAACTCACTTTTCCATCCGCCGTCCTGGCTGTCCGCTTAAACCGCAAGCGGTTAGCTGTCGTACTCGAGGATGAGATCTATCTCTATGACATCGCCAATATGACGCTGCTTACCAACATTGCGACCTCTCCGAACCCGAGCGCTGTTTGCGCGCTATCTCCTTCATCCGAGCACTGCTACCTTGCTTACCCTCTACCGAAACCGCGTGATGACACACAAGACAAACGACCGTCGCATGCGCCCCCGACCTCTCTCTACGCCCCCGTAACATCGGGAGATGTCCTCATCTATGATTCTTTGACCCTCAAAGCCGTTAATGTCGTTGAGGCTCATCGTTCCCCCTTGTCGTGTATTGCGCTCAACAACGAAGGCAATCTATTAGCGACAGCAAGTGAAACGGGTACAATCATCCGAGTATTTTCGGTGCCTCGTGGCCAAAAGCTCTTTCAATTCCGGCGAGGCACATATCCTAGCACGATATACAGCATGTCCTTCAACATGGCTAGCTCGCTACTTTGTGTCTCCTCCACTTCTGAGACTGTGCATATCTTTCGTCTCCAACAACCAGGACCTAACACGAATAATGCTGCTTCAGATGCGCAGTCATCTACCTCTCCCCGAACTGACCGATGGTCTCGCAGCCGGAGTTACGACAGTGGTAACGACTCGACCAGCAGCGCCCAGGGCTCCCCACGCAGCGAAGTGGCTGAACTTACGCCGGCAGCGGCAAACAACCCCGCCACGCATAGGAGGCAAAGCGGGTCGTTTAGTAGCATTCTTCGCCGTTCCTCTCAGATTATGGGTCGTAGCGTGGCTGGAGTCGTGGGAAACTACCTACCGCAAACTGTGACGGAGATGTGGGAACCCCTTCGCGATTTTGCGTACATCAAAATACCGAAGACCTCGTCTGTATCGCCACGCACTGGCGGAAACGCAAGTGGCCAGCAACTACGCAGTGTGGTGGCAATGAGCAGCACCAGCCCACAGGTCATGGTCGTGACTAGTGATGGCGGGTTTTACGTATTCAACATCGACATGGAACAAGGTGGAGAGGGATACTTAGTGAAGCAGTTCTCGTAGGTGCCACCACCATATTGCCCCTTCTCCCCTACTCTTTCTGGTTCAAAACCCAGTCATACTAACCACAAATCCCCCTTTCCAGAGTCCTAGACAGCGACGACAAGCTTGACACATCGAACTACGGACCATAGGAGGACGTCGGTCCCGGTCCCGCCAGGCTTTCCAAAGAACTTCTTTCCGAGGCCCAAATGGTGGAAAACGAAGAGCTTGAGAAACAGGGGTGGACGGTCGTTGATCATCGGTGAAAAACCACAATCAATGTTGTTTCAGGGCAAGGGGGATGGGGTTAAGGGGGTTTAGGGGAGGCAGAGGAAAGGAGGGGGCCGGTCTTTTGGCATCATCTGGAAGGCGTTTACGGCTGCTGGACGAGAAGCACATTTAGGGACTTATCTAATCTTTTTCTTTTTGGCCCTGAACCCTTTTTCTTTTCTTTTCTTTTTTTGGCTCGCTCTTCTTCTAATTCCATGGTTCGTTCATCTCTCATACGACAAAGGTTTATTTTATTTTTTTACTAGCTGCAAGAAGGCAGGTTTCTGTTTTTGCAACGCGGAAAGCGGGGAGAGGGAGGGAGAGGGAGAGAGATGGAGAAGAGGAGAAGAGGAGAAGAGTAGTTGTTTTTTGGTCTTTGCATCAGCGTTCGGCGTCCAAGTCTGGCAAGCGAGGTTTTTTTATCAAGTAGTTTTTTTTTTTTTTTTCCTCTTCTCGTCTTCTAGGTAGGTAAGTAGGTAGGTACTATTACCGAGCATTACAGTAGTACATACATAATTCACTGGAAGAGGATAAACATCCATACCTACCTAGCAGCAGATGTATCTGTTTTGAAAGCGCCATGACATACCCGACACATCTACATGTAACCTCAATGGTCGATCAGGTGGCACATTATACACAAAATAAATATGGTACTAACCTTAGGTAGGTAGTAGCTGGCAATTCACTGCGTAGAAAGCTCGTCCGTCTGCTCTATTCAGAAAGAGTCATCATAGATTGAAAGATCAATAAGTATCTATCAATCCTAAGTCGTAAGCCCGTAAAATTCCCAGATACCTGTCCATCCTCCTTATGTGCCTACCAAGCTATGTAGGTAGGTGGTTTAGCCAGAGTACTAAAATACAACCAGCTATTAAAAAAATGTACGTGGTCCTTCCGAGCTGAGAGGGACGACTGGGTGCCCAAGTAAGCACCTAGAGTAGAGGTGGGTCGGTACTGTTAATATCCATGAGAACTGAAACCTGCATTCCTAACCGTATCCATCCATCCGTCCATCCAGTGACAATCCAGGGGAGACACGCATGCTGTCGAAACGACTTCCCTCCAATCGACGTCCCAAAACAACGAACGCCACAGCACCGTTGGATGAATTGGTTTATGGATATAACAGGAGGCGTAGCCCTCCCGTAGTTTCCAGCCTCTCCTCCCCTCCCACCCCCTTATTCCCCTATGTTTCTTTTCTTGCGGATTTTCAAGGTTCCGTAGACAAGTAAAAAAAAAGTGAGCATAATCGTCCCGTCGTTAGAAAAAAGCCGTATCAAGTAAAGGGGTAAGTAAACAGTTCAAAAGGAACAAGTAAAGCGTAGGTTAACAGGAAGGGAAAAATGGATCGAACTTCCGGTTCCCAGGTTCCATCTTCTTCGAGGACGGTGTATGGTGGGGAGAAATGGCAAGGCAGCAAAAGAATCGCAGATTTCACCTCATCATCCTTCTCGTCGAGTCCAAAAATACAAGGGGTGTAAATCTTAAGAAAAAAAACCAAATGGGTATGTGCATTATGCTTCATAAAAATCAGACATGAATTGCGAGGCCTTTCTCGTATCCATAATCTCGATACCACGACTTTTTCGTAGTGAAAATGTCGTAGTCAACCACCAGTCGAGCCCTCAAGTCTGTCTCTGTTCGGACTTATCGGCGCGGCAACCTACCTGCCTAGGTAGGTTAGGCACTAGATAGGCAAATAAATCCTGATAGCGTTGCTGAAAGCCAAGGGCAATCCACATTCCGCTAGGATCTATGGACAAGTTTGGAGGCTTGCTCTGTAGCGACGGTGATCGCTAACCAGCCAAATTATCGGGCATAAGGTCGATTCATAAGCGCTATTTCCCGCGCAATCTCCCCCCACTCCAGCTCTCTCCGGAAGCCACCTCCAGGGCCATCGACATTACTCTCACCCCTTTGGCGCTTAGCCTGGAGCAATTCCTCCCATTTGAGGAGTTCGTACGCGAACCGTAGGTGAGGCTGGATGATCACATTAAGTCGTCTAGCCCGAACAAAGCAGTATGCGCGTGGAAAAGAGAGATTCAGGCTGCGCATGACCTCAGCGATGCAGATAGTAGCACTTCGCGACACGCCCACACGGCAGTGGACCAAAGTCGCAGTTCCGTTGCGCCGACCACGATCTATATGTTTATGCCGAAAACGGCTCTAGTCAGCGAATCATTGCGGGTCTTTCGTGATGGATAGCCCCATACCCCGTCCCATACCCCGTCTTTGGAAGAGGGTCTTGGTAACGTAATAACACTCACACTATATAGTGTGCGTGCTTAGGGTTGTGGGAAAGTGGGAAACCAAAAATAAAACGTACCGATAAATTCCATGCACTTCTCAAATTCCTTCGTCAGCGGATCAATACCGTTATCCTGAACCTTCTCAACCACGAGCACATTATCCGGTCCCCATTGTTCCAAGTCGCCATCCCGCCACATGGCCGTCTCACCGACACTGAGGATCTGGCCAATACCCATCGCCTTGAGGAGGTCAGGGTTATTGGCATGTACCAGGTTCCCTAAATACATATAATCGACGATGCGGCTAGGGAACGATCCGTCGAGAGAAGTGAGCCATCTAGGCTCGTTCTTCACGAGGTTCGTGATTTCTAGGAGGCTCATGTCTGCACACACAGGCGATTCATGGAGCAATCGTGCAGCAATCGAAGTCAGTAGAGCTACGTCTGTTGGATAAGCGAAGAAGTTCCGCTTCATCTTCGTATGCAAGTCTAACCACGCTTGGTGAACCGGTCGGCCGGTGCTATAGCTGAAATAGGCTATGCCTAGCATCGTTGACTCTGTGTATCCGTCGGCACAGTGTATGAGGATCTTTCGCGGCCGGCACATTTCAACCTCGGTCGCCTCGGACACATCAGACATGCTCGAATCCCCGTCTATATCGGCATCTGATTTTGTTGGCACAGACCCGTGAGAGAGGTGCCAGAGCCACTTACACGTGTCCAAAATGCCGTCAGCTTCGGCGTGGGACCACGTGGGCGGGAGGATGCTTCCAGAAGAGGGGAAGTCCAGATGGAGGGGTGTCTCGTCGTCGCTGGAACCTTCAGCAATTGCCTGTAGGGCAGCTGGGTTCAGCCGACCAAGGTCACTGCACTCAATGAGGATATCATATCGCCGTTCCTCCTCACCTCCTGGGTCGAGGGTCGGTCCCATCCATACGTTTCGCGATATCTCTGTTGCCTTTGTCATCGCATACATCTCGGCCCGTTCCTGGTGGAAGAAGTCGACTACGGAACCCGTTAGGCGACCCTCAGAATCGGTTGCAACGATTCCGCTATGCTTATTCTCGAAGTCCATGAATGGGCTTACGCAGGTGAAAGTGTGGTATTTCGGGGCAGAGTCATGCTTCTTTCGCCATTTGGACTGCGCCGACGCGATCTCCCATCCCAGCTTACGAACTAGGCTAGCATCCTCGCCATATACAATGATATCGGAGGTAACAGCCGTTTTTGCTGCTTGGATCTGGAAGTTGCGAACTGAGAATCCTTCTCTAGGGTCTACCTCGACGAATTCTCCTTCAGAATCGGGACGCAGAAGTTCATTAGGAGCAATAGCCCCCTTCAGACGGGCAACAGAGAGGTCGCCGTCGGCCTTTACAACTGTAATGCCTCGCAAACAATTGGGCATCTGTCGCACAGATTTGCTTCTCGACATGAAAAATGTCTGCTGGATGTGATTGCTAGGATGTAATCCATGCAGCCAAGGAAAGACCTGGGAAGGGTCTGGCAGAGGTTGTCTAGAAATATAGTCCAAGGCTGCTGCTACGTCGCCAGGACTAATCTTATAGATTGCGAGGGATCCCGATTCCACACGCTCGAATTTGCTCGGCGGGCAAAGCAGGGATATCCGACGTGGTGCATCTTCGCGGGCTGGTGAAGGTGGTGGGGTGTTGGGCTCACGAACGGGTGCTGGTCCAGTGGGACATACGGGAATATGTTTATTTGGAATTGGAGCGGGCGCAGCACTGGATACCTGTTGGGTATTAATGGGTTCGATTGCGATTGGAGATGTTAGGGTGACGATGCTGGATGCAGAGCGATGTGGTGGAACAGGTCTCGGGAGAGCAACCGTCGTCATTGTCCTACTCATAGTACTAGTTCTTGAGCGATAATGCCTACTGGAATAGTTGACAAGAAGGAAGTTTGTTGGTGGCCTCGTGCCTCATATCAGGGCCAGGTCTCAGAGCTCAGACAACAACCGGGGGGGAGGGATGTTGTGTTGCGCGTGATGTGCTAATGCTAAGCGTAATTTGCGGGGAGGTGGATGAGTGGAGGGAATTGGGGGGGAGAATGAGGTAAATAGCGGGGGGATCTTTTTTAGAGTTGCTGATGGATTCGGAAAGCGATAAGGTTGGAGCCCAGCTGGATCCTGTAAGTTCCAAAGTTAATTCAACTTATTTAGAGTATCTAGAACCCTAGATACGTTATCAAAACCAAGGTTGTGTAAAAGTAGATTTGTGTAAAGGTGGCACGCTATTCACTCGTAGCTCTTGTCCATCTGCCTTCTTTCATTTTTGTTGTCTTTAATAAGAGAGGGGAAAGCAAAGGAGGGGAGGGAGGGAGGGAGAGACGTTAGACTAGTGTTATAGGGAGAATAAGGCGGGAATTTTGAAATACCAGGAAACCTTGAGAAGCAAGAATCCAATAATAGGGTACTTACCTAGAAATACAGAAGTCGAAGATGAGGAAATGAGAAAAAAGGTATGTATGTAGAAAGTAAAAAGGGAAAAAAGGGCAACAGTTGTTAAAAGTAGCGAGAAAGATATCTACCTACCTGGTAAGTATCTACGTAGTAGGGTAGGTAAATAATGTGAAAAGGGTTGGCCGGAGTGCATATCAAGGTTGTTTCACGCATCTGGTCGTGTTGATTGGGAGTTGTAGCCTTATCGCACATCCCTGGTATACATAACCTAGTAGTACTAAAGTGCAGCACAATGCCGTGTAGTGTCTAGTGCTACCACCTTGGTAGTTGGTAACCTTACTACAAGGTACAGTAGGTACACCTGAGGTAGTCAAGTAAATCCCCCAGTAACGAAACAGCGACCAGCGGTAGATAAGACAACTTGATTTGATCGATACCCTAAGGCAGGTATACCCTAGGCAGGCAATGGTGCCAGATTGGATCGGATGGGATCATGGTGGTTAGTATCCCCTCCATCCCCCTACACTAAAGTACCTTTTAAGGTTCAATCAATGTTGTTTATACCTAGGGTAAGTTACATAGATCTACCTATGATCCCTCCCCTCTTGAGTCCATCTAGATTTTGATTACGTACATGTGCTCTTCATTTGTACACTTGTTCATTCCGTTTACTATATCAATAAGATCTGCTAGACTTTGTCTTTGTGTTTCTCTTCTGCTGGACTACGTAAGATACATAACAAGACACACACTACGTAATAGGTTATGTACATGTATGTACTTCGTAGTATTCTACTTAGATCACGGGTAAGATATACATATGTAACAAATTACAGCGTTTCGTTGGTGCTCAATGCCAAGACAGAATGCATTATTAGCCTTGGCCTCAGACAGGCCTTCCCCTCTAAAAGAAAGACCCACGGTTCTAGTTAATTGTTGATCAATGCCGAGTGGAGTGCATTCCCCCCTGTTCCAAAGATCACATCCTGAGACAGAGCTTGAAGTTGAACTAGAAACATTGAAGTTGACAAAGGGTTGGAAATGTGATACACGTTCAGCTGCAAGCACGTGCTTCTTTCCACTTGAACTACCAATGTTGGCAAAAAGAGAGAAGTAGAAGAAGAAAAGAAGGGCATTTCAATTGAGTTTGCTAACTACCAGGGTACCCTACACTACCTAGTACCCTGCCCTAAGTATTTAAAGTGACCTCCCGACGTACCTACTAAGTACTTTAGTAACCTTTAAAGTTCGAGGTTGCTTCAACGTTGAATATTCAAGTTCTTGATAGGCCGTCTTGCCGCCTGAAGGGTCAACCCATGAGTTCAATGTTTTAACAGAAGTGACCTGGCAACCTCTGGCCACGACGACATACATGAAAGGGCGGCGTAGTACATACCTCCCTACACCAGACATAGATGCCGTTTGTACGTATGTACTACAACTTTCACATCTTATGTACATATAGTTACTACATACCTACATAAGTATGTACATCAATAAGATGAGGAATACATGCCAATGGCATGGCTGACAAGTGGAATGAATGGGGGACAATCCAGCATCGTCGATGCTACAACCCCCGATGTACTAAAGACATAGTTGACCAATCAAGGAGATAGAGACCCCGCCCCAGTGCAGCACCCCATCTCCCACTAGGAATATGTAGTATGTATCTTGGACCCAATCGTTAGGGACTTGAAGAGAACGACCACAGGAATAAGCAACCGTGGTTGTACTAGTCTGCAATACACATCAGGGCCATTACGACTATCGCCACCGAACTCTACCTTCTACCCACCCAATCGAGGCTTCAACGTTGTTGTCAAAGCGATTAGCAATTACACGCACGTATTAATGCAATTTGGCCATTCAGATACTCAGAATATTGATGGCCAGTAGTTTTATACATACATATGTAGGTTACATATGTATAGTAGTTTACCACCTAGTAGGGGCCTACCTGATGCAACCTGCAGCTTGTACATTAGTAGCTGCATCCGTTAAGATCTCCAAGTTGATATCAATTGCGTCTATTCGAGCTCTTACCTCTTGGCCATTGACTACTAAAGAGGCAAACACACATATTGGGATTTAGAGTGATTCACCTAATTAGGTAGGTAGGTATGTAGGCAAATACAAATTTGTGGTATATCTGCAGTCCAATTCAACTATCACAAGTTCCTGGGTAGTACTGGGTATTACCAGATTCAATGTTTATACACGTATTCCTAAAGTTGTGAGGCAACTTATAGTATTGAATACCTTAGGTAGGCATGTAGATGGGCTTTGCTCCCATTACGCGTACTTGGGCTATAAAACTTTAGCTTTATACCTAGTAGTGCTGGAAGTAAATAACTTCAATGTTGCTTGCTGACCTAGGGCTATATGATATCAATGTTTATCATTCAGTATGCCATCATATATTGCGTATGTAGTTAGAGATAGCCCAACTTAACCTTGATAGTTTGGACATCAATTGAAGTTAGCTGCCGGATATGTATATCATCTGAGCTTGGGTTGCAAGGTCTAAGTAAGACGTCAAGTTCCAGCTTGCGACTGCAACACAAAGACAGATTCGAGTGGCTAGATGACTATCTTGAATTTGCGTTTGCCTCGAAATGCTATACATTCTTTGAGTAACCTATTTTTCGGTCCATAACTTGTTTGGCAGTAAGAATGAGATTATCAGACATTGTCCTGACTTTCCTTGCATTAGTTATAGCAATTCCAAAGAGATTAGTAAGTCATGGAGATGGAATGGTTTGGTTTGGTTTGGGGAACGTACCTAGGTAGATAAGGCATGATAAACCAACTTGGAAATCGATAACTTATGTAAGTTTCTCTTGAACCCGAGAAATTTAAGCGTGGCGGGGCGAACTACTCACTGCAGTGCTTAGGGTACATTGTATGTAGTTAGCAGCCACACGTAGACCCACAGCGGAGGTAAAATGAGGCATTGAGGCTTAAGCTTGCTTCTTACATCCCGTGCCATCCATGACGTTCCACTACCAATTAATTTATTCCTCCAGTAACCACGTCACCGCCGCATTACAAGCGCATGCATATGCACATGGTACCCTACCTTTACCAGCTGAGCTGTCCCAGCATGTATGTTGTTCCAGTTGCTCCAGGTACCTTTTCTTAGTTCTTTTTCCACTACGAGCACTACGAGATAATGTACAACTACACAACTTATACATACTTGCCTCGATTTTAAATCACGACATAATTACCTACATAGATACGCATTCGGCTGTCGTGAACCCATTTTCAACAGATTCATCCACACTTGCACTCTCATTTACGATGCTTTTCGTCTTCATGTGCAACTAGCCGTCTCTACCTAGTACCGACTGATCCGCCGACCGACAAATAATTTCTCTAGGCACCAACATTCATTGATTCTCCGGAACATGCCTTTCTTTATACAACTACCTGTCCATCTTGAACACGGTAGCCTTCTCTGTAAGGGGAAGAGGATATAGACATTTCATAACCACAAACCCGCCCTCTCTATTTGTCCATAAGCGAAATCCAAGTACATAATCCTAATACTAAACTGGCAATGCCTTCCAACACTCTCATCAACTACGGAGAAGCTCCGAAAGCACACAGCTATGGATCGAAATGTCGGCTTGCTCCATTATCCCACCCACTGGCATCGTCCGGTGTCGATGATATTCCGCCAGTGAATGCCCAATACTTCTACCTATCTTCCATGCCCATAGACGATCCTCTTTCTACCACTATCGCTGCTACTACCGACCCGAAATCTGCGAGAAGTAGCCTTCGACCCTTCCGCCCTGGAGACAATAACGAACTAGAGAAAGCTTGGCTGGGTCTTTCTTCCGATTTTTATCGCGACAACCACACAAACGCCCGACTAAATCGGCCTCCTATCCCACCTCTCTCTATAACAATTAGCGAGAAGCTACATAGCATCGTGCGTCGGTTGGCTATACAGCATGCCGAGAAGCACGCACGCGAAGGTCCTTCGCGGGAAAGGGTAAAGCCCTCCCTTGAAGCTCTTCCAGAACCAGATGCTGCCTCGCTTTTATGCTGCTCTGAACTTCTCGTTGATATTGGGGTTGCTTTACGGACATCATTTTGCGCTGTCGCCAGGCGAAAGCAGCACATGCTCAACCAAGACATAGTCGCCCAAGCGATCATGAGTGAGATGAACACGCTACATACTGACTCGACAGCTACTGTCACAGAACGACACGCACGATCAAACAGCGTACCTCCGAGTCAATCTCAAAAAGATCCCATGTTAAGGTCAGGTCAAGTTAACGAGCATACTAGCAATCGACCTTTAAGCATGATATTGCCGTCTCAAACGGCAGCCGACAGAGGTATCAGTATCTCAGTTCCTACGAAGCCATCGTTTGTAGACGATGGGATTTCAGGTAGGCCTTTTGTCCGCGTAGGCACGCCGGAAACACCTACTTTCTCACCGCCGGCATCACTTCCAAGAACCACTATACGACCGAGCAGGTTGACCGAAGAGATCAAACCTGATAAAACCCAGTCCCATCAATCTTCATCGACTGGTAGTCCATCCTTTTCACCCATGCCTGCGGAGACTTCAAATGCGATTTCACGTGAAGTGACGGTTGGTGTTTCCAGGCTACACGAAGTGTCTCTTCCTGCTTTGCAAATGAAACCTATCTATTGGTCCCCTGTCAACGATATTGCTACAGTGTTTCGAGCAACCTGGTTTTATAGGTACTGTCCTCGTATCTTAGCAATAGGGTACTCTCACTAATTCAGCGCAGAGATGATATGAGACCTATTGATCCCACCGTAGCTAACCAACTTGAAGCTGGATACCGAGAGCTCAAGCCCCACACTGAGACCTGGAACGACGAGCTTAGATGTGCTGTAGATGTTGGTCCTTTGGGCGAGGAAAAAGTATCACACCCCTTGTGGCCGAAGGCAATAAACAAAGCCTCTAGGAAGACCGACGATTTCGTGGAGCCACCTATATCTAGCAATCCCTTCTGTGCAGCCCGTTGTTTCTGTGGCGAAGCGGCAGCAGAAGGTAGTCTGATATCGACTCCAGATGAGGATGAATCCCCTGTCCCAACGCACAAGAAATTTGAGCAATATCATGTGATTTACAAAAACGCGACTACAGCGTATTTGCTTAAGCCAAGTTTGAAGCCCTCGGCATATTACGGGCGCCGACCAGTAGCGAAGATAATGAAAGGATTCACTGTTGGTATCCCTGTGGTACGAGGATTTGATTACGAGGCCTGGATGAAGAAGCATGAGAAGAAGCAGGGTCAACAAGGTCAAGAGGGCCAGAACGTAATGGCGATGGCCAGTGAACACGCTAGTGAACACCGAGAAGAAGGTGGCCGCGATGTCTGCCCAGCTTGTCAGTCCGACGAAGACCGTGCGCATGTCTCAGATCTAGTTCTGGTTGTCCATGGTATCGGTCAGAAGTTAGCCGAAAGAGTAGAAAATTATCATTTCACTCACGCCATAAATGCCTTCCGTCGAGCCATCAATATCGAGCTCCGGAGTGACGCGGTTCGAGGGGTCCTAAGAAAAGGCTTGAATGGTATAATGGTTCTTCCCATCAACTGGAGGCAAAATCTATCGTTTGAAGACGGTGGGCCAATGAAGGAGGAGGACAAGGAACATTATACGCCTGGCGGCTTCACGCTGAAGGATATTGAGCCCACGACTATCCCCGCTGTTCGAAGCATGATATCAGACGTCATGTTTGATATCCCGTTCTACATGTCACACCACAAACCGAAGATGGTGGAGGCCATGGTCAGCGAAGCAAACCGTGTATACAGACTCTGGTGCCGAAATAACCCAGGTTTTGCAGAGAAAGGAAGAGTTCATCTGATAGGTCATTCGCTCGGCAGCGTCATGTGTATTGAAGTGTTGTCAAGGCAGCCGACAGTCGCACCAGTCCTACAGCTCACGAAGCAACCTGAGTTGAAGCATTTCGAGTTCGACACCAAGAACCTCTTCCTCCTTGGCAGCCCTGCCGCTTTCTTCCTGCTGCTCGAGAGAGGTGCATTGGTGCCAAGGCGAGGCCGCCGCAAACCAGGGGCGGACCTGAGCGACGTTATGTCGAGGAATGTCGTTGGTGAAGCGGGACCTTTCGGCTGTATTGCTGTGGATAACATATACAATATCATGGCCCGGGAGGACGCTGTTGCATATTTACTCAACGGCACTCTAGACCCGATGTATGCTGCCAGCCTAAAAACTGCGTACGTTCCCAGTACATCGACGTCTTTTCTACAGTCTATGGGGAATGCGATGAAGAGTATTGTGCCTGGAACCTCCAACTCTGTCCCAGTAGGCGGGATAGGCGCCCCGGTCTCAAGGCCACCAACTATGCGTCTCCCGTCGCAACTGGAGCTCGAAGTCCACGACTTTACACGCGAAGAGGTAGCCGAGAAAAAGGCATTCTTGCTCAATGATAATGGGCAAATTGACTACTTCTTACGTTCAGGTGGTGGTCCACTCGAGCTACAGTATCTGAACATGTTAAGCGCTCACACGAGCTATTGGGTAAATCACGACCTAATCCGCATGTTATGCGTGGAGATCGGGAGGAATCCGGGCAAGAGAAATACTTTGCCCTCCATGAGGGCGATGAAGGTAGCGAAGAGGAATCATCCTTCAATGGTCTGAATGAAGATATAGATGGCTTAACGAATATATTTCACACTCCCCTTTTCAGCCTGGCGTTTGGGAAGAACTTGGATAGGAATGATAATGCGTAGACATCGGATACCCATCACTCCCCAATCTACCTACCTAATGGACACTTCTACAGTTTGCAGCAACAGAGCAATCAAAGATTTTAGAACATACTAGTATAATATTTACACTTTCCCCTAGCCAGCTATGTTGTGTTTGTAGCGGTGTAGCAAGTGGCATATCCCCCTATTCCAGAGGCTTTCGTTTCTATATCAGGTTTACTTGGTTGTCTTACGATGATATACTAGAATTAACTTCCTAAAGATACCTATGCATTTACCAATCTTTTGAGCGTATTGACGAATCTCACGCTCACAGCCTGCTCCGTAATAGCCTTACTACCTACCTACCTACATACCTACCTCCTATCTTTCCCCCCTTAAAGCGCATACACCTTCTTATCTCCCTGTCTTGCTTACAATAGAGAATCAAAGTCTTAGGGGAGAGAACCGACGACTGGAATAAACACAGTCTCCCCTTTCTTTCTCTCATTACGTAGTAGCAATTAGCAATCAAAGAGGCACATTGGATAGGACGAATAAATTCCCGTGTTCCCTCAACATTGAGGCAATGGTGTTTCACCCAACTAGCTGGTTGTGCTTTCATGTTTCCACGCAGGTCCCATGTAAGTAAGTACCCCATTTCCACATAGGATAGAGGCAGTGTATGCGTATATGTGCGTGTTTTATGACCAGCGAATAAACTTGTAGCTCTGACTTCACCTTTTTTTTCACGCATCTGTCTACCTGGTAGGTCCTGTGTATTGGGTAAGCAGGCACCTTCTAGAAGCGCTGACTGTGCACCTAAAGATTGTTCAAAAGTCCTTGGCTGCCGTATTTGGCGATGCCTTTTTTTTTTTTTATGTGTGTGCTTGCGTGCTTACCTACATATTTGCCACGCAGCAACACGACACACAGCGTTTCGTTAGGGTGTTGCTACTTCGTATCTTTTGCTGATTTGTCTACTTAGTAGATAGATAGATAGGTAAACGCAGAAAACGGCACTGCCGGTAATGTAATGATGTCAATGGTAAGCAGTACGGGACCCTCATCGCAGAAGCTTGGACATCGGCCACCTGGGTACCTACCTACCTTGACATATGAAGATGACCGCAAATGCTCAGCAGGCCGTAAGTAGGTACACACACGCACCACATAGCACACATGGCTACAGGGATGCCTACCTACATACACTACCTGCCTCGTAGATACCCTATCATCGTCATGAACTCCCATGACTCCCATTTAAGGTGCTGACAGGACCCAAAACCCTCCTCGTCTTCCCTGTCCCGGTGAGCTATATACAGCAACTCCGCAAGGGGGGGAAGCAAGGCTAACATACATGTACCTACTGTACTGATATACCGACATATGCAAGTAGGGTAATAGCCTTTCCACGTTTTGTTTTTTTGGCCTTCTTAGCACGGTTAAGGGGGACCGGATTACTCATATTTTAGAGGGTGGAGGATACGAGGATGGGGAGAAGGAAATGGTGAGAAAAGAACAAAGGGAAACAAAAAAAAAACTTGGGTAGGGTAAAAATGCTCACACACCGATGGCTGGTTAGAGTGAGCTATGTGTGATATGGTATAGGTAGTAGGGTGTAGTTCGGTACGCTATGGTGTGTGTGATTCAACTACATGTTTGTGCTTTTGCCTACGGTGATCATATGTCTACTAAGATACCTACCTACTCGACGCGCGTCGTTATTCAAGTCGTGACCGGCTGTCCTTGGGTTTTTACTTCTCCTTCGGTCAGGCTTGGAGACGTTAATTCCATGGTACCGAGACTCGACGCAAGTGTGTGTGTGTGTGTGTGTGTGTGTGTGGAAAGAGAACCAAAAAAGAAACGAGGGGGGCGAATAACTGCAAGAAACCTCCCGATACCGAGGAGCCAGAAAGGATCTCTGTATGGTTCTGGATCTGGTCTACTTTCCTTGGTAACGCCTTGTGATGGGAGACCTCGAGGGATCGATAACAAACAAGGCAGTTAGTTGGCTTACATACACGTGTGAAGGGCATGCCGACTGGTACGTCCTCGACTTGCTCAATCGTTGACCCTCTAAAGTAATACCTATGAGCAAAACCTGTAAGGGTGCTAACCTAGGTAAGTGTGAAGGAATGAGCCCAAAAAGACGGGTTCTTTTTTTGGACGGTATATCGGTGATCGAAAAGGGGCAAAGTAGAAAAGAAAAAAAAAGGGGGCGCTCTACTTACTACCGGTTCTTGCCTCCCCAACACCTTAACCTTATTGATCATGCGGATGAGGAAAGTCGGCATTGTGGTGTGGCACAATGCAGATTATAGCATATTACTTCTCTGCCCTACAGATTAAACTCGTGTGGAAACACGTCCCACGAGCGGTTCCTCATGGACGCGCCCGTGTGTCCTGTGCCCCATAAGGCAGGTCAAGTACTGTCGTCTAATTTGTGTATGTAAGCATGCCGTCGCCTAGGTACTATGTAGGCTATACACACCTCAACACATCTTGCCGTTTAAGGCAGTTGTAAAGTCCATATAACGATGTGCCCACCCAAGCGTCTCGTGGGCCAATGAACAGAGCTAGACATGCCAGGAGACTTGGTATACACTAGAGGCAATTTCTTTATGCAGTCTTGTTTAGTCACCTAGGTATTAGGTAGGTATGGATCGAGGTCATTTACTTGACACGAGTATACTGGATTGCAGCTCTGTTTCGGTTAGGTAAGGAAATATAGTATTTTAGGGGGGCATCGCTTGGAAAGACAAGACGACAACGATACTAGAGCTGGGAAACAGACATCCGCCCCATAGTCGTCAGTTAAACTGGCGTGTTGTTTGTGGTGTCAGGTATCGAGGTTAGGTACCACCACCAGCCCTAGTAGCCTACATCTTGATAGGCATGCTTGGATCCCCTATAGAGTGACATAATCAAACTTCACATAACTAGAAGAAGGAGAGGGGATCACAATCTGCTCCTGGCCTGTAACTCTGGCCAGGGCCTCTCTCTCTCCCCACGATGCGTTCCTCAAGGAGCTTTGCATGGGATTGATTCCTCGCCACAGTCGTCAGGTGTAAGGCTGGGAATCCTTTCCGTCTCCCAAAAGGTCTAAGTACAAGAGAGAAGGATATGTATGAGGGCTAGGTAAGTTGAGGGTTTGCTGTGAATGGATTGGGTATACCTAGAGGCGGAAGCGGAAGCGGTAACGATTCGACGGTGATAGGATGATTAGCAAACCCACCATTACAAATAAAAAACATGATTTAAAATGACTTGGGAACATAGTTCGCCTCATCCTTCGGGTCCCACGATGGTGGGAACGCATCGTGATGATACTCGACCGGTGTCTAGAAAAGGGGAGGGGGGTAGAGTCAGTTGTCGATGTGGTTTTAGACCACGCCCCCCCTTTCCTTTTCTCTCTACCTTGTCGTGTTTATTCTCTCCTTTCACACCCCCCCCCCTCCTTCTTGTTACTTCATAGTTAGTCGCTTTGCTCTAGTTCTATTATGTAGTCCACATGGTAATTCGAAATCCTCGTTCGCCAAGAGTCCTGAAATAGTTTTCTCGTGGACTCTCCTTTCCCAGAACCGCAAGCCGAAATGCAGGTACCACGCTCCTGCTGTGGATTACAACCATGAAAAACCGGCATTCTCATATGTTGACATGTATTTTTTGCGCCCTTCAAGTACCGGCGAGCAGCGTCCCCCGGTACACTGCATAAGCAGATTTCGATTTCAGGACGAGCGTAGGTAGGTACATACTGTATCTTGTCTACTAGTGTAGGTAGGTAATGGAATATGGCCCACACACCAAGTCCCCTAGTCCTATTGTGCGTACGTAGGCGCTCGTGCCTTGATAAGTAATCTGGGGAATGGCGGCGCAGCATGCTCCTTCGAGTCGAGCCCATCTACAGGCCTTATAGACTACCTTGTAGTGTGGACAGTCTCGAGGCTGGGAGACATGTACACGGGAGTGGGCTCGAACTATACACGAGCAAGGAAAGGCCCCTTCAAGTGCCGTTTCCGCCTCGTGTGTAGCCGACGTTTAGCGCGCGGAAGATAGCCTTGCGGATATATCTCATCTTCTACATATCTATGCCTCAACAAAGGCTACAATAACGCCCCCCCCCCCCCCCCCCCCCCTACCTAGTCTTCGTCCGCGCCTCACCGGATATACGCTGAAGCTCCTACGCCATAGCTAGAGGCTGCTGGGTCGAGTCGTCATCGAGGCACGAGTGATCAGTATGATTCGATCGATCGAAAACGCATGAAGATGTAAGTTTCCTCGGTAGACACACACACACACACACACAATACGTACATGGTAAGGTGAGGAAGTAATAGGAGATATTCTTGAAAAAGGGGATGTGAGATGTGAGATGTGAGATCGTTGTAACCCACTCATCTCTCTTCCTTCATCTGCTTACCACCTACCACCTACCCCCATCTTTGGTTGTGTCCTTGTAAAAGATCTTTTCTTCCCCTTTCTCTCTCTCTCTTTGCCTCATTCGTAAAGTTCCATTATCTCATAACTCATAACTCACAATATCATTCGACCTCGTCATGATCGAGTTGAGATTGCCAAGACGATGGAATGGGGCTGTATAATACATACATAGGTAGTGCATACAACTTGTATTTGCATGTATATAGTAGTATATATGCACCTAGGTAGTAGCAGTGTACAGAAGTACACAACTACCGGGTTGGGACAGCAGGTATCAAGGTTATGATGTATTCGCACGTGGCTCTCAACCCCTGCACCCGCAACGAGGTGGTACCTACCTGCTTAGTGTCTCACGTAATCTACTTTGTATGTGAAGTACCTAGTTACATGAAACTTGTAACTACTAGTTACGTCCATGGTCAGTATTGAACATTAAACTCACAGTCTCACACATACATACATGTACACACACGTGTAGTATCGATTTCATACATGCATATATTTACATGTACATACATACATACGTAGCAATATACTTTTGCTCATGCACCCGCCCTTGCGAGGATCCTAAGAGCTAGGAGTTGAGGAAAGACGGGGATTGTTAATATACCTAGCAGAATATCCATGGATAAGAGGATAGCGATGGAAGAAGGACGGTGAGCTTAATATTATTTTCTGAGCTACTACTATGCATATATCAAGTTATTACCTGGTAAAGGGGGGGGTTACCTACCTAGTAAAGTGGCATGTAGGCATGATCCAAGTTGCATTGCAATAGCCGGGAAAAAAGCAAAGCAAGTAAGAGCTTTTCATCAATGTTCGTGGAGATCGTCCTAGCAACAAATAGGTCTTGGGTGGTATCAACCATGTTACGTTGGCTGTATGTGTGTGTGCATCGGACGATCGGACGAATCTGCTTCGTCGCATTTACGATGCGAAAATCGCCTTTTCTGGTAGCCCGGCCCCCACCACAACCACCCCATGCCGCGCTAGTGTAGACGTCCCCCCCTGGTCCCCTGACTCTCTCTGACCCTGGTCCTGGT